GGTGGGTGGTACAGAGGTGTTGAGTGATGGGGGGTGCAGAGGAGAGGCGGTCAGAAGTGTGTGTGGAGGGTGGAGGGTGGGGTTGTCGATTGTGTGAGTGTGTGTGTGTGTGTGTGTGTGTGTGTGTGTGTGTGTGTGTGTGTGTGGGTGTGTGTGTGTGTGTGTGTGTGTTTGTGTGTGTGGGTGTGTGTGTATGTGGGTGTGAATGGGTGTGCTTGTGGCAGAAGGCACACAAGGTGAAGGGGAACGGCAGGCAGACAGTATCCGGAGGGAAAGGAGGTGCCTAGACGGCAGACATGGGAGATGGAGGGTGCATTAGGATTGACGATTAAAACGGATGTGTGGAGAATTGAAGTGCAAAACACGGGCCTGCATAATGTACGTCGAGAAGGAGGAGAGGGGAGATCCTGCAGGAACGCCTCGGTAGTAGAGGTTGCCGGAGAGCATCACTCTAGACGATGCCTTAGACCTTCCTGAAGCAGAACGTCGGGAGTAACAGCTGTGCAGCTCTGGACGCTATAAGGCTCTGCAAGGCACCCCTGCAGCAGGGGAACCTGAAACTGCGCAAAAGCGCAAAGAATCTGCGAACTTTCATCGTTGGAATTCCGGCAGTCTGCATCGCCTACCTGCGAGTGCATTGAGCAACGTCGTCTTGCCGGAACCACTAGGTCCCATGATGACGAGCATGGAGCCGGGACGAACACAGAGGTTTATGTCCTTAAGAATTACCAACGCATCGCTGCGAGCACATAGACAGGGGGAGCTGCTGGTGTCGATTTCGGGGGCATCTCCATCGGGTATCATTCCTCCGTCTTCGAGCTGTGTCATTGCATCTTTGTTGCTGCTGTTGGCGACTGTGCGCGAAGGCGTGTCATTATCGCCGAGCGGACCAGCACTGCCGCCATTGCGCGCGTTGTTCTTGCAGCAGAGCCGGCACATAGGCTTCAGGATGTTTCCTTGCTTCCGTATCGCATAGCAGAAGTCTTTCGCTACCAGCGTAACAGGCGCGATGCCCCCTGGAGTGCTCCATGCAGGGCACCTCCCTGCAGCGCCTTTGGCTGCAACGAGCGGAGACGCCGCCCCTTGCTGTTCTGCGTGACAATGCCCATCGCGAAACGTTTCATCGGAAAGTCTCTCAGCTGCCTCCGAGGGTACCGCCTCCCTGGCTACCCCGGTCCTGCTTGAGAGATCTCTGCTTGACGAGGAGGGCATGTCCTGCGGCAAAAACATCAGAGGCGTATAGATATATAGATATATATGTATATACGGAAGGTCTGCCGTGCCGGCATTCTGCACCATCCGGAAACTCATCATCACCGTTTATGTGCCAAATCCGTGCATCTCTCCAGCAGCAGCAGCCTGGGGGCCACCTCGGCAAGCAGGCTTCCCATGAATTCCCTCAGGGAGGTGCCACGCGAGACTCCAGAGAGGTGGGAAACATGCGGCAGAGGAGGGTGCTCTGCACGGGGGTGCAGTAAGGAACCGCTGGCATGTTGTCAACGCTCACACTTCGTCCAGGGACAAACTGGGGAGACGATGGGAGTGTAAATGGCTTTTCCTCGAGGTGGGAGGCGGATATTCGAAGAGGAAATACAATTAAAGGATGCTTGAAATGGGGGAAGGACCTGTGTGTGGATGGGTACGGATCAAAGAGTCTTGCCGTCTTCGGAACTCCCTTCACAAGCGTTCAGAGTAAGGCACATGCACAGTGCGCCTCCTCGCGAGCGGCACCGGCTGCTGCTGCGGAGATATATTACTGCGTTGTGGTTTCCAATGATACAGTTTCTGCACAGGATTATTCCCAGTGAGTCGTCTAGGCGCACAAACTAGGGATTAGAAAGAGAGGACGCGCAGCCGCCCCTGCCGTCCCGTCACTTAGTCTCAGCAGCGCCATCAGGGGCCTTAAGCAACACACATTTCCCTGAATGCTTCTGAAACTGCGGTCCATACGGCACTCTTTCTGCCTGTTTTTCGTGTATAAAGCCAACACTTGAGCGCTAGCACGACGCGAGAGGAACGCATTCTACAGACAAGCCAACACTACTCCTACTCCTCCTCCCTGGCAGCAGCTGCTGCTTCTCCAGCTGTCTTCCCGGCCTGCATTGCGTGCTGCTGCTGCTGCAGCTGCCACCGCCGCTGCATGCGTAGAGTGTGTGTGTGTGCAGTGCTACTGGGGCCTGGCAGACAACAGCGCATGCTGAACTTTCCCGTGGGGGCTGCTGCTGCTGCTGCCTTGACGTGCTCGGGAGGCACATGCATGTCGGCTCTCTCCAGACCACCTCTGTCACCTCCCTTCCCGCTGCGGCGTCTCCTGCAGAACGTGTATTCCTCTAGCAGCGGGCAGCACGCGGAGAAAGCTTTGCGGTTCGCGGGGGGAGCTTTTTCGCTCGTCGGCAGTGCCTGTCTGAGCTTCGGCAGTCCCCGAAGGCTTGCTAAAACGTGGCTGTGTTGCTGCAGCAGCTCTTTGTTCGTTGCCGCTTTGGGGTCATAGCGGCCCTCCCCCCTCCCCAAGAGCCTCCCCACAAAGCAAACAAGAAGAACGAAAGGCTGGAAATCTGCTGCCGCGATTGATTGCCGTTCGACTCTTGCCTTTCCTGCAAGCGTGTTGCTCCCTCCGCCGTTTTCGCTGCTGCTTCAGCGGCTTTTTCGCTGCTGCGCTGCCTCCTCACGACGCAGACAGTGCACTTTTTGCAGGGCTTTACCTTTGCGCTAGCCGCATGCGCTAAGGCAAGTGCTGCCCCGCTTAGGGGCCTGCATCAGCAGCAACCGCAGCAGAGGCATTTTTAAGGCCACTATAAGCAGCCGTCACAACGGCAGACTCAATGTCTCCTACGTGCTGCATTACGCGTGTCTTCTGCTGCTGCTTCCACGATGCCGCAGAAAGACGCTTTCCTTGTTGCTTATTACGGTGCGCTTATCACGCTGCACACCAAGCCAAAGGCGGGCAGACCCTCCTTTTCCGACCTCCCCTCTTGCTTGTCTTTCTCCCTTCCCCACCTCCTGCACAGACTCTGAAGACGCCAAGCTCCTCTGCTCCGCCTAAACTTCACGTTCTTGAGATTTTGCTCTTGCACTTTGAGGCTGTGCGGTCCTTCTTGTTTCTACAGATGAAAGCGCCGTTTGGCCGTCGCTTTCCCCTTCCATCGAGTCACGACTGCCCCTAGATGTGTTGCCACTTCGTGGAGTGGGGGCCCCCAGCCAGGGGCCCCCGGGGGGCGGGGGGCCCTCGTACCCTTCCTCCCCTGGCACTCCTGTGATGGTTTCCTTCGTGTCGCATTCTTTGGATCCTTCGCCCCCAGCAAATGCGTCTGTTCCAGGCCCCCCCGCTGCGTTTACTGCTGCGCAGAAGGCTGCAGCTGGCGCTCTGGCATCCTTAGGAGTCAGCGTTGCTGCTGCTTCACTGACTGCTGGGGGTACAGCGATTCCCGCAGCTTCGACTACTGCCGCCGCTTTGTCCTCCCTCTCTCCTCGGCTTGTGTGGACGGTAACTGAGCGGCCGTTCGCGCATCTGCTGCTGCTGCAGTACGAAAGCATTGAGGTGTATCGACAGCAGCAGCGACGCGTGCTGCGCGCCTGGGTAGAGAGACAGCTCGAGCAGCATGACGAGTGGCTTGTGCTCGTGGCTGCCCCGTGTAGCAGCCAGGAGACGGCGGTCAAACAGCTTAAGAAGTATCTCGAAAAAATGAGAACCGATCTGAATACGAAGGACAGGATTCTCCGCGTACCTTGCGAGCCGGTAGATCCTTCCCAGGCTCCAGTTGCAGAGCAACTCTGGACGGTAATAGAACTCCGCACGCAAAATTCGCAGCCAATCGACTGGCTGCGCCCTCATAAATTCTCCGCTTTCCGGCTGCTCCCATTTCGCTGCTTTTGGAATGTACATGCATGCTGGGTGTCTCGAGATTCCACGCGGAAAGAGGCGTACAAACGTTCCTGCGATTTTTTTGTCTCTCTACCAATCTATTGATCTCTGTCTATATGTATCTATTGAACTCTAGTTATATATCTCTCTACTTACCTCTATTTATCTCTATTCATATATCTCTCCACTTATCTCTATCTCTCTTCATATATCCATATCTCTCTCTATTTATCTCTATCTCTCTCTCTGTACCTCTTCGCGACAGTGTTACGCTTGCGATCCGTGCGGCAGTCTGCCTTTATCGGGGCTTGCCTGCGGCGTTTGTGAGGGGTTGGGGGAATGCTGGAGGGGAATTTGAAGGCTCTGCCTACTAGTGCTTCGAGATGCGAATCTGCTCTCGGCGTAGAAGAACGGCGTGCGACTCATTGAAGGAGTTGTTCTGCGCCTTTGGCAGTATCTGTCGTACGCAGAAGGGGGCTGCAGAACAATTTTTACTTGTTTTCTGTGAGCCCGGTGTGTGCTGCATGCAGCTCTTCCTGCAGCGGCTGAAGGACGCACTTGCGAGCGCTGTGGAGTATCGCATGATGCTCGCAGAGGACTTCGTGCAGCGCATGCAGCAGCAGCAGCAAGATGCCTCCAGTATTTTGGCAGCAAGGGAAACCCTCGCAGCGCTGTACGCGAAGTGTGGACGCTACGCGGAGGCGCTGAGAGTGTTGGACGCTTGGGAGGTCTCATCGCTTCCTGCATTGACACGTTCTCCAGCAGCAGAGCAGCAGACGGGGGATTTTCTCGCAGTTGGTGGCTCTGATGGGTTGCCTTTGCTGGCGTGTGAATCTCGCGCTGCTGAGCTGTTTCCAAAACTGCGGAGCGGTAGTCTGGGTCCCCTGCATTGTTGGGAGCTACTTTTCTGCAAGCAGGCGGTCTATTTGATTCAGCTGAATAAACTGGAGGAGCTTGGAAGTCGGGGGCTTTCCCTCTTCTCGGGAATCCTCAAAGTGGCTGCCTCAGTGGCATGCAGCAGCGATACGAAGATTCATTTGATGTGCTGGGCAGTGCTTGGGGCTTTAAACCTTGCCAATTTTCTGACGGCCAAGGTACTCTTCGATTCTCTCTTCTTCGCTCCTTGTGTGTTTGTGGGTGTGGAAGTGTGTCTATACGTGTGGGGGTGTGTCTCTGCCTAGCACCCTTGGTTCTGATTGTATATTTCTTAGAGTCTTTTATGAGTCAGTCGCACGCTGCCTGGCCCGCAGTACACATACATACACTTACATGCACACATGCACACACACATACACATACACTTGCATACACTTACATACATACATACACTTCCACACACACACACATACACATACATACACATACATACACTTCCACACATACATACACATACACATACAGACACACATACATACACATACACCTACACACATACATACACATACACTTACACACATGCACTTACATACACATACACTTACATACATACACATACACATACACTTACATACACACATACACATACACTTACATACACACATACACATACACTTACATACACTTACACACATACATACATACACTTACACACACACATCCGTGCACACACACCCCCTTCTACACATAAATACACGAAGAAAGGCAGGGATTTCGTGGTGTATGTATGCTTTCTGTGCACCGTCTCTCTCTCTCTCTTTCCTGCTAGTGGACTTTTTGTGTCGCTGCGGCTGTTGTTGCGATGCGGCGTGCAGTGTGTGAGCGGAGGCGAGGGTGTCGCCTCGAAGGAATTGGAGGAGCTGGGAACGGGGGCGTCTTCAGCTGTTGTGATGGCGACTGCGGCAGGTGTATCGGCGGAGTCAGGAGAGAGTGAATCTCGTGGATCAGGTGTTTCTCAAGTCTTTGCGTCTTCTTTGCCCTTGCTGCGTAGACCAACTTCTGCTGTGGCGCGCACACTGACACGCCTTGCCCCCAGTCACTTGACGTTTCTTCCTTCCAGACGGCAGCACGGGGATGCGCGCAGCAGCAGCAGCAAACCTAAAAAGTTGCAGCATGCAGACACGGCTTCCCTTCCTCAGCAGCAGGTGCAGCAGCAGCAGCAGCAGCAGGTGCATCGCGCACATTTCAGAGGTGGGGGAGAAGGGCAGGAGCGACTGGAAGGTGACGTTCACGGTTTTGCAAGTCGGAGGAGCTACAGCCAAGGAGCAGACAAGAGGGTGGACAGCAGCACCGGCGGGGGGGGTGTCGTCTTTGATTCTTTTGCGAGCGACACGGCATCTGGTCAGGCGAAGAGCGCTGCTTCCCTCTACGCTTTTGTTGCCCAGCAGTTGTTGCGTCTCGCTGCTCTGAAAAAGAAACCTGCCGAGTGGCAAGACGTGTTTGCGCTGCTGCCCGTATCCGCCTCAAGACAGCCAGGCCCTTTCTCCTCTTGTGACTCGTTGGACATGAATGAGGAAACTTCCAACCCGGAGGCGCAGCAGCAGCTCCAGTCTCGCTGCAGCAGCTTCTCCGCATCTGCAGCAGCATCACACGCGGAAACAGCCACGCTTTTCTTCCCTCCAGACGCAGTAGAGGAGCTGAAGGAAGCTCTGGAAATCTGCTCAGCCGCAGACTTGCGTCGGGCTTTAAGTGCGCCTGACAAACTCCAAGTGTTGTATCTTCGCGTGCTGCTGCTCGGAGGGCAACACTACGTAAATTGCGGATTCTTTCGCCATGCAGCGCTGCTGCAACACAGGATTGCTGCAATGCACTTGCAAGCAGGTGACTTTAGGGAGTGTCAACTGGCCATTCAAAGAATGATGCCGCTCTTCCTTAAAGAACCTTGGACAGACGTGAGTTAAAGCCCTCTTGGTATGAGTGTTTGTTTGTACATTTGGGTGTCTATGTCTATGCTTGTGAATATGTGTGTATGTCTGTCCGTATCAATACGGGTCTATGTGTATGGCTCTCTATGTCTGTGTATATCTATTTAAATATCAATGCCTATGTGTATGTCTATCTGTTTCTATGTCTATAACTATGGGTATATCCATGTCTATATCTATTTCTATATCAATGTCCATAACTATGTGTATATCCGTGTCTATATCTCTTTCTATATCAATGTCTATGTGTATATCCATGTCTCTCTCTCTCTCTCTCTCTGTATATATATATATATATATATATATATATATATATATCTGTCTACATGCGTATCTATATCGATGTTCAAATGTACGTCTATGTATGTCGCTTGCTCAACACGCCTCCCCTCCCTCTCTTTTGTGATGAGTGTCATATGCTTCTCTCTCTGCAACACGCCTCGGGCTGTGAAGCGCACGCGAGTGGCAGCCTCGGGTGTCTGCTGTTGCAGCCTCTGTAGCCGCCGTTTGTGCGCAGACACGGGTACCCTGAGCGCTTGCCATCCTGTGCATGCATCCATGCACGCACGCATGGATGTATCACCACGCCTTCGCCATTTGTCGATACAGTTTTTTCTTGCGGCTTTGTGTGGTGCGGTACATGCGTGTGTCGCAGCTGTGGGTGTGCTGCGAGAAGCTCCTGGCAAGGGCGGAGGCTCTGCAAGGAGATCGCGCTGGACAGTTGGCCTCCCTCTATGTGCTGAGCAACGCTGCGACGGAGTCTAAGGGGCAGCATCAACTGCAACAGCACCGCCACACAGAGGGGGAGCAGCCTCAGGAGCTGCACTGTCTAGAATCCGCTTTCTTAGGCAGCCCGAAGGAGTGCTTGCTGCAGTTTGTCTCCGTTGCTGCTTCCAGCGCGAATCGCAGGCTGCTGCAGCCTGCAGCAACAGCAGCAGCAGGGGCAGCTTCTGCTCCAGCTGCATCCGAAGCTGCAGCATGCCAGCAAGAAGGAGGACAGTCGACTCTCGCTCATGATCAAGCCGAACGTGAGAGCGTTCCTTGGAGTGGCTTGCTGCAGGAAGACATGGGATTTCCTTCGGCCTTTCTTCTGAATAGCGTTTCCGTGCATCTGAAGGCGGCTCCTAATCTCTTCGCCTGGGTAGCCGCCGTTCCCCACGGCATGCAGCAGAAGCAGCAAGAGCACCAACAAGAACAACCACAGCAGCAGCTCCACCACCACGAACAGCAGCATCAGCATCACCATCAGCGCCCCGCTCTCCCCCTAGCCTTTCTCCCTTATGTACGTCTGCTTGCTTGCGTGCTTGCTGCGTCTTGGAGACAGAGCCTGCGTGACTTGAAGCCGAGAGGATGGCAGCAGTGGGGGGTTAAGGGGGGGGGAGGGGGTCGAGCGGGGAGGTGTGTATGAGTGTGTACTGTGCGTGTTTGGGTGTTTCGTCTTCGAAACCGTCTCCCTTCTGTGTGTGAACTCCTCGGCACACACAAATTCCAAAGCCTCGTATAAGGCACGGAGATTTTCCTGCCCTGACGGAGCAGCAATCTGGGGATGGGAGAAGGGGAGAAGGTCCTCCTGCAGACCCTTTGGATGGTTTTTCTCTCTTTTTTTTCTCTCCCTCCGTGACTGCCGCGTGGTTTGCACGAGAGTCCATGTTGATTTGCGGTCGTCTTTTGTGCCGTGTGTATATTTTGGCTCGGCGTTTCTGCGCATGGGGGGCTGCCTCTCGCTGCTTTGGTCCCTCTTGCTGCATTTTTTTGTGTCGTTCCCTCCTCTCTCTGTCTTTTTCAGGGAGTTCGTGACGCCTGCGATTCTTCTCCGCTAGGACGCGGAGCTTCTTCACGGCTTCATTTGGGAGTCTCCCCCAGAGAGACAACGGCCCCTGGCAGCCGACAATTCTACAGAGCGGGTAGCAGCCTTACCCCCGGCTCGCGGCTCTCTGGCCCTTCCTTCTTCGCTGGTGCTTCTTACGGGCAGCTTTTCGCGCGAGGCAGCAGCAGCAGGGGATGGCGACAACGGCGTGACACTTCACACCGCGGAGTGTCTGCTTTGGCCTCCGGAGATTTCCTCGAGTCTCACCACGCCTTCTCCATTGCTGCGCGGGAAGGCCTTCTTTCTCTGCGGCAGCGGCACGACTCTATGGCGCAGGACCTCCTAGAGCATGCGATCCTGCGACAGCTCGCAGATCTCCTGCCGCTGTACGTCCTGCATGCCTCTCCCGCTGTGGAGATGCACCCGACGCTGCGCTTCTACGAGGCAACGCTCGCCCGTCTTAAGCCGAAAACCATCGCGGGAGTCCTAGGGCAGCGCTTGAGACGCCACGCAGGATCGGCTTCCATGTCGTTCGTCTCTGCGCTCCCTGCCGCGGGTTCTGCTACGGAGCCTGTAGCTGTTCAAGATGCGGGAGACGCTGCTGCTGCCGGTGTGGCAGAGTCGCCTCTCGGAGAAGACGCCTCCAAGGACATGTCAGATGCCGATACCAGTGTGAAAGACACGAGCGCCTTCCAGCAGAGGGAGCTGGAGGGCAGCCCGTCGGCGGCAGAAGCAGAGGCAGCAGCAGACATGCGGAAAGCTTCCCTCCAGGGTACCCTGGCTGCAGCAATGCCTGCGTCCCATAGAATGCCTATGAGCGCTACAAAAAACAAAGGCGAAAGCGAGCAGGAGGAATCACAGGCGAGAGAAACGCGAGACATGGACTTGCTGTCTTCCCAGCACGCGTGCAACGCATCTCCTGTGCAGAGCTCTGTAGGCTCCGCATCAGCAGCAAGAGCAGCAGAAACGGGAGCAGGAGGAGCTGTCGATACACCAGAAAAAGACGGCGTGGGGCAAGCCCATTCGCAGCGACGGGCATCCGGTGTCGAGATGGGAATGCTGGCCTCGAAATCTTCAGAAGCTTTTGATCAGCAGCAGCAGCAGCAGCAGGAGCAGGAGCATGGGCACCAACAACAACGGCACCAACAACAGCAACAGCAGCAACAGCAGGAGGGGGAGGAGCGTAGGCAGCAGCAGCCACAGCAGCAGCAGGAGCTTAGGCTTCCTGGCTCAGAAGACGAGGCAGCCTCGCTGCATTTGCCAAGCCCCTCGCGGCGTCTCCGTTCGCGTGCTGTGTCGCTCATGCAGACATGCAGCGCGAGAGGGTGCATCCCCTCTCTCTCGGTGGCTCTGGGAGAGACTATAGAAATTCAGGTGTATGTACACTCGGCCTTGTTGCTGCCGCTGCACCTCGATGCCGTAGCTCTGCGGCTTGCGGCTGTCCCCTCTGGAGCGCCGCAGGGGCTGCCGCTGGCCTCCCTTGCGGCAGCAGCAGCGACGACTTCCTGCGAGTTCTCCTCGGGATGGCTGGTTGTTAACAGTGCCACATTGCAGCAGCAGCAGCAGCTAGTGATTCGGCCAGGAGTTAGCGTCTTGCGTTTGCTGTGGTGTTGCTGCAAGCCGGGAGTCTATCTCGTGGAGCAGATATGCTTTCGCGTCAAGGATGTAGTTCTTACGCAGTGGGCAGGCGATCTGCCGCCTCCAGCCCTCCTCCCCAACGTTACAGCGGCGATGGAAGCGGCCCTCGTTGGTTGTGCTCCTCTAGTAGCTCTCGCTGCTACCCGTTCGCATGCAACCTCGGAAGCGGGTGCTGCGGATGCACACGCGTCTGCAGACGCAGCCTCCTGTGGGGTGGCTAGCAGCAGCAGTAGTGGCAGCAGCAGCACCACCACTACCACGGCACCCATCCAACAATCAGCGTGCGAAGCTGCACAAGGGTCGCTTAACCCGTATTACTTGAGAGAAGATGCGGGAGATGAGCTCTCCGCGGCGGCCTTTGCCGAACGACTCTATGGAGATCCCCGAATGTTTGCTATCTCCTCGTGTTCGCCTGCAGGAGCCACGCTGCTGCACCCATGCGCTGCCCTCGAGCGACTGCTGCACCCTCTCATGCTTGAGTACAGACACCCCAGCTCCTGTATTGCTGTGCAGGTAGACTCCCTGCTGCCTCAGCAGCATCACCAGCTGCTGCAGTGCCTTCAACAGGGGCAACTTCCGCCGCGCGAAATGCTCCAAGGCGGTGCTAATGTGCTGCTGGAAGGCGTGGAGTCTTCGCTACTTGTGACCATTACGGTTCCCCCCGGATTTCTCAAAGAGGGAGGCGCTCGCCTCCGCGTGCTGCAGGCACTCAGCGTGGCGACCCCCAGCAGCTGCACCAGCAGCGTGATGGGGGAAGATCTCGAGGACGCCTCCGTCAACTCCAGAAAAAGCCCCCCCTCAGACTTTTTCGAAGAAGAAACGCGCTGGGAGGGGCCCTACAAAGGGGCCTCCAGGGGCCGTGTCGCCTTCGACTGCATGCGCCACCACAGCAGAAGAGAGAGCGAAGCTTCCGCCTTCACAGGTGTCTCCCCCGTATCCAGTACTGCCCGCCGGCAGACTTTCGAGGAGATGGCAGACTCTGCTGCAAGGCTCAACCGACAGATCCCCGCTACTCAGGCCACAACGTGTAACACTTTCGAGGCAGCACCCTCCTTGTCGAGGCTGCTGCCGCAGCTCCTCATCGGTTGGAAGGAGGCGCTGTGTGTTTCCGTCGATGGCGAGCCAGCCTGCTTCCCCCTCTTGCAGCGCGAACTCTCAGACACCAGCAACGCCGGAGGAGCAGGCAGCAGCAGCACTGCGGCAGCAGAAAACAGTTCTTCTCCAAAGAGCCTCAAGTTTGGCGAATTATTCGAGCAGGAAGTCATGGTCGACTCGGAGGGTGCAGAAGTGGTGGTAGCCGTCCCCCACGACAGCACCTGCAGCGTCGAGGAGGCCGGCTGGATTCCGCTGCCTCTATTTAGCGGGTGTGTGCAGCTGCTCTTGCCCGTTTCTGCGATTTGCAGTGGTGCTGCGGGAGAGGGGCTCAGAGTTGCGCAGCAGTTCCTCCCAGACAGCTCGAGAAGCGACGTCCACCGAACGTGGAGGGGCGAAACATCCTGCACCTCAGCGAACAGTACAGCAGAGCGCTCCCTGGTAAGCTGCCACCCCTCCTTTCCTTCAGGCAGATCGTGCAGCACGTCTCCCGGCAGCCTCGACTGCTGAATAGCCCCTGCAGCACCACTGGCACGCAGGTAGGTAGCAGAGCAGGAGGCGTCTCATCCGTGGTCTATGGTTTTCCCCTCCGAGGTGCTGTGCCTGCCCCTGCGGATGCCTTCCTGCACCCTTCAGGACGCCCACAAAGTGCACTGGCCTTCGAAGGAGGCCTCTTACGCGAGTGAGGCTTTCAGAGCGCCTCACAGCGACTCGATCCCCTCAACAGGAGCTAGCAGATGCAGCAACAGCAGCCTCTCGGAGTCGATTAGCCGCAGGAGAACGGCGAAACGCTTTGACAGCGTTGGACCGGGGCATGGCGTCGCTGTGGTAGCCTCTGCCCTCGCCTTCACGTGTACTCCTCGGCCTCTAACATCCGCGAACGTCTCTTCCCCCGTCGCAGCGTCTGCTGGAGCTGCTGCCTCGCACGAGAGGTTTTTCGACGTGGGAGTCTTTCCCGCCTCGGTGGAGCTCGACGCCTCGCCCTTCTCGCGAGGCGACACCACAGAGGAGGCCTCACCTGCAGCTCCTCAGAGAGCAAACGGCCTTAGTAGCGTTGGCAATCCGGTGATGCATGTGCTACGGCTTCACAGCGTAGAAGTGCGCGCTGCCCTCACGCATGCACTTTCTTTCGCTCGCCTTTCAGACGGCCTGCGGATCGTGCAGGTGTTCCTCAAAGCAGCCTCTACTGCGGACAAACTCCTCCTGCGCTCTGCCGAGATCATCCCCAAACTGCAGAGACAGCATCAGCAGCCCCTTCCACTCAGCCTGTCCAGTGCTGCAAGCACCCTGCATAGCGCAGTACAAGAAGAGGAGCACTCCAACACGCCGAACGAGGGGCCTGTTGTCTCCCTAGTCGCTCCTCCACATCCATCTTGCAGAGACACTCACTCCCAGATAGCTGGTAAGCCCCTGGTGCTGCTGCTGCGGCTTTCCTTTCGCTCAGCCTGGCTCTTTTGGATGTATCCGTCACAGCCCAGTGGCCGCTGTTGCTTTTTCACGGGCTTTTTTTCTCCGTCTTGCTGCTCTTCCTCCTGATGCTCCCCCTCCTGATGCTCCCCCTCCTGATGCTCCTACTCCTCGTGCTCCTTCTACTCCTGCTCCTTCTCCTCCTGCTCCTTCTCCTCCTGCTTCTCCTCCTCCTGCTCCTTCTACTCCTGCTCCTCTCCAGGGGCGCAAAGAGGGCCACACCTTCTTGCCCTTCCCTCTTGCGCCACGTCTGCAGCACCATCTCTCGGAGCAGTGCTTTGCCCAATATGTACTGCACTTGGTGCTTGTAAATCCGGTCCGCGTTCGGTGCTCGTGTGCATGTCTCAAGATGCTGCCTGTAGCTTTTGATGCGCCTTGAAAGGTCAACATGGCTATCTCCCACACTTGCCCCTTTTCCCGTATGCTTATAAGCCTACCTACTTGCCTACCTACCTACCTGCCTGCCTGCCGTCTTCTTTTGCGCAGTGTTTCTTCGTGATTTCTTTCTGCTTCACCCTTACACAGAGCCTTGCCCACGCCGTTCCTGCTTTGCCGTCTGCTCCCCGCGTCTCCCTTCCCTTCCCAGTTGCTCAGTGCCTTCCTTGCCACCTCGGACCGCTTCTCTGCGATTTCACGACTTGCGCCTGCCCTCCTGCAGATGCTGTCATCCTCGGCACGACTCTGTTTGCCGGAACCGTGCAAACGCTCCTGGTGAAGGCTCAGTACAGCCTGCCCGCGTCTACGTCCTCCAGCTGCTGTTGCAGCCCCTCTTCTGTCCACTATGACTTAGTGGTGCGTTATGAGATCGATGATGGAGGTCTCGAGGATGCGTCTGCAGAGGCTGCGCTCGATGGGTTGTTTATCTCTGATCGTCGCATTGAGAAATTGAGCAGCACCTCAACGAGCATCAAAAACAGCCGCAAGAGAACCCCACTTACCTATGTCATCCCGATCGAGCTGCCTGCCAGGGTGTCACCCCTGATGGTGAACGTAGAGGCTCCACGCACAGGGCGTGTAGGGGCCTCTCTCCTTGTGCAGTTGCACATCACCAACACTGCAGAGGTACGGATTAGGCGATCCGGATAGCTTCTTTCTTTCTTCTTTTTGCCTGGATAGGCCTACCTGCCTGTCTAACTGCCTAACTAGCTCTCCGTCTAACTGCCTAACTAGCTCTCCGTCTAACTGCCTAACTACCTGCCTGTCTAACTGCCTGCCTGCCTGTTTAACTGCCTAACTACCTGCCTGTCTAACTGCCTGCCTGCCTTCCTACTTTGCGCCATTCTCGCGTTGCTTGCTTCATGCGCCGTCTGCGAACGCAGCGTGCAATATATACATATATGTAATATATATATGTAAGTGTGTCGTTTGTGCTGCCGCAGGAAGCTGTGGAGGTCTGCCATTGGGTCTGTTTGGAATTCGACAGACAAGAGCCGCCGGAGGCACCAGGGGGTGGAAGTCGGGGAGTCCTTGAGCAGCAGCGAAGACACCAGAGGTCTTCAGGGGGCGCTCAGACGCATTCCAAGTCGCCACGGATTGGCGAGTGCCACGACTGGCTCATGGTGAGGATTTTTCTTGCGGCTGGCCTTTGATCCTGCTTCACCTTATGCCACATTGTTTGAGCCTCTACCGGCGGAAGCCGTGTCTGCTGGCTCGCTTATGTGCCTGCAGGCGGGATCCAAGTGCAAGGCTAGGGTCATAGAAGGCGGTAAAAGTGCAACCGTAGCTTTCTCTGCAATTCCATTGCGTGCTGGCTCGCTCCGGCTGCCGGCAGTCCGGTTGCTTTGTCGGAAAGTAACGAAATTTCCCATCGAGGGGCGTCTTCACCTGGCGGGCTTTAGGGCCGCAAGGGGGGCCCCCTCGTTCGTGAGCTTGTGGGGGGGCGTTCTAGATCGCAAGGAGGCAGAGCAGCCATCTGGCGACGACACCTGGATCGCTGCAGAGGCGAGCAGCAGCGAACCACCGCCTTGGGCCCCTGTGTTCGAAGGGAAGTCTCTCACTGCGGGGAGGGAAGTCCTCGTTCTTCCGAAACTCGTATCGACCCCCGACGTGAGGCTGCTGCAAGACTAGAGCAGGCCGTTCAAAAACGGCTGGCTGCTCCAGCGCGTTGTTGCAGCCAGCTCTAACAACCACTGCTAAGGTGGACGCCAGCTGTCAGCTGACCGTCTTCCCCTCATTCTTCCCATTGCATGCACGGCCTCCGTGTCCTGTGGGTGAGTTGAAGCGGAAGTCTGACCAGTTTTCCCGGGGGGGCGAAGCGGCTCCGGAGCGTGCTGCCAGCCAGCACGATACCTAGTTGTGCGTAGTTAGCTTTAGTTATGCGCAAATACGTAACAGTTGAAAAGCGTGCTCTCAAAAGGCCCTCTTGGCATACACATAGCCCAGCACCGCGCGCCTTACAAGCGGATCGGCACCAACTATTCTCTTTCTAGAGATGCCCTCGAGCCTCGACTGGGGCACACCCCCTTACAGCAGCTTGCCTGCTATAATGAGTTTCAAGTTTATTAGCAGCTTGCATGCACAGCTGTGGAAAGCCTGCGCTTCGTTATGCCTCAACAGCCCACGAGCGTTGCTTAAGCCCTGTTTCCGCCTCCCTACACTTCTGAGCCGTCGAGTCCTGCACTGCTCGAAGGCAGCACACTGGAGACGCGGGCTAAAAGCACCACTGAACTCCCAGACGCCTCCAAAGGGCCATCAGTACGGGGGAGCAGAAAAAAGTAGAAAGAACGCCACGGGGAACCGAACGCAAAGCACCAGGTGAAAAGGAGACGGAAGAGGTAAACATCAGGTCAGCTGAGTGACCTTAATGTTTATCTTGTCCCCCAAGAATCCGTACTCCATGCGCTTCGCCTCCAAACTGTACAGACACAACAAGCGCAGACGCACACCAGAGCACGGGGGCCCAATACTGACGCAACGCGTGTGCTCCACCCAATACGTAGTCTAACAGGAAGCAGAGCCAAGACTCAAGCTGCATTTTAAGCAGGGTGCACAAGCAGAGAATCGCCACGCTATAGCCGGCGGTCCGAAAAATGAGCGACATGAACCGGCAGGCAGGCAGGCATGCGCGGGGAGCGGGAAGTGGCAGCACACACCCTTCCACCTGCTTCAAACTTGTCAGCTGAAACTTCCTGCACAAGGAACACTCACACAAACTCGCCAACAGCAAGCTATGATTTCGCAGCCCTTGGCTCCTCTAGCTGCCTCCAGGATGCGTCCTCCAACCGGTGTTACAAGCTTTTTCACTCCTCCGATGCCTTCGGCTAGACAAACGAAGTCCGCTCCAAGGGAGCATATTTCCCCAGACGCAACGGCCCAAAACTCCCTTTTCCCCGACACTCTGACCACTTTGCATGCATATACTCGCTGCCTGCTACACCGGCAACTACGTGGGCAACGCGCTACCGCCGCATCCCCCTTAAAATAGGGGAGGCCTCGTGTGGTGCGCGTGCAGCACTTCCTTCAGAGATTTCGCATGCTCACTATACGCATGGCTCTAAGGGACATGGCCTCGCGCTGCCGTCGTGGCACTTGATTCCTTAAGAAGAACTTACCCAACCTTCTGCATCAACTGCGCAAAGTGAGGGCCGCACGTGAGGATGTGCTCCACTAGATCTTCCAGACACAGGATGCCCATGGACCCAAAGGCGTCTTCAATCATCACATTATTCGACAGAGGCACGGGGGGGCCCCCCTCGTCGCTCTGCATGCGAGCCCTGAACAGGTTCCAACACACACGTACATACATACATAGTTACATATACATACACACATACATACATATATACACACATACATATATACACACATACATACATACATATATACACACATATACATACATAGTTACATATACATACACACATACATACATACAAACCGACACATATACATACAGACATACATATATACGTGTATACACAACGGGATGCATTCAATAACGCGTTTGCCGCTATTTCTATTCTTTGACTTTGAGTCGTGGTCAATACTTTTTCTCTGTCCCTTCTAATTCTTCCTTTTCAAGCCCCACACTGCGCGCCTGCCCCGGCGTGTGCCTGTCTAGGACGAGCAGCAACAGCACCCGCAAGCAGCAACGGCACTTGCCTTGTCAGAAAGAGCCTGCGAACGGTGTCTGCGGAGGGCAGGCCATAAAATATGAAGGGGGAGATCTTTCTGAGGGTTGTGGTCGCCGTCTCGTCGTTAGGAATCAGTGTACAACTGTATGGCTTGGAGAGGCCCAGGGCCTGCACGCCAGTACCACCCCTCACGCGAACAACCGGGTGGCATTCAGTGCCCCTCCCTGATGAAACTTGAGTACAAAGTCGCTCCGAAGCCTCTTACGTGGAGGTTCCTGCATACCCCTCTACAAGCTTCATCTGTAACCAGTATGCCTAGTTCAAAACAACTTTTCAAGAAATGCTCGCCTCCCTCAGCCCCCCTCAACTTCCCTCCCCCCCTTGCTGACAGGCCGTGTGGGGATCCGATGCTCTGCGGCAGAACTCCTTCGCCCATCCGCGGAGCGATCGAGCGTAGACTACTCAAAGACCCCATGTTTACGCCTGGGTGAAGGGCCCTTCAGAGACTCGTGTTTCTGCCCAGCAGATTCGCCTTCATAGCGCTCTGCAATACCTGAAAGCCCCTTTCAACTGCTCGTTGCATGGCCGCTTTGTGCTAAGGTCCTTGGCAGTTCGAAGCCTACCTCGAGAGCCTTGCGCGTCTCCCTGCAGCCGCCCTTGCGGTGATTGCGTACAACGCAGTACACTCGACAGTCTGGCTGTCGCTGCTGCTTAGCCTTCCGATTTCTCTGGACCCGCACTCTACACAGTCCCCGCCAGCAACACACACACCGGCAGCAGCCCCTCAAATGCAGCATACGCAGCGGTAATACGGCACACTGAACGACGCCTCCGGCACGTCGAACAGCTCAGTAGCGTGTGGCGTCAGCCTTCCCCAATCCTGCTCCCCAGAGAAGCAGCCACGTGAAGGCCTGCTGGTCTGTCATCACGAGTGCAAAAGCAATGGGGTGTAAGAAAGGCTCTACGTGTTGTGCAGCTGCTAGACTGCTGCTCACCGTTTGCTGTCTTGCATGGCAAGGAGCGCCTTCTTGACAAAGTGCTGAGCGGACTTCACCTTGTTCGTGTGCAGTGAGGCCTTCTTTGCCTGCAGACAGAGTCCAAAAGAGGCAGGTGGATCCCCCAGGAGGGTGTGTAGTTGTTACTGTTGTTCTGCTAATTGTGGTTGCTGCCACCGCTGCCTCTTTCAACAATAAACCCTGGAAACTCACTGAACGATCACGCCTAAATAACAGCTGTCTCCCCCCTCTTGCCCCCCCCCTCCCCCTTTACAGCCCGCCCCCCTTGCACGTCTCTACCCGTTTGAATTGCGATAGAGCCTTGGCCCTTTTTGCCTTTTCCTTCAAGTCCTGCTGCCTCTTCTTCAATATCGTCTCTGCCACCTTGAGAGACTCGCCAGCTACTCGCGGCCTCAAGGCCCCCCTGGCCCCCCCAGCTTCTTGCAGGTGCTCCGTGCCCTTAACCATCCTCGCGTCAAGATTACAGAAGCGATTCGCCGAGGCAGCGTGCAGGCAGGCAGCAAGGCGGCGTATACAGGAGGCTGGAACGGTATTCTTTCAAGCCACGGTGGCCGCTCACCTGTGGCACTAGCGACAGCGGAAAAAAGGCAGAATACGGCCCCTTGAGAGCAGAGCGAGTCTTGCTGTTGCTCCACTTTGTGCGTTAAAAGTTGCAGATCAGGTCTTTGGAAGAAGCGGAAAGAAAAGAAGCGCGTCCCCAAAAATTGTTCCTTCGTCGATGCCAGAACAGCATCACAGTTGGCAGGGGACGCGGAAAAAGGCCTCTCCTCCACCGCCTAGCTCCACAAGCACCAGGGCGCCGCAGCAGGAGTAAAAAGTACAATTTTACACAGTAAGGACCCCACAGCAGTGCGAATCCTTGAGAAGGCACTCAACCCCACAGCCCGCTGGGCAGTTCGCGGGGTAGCCACACGTGCGAGGACAAAAGGTAACAAGCTCTCTAGCTAGCTCCCAAAGTCTCTACAGACAACAAGGCCCCATCTAGGCTCGATGAAGGCTATTACAGGCAGCTGAGGCCACAGGAGCTGCTGCCTGCGTCTTTGTTGTTCTACAGAGGAGGAGTAGCCAAGGCCGCATGCGAGGGGCCTCCTTCCTCAGGAGAACAGGGGCCCTGTCACGTCGATTCGAAGAGGGAAAGGACTGTACAGTGCCTTGTTGGTTGACTGCTCTCAATTTTCAACGCGCGCATTTTTTTCCCATATTGCAGCGCTCCTTCTTTCCCACGGCGGCTTTGTTAGGGTCACCTTCGAGGCAATGGCAGGAGGCCCCGAGCAGGCTAAGGCCGGAGACGCTGGAGCTTCGGCGCCTTCTGATCTCACGGTGGGATATATAAGGGAGGGCCTTGTTAAGGTGGAAGCTCCCCAGGAAGATGCCATCTTCTTTAACCCGGCTCAGGTGTTTAACAGGGACCTCTCTGTGCTGGCGTTGAAGGCCTTCGCCGAGAAGCAGAAGGAGCTCCTCCAGCAACGTTGTACGGTATACCCCACGAGTAGATAGCGCCATGCATATATATATGCACATGGCCTACCGCCGATGCTGCAGCTAGCCAGAGTCTTGAAAAAGTACCGTATTGCCGCGGTGCACAAAAAAGTTGCAAACGCGTCATCTAGCTGCCCGCGAACAGCGACACCGCAAGCAGCTTGACAAGCCTATCAAGACGGCCAGACACACCCCCTTTGCTTTTGTTGCGAGAGCATCTGCTGCTGCGCTGTTGCTCTGCATGCATTCCAAGGGAACGCCTTCTGCTTGCCCTCCTGTCTTCCTTGTGTGCTGCAGCGGCGGCTACGATGGCGCGTTGCAAGGCCGAGGGCCGCATGCTGCCGCAGGCTCTTGAGTTTGGGGGCTTTAACATTGTCGAGCCTCTTGCTGCAACCGGTAGGGTGCCCCCGTAAAACGCAGTTCGGAGAGGCACTTGTATGCGTGTATGCCCCTACTTTCTATTTAAGTCCGAATGCCACCCCTTCCTTCCCCGGAGCCAGTGGCTGTGCACCTTGCTGCAGAGGCTTACCGAGCTCCCCGCAGCAAAGGCAGTTTTTCGACAGACAACAGCAGCAAGTTTTGCCACGTCCTTCATCAAAATTGTGCGCACACTTTGATAAAGGGATAGCCACGAAGAGGCCTACAGCTCTTTCTGTTGCCTCTGGTGTCCGTATGAGCTCAGGCTTAAGGAGCTTGCGCTACCTCAAAGAGTTGGGGCCAATCGTGCGCTGCGCTGTGGTTAACGACTTGGATCGCCAAGCCGCCGCTGCTGCCGAGAAAAATGCTCGGATCAACGAAATCCCGGAAAATCGCTTCATGGGTAAGCCTCAGCAAGGCGTGCTTCTTTTTTTCATGCTTTCTTTAAGCCTATAATTGCACTTTAAGTCTTGGCGTCAACGGTTATTCAGTTTGTACAGGGCTCACGAGCTTGCGACGGGGGTGAAGGGGTCCAAAGAGGAAACGGGGTGGTTTGAAGGGCAGCCTGGCGTTTGTTAGACAGAAAGGCCCACACCTAGAAATGCAATTTCTATCGCAGAAAAAACGATGGGCTCAAAGAAAGCCTACTTGAAGAGGCGCACTACTCGGATGTATTGAGCGAAGTGCGCCAATCGCATGAGTCCTCCTCGATTGAGGCGTCTCGTTATACCTCTCCAAAAACACTTCATCTGTTTGTTATGGTGTAAATACATTCGTGCGTATATGGTGGGAGCTGCTTGAATTTGTAGGATGTCTTGAGGTGTTTAATGCTCCAAGGGCGCCTAGAGAAGCGTTTTTTTCTCGGGGCACTCCGCGTGAGCTCTACTGCGAGTTTCGTTCTTCGCCTCTCCTGTCTGTTCCGCCAATGCAGCAACCTGCGCGGAGGGAAGCAGGCTCTTGCGCCTGCTGAGCCACCCGCCTCTCAGCATGGGAACTCTGAAGAAAATCAACAGCCTCCCTGCGGGGGCTGTTGTTCCCGCCTCCTTTGATATGACCTGTCCCCCTGAGGACCTCCCCCTCCTGCCTCCTCTCTTCAAGCCCACCGTTGCGGCTGCTGCAAAAAGCGATGCTGCTGGTGTAGCTATGGCAGAAACGGCAACCGAATTGCAAGGCGGCGTTCCGCTGTGGTATGATGTGATCGACGTCGATCCGTATGGCAGTTGCTCCCCCTTTCTGGATGCCGCTGTGGGGGCGGTGCGCAGCGGCGGCCTCTTGTGTGTGACAAGCACTGATATGTGCACTTTGGTGGGCAACTCGCTGGAAACCGCTTTCTACAAATACGGAGGAGCCGCGGCGAAGATGAGCGCTCACCATGAAGTTGCTCTCCGGTGCGTCACGATACATATGTATATATGCGTGTCTAGAGATAGCTATCATAGATATCCGTATTGCAGCATTCTTCGGTGTATAACGTGTCGTCTGTTTGCCACATTCTTCTACGCTGTCACGCACTGCTCGCTGGCAAACTCGTGCCTTGACCTTCCATGCATCGTTATCCTTTCCCACCCTGTCTATCTCCCGCGGCGCGTGGTGGGACTCGTGGTACTTGCACTCAAGGGGAACCGCATATGTGCAGCGCAGTACTGACTTCGGATGCACAGAGCAGCTATTTTTAAGCTCAGAAGCACTGACACCGTCAAAAGAGCTCATGCCGCTGTGTGTCTGCTGTTTGCCTTCTGTGTGCCTGTATTTGCTGTAGTCTAGTGCTGCAAGCCGTGGCTCAAGCAGCTGCAAAGCATAGAAGGGCCATACAACCGCTTCTCTGCCTTAGTGTAGACTTCTACGTTCGTCTCTTCGTGCGTGTCGTAGAGTCTCCAGAGCAGTGCAAGCAGCTTCACCAAAAGGAGTCCATGGTCAGCTCCAGCAGTGCGCTGCTTCCCATTGTAGCCGTTTTTGCGGCCTGTCTTGCTGCCCGCACTGCACCATATTTCCCACAGCGTTCGTGGACCCCCTATTGCGCGAGGCATGCACTTTCACGGGGAGCTAATAGCTCACAGCCACGAAGCGAGCAGTGCTATCGTAGTATGGCTGACTCTTTTGAGCAATTACACTAGAAAAGCTCTCATTGCTCGACTCAGGTCTTTCATTGCCCCTCGTGCGAGGCCTTTACCGTCGCACCACTGGGAACCCGAATGCTGAAGCCGGCGCGGGGGAAGAGGGCGGGGGTGTCGCGCAGTGGAGAGGTAGCACAGCCACCGAATCACCACCACCTCCCACAGACTGCAGCCGCAGGCGCGTCTGAAGAAGAGAACAAAGCTATTCACGCTGAAGAACAAGGAGGCTGCAGCCCCAACAATACCTGCAACAACTTCAATGACTCGGCTGAAGGATGTACACCAGAAAGCGGGAGGTTCAAGTACCGAGCGGCCTGGGTGGTGGAAGGTGTGAGTCCCCACTGCGCAGAGTGCGGTGGTAGGATTCTTATGGGAGGACCGATTTATTCTGGCCGCTACTATGACCCGGTGAGTGGTTTTCACTGCATGATGGTATGTCCCATTGGTGTCTGTGTGTTCTCTAGGAAACATGCCATCCTAAAAGGAAAGCCTATCAGTATGCCCTGTGTAAAGCTGCAACTGGAGCAAGCATACGAGAAAATACGAAACCGCTGTCGATGGCTCCTGTAGACCCTATTTACAATGATTTTGCTGTGTGTCTATTGTATATCTGTACTGCCCCACCAAGTGCATTGCTGGGCCTCCCCATGTCGTCATTTGCTCTGCTCAGGAATTCGTTGACTTGTGCCTCAAGGAATTAGGCAACGCCAAGGACACCCTTCCAGGTCTCACAATGCAGGCCCGCATTCTTGGGATGTTGACCGCGTTAAAAGAAGTGCGTGCATTCCCCGCTAATTTTCAGAGTACCCATAGAACACTTCGTAGGTGTGGCCACCGCATGCGTTCACTAGACTCAAGGTTGTGCAAAAATCCCAAAAGAACCAAGATGCATGTGTTTCGCTGCATCTTTTCACTCCAGGAGCTCCCGGATGTGCCACTCCACTACCAGCTACCTTCCCTCTGCACACGAAACAAGCTCACAATGATAAAACCCTGTGCATTCAAGTAAGTGTGTTCGTGTGTTGCGGTGCTACGGGGAGCTTTGTCTAGGCGCTGATGCTGCTCAGCGTCTAGGTGGCGTATGTGTGTAGCTGGCTAAGCCTCGGTACGAGAAGGCACCATGCTGTATGTGCGTTTTGCCTAAATGCTGTATGCAACAACCATTGCATGCTCGAACCGCACACGGGACGCACCAAGTCGCTTCCTAGCACTCCCTTTCCTCTCATGTGGGGAGCTCTGAGCCGGGCAAGCAGGGAAAAGAGGGGGCTCGTGGGGGAAGCAATCAATGGCTTTCTATCAATTTGTGTTAAGTCTATGATTAAAGGTCATTTTTAGGAGACCTGCGATGGAGTGTTACAGTGCGGCTGCTCTAGTGCCGCTCTCTCTGTTTTATATCTACATTCCTCGAGGGGGATAGCATACAAACCCCTGCAGCAAGGCACATGTGTCGTATATATCTGTGTTGTCTCTACCCGCAGGGCTGCTTTGCGCCGGCTGGGTTTTAAGGCCTCGCACTTTCATAGGGACCCGCAAGCGATCAAAACGGACGCTCCTGCAGGCGTTGTCTTTGATTTGCTACGGTTTCATGCTCTACAGCACCCACCCGCAGACAAAGAAAGCCACCCAGTGCTCATGAAATCCATTCGGTTAGTTCTTTAAAATGATGCCACATCACCTAGCCGCCGTGAATGTTTTTATCGTTGTCACAAGAACCCATAGGGTTTGCGTGTGGGTACTGCGCTCTTACCTCCAATCAATAGAGTGATATGGTTGTTTTTAGGACTAATGGTATCGACCTGTCCCCACCAACTGCTGAGGAGAACGGGGTAACCGCTAAGCAGCAGGTAGCACGGTGGCTACCCAACCCTGAGCCTTACTGGGGCCCTAAAGGCCGCGCTGGAAAAAAACGGTGGGCTTTTTTCGTCATCACGCAACACGATCACCATCATATTAAACACATACACTGGAATTGTCAGAGAAGGCCATGAGGATTATCGTTGAATCGCTGCTACCGTTGTTGCGCTGCAGGGCAGGCAATGATGCGGACATGGTTCCACGAAAGAGGCAAAATAATGACGCTTCATTGGCCAGCGCCGTATCTGTTGAGGGCTCGGGGACTCAAGAGAACTGTTTAAAAGGGAATCCTCTTTTGTAGGGGGGCAGTGCTTTCAGCTATAGCACTACGCAGGATTCTCACCCTGCTGCTGTCCCCCTAGCATCCCCCCGCCTGTAGCTAAGGCGTTTTAGGGGGATGCAGGTCGAAATTAATTACTCTTTTGATTTTTACATTGAGCGATTAAAGCTGTCAAGTTTGATCTGTTGCGGTCTCAAGACCTCTACAGCGTAGACCTACTCTTACAGGCACCCGGTCATAGTTACGACTCTGTAGGCCGGATAAATGGACCGCTACTTCTTGATACCAACTGTAGGTAAGTGTACTGTCTGCGTTTCTTGAGATGTTTGTGTGTTTGTCTGTGTGTGTGTAAGGCCGTGACTTAGGAGCCCCAGTCTGTGTGTGTACAGTGTTGCTGGTAGTGTCAGAGCGAACACCCGCGCCACTGCACCAATGCAAAACAACCCAAGCAAGAGAATTGCAAAAACTAACGAATTTAAGCACCTGTATTCCAAAACGAAGACTGTGCAAGTGCATTTCGGGGTTGACAAGCTCGCAGGCCGATGAGGCTGTGCGTCCAAACTTTGCTGCTCAACCTCTCGAGCAGGCAAACGGTGGGGCCTCCACAGAAACGTTTGAGGAGAAACTAGCAGAGTATCCAATTACACAGTATCGAAATGTGCTTTTTTTATTATTTTATATCTTCTGGCATCTCTTCAGCGTTACGAGAAATGGCAGTGGGAAAGGGCCACTGGACCCCTCTCCATCCTGCAGCCCAGCAGAACCACTCCCACTCGTCCATACTCGCCTCTAATACGCGAAAACAATTACTAGAATTAGCTCGCTCACATTAACAGATTTAATCTTGGTTATTCTGCATTTTCCTTCCTCGCCAATTCACGCCATGGCGCGCAGTGACCCTCTGGCGCCGACCGACGGTCGCCCCAACACTCCAACCGCTGTTCCTGCTGCGCAGCCGGAGGGCTCATCGAGCAAACCTTCGTCTTCTGGGGGAGAATCGGAATCGCGACACTCTGCTGAGGCTCCCGTGAGTGCTCGTGAATCGACGCACGAGGGCCGCACGCCGTCTACGGACGCTTCAGCTGAGGAAACGTCCATGCCGGCTCTCCGCTGTATGGTTTCTCCCGCACAGGCCACTTGCTCGTCTGACCATCCGCATGTCGCTTCCTTCGAAGTGTCGCCTCTCACCTCCCCCCCCACGGACGCCCCTCCCTCTTCGGAACGCTCTTCTTGCCCCTCTCCTCCTCTCTCGGCTTCCATCGCCCGTTCCTCGATGATGCCGACATGCAGGGCTAACACACAACTGCCCACCGATCATATGCGCCTACGCCGCGAAGCGCGCGAAGCGCCAGCGCAGCACATTCTTTCTGTAGACGTTTCAGACAGGCGACTGCACTCCTCAGAAGGCATTCCTCTCCCCACTGGCCCTCTCCAATCCCAGAACCCCCACTATGGCTCTACCCCTGGAGACCTAGGTGGACAGTCTCCTGCAGAAGGGCAGACCTCTGCGTCCTGTCGCCCCCTCTCGGAGGTTGTCTTTGCGCTCGACAACCTCCGTGTGAGCCTTCCGCGGGAGTTGCTGAGTTCAGAACGTCTGAAGCATTCGTTCCTTGCCCGCCTGGTAGAGGCGAATGAGCGCGAGACTCCCCAAGCGGGGCAGCGCTCCCTCGAGCCTCGTCGTACAGACAGTGGCGCCATCGTGTTGGAGCCGCGGGTGGCAGAGGGGTTCGCTGCCCTCGTGAGTCACCTCAGGGGCGACAGGCCCCTTCATCTCAATGGACCAGCCTTCGTGCTGCAGTCTCTCCTGCAGCTACTAGCCGACAGCGCTTACTGGTGCATATCCCCTGGCCCTATCTACTTGCCTCTTTTTTTTTGGTGCTCGGATGCTTGGGTAGATGAATTCACCGGAGTTTATCCCATTCACCCGTGTGAGCGGAAAGCATTGTGGCCTGTTCCCTGGAACGAGAAAAAGAGTTCCAGCCTCGTGAGGCTACGGCAGCTTCTGGCTCCTCCTGATTCCTTAAGGGCCTATTTAGAAGAAGATGACGAAGTCGACGTCACGCCACCAGGGGTCGCTATGAGTTCCCCACAGGCTCACACGACGGCCTCCGTAGCGCCCGTACAGCAGGCTTCCCTGGAGCATCCCCCAAGCTCCCAGGATGAATCCATGGAATCTTTCGGCTGGCAGCAGCATCTGCGATGGTGGCAAGAGGAGGGGTCCAGCGGCGAGCCCGCTTCTGAGCTCGATGCAACTTCTCTCGTGAGGGGTGCTCAGGCAGGGGCAGCGGCAGTAGCGGCTGCTGCTGCAGCCGCTGCTGCTGCAGCCGCTACTGCTGCCTCAAAGCGCTGGATAGCCGCAGCAGGAAAAGTAGCTGGCCTTTCTGCTTCTTTAAGGGCATCCCTAAGCCACGCAAGCGGCGCGACCCTGCAGCCGCCGACTGGCATGGATGCTACTCAAGAGGTTGCCGCCGCCTCCTGCCCAACGCAGGGGCAGCAACAGCGTAGCGGTTCCCGTAAAGCATCGCACAAAATGGTCGGGCAGCCACCGCAGAGGCAGCAGTCCCAGCCAGACACCCACCAGGGGCCGGAACAAACGGCAGTGCGCTCGTCTTCTGAGAAGTCTGGAAGCCCCTCACGTCGCGTATCTGTGGCTCTCCGGAGCACGACGGAGGCGCCTACTGACGCGCATGCATCTTCAGCCGGTGGTGTACATGGTGCCATGCCACAAAGGGAGCAAGAGGAGTCTGGCCGGTCTGCGCAAGGGCCTCCAGCTTCTCTGTGTGCCAGAGAGTACTTCAGCTGTCCGCCATTTCACCTGGCCCTAGATAGGCGGGAAGGGCGATTGCTTGTAGGTGTGGACGGATGCCGGTATCCGTTTGTGCAGTTTGGCACCGAGTTCAAGGATCTGGTTCTTAGCGCGCCTACCGCGTTTCGGGTAGATGAGTTGCAATGGCTGTTGATGCTCAATGCGTCTCGATACCTGGATATACACCTGAGCGGCGTGCCTTGGACGTCGGCACAGAAAGAACGATGGGTCAATTCTCTGAGGCACTATGAATCAGACAGCTCGGAGGCAGACGCGCCAGCGACACTAGATTCTCCGCTTGCCAGCTGCACCTCGAGTGCTGCTGCTCGCGTCCTGCTGCCCCCGAACTGGCCTCATAGGAGGGGCTCTCTCTCTCTTAGTGCAGACGCCGATGATAGGGGCCTCGCTCGTGAAGGGGGAGTGGCGGCTGCAGCTTCTATTGCTGCCGCATCTCCTTCTGTTGATAGCCCGTTTCGTGCTCCTTTGTTGGAGTCGATTCGGGCAGCTACTGGTGTGCACCCGGACGACATCGACACAGCAGCAGCAGCAGCAGCAGCGGCGATGGGGAGACGCCTCAAGAACCAGCGACACCTCCAGCAGCAGCAAGCCCGTGTGCCCCCTCATCGAATTCTCCGCTGCCGATTTTGCAGCTGCAGCAACTTTAGGGGAGTCCACATGGTGTGCGTTCACCCTTACGGCCACGTTATCGTCCCGTCCTGGCCCCTTACCACCATCATGCCTGGCGCATCTGCCTTCCAGTCTCCGATCGTGGCTGTTTCTTCGGGGCTCTTTACACGCGCGGTGAAGGAGGTACACTCGATGACACGCCATCTAGCTCTAATAGTCTAGCGTATGCGTTTGGAGTAAGGGGTTCTAGGGGTCTGAGCCTTGCGACGAGGGACGCCTTCGGCTGAATGGGCTGGTTGAAACCAAGCGAGGGATGCTCGTCCCTCTCACTCTAACACCCCGTTTGTGTTCTTGTTTCTACACTGCGCGCATATGCTGCTACTGCATGCACTTGTAGATGGGGGCTCTTGTGCTGCTGTACGCAAGGGTGCTCATCCAGTCGCGGCAAGGTGCAGCAGAGGTTGTGCTCCTATTCTTCGGGCATGCTGTTAATGCTGTCGTTACCCCTGCCACAGGTGCAGTTCTACCCATGGGGCTTGTTCGCTCTGTTTTCTGACGCTCCTGTATCGCGAGTGTTCACGCCTTCGGGCTCTCCCCATGGCTTTAGTTTGGTAATCGGCAAGGCAATGGTCTTTGGACAGACCCCGCGCGATATTGCGGAGAAGAGAGTTCAAGTGTACATACACGAGCCGCAGCAGCCTTATGTGCACCCCAGAAAACCCCCAGACCTCTTAGATATTCATCATGTCCTCAAGGTTTGTCCCTATATCTTGCCGTCCGAAATAGCCTCCTATAAACAACAGCATAACGTCACCTCTGATCAGGTCAGCAGACCCCGCGCACCCTTTCCCGTGTCACCTTTCAATTGACCTCATCCCACGTGTTATCATGCGATCCATTCGATATCCGAATTTTGGCTCGTTTTCCGTCCTCTACACGCGTCACTCTTGCCTGTCACTCCATATCTGTGCCCAGCCATGCGCCCCTCCTCGTCTGTGTGTCGAAGGCTCTAGCGCCGTAATGGCCATCTTTTTCGGCTTAATATGAACATCTTGAGGAGTTGTAGAGAACCCATGCATTTCAAAGAGAATCCAGAGGGCATCTCCATCTGTATCCGGTTTCCTCCTCCGGTACCTAGTGACTTTTGTGCTTCCGTAAAACTCTACGAACATTTTGCTCTGCGGTCCATTCATTTGTGGATGACTTGTTGCTCCGAGCAGATCCCCATGAGGGAGTACCATCGCATGCTTCGCCTCGCTGTCTCGGTTTGCGGAAAGCTCCTGGCCGTCATTTCTGAAGGTGACTTCACCCTGGGCATCAGCCGCAACTTCTGTAAGCAGCCTGGACCCCTTGTGCATACAGCAGATATCACCAGCCCCACAGAGGATATTGTATCCTCCGGCTTCCCAACCCCTAAAGATAACCTTTTCTCCTCTCAAATCATCGGATTTTTCGAGGTCAAGACCGGTGAGTCGAAGCAAGCAGCAACTGGCAAACCCTAAATTTAAGCCATAACTTTCACATGCAACGTGCAACCAAGGAGCCAAGGCAAGGGCTGAAGCTGATGCTTCAAACAGCCGCAAAGCAGCACAATAAAAGACTAGCTAACCAACTCAGCAGCACTTTCAGAGTATGCACGACACACTGGAAACAGTGAATCGGTATATATGTGCTGTCCTATCCCAGGCAAATACTTCAAATGCCCTGTTGGTCATGGCTACTGGATCCTCGGGGAATAACTGTCAGTGGAAGCCGCAGCACTACCAGTAGCATCACATACTGCTTGGCCATAATATTCGGATTCGTCTGTATTTGCAACGAAGCAACACAACACATGTAGTATAGAACATTTTCTCAAAGTCTTAACACATTATTTGAGGCCCTTCTCGTGCTGCCTTATGCTGCAAAAGGATGCAAGCATTGTCGTAGAAGATCTCCTTGCAGGGCGTCGAGCCCCAACCAATTAACTGTCCGAATGGGGGCTTTGTTGTATAGGTACGCGTTTCAACCAAATTGACAGTACCCAGAGTACAGCCACGCATTCCACTGGCTAGGAGAGTCCTCTTAGAGGTGCCTCCATTCCAGGCACCGCCTTTGGCTTCCCCGAGTCACATTTCTTTCAGAACTGAAGACGCCACGCCCCCGTGATCACTGCTCGACTATCGTGTACTTACGCCTTGACATCATAGACTGCACAAGAGTGCCAAATCTCGCCGCCTACGAATTTTAGAAATTCCCCCAACGCATCACTTTTCTCACAACAGGGCAGCACTGTCACAACCCGTATCTCCCGGGTGCCCCTACCTAGATAATTCGCTTCTTTAATGCGCGCATCAAGGAGTGCACACCAACTACACAAATCCCGCCTACGGGCTCCGCCACACTCCGCTTACCCTTCTCCTTACCCCTCTCCGCCACACATAGTCTGGTCGCTTAGCCACATGTGGTCATTTCAAGAGGGAAAAATATCTGCAGTTATATACAAATTATGGCGCAGCCCATTACAGCATGTGCGCTGATGTGCCCTCTTTAAAATTTCGGCACAGGTTGTTCAGTGTGTTCGGTCTGGTAGCAGACATCATGGGCATGCTAATCTGCGCATTCAGCACGATTGGGAAGAAGACAGCGCCTACTGGTATTGATTCTTGTTGGCGTTATGAGCTCTAAAGTTTCCAGTGCTTCTTATACGCAATAGTGGCGTCAGGGGAACAGCTCGAGAAAGGCTGTATAGTTTCTTGGTGTGTCTGAACTAGCTGTAGTTACGCCGAGTTTGTAAAAGTTTTGGGGGACCACAGGAGTGTATGCCCATTCCTATAGCAATGCGGCCAAGAAGGCTAACTGGTTCAGGAATGTGCTCAGGAAGGAACTGTACCTTCGCTCTGACGTGCAACTTCAGAGGGGCGCAGCCTTAGTTGTGGCACTCTACTACAACCCTGCGTGAGGGTCGAAATGGCACTTCTCACTCTAAAGAAGGCCACGAATACTGGGATAACGCACCTTTTCTCGACCCTTTGAGGGCTTTGGCCCACCAGGCCAAGCTCTGCGAACAGGAGTATGGCACTTTTCCTCTGAACTGATTGGCTACCTTCACTGGAGCGCTTCGGCAAAAACGTGCTCTATCTTAGCCTAACTGTAGTCAGCTGTGACTGATGGTCTTATGCTGACATGTGATAAGGGTAATTCTTGCATCGCCTTTTGTTTTATTCACCCGATCATGCCAGATCCTTCCGTGGCACGACAAAAATTGCACTAAGGAACTATATTGGTTGTTTGTGAGAGCAAAGGCCAAGATCAATATAATAATTGAAATTGAGTATGGTATCAATATTAAAATATGCCGTAATATAAGAAGTTGGTGCTTTCTCAGGGGAACGTGGGCGCGTTACAGTTTTTTGGGTGTTACCCCCACACGCTACAAGATCATGGGACTCCTGAGCCTTCTAGTCATAGACTGGGCAAAGAAACCGTCAGATCATGTTACAAAAGTGAAATAGTCTGCATTAAGTGATCTCTAACCTCTCGGTCCTAGGAGCTAGTATGTGAGGGCTCATGTCCTATTCTGCACTGCTGCATACGGTTCCTTCCCCCTATGGAAAGTATTCGGTGCACTTTCTGGTATTAAGGGTAGCAAAGCATCCTCCCCCGCAAAACTTTTGTGCTATATCGCCTATTTTTACGACTTTGTGATGCAAAGGGCAATATATATGGGCTTGTCTTTCTGGAGCCCTCAGCGTCCATCCCAGAGGCTGAGTAGCTGAGCATGATCAGAGCACAGAACAAGCCGATGGCGAGTACCATCGTTTCTTAGTTTTCGAGTTATAGGCCACTGCGGGAAATTTTGCCTTAGAACCGTAGAAGGACTGCATAGCATACGGAGAAAATTACCTTGGTGCGGCTCCCCGCGTGCAGCCCCTCGCTGGCGGATAAACTGCAATCGGTGTCTTATGAGCGAGAGCTTTTGGCATGCTCTTTTTGATTGTTTCGACGTGGATTAACCTAGCATACCATTTTTAAGGATTGTATTGTTTCTTGAAGGGCTTTTTAAGTTACTTGGCCTGCATCGATTTCCTCCTCAAGTTGACCCCACCCTGTCCACTGCAAACGATTTTCCCCATGGCGTTCTCTGTCCGTTCAGCCGCAGCTCTATTGCTGCTACAGGTTTTGTTTCATCATTCGGCTCTCTTAAGCCAGGTCGGCACACTTACAGCGGTTGCTGCCGCGGTAACAGGAAAGCCTATCGGAGAATCCCCCCCAGCGCCTGAGGTCCACATGGAGGGACTCCACTTAACGGATGAGAACTTGGAACCCATTCTTTCACCCGAAGAGCTCAGAATAGAAGAAAGCACCTCCGTGCTCTTCACCCAGCCCACAAAAATAAGCAACAGGCAGGTCAGTCCAACAATCAAGGTCGTACTGTACCTATTATTCATCTTTGCAGCTGCTGCTTTCCTCATCTCCCGCTGGCCCTACCGAGTTGCCGAAAAGCCCACACCACCGCCTGAAGAAGAAGAAAAGCTTCAAGAATCTTCTTAGCTGTCTACAGACATGATGGCTGCGCAACCGTAGTACATGGCCCCAGCTCCAGGTGCCTAAGTAGGGCCTGTTGTATACTTACCCCAGCAGCAGTATGCACCACAAAGTCAATAAGCAGGGTACTGTCAAAACCATCCTGGCCACAATTGATTGGAACGAAGCATCATGATCCATAGCGCTTCAAGGGGTCCTCAAAGCGAGCATCTACAAGGTCCGCAAGCAGAAACCTGAATTTTCCCTCACCCTGCTAGCATATTGTAGTGAGCCTCTAAGGGCACCCCTTTGTGAATTCTGGGGCACCTCAACGTCCTCAGGCTCCGCTGGGCCCGATTTTAAGTAATGTTGGAGGTCAAGGCCTCCAAGAACACACATTCATTAATTGCGCACCAATGCTGGGGTCTACTACAAACGCATCTTTTGTATCCAAAGAGAGAGCCTAGAAATACGTGAGGATGAATCGGGGGTATCTTTAGCAGAGGTATCCCCTACAACGCAGAACAAGTACAAAGTCCTTAATTCCAAGTCCATCTCGCTTTTAAGAAAGCCTACAGATACTTCGCTGATATTTGCGGCACCAAAAATAGTAGACAGCAAGCGATGCAGGCATGTTGCGCGTCCAGACATCTTTGCAGCACCCAATGATGATGAGCAGGCCTCTCATCCATCACTGGCAAAGACATATCCCCATGCTGCAGTAGGTCTCGTTTTCATCCGCTGTACTGGCAGATAAGCTGGACGGGCAAACTATGTAACCGATGATGCCTTGAGCGAACGTCGGGAGCAGTCGCGTGTACTGCCCCACATAAAAGGCAAGGGTGGCGCTGCACTCCCCTTCACCGGTACGGCAAATGTGGTTGTTTACAGCGGAGGCTGGTTACGGAATGCATAAACGCCACTTCTCCGGTCACACTGTAATTAGCAATAAGGGTCTGAAGACTCGTCGAGTTCTCAGACCCTTATTGCTAATTAGGGCATATCCACACTGCATTATTCGGGACGCACCATCCCCTGGTAAAAATTACCTTGGGATGTTGGCTAAGGCCGAAGGAAATCTGGCTTTCCTCCAGCAGAGTCACTACCACTTTGGCAAACTCTGTCTAACCAGTCTTCCGAAATTGCAATTGTTGCCGTCATGTAGCGCTATAATCCCGTTATTCCGTGCGCTGACTACATGTCAACGGTTTCCAGCTGCCTGTCCTTATGTTGCTACGGCATACGCACACTTTGTCGCATGGGCTACTGGCATTCTTGCACACGATGGTCGTATCCCTCACTAAGCTTTGTGCAGAGGCGGCTGAAAGAACACAGACTGGTACTAGAGCCCATCGATTCGCCACCGTTGACTGCATCTCAACTGAGACCGCAGCGGCAACAATTTTCGCTGCCAATGAATGTCCTAATGTACGCCACATGCTGCTACTGCTGCTGCAGTGGCTGGTCCACCTCCCCAGAGCGCATGCGTTTACTTTTAAGCGCCATAAGGGCGCGAAGGGTCTTGAGTGTGTCCTTATGCAGCCACCCTGCAGCATTCCATGCGCGCACTACTCGGAAAGCATGTCTTTCGTGCGACAGGCCCAGAGGCACCACAGACACTAGCGCTACCAACAGTAAAAGCCGCAGCACATGGCCAACCTGTCTCATTGCTAAAAACTGGCAGCGCCGGAGCCTCATGCAGTAGCTGGCGGATCTCGGGATCTTGAATGGCACACAGCTGATACACCTGAGATGGGCGTGAGGGAGGAGCTAGGAAGGCATCCTCTGCAAACACACGATCGAAGTCACTGGATCATATAACTCCCCTACTTCGCACGCTCCTTTTTCCTCTCAGTTCTGTGTGCAGCAGTAAATCTGGAAGCAGCGCTTACTGCGGCAGAATTTCGAGGGCTTGCAAAACGTGTGTGCATGTAACTAATATGCACCCCCTGCGCAAGGACTACTACTATTCCCCCACCGCCTCTCAAAAAGTTTGTGTACTTCTTAAAAGGTTCTCACCTCGCTGCTGCTGTCCTGCACTGGGAAGCTGTCCTCCTATTGCGGCTGTGGCCTTCCAGTTGGCGGTGCGGAAATACGGGTCTCTGAAATCGATTGTCTGTTGCCAGGTTCAGACAGCATACACCAATGCAGCCTTTTGTGAAAATATAGAGCATGGAGATTCGAAGTCAGGATTTTACGGCTTCAAAATTACTCTACCTGGTAGTGGCGACTGTGTGGGTCTGTCCGGGGATCGTATCCCAGCCGACAGAGACATCCGCGAAAGGGTCCATCTGCACGACATCGAAACACTCCCAAGCACACGTGACTTTGTCGTTGAAGGGACGGTTGCAGCAGCGGCCGGCACCATCTGCTGCAGATGATTAATCTGCTGTAGGCACCAAGATACGGAATACGCATTCCCCATGCCGACAGGCCACCAGCATTTGCTACAAAGTTCCCTTTGCCTTGCACTCGCAGCGACAGAGGCCAGGGGAGGACGCCAGGGGACTAAGAGTGCCTTTGCGAACTCAAGTAATACTGCGATTGCTTGCTCCAGATGCACATATTCATCTCTACCAAAGGCGAAGGCACACATAGGCTCTTGTCGTTTTTCATCAAAAAGCACGACGCTCGCAGCTAGACCCCAAAAATGGATGTTTTTAAGGCCCCTGCAGCAGCATCTCTGAGCCTTGCTGCGAATGACCTCACGAGACAAGTCTCTAGATGTGGATACCAGAGAAGTCCTCTACAAGTGCATACGCGCAAGTTAAATCGAGGTGGAAATAAAGGGACTCGATGTTTAGCAGAGATGGAAATCTGCATCTGCGCCGAAAATGCGATGCCGCAGGCGTGGCGTCGACACAGCAGGGGCCCCTAGAATAGAAGCACGCATGGATTAATTGTACCACTTACATATATCATAGGGCTTGGAGACTCCTCCAGGCATGTAACGAGGGAAACGTCAAGGGGACACAAAGATCCGCACCAACAGGACAAGCCATGGAAAAAACGCGCAAGGGGCAAAGGTTACCAGCAAAGAGGAAGCAAGTCTTTGCAAAGGCGGGTTTCTTGCGCCACGCAGTGTAGGTGGGGGGCAGCTGGGCATCGAGAGAGGGTCGCAACCACACGGGCTGTTTCTGCAGCAATTCCTCGAGGCTCTTTACCAGTTCGCGATCTGCGGTACCGCAAACACGCTGACAGCAGGGCATGGCGAGGAAACAAGTAGAAGAAGCTGCACAGGCCGTGCATCCGCCTGCACTAGGTATGTGCAGCAGCACCCTTCCGGAAAGACAGTGACTACAGCAGCAGCCCGATCCCGAGAAACGCAAGCTCATGAGCAGAAAATGCAGCACTTCGCAGGTACCTGCAAAAGCCTTGGCTGCTGCAGGAGGTGGAGCCTCGGGCAGCCGTTCATCTCCTATGCGACCCACGGCATTAAAAGCAGCGCTTTCCTCCTTGCTGTTGCTGCTGTTGTTGCTGCCGGTTGCACATACCGTCTGAGAGGGCCAGAAAAGCGCAGCAGCGGCGTCTGCAGCCTCATCTCTCGCTCCCTCTGATGGATTTGGAGTTGCACTGGCTTTGCTGCTTCCTTGTGTTGCGTCTCCAGCTGCTGCAGCTGCTGTCCTGTCCGCTTCCGTGCAGTTACGTCGGCTTTCCATTCTGCCCGTTACGCCAGGCGCTGCAGCTGCTCCACTTGCTGCAGTCGGAATTTCCGCGGAAACTGTGGCTTCTTTTTGCAACGCAGTTGATGCTGCCGCTGATCCGGCTGCCGGTAGAGAGGGAATAAATCGTGGGGCCCTTTGAGCCTGGGCTGCCGCAGCCCTTGCCGCAGCTGCCTTTGCAGCAGCTGACAGACAAACCTCGTCTTCTCCCGACATCGCACTCGGTGAGTCGTCTGCTGCGTCTGCTTTTCCTGGTGCTGAAAAATGGCTGCTTGAGGGGTCTCTTGCTGCTGTTTTTGCTGCCGTTGTTTCTCCAGGGTCACCGCCTGCGCGGCTGCTTGGAGGGGCCAAAGCCGCTTTAGTCCTTACTTCCGTAGACTCTGTTTCAAGTGCTTGCGCATCGGGAGTTAAGGCCATACGCTGGTGGTCTTCTTCTTGGCGTTGCGGCAGCTCTTGCTGCTGCACCCGCTGGCGCTTCTGCTGCTTCTCCACAGAGTGTCTTTCAGGAGGTGCAGCATCGAACTTGGGGGGGGGAGGGGCCTCAACTTTGTAGGCAAAGGGGCCCTGCCCCCTAAAAAAGAAAGGGGGCGGGATGTACGGGACCGTCTCTAGGCTGCTGCTACTGCTGCTGCTGCTGCTGCATGCGCGCTGTGCCTCTGCCACGACTTGGGCCTCTAAGGTCTCTCCGCTACGATATTCGGGGGGAGGAATAAAGTACAGGTCTGCAAGGCCTGCGTACATTACAGAGCAGAGCAGCAACACCAGCAGCAGCGGGAGTGGCAGGCGGAGCGGCACAGTGTGCAAAAGGAAGGCGTCCGACAGGCGAGTTAGCGCCTCTCCTCCCGACCTCTCTATTGGCTCGTTTCTTCGAACTCTGTCTGCCTGCTAATGAAGTGCTGCCCTCATATGGTGTAGTCCGTGGTCTGCCCTACTGTAGTGGGGTCGGTGGTCTGCCCTAATGAAATCACTGCTGCTAAACAGCACTAGCTGCAGGGGAGATGACGAATAGTCGAGGAGCACAGAAACACACAAACAAACGAACATACACACACAATAGGAACAACATGAGAACATACCGTTGAACACATGCTTTTGGTTGACCCTTCCGAGAACCTCCAATTCCACCCTTCCAGACTTCCGCACGCGTCTCCTCAGCACAATCCCGGCAGTCGTCTGTCTCGAGGCCGCTATGTTGCCCCAGCTGCTGCTGGAGCTGCTGCCACTTCCGAGGCGCAGCAACAAAGTGTCTCCGCCACGCCCATTGGAAACGAGCGCTCGAGAAGCAGCATCTGCACCTCCCAGTATGCGAAGCGCAGTCGAGCTGCAGCAGGGACAGCCACACCGGAAGCAACTGCCAGAATCTTCACAAGCAACGGCACTCCAGAATCGCGTGCGATCTCAGAAGGCAGTTCTTCGGCTTGAGGATGAGCAGCATGCCGCACTGGCCGCAGCAGGAATGGACGCCACAGCCCCCGCAGGAAGCAGCGCTTGCTGCACAGATCTGTAGAAAGAAATATCAGTAGCGGCACATCCACTATAAGCAGCAGCTTACGGATGCTTGATCTTTCCTGGAATTTCCACTGCAGCCAGAGTTACATCAGGAATATCGAATAAGCGCCCCGGAAGTGCGTGCGTTGCGGCCTCTGTGCCGATGGAAGGCGTAGGAGGCCCTGCCTCTGGAGCGCTCTGTGAATGTTCAGGCATTCCAAACAAGAGAAGCTTGCGGGTTCTTCTTCCCGAGGCCTCGAGTTGCGCTTGCCCTGGCGGCAATGCAATTAAACACAAGGCAGCCGCCCTTGAGTGGCTCGCCAACGGAGGAATGCTCGGGGGGCCTGAGTAGCTCTGGACACCCGAAAGAACAAAATCTTCCTGTTTTGCCGAAAGAAGAAGGGGCCAAGAAGTCTCAAATAGGTACTATAAGATAAGCCCTGAGAGAAATAACTAGGTATGCCGGCGGACTTGACGTTCCAAACGCCTGCAGGGAGACCCCGTGATCCGGGGTATGAGGGGGGCCCCTGAAACTGGCGCAGCCAGACTCTGCAGGCATTCACGACCAAATTTAATACGGAAGCGATAGCATATTTGCTTCAGCATTATCGAAAATGCCGTACCTAGTTCTTACGGGAACATCTACTTGCCATGCAGAGCCAGCAAAAACACTTTGTTAGTTCCGTTGGATCGTTTAGGGACCCTGTGCTGCAGTGACCCTTGGCTCACCCTTCTTGCGGTGACGAGGGAAGCTGGCCTGCTTACATAAATAGGACTTGTCTTATTAGACAGCACAAAGATATGGCAACACAACGGTGCATTTCGTGGTTGGGAGAGCCTGTAGGGCCCCGTAAATTGCCTTTGAGCCCTTCTTCACTGGCTTCCACTGCTCTTGGTGGGCAAAGCGCAGCCTAAGTAGCGTCTTTAATTGAAATTCTTTTGATGCAGCTGCCAGCTATTGCGTTGTAATTCCTCCCCGTAGATCCACGTTCCACACACTCCAGTGTTTCAACTCCCGTCCTCCGACCATGGCCTGTCTCAAGGTGTAGCTACTCTAATGCCTTAAAACACGACGCAGCGCGCTATCCCCGGCTTAAAATCCCCTTCTTACTTGTCGGACTCGACACAACTCCCTGGGCAGCGCCCGAACCACCCGCCAGCAGACCACTCCCCACTTCACGGGCCCCACGCACTGTCACGTTAGATCCGGTGCATGCAATGCATCTACCACACCTAATGGCAGTGGCCCTTATCTTAGACCGAGCGAAAGGCCCATGCAGACTTGGTTCTCGCGCTTAACGCACTGGGGGCGTGCAGAACCCCTGGCGCGCCCGTCGCTAATCGTATTGAATGCAGTGCCTGTCACCACTGGGCAGCTACAGATACTCTATCCATACAAGCAAGATGCACATCATGCATAGGCAAAGCGGCCCTAGGGCTCCCCTTCAGGCTAGTGTTTTGGAAAGAAGCCTCGAAAAATGAGGAGTCGGCGTTTTAGGAGCTCCCCATAGCCGACGTGCCGGCAAGCAACGTGCTTTCTAGAGAGGTGTAGGCATTGCTGCTTCTGAGGACTCAATGAGATCCGTGAGTTCGTCCAATGTCTGGGCAAGGTGTCTCTCCGCATCCCTTGCTTCCTCTTGTGCTTGCGTGGGCCCTTTTACAACAAGCTGCTGCGGCTCAAGCGGCTGTCGCAACAGCCCCTCTACCATCAGCCTGGCTGCTTCGCAGTCATGCAACAAGGGGAAACAAGGAGATACGCACACATTCGGTAGAGAGAGCACTGCGCATGGGGCTGCCTCCATCGGCAACAAGGACGCTGGGCCGTCGTTGTTCACGCTAGAGAGGACCAGCACCTCCGGATCATCTGTCTGGATCGGTTCCCCAACAAGCGCTGCTGCTTCGCTTGTTGGCGGTGCTGCTGACACTGCGAGAGCTGCCGCTGACTCTGATGCAGGAGATCGCCCCCCAGGAGACGCTTCCGCCTCTGCAGGGACTGCAAAAGTTTCCGCCTGTTGCGCCTCTAATGCTGAGGCACCTACCTGCTTTGGCTGTGCAACCGAGGCGGGCAGCGGCACTGCAGCCGCTGCTGCCGCTGTAGCTGCTGCCAAAGCCGTAACCTGTCGATTGTAATTGAACGAACAGAGAAAGTAGCATGAACGAAGGCCCCCCAAAGACCGCAGAAGGCCCCTCAGGACCCGCAGCAGGACAGCGCAGCAGTGGACATCTGCCCCACAGCAGCAAGAAGCTGTAGATACACTTGACCGAACTGCTGTGGGGTCTTGCCCTCCAGCCCCAGCACAGCGCCATCGACTCACCCCGCTGCTGCAACAGCCGCAGGCTGCAGGCGTAGACGAAACTGCCGATCCCGAAGAGGCTTCTCGTTGCTGCTGTTGCTGCTGCTGCTGCTTCTGTGCAAGCAGCAAGTCCCTTGAGCAAGGGATGGCGGCGGACCGCGCGTGCGAGAGATGCACCAAGAAGTAACCCTTTGGAGCAACTGCGCTCGCTGCGTCTGTTTGCAGTACATGAACAGGCACCTCCACCTCACCAGTACCACCACAACTGCTGCCACCCTCCCCAGCAGCCCCCACCGGAGAAGCTCTGTTCCCAACGGCTGCACGCACCGCAATTACCCCCATTCTAAATCCGGACCCCCCCAGAACAGGCTCTGTACAAATCGCTATAAGTCGGCAGCAAGAGGACACTTTGTCTTCGCTAGAAGGAACCGAAGGAAGCTCGAGGGCCCTCTCCGAAAGCACGGGTTCCTCCTGGCCTTCCGGAAAAGTTGCAGCCGATGCTGTTGCGGTAAATACATTTTCCACTGGAGCTGCTGATCTGCCATCCTTGCCATCAGCACCAAGGGAAGGGTCTTCTTTAGGCTGACGCTTGCGCGAAACGCAACTGTAAAATGCCTGCGCCTGTCCCCGCAGAATCAATGGCTCTACGTCCGGTGCTGGAAGAGCGCCACTCTCGTACAGAAGCAGCTTTGCTGCTACCCTCTCGCCGTTGCTGCAGTGCAACACCATGCAGCTACTCCGCTGCTGTAGCTGCGCCGCAAGCTGCAGCAGCGGAGCCTCCATCCCCTCCTCTTCCACTGCCTGCTGCTGCTGTTGCTGCTGCTGTTGCTGTTGATGTTGCTGCTGCTGTTGCTGCTGCTGTTGCTGCGGCTGTTGCTGCGGCTGCGCCTGCGGCTGCTGCTGTTGCTGGCAACAGGGAGGAGCGACAAATTGCAGCCTCTCTATAGGAGCACCCAGCATGCAGAGGGCCCCACTAAGGGCAGCGGCGCGAGTGAAGGCCTGGGGGAGGTCTCCAGAGCCGTAGAGAGGGTAGAGCAAGGGTGCCCATTTGCAGCCATAATTTCCACATCCCGTTACAAACAGCTGTAGCCTTGTGAGCCCCTCTCGAACACGCCACCGTCGGGCATGACCTGCTGTACTGCATATTTCTCCTTCCGCCGTTCCAGCAGCAGCAGCAGCTGCTGCTGTGGGGAGCAGTGGCAAGTCACAGAGACACACCCCGTACGTCAGCAGCCTGCGGAGATGCGCATTTAGGCCCTGTCGCTCTAAGAAGCAGTCCCAGCAGTCGTTTTCCTCAGCACCTCCAACTAAGGGCGTACAGGGGGAGGGTGCTGTCTGAGCGCAGCTGGACAGGGCCCCCTGTGAGGAGGGGCCCTCTTGAGCTGCTGTGCTTTGTGGTGGTGCTTGGGGAGTCCACTGCGCAGCAGAGGAGAACGGCGCACTGACGGTGCTGGGAGGAGGCGCTCCCGCAGCAGCAACAAAGCGCATGAGAGCCCTTTTCTCTGCGAGACTCAGGTGCTGCGACTGAAAGATCTGTCCCTTGCTCATAGGAGTGGTCTCCATGGCAATCCTCTCCCCCGCGTGATGATCTCCATGGTGAGCCTCCCCAACACCAACGCCACCGCTCAAGCGTCGGGGGCGACGGGGCCCCACAGCAGGGGCGCCTTCGGGCCCCACACTACCGCCGGCCGACTCCGCTGCTATGTACGAGTTAAGGCCTGCTACCACTGCATCCGTTGTATTCGCATTCTCTTGCTGAAACTCCTCGTCCTGCTGCTGCTGAGACAGCTCTGCCGTCAGGATGGCGGCGTCACAGGTCTTGAATTCCAGGTATTTTGCAGCTCCGCTTTCCAGCAGCACATTGACTATGTCGCTCGAGGTGTATATACACTTGGGCATGAGGTCTATAAGGAAGCGGGGCCCTTCGGCCATGAGCTCGTGCCGCATCTGAAGTCTCTGGGCCTCTACGCTGCCTGGGGGCTCTCCTGCTGCCGCTGCAGCGTCTGCAGCAGCCGCATCTGCGGCTGCTGTCGCTGCCTGAGCTGCCGCCGTCGCTGCTTCTGCTGCTGCGACTTCCACTGCCTCGGCAACACCGACGTCTGTTGGTGCTCCTGACACCGCTGAGAGAGGCACAAGGGACTGCTCAGAAGCCGCATACACAGAGGGGGCGGGGGAAGGCTGAGGACTGTTGCTGCCGTCACCGACAGGTTCTGAAACACCTGCCTCCCCCAGCCTCCTGGGATGCAAGACAGCTGACAGGGGGTCACGGTACGAGCTAGACGCTTGCTGCAGCATCTGCTGTTGCTGGTCTGAAAGCTGCTGTTGAATCAGCTGGTGCGGTGTCTCTGCAGCCGGAGAGTCTCCGTGTGGCATCTGCAGCGAAGGCGCTGGGCTACTCAAGGGTCCCGCCCCCCTCTGCCCGGTTGCAGCAGGAGCAGACGCGTTCGAAGGCGGTGCAACAGCAACAACAGGAGCAGCAGCAGGAGCAGGCTGTGCAGCAGCAGGAGCAGCCGCTCTTGGCTGCAGAAGAGGGGGCGGCCTTGCCCCGTTTCTGGAGGATCTGTAAGTTTGCGCCGTGTCAGTGGTGCTGCTGGTTGTTGCCGTGTATGTTGTTTCCGCTGTTGCATCCGTGGAAGCCGAGTCAGTGCTGCTGGCATCTGTCTCTGTTTCCCCCCCAGTATCTCTGTCTCCTGCCTCTAACGCAGCAGCTCCGGGGGCCTCCGCCGGCTGTAGAAACGGCCCGAAAGAGTACCACTTGCCCCCAAAGGGGCTGCTGCTGCTCGCCTTCAAGAGGGTATCGTCTGGGCCGAGGGGCCCATGGGGGCCCCCATTCGGAGTGTCTTCTAGGAGGCACTGTCTCCTGGTGCTACTGCCGCTCAAGTGCAACAGCCGAAGCAGCCCCAAAGGCTCCTCGGAGGCGGAGCTTACGCTGGGGATCGGATGCCCGCAAGTGCCACGTGCCTCCTCCGAAGGACAAGGGGCCCCTTCTGGGGGATGCCCCTTTTCTCCGGGGGCCCCCTCATGAGGTGACCTGGCAGTGCGTGCACTCCTGTCGGCTTCCGGCATGTGACAGCTGCAAGGGCAGGCATCCAGCCCCTTCTTTCGAGTTTGCTGCAGCTCCTCGTCATCTGCATCACAAGGGGCTTCATGGGGCCCTCGGGGGCCCCGCCACCCGTCCAGCCACTGCAGCAGCTCTGCCAGCCGCATATTGCGATGGGGGCCCCCATAAGACACGGAGGGCTCGCAGAGGAGACAGCGGAAACCCCTGCAGCTTAGAGCAGCACACACGAGGGTACTGGAGAGGCTGGAGCCAACAACTGCCACATCTACCACCAGAGAGCCCCCCCCACCGGGGGCAGGCACACGAACGCATGGGACGGTTGTTGCTGCGTTCTGCTGAGGCTCGCAAGGCCTCGAATCTTCAGAACGAAGCGTGTCTGCATCGCTTCTGGAAACTGGGGAAGCAACCAGCTGCCGGGAACTTTGGGGTGTATAACCTTTACGGGCCATTAAACCATCTGGTGTCACGGCTTCCTCGTCAAGCTGCGGATACTCTTTCTTTTCAGACGGTGGTATTGGGTGCTGCTGCTGCGGCTGATTCTGTTGCGTGGAGGAGGCAAGTCTGCCGGCCTTTAGGGGGGCCTCGGTCGGGGACGCATCTGTGACCATCGCGCATTCGGATTGGCTCTCCATAAGGACACGCAGTAAGGCAGTAAAGGCACAGGCGTGCTCTCTCTCATGTGGAAAGAAAACAGAGCACTGGAGCACTTCCACGCATGCGAGCCCTCAGTTGCTGCTCCTGAGAATAAAGCTGCAGCTGTTGCTCTTGCTGCCACTACTGGGCTACTGGCCTTAGGTAGCGCATCCACAACATGTAGAGAGAAAACACATAACGATTTCACCTTCTCACTCCTACGGAATCATGCAAAGGGGATGTCCAATCAGGAGCAATGACATCATGGACGAACACGGGTCGCCTACGGGGAGGAACAGCATAAAGGGCTTACGGCTCGCCACCCCACCGCACCAAGGGATGAACATCAGAGAGAGCTAATAGCATGAAGAATACGGAATTAATGTGGGTCGGATACAAGACGGGTAAAAAGGGCCCAGAAGCTGAACAGACATCAGGCGGGTGGTGTTGCCTTGTGGTAAGGAGTGAGCGTGCCAGTTTTGGTCGTTAATCGCCCAAGTCATAAGTGGATGAAGCTTTAATATCTTTGCATTGTCACAGAATAGATTAACAGAGCTGTTAACTCCCTCAGACCCAAAGGGGCCTTGCAGGGTACTGACGCATACCGCAAGGGGGTAGCAGTACCGGGGGCACCTTGGCGGCGCCACCTTAGCATGTCTCTCTAGTTGTATGCCCCATATTATCTCAAATGATTGGCATTTCGCTGTTTTTATCCTCATTGAGCATACGCTACACCCTTTGCGGCCTGTATTTAGGTCCCTGGTGGTTTTCCATCGGGGCCCGCCTGGTGGCTGGGGGGAGGCAGTATTCCCCAGCACGACTGGAACTCCCAAATAGCGAGATCCGTACAACTTAAAGGTTCCGCATATCCTTATATAGTTGTGCTGTATATGAAGCTTTGAATTTTGCCGATGCGCGCATTCATCATGGCTATTTTTCTTCGGCTCTTCTTGTGGATTAGTAGGTTGTGTTTCTGCACGAGTACTGCCGTGCACGGTGGACAGGTGCGCCACCAGGTCCTTTACTACGAATTCTTTGCCATTTGCAGACTACCCGAACCGCCAGCCTAGGGAAATCGAAGAATCATAAGAGGGAAGACGACTTCAGGGTCGAGAGCGTCTATAGCGGTACACCTCAGACCACCATTGGGAGACAGTTTGCCATAAGCTGAGTTGAAACCTAATAGAATGTTCTGAACTGCGTGATCAATAGTCTTCTCCTCTTCTGGCCCTCACACGGCACAGTTCCGGCAGAAAGGGGAAGGTATACTTGGGGTCCAGCTTGGGACACCCTCAAAACGCTCCAACCATTCATATGCAGTTGCAGAGTGGCAGCTGCTGCATAGGAGCGTAGTCTTTATTCTCACTGGATTGGGCTAATTTGACTTGGCAGCGAATAGGACACACGAACAACTAGACCAAATAATCTATGCTATTTAGAGAGGTAGGCAATTCTGAACACGTTTACGATGCCAGTATATTGTTAGAAATTGTAATTGACTTTGGTGCTGGCTTTCGTACATCCTCTTTATTCCACACTATCCCTGGCTCAATACGATAAGAATCGACGTTCTGAACATATGCGATAGATACAAATTGTACCTAGCAGCGGGTGATCGGAGTGGTGGAATAGTGAAGCAAGCTCACCCGAGCTGTTCCAGTCTCCTGATGTCGGAGCCCTGGGAGTGCCACATTGTTCGATGCAGCTGTTTCCAGCTCTATCCACTGCTTGTGGACAGCGGCCTATATTAAAGTTTCTTATAATTGCTGTCTTGTTTCCATAAAGTTGATTAAGAATCCATTACTCTGCTATGTTTTGGCAACAGAGTAAAACAAAACCCTTTGACGACAAAAATCAAAGGTGGTGCAGCTCCTGTTGAGGCGACTGAGGCAGGCCTTTGAGCTTATGTAGACTTAGAAGGTCCACGGCTGGCGGAATGGCAATATTGGGCAGCCGATAGGATGTTAATGACTCGTTGATGAGGTTATGACGACAGGACAAGTAAGAGAGCCATATGAACTGGCAAGAACTCAAAGCTTTCATCGGCCTGTTGGAGATGTGCCTCATTTTGTGCACCGAGATGGGGAAAAACGAGTACTCCTTGCGTAATGCAATTTGGAGGGAGAAGTAAGTTTAATTGTGGCTACTTGCATGCTGAAAACGCTTTTGCTTGTCAGAATTACCACAGGTCAAGCCTTCAGGAACGCCCTGGCTTATCGGTATATGCCACGGTCAGCTTAGCAGCAAGCCCTGAGAGAATTTTCAGAGAATGTGCAGGAAAATTTGTCATCTTATCAGCATTTTGAGGAGCACGAAGCTTTCGCTATCAACAGTCAAAACATAGACGAACGGCTGCTTCATCAGTTGTTTATTTCGGATTTACCGGAAGTGTCATATTAGGCTGTCGCAGGGTGGGCGATGACTCAGCGCTTGAACAACAGACCACTGAAACTTTCGCAACTTCTGAACCACTTGAGGTTTTAGGAGCAAATGAGAGCAGACAATCCTGTGGAACCTGACGGCTTTGTTAATCGCTTTTAGCCTACCTCCTGAAGTGAACGAAAAAATTGCCAGGGGGAGCCCGTTCTCTTAAGCAGCCTCAGACAGCTCCCCAACGGCGCACTTGCATTTATTAAGGAACCAGGATCAAATTATTCAGAGCTTCACGCGTGTGCGATGAGCCTGGAGATACTGGGCCAAGCGGAAGCAAGGTGCACGAGCACATAACGCGCATCAGGGAGACCGAAAGCCCTCACACAGGCAGTGGCGCACTGAAACCGGCCACGGAAGATAGAGTCACACTCAAGAACTTACCATCTGTCACCTCTGCATTGTTGCAAGTCAATTTTAACAATCAGGAAGTGCGAGCATTTCTAAACACTGAGGGTGAACTGAATCTGCTAGCTGAGGAGACGGAACAGTAGCGCTATTTGCCTGTTCACTCGTCGAAGCAGTCCCTAAAACTCAGGTTTGCTCACGACAGGCTAATCGTACGGATGGCAAGGATACGGCAGCCTCATGCCACTCTGGACCAAACTTGAATCCTCGTGGTCCGTGTTTTCTGTATCAGTTTTGTGCCCTAGGACGTAATCCTAGGTGTGGCATGTGTGACCCAGTCAAAGGGCACGTTAGCCTATCACTGTAAAGCTCACTGTGCGGAAAAGGAGTAGGAGGACGTTGATTGTAGACTTCTCAAGAAATGTCATTTATCAATAGTGTGCGGGGTGGAGTCTCTACCTCGACAAAATGGGGCTGCGTCTCCTTTCCTGCGGATCAGCAGAGAATTAGGAGGGGACACTTTGTTGATCATGCCCCCCATCATAGTGGCTCCACCACTGTTTTCTTGTTGTTATTCGCCTGGAGCCTCAGCCAAATAACAACAGGAATGATCAGCTATCATTGGGACTTTGTAGGCGGATCTGCCAGAGTATGACAAGCTGCCAGCAGGCTGGCCTCCTGCTGGGTGTCCAATGCACTACATTGCTAGCCATTAGGGCGACCCCAAGCTTTGTTCCGGTGTATTGAAAGCCTACACAGCATGCAAACGAGATTGAGCCGTGGGCGGATAGTACTGTGAAGTAGACAAAGTGGAGAAATCGGTCAACGCCTGAAGGCATAACTCGGCGTTCGTGCTGACAGGGGAGACTCGAGGCGGTGCACGTGCTTCAACATTGAATTGCTGAGCACAATTAGTGTTAAACAGAGTTTTGCCATGTTTCATGTCGACGAACTAGTCAAAATACTACATGGTTCAACAGTTTAGTGGACAGCTTATTCGATTAATCCTATCATTTCTGAAAAACCTTATGTTTTCTGATTACGGGCACGAAATAGTGTTCCACGTTTTCACTTGCAAGCTCGCGTATAGCTGCATGCCGCTAAACTTTCTAATACTCCAGCTGAACTGCAAGGGCAAAAACAGAGTGTGAAAGAGCCTTTTAAGAAGCGACAGATGGCTGCTCAGATGGAACACCTACTGAGCCCAAATGTTCAGAAGTCCCTACGGCATGCGCTCCAGCTGTTGCATGACGTGCATTGTATATACAGGCACAAACGTGTCGGTTTTTCATGATAGCTACTGTGTTTCTGGGATTCGATGTTTCCGCTGCAAAGACTGAACCAGCTTCAACAAAAGTCGGAGCCACCAAAAGATGGCCTTTGCTTCTAAGTAACCGAGGGTCCCTGGGGTCAAAAGTACTATAAGCTTTATTCATATTATAGGAAATTGATAAGTGGAGTTGGTCTTATCCGTGCTACATTGACGGAGATACTTGGAAGCGCAATCTTCGAGTGGGACAGAGGAGGCTGATCCCGCAGCCAGGAATATTCTTTGCCGCCTTTCGACTTCTCCGGTAGTCTTTCCGCCCAAGCAGGAACGTCAGCTCTGTTTATCAACCGATACCAGCGACGTAGCGGTGGGTGCTATTTTCTCTCCGCAGGATACAGAGTCTCCAAATGCCAAATTATTGCTTGTTATTCTCATCGCTTCACCGAATCCGAGCAGCGGTATCCAGGGCTGGAAAGTAAACTCAATGCGGTGTGGTGGGGAGGGAGCAAAATGCCGGCACTAGTCATATGGATATCATTTCCCTGTCCAGACCGGCCAACAGTCTTTTTCTGTCAATTGCTTTCAGGACTCCGGTTATCCGAAAGTTGTTCGCTGGCTTGACTGCTACCTGCAGTACTACTCTACAGCAAAGTATTCTGACAAACATGACCAACGCTGGCGACCGACATGCTCGCGTGACTGCATACTAACTCACTACGGTGCGGCACAGCTGCTCTATATGTAGGGATTCACAATTGCTATCAAAATTGCGTGAGCCTTGTGATTTTGATTTCCTCGCATCATATACTCTTGCCGCAAACCCAGAATGGCAACTGGATGAAGCGCTAACACCTTGAGGATTACCTCCTGTGGCCCAAAAGAAGCGGAGACTACGCCGCGTGCATCAAATCACTACGCAGTGCTGTTCTGCACAAATTACCTGCCCATGTTTTTTAGGGCTATTAAGAAACTTAAAATACAGTAAGAAAAATATCACGGTCCTTCTGATGACCTGGGATGCCTGTTGTGGCAGGGGGATAGGCAGTTCCATGCCCATAGTGTCAGCGGCTGACGCCACGTAATTCTCTTCTGACCCGGGCAGTAACGATGTATCACGCTCAGTAACGGGCTTGCACTGATGTGATCGTGGAAGTTATTGTTGGACTGCCGGAAGTCAAGGAGCAGGATAGCCTCTCTGTCATGGTTGAAGGTCTCAGCAAAGATGCTCATGTTACCCCTTGCTTCAGCTCCATAACGGCATAGCAAGTTACTCAATTATTCCTGACTCGCGTCTGAGGTATCTAGTAATTCCCTAGGATTCTTATTTTGGGTGGGAATCCGATATTCTTCATTGTGTCCTGACGTACCTTGTGACGGGCCTGCACAATGACTCAAACATGACCACTGCAAATCACCCTTAGGCAGCAGGAAAGGCAAAGTACGTGGGCTGCACGCTTCTGTAGTGGCTGAAATTTCGTGCTCGCACAAAGCTAATCGGTTGGATTGAGTTTCTCTCTTTCTTCCGGACTGGGTGTAAAATACAAAACTGTACTCGCTTACATGCTGTTCACTTACTTCTCTAGTCTACGATCCTTTCCGACCAAGCCTGACCCTGGTGGCCCAAAATATGCAGGCACCCTTCGCGACAGAGGGATTGATAAAAATGCTGGCTGATTGACAAGAATGCATACGCAAAACTTAAGAGAGACAAGCACGACATGATGGTAAGCGGCGGTGGGTTCTGTGTTCCAAGCCAGGAGATTTTGTCTTGGTGGATTGGCAGGCTTTGCGAGCTGCATCAGAAGCTTAGTAGACGAGGAAAGTTTCATTTATGTGGTAGTAATATTTTCGGTGCCCTCACGACCCGATGTGCTTTCTCATCCTATCAGTTGCCCTGCCCTAAATGTTGAAGCTGTCAGAATTATCAGCATTAACTCGTAAGAGCGTTTAAAGCTCCAAAAATACTTCGCAGACTTTGCCGTGTAGGCAAGTGACCCGTTGAAGGCGAAAGCTTCACAGGTAATTGTGGCGCTACTGGATTTAAGGACTATTCAGCAGAAAGAACACTGGCATACGTGAGGTTCTAAAGAAATGGGATGGGGTACTTCAGCTTCATTGGTTGACGGAGGAGCAATCGAAGGCCTATTCGGACGCGGGAGAATTCGCTTTACGGCGCTAGTAGCCATGTACAGTATTCTTCGCGATTCTTGGTGAATGTAGTCCCCCAATATATGCTCTACCTGAAAGAGTTACCTCCATATAGTTGTATCGCTTTGTAGTTCCTGGCTATTACTCTTAAAACGTTTTCTACACCAACCTTTTTGCGAAGGCTCTATTGGATATCGTCTTCATATTCTTCTGTATTGGGGCTGGGAATCTATTGCGCTGCACGCCTTGGTAGTACTGGCTTGCAGAAATTGCTCTATGAGGCGCGGATGCACTGTTAAGCCTACTTACTTCATGAAATCCTTCAAATATCCTACTTGTCTTGTGTTTCCTCGCCGCAGGAGGCTAACACATTTCAGCGCTCCGATGATAGCGAGACCTCACCCCGACAGAGTCATGTTGGTGTGTTCCCTCGTCCATGTTTGGTCAGTATGTGTCATTCTTCCTGTCAATTTCACGCGAGCGGTTGGTGCGAACATATGCTTCTGTCTGCTGCACTGTTTTAGAGTTTCCACTTGCTTGGGGAGTTTCGGACAGAGGGAAATTTATTCGATTTTCTGCCCGGAGTTTGTCTAGAAGCACATGTAGAGAACATGAAGTCGTCTGTTTTGAAATGATAGCAGGGGCGAAGATGTAGCGGCTTAGTTGCAATCCAGCATTTCTTACTGCACTGGTTGTATCTAACTAAGAATTGGTTCCAAATTGAATACTTAAGGCGTCTGTTCGTAAATCTCTTTTATTGCAAAGTAGTCTTAGCTTTGGCCCGTTAAACGTAAGCCTGTGTGCATGTGTACCGAATGGTGTGTGTGTGTGTGTGTGTGTGTGTGTAAGTGTGTGTGTAAGTGTGTGTGTAAGTGTGTATGTATGTGTATGTGTGTGTATGTATGTGTATGTGCGCTGTGTGCAAGCAGCTCTGAATGGTCGGAGTACGCGGAGGGTGTGCACATCTACGCGCACCCTAGCTGTCCCACAATCCCTTGGTGTTGAAAATTCGAAGACGTGCGGTGGAGACACTAAGGTGTTCTTTTGAGTGGCGTACAATATATTTTTGTTAACCTTGTATTAAGTCTGGAGTTAAATGTCCGCCCACAATGGCAGATGGAGCATCACAAGAAGAGCTGAGATACAGCACCATAGAGCCGCACACTGCATTGCATTGTGTATCGAGCGAATAAAGCTGTGCAACAATCGAGATGGGCAAACACACACCCTGATTGGTCAATACCTTTTAATTCCTAGCTAATATGGTTATTGTGGAGGTAAGTGCCCAGGTGTATCTTAGCCCGCTACCGCACACGCACACGACATTCCGTCTTTCTATATTTGAGCTAGCGCTGCCCTGCAATATGTAAGATATGGGGCCACGGCATGTCGTTTGTTCATTGTCGATTCTTAGCTAGACCTAACTGGTGTAGCAGCATGTGTCGAAGTGTAGTTTAACCCGCTACAAATACCGGCACAATAGGAACTGCTGAAGAGTAGCTTGGTCAGCTACACCTATATGCAGGAGCTGCAGTGCCGTCCTCTGGACGATCGGCTAAAGATGTGAACGGCTTTCTCTCGTATATTTAGCTATGTAAGTGTACACTGGTGCTTTCAGATCGCAAGCCTGAGTGAAGTGGTGGCAGAAGTAGAACAACCTGCTGAGTTCAGTATTGTTTGACAAACTTCTGTTAGCAAGAAGCACTGATAACACCTCCTTATTTTTATGTCAGTGCATGTATATATATTCTACTAAATAAGATGCAATTCTTCAATTCCAGGGCGGAGACACGCACAAACCTGCGTGGTGGGTAGGGCCCCCTGTTAAAGAGCAGCACGCCTCGCGCTCCTCTCTGGTGCTGTATGCGTTGTGGGAAGCGAATGGGTTCGGTAAGGAAGCAGCAAGCACGAAAGTTTCGTACATTCAGTGTTTTCATGATGTCTACATGCTAAACTGACCAAAAAGCAGACAGTTCAGACCTCCTTTCCTCCACTAGCACTTGTGCGTTCCCTGGCGTGCATCTGTGCGTGGGGCGCCTCGTATTTGCCTTCTCATTTATGCAAGGTGGTTGTTCTGCGGATAATATAATTGGCACAAAATTCCTTGCTCTGGGGTAGGCGGGTGGTAGTCCTCTGTGCTGAGGCCAGACTTGCCTATTTTATCTTCGTCTCCCAAATTCGGTGTCAGGCACCGTAGCAACGTTCTGTCTTTCCGCCGGGCCTAAAGCCCAGTCCTCTAGTCCTTTCAGTCAACAATGGTGAACCCGCCGACAGCAGGAAGCTGCAGCGTGGCGGGGAGGCTAGGTCTAGAAACGCGGACGAATGCCATTGCCCTGTTTGCGTCTGTTAACCTGTTCTATTTCTTGGTCTTCGCCATGGGTAAGAGCATGGTCTCGCTTTGCTGCTACCTGTGCTTAGCACCGGTGGCTCTTGGAATGTTGTTGAAGGCACTGCACCTTGCGCCAACGGAAGCGGGACCTTGGGAGATTGTCAGCCGCTCTAGAATTCAGTCTACAGTGGAGCGCCTATACACCAGGACCAACCAGTTTCTGGAATTCTGGAGGGACGTATGCCTATGGAAGAACGTGTTTTTTACTGCAAAGGTTTGCTGCGCTTTGCTCACCCTGAGCTATGTGTCTTCCTTCTTATCGTTCGCCAGCCTTGTGTTTATATCCACGTGGGGTTGGTTTTTTTACTGCAGCTGTTCTTCCCTATTCCATGATACACTCTATCCCCTTGTCTCGCCGTACATTAAGATGGCAAACCAGGCCTTTCACAAGGTCGTCCAATCCATCCCTAAGATGGAAGACAGCAGCAAGAAGCTCTAAGAAGGCCGTTCACGCAGAGAGGGTCTCAGGGTTGTTGCCCGCGAGACTCCCTGCGCCAGTAAGGAGGCCATCGCAGCCAAAATCTATAGATCTTTGCCGGGAGAGGCCTCTACAACACATGAAACGCGCTGAACGAGTGGGCTGTGCGAGGCCCCTAGTACGGCATCTGTGCCACAGGATTTCCCCACTTCAGTGTTCTGGGAATGTCGCGGGGGAATGAAAGGGCATAGTGGGGGTAAGTGATTACACCTTTCCGTTTATTAGGCCCCAGTTTTCCTTGCTAGAGGACGCCGGATGCTCCTAGGCATGCTGTGAAGTACCTTGCCTGAACTGCCGTTTCAAGCCCCTTGCCCTCAAACCCCGTGATACTCTTCTGTTGGCTTTTAGTGGGCGAGAAACCCTAATTTTCAGAGGCGCGCCTCTTCTTGCTTTGAGCGACACCTCTCTTGAAATATGCTGTTGATCTGTGCATGAGTGGGGTGTGAGGAACAGTAGTGTTGCGCCTTGAAGGAGCAACAGTAGATAGTACGGGTAGTGGGAAAGACGGCGTAGAGTGGAAAGTATATTCGTAGACGCTTTAGCCGTTGCTATCTCGATTAGAGCAACTGGCTTTCTCTCTTTTTGGTAGCCCCATTGCCTCGATTCTTGGGGTATTGCGCACTAGCGGTGTAGTCGGTCTACGAGAACAGACCGTGCCGTGATTTAGTTGCTACGTCACTCTTTAATAAATATGTGCGCAGAAATGCAATGAAGAATATAGCTCTTCTACCGTCGCCTAAGTCACACCCGGTCGTTGCGCCTCCGTCGAAAGGGTCGGGCTTTTGTTTTTTGCGTCAAGCAACCGCAGCGCGGGAAAGACCCTGAAGATCTCGGGCTTACGGGTAAAGTAGCCACCGTGACCTAATCTCAGAAAACTTTCAAGTGTAACTTGAGGTGGTTACTCAAAGGAAGTTCAGGCTTCGCGATCGTGTGTTAAGAGCACGGGACGCATAACTCTGTGTGTGGAGCCCTTCACAAAGGGAGCAGCAGTTAAAAGCCGAATGCTTTAGGGCCCTCGTGAAATTGCAAAGCCTCGCGCTCGGCTCTCCCAAGGGCCTCCCCCTCATACAAGCAGTGGCATGGAGTCGTCTGTGCTTCATGGGGTTCGGCCCAGCGGAGGGAAGTTGGTGGGAAGAGCAGGCTATAATAGCTCAGTGTTCACTTTAAGTAGTTAAAAAGGTCCTTCGCCACCTGAAACATGGGCAGAAAAAACAATCACAACACATGGGGAGAGCAGGGAGGCAGCGTAGGCTTTGTCTCAACTCAATGCACATGCACACACACTTACCGAGGAGCCTACACTGAAGATTACGTGTATCACTGGCACCAGGTGAACATGACTCGCACTCTATGAGGCTGTACCGAAATGTATACTCCCGCTATTGAAGCACGGCAGTTCCGGGTCTGAAGGCTCCTGCCAACCACGAAGGCCGTAGATTCATCGTTTTTTTTAAAGGAACTAACACCAAAAACTAAAACTTAATCCCCTAGTATTTACGAACTGTAGCGTACGCATCTATCTACGCATGTTTGAAGCTCTTCAAATTGGCCTGAACAGTTTCCCCGCCCATCGGTCCGGGCCTTCAGGCGCTCGCAGCAAGCCTGGGTAAACAACACAGGAGAGCAAGGAAACCAGGAGATGGGGTACACCCACGAAAAGGCATTCAAAAAAACTGTATGAAAGAGATACATGGAGCAATATAGAGAAAAAATGCGAGAGCAATGTGTTGAAAGAGCCGTTCGAAGTACAAATGTCAGGATTCGAGCAGCATGATCGCACAGGAGAAACCTTTAGGTATCTTCTGCTACAACTGCGCTACAGGAACAATATAGCTCCATATATTTCTCTACAAGCGGATGCGACGAGGGGTAAGGGCTCTGTACACGTCGACCCAAAGGGCCAACCTCTTGAACAACACACGCAGAGGGGACTTCCAGAACGCCAGGAGAAAGAAAATCTCAACAGACTACAAAAGTGAATGGTGTGGCCAAAAGAGAGAAAGAGACGCTAAAAGGCAGCGCTAAAGAGAGATGTCACCAGAGATCCACGTACTGTGCCCCTTCCACCCCCGCCCCCAATCAGCACACGTCCCTACATAATGCAAGGGTACACTGCACCAAAGCACAGCGCAGTCAGCAGCAGGTGAGGGGCAACCATCAGGTGCAAAAGTGCCATCACCAGGAGATGAACGTACGGAGTACTCGTGGACCCATCTGCTGCACTTGGTGGTGCATGCTGGCGCGAGTTTCTTCTTGGGGTCGACGAGACGCTCGCTGGGATCTTTGGGGGGAATGTACTTCGGGTAGTGCACCCCAAACTCGGTGTAGTATGGAAACGACATTTTCCTGCTTCGTAAAGAGAAAGTGCGTGTCCACTGAAGTACTGGCCTCCTCTTGCCGCTGCTGCAGCTCGCGCTGCCTCACCGGAAGAGACAAAAGCTGCGAGGTTTGGCGGATACGGCGAAAACGATACGGAAAATTGGCTTTTGGAAAAGAGAGCACTTAGCTCCGCTAGTGAAGCAGCCGATCTTGGTGCTGCTGCATGCGTTACGCTGCCTGTTACCGCTGGTACTCCTGCTGCTACGAAAGCGGCAGAAAGAGCAGCCCCACAGTCGTAGCCTAAGGCGTTAATGTCTTTTTTGCAATTAGAAGTATTTGGAGCTGCTTGTTATAAAGGGAAAAAAGGTGTCACTTGGCTGCCTCTTGGGTTGCTGGAAGCGCCTGTACGCTGGGGTCTCCTTTGTGCACGTATTTTCTCATCGTGGCTGCTGCATTGCCACAGACTTTACTATATATGGTTGGCTACTTCTTCTTATTTATATTATCATTGGTTTCCTGTTATTTAAGCTCCAACTGTAGATGCCTTAGCTGCCCTGTGCCTGGATTCTGAGCAGAAGGCTGCTGCAACCCCGTCTGACCTACTGGCTTCGTAACCGGCATTGTTTCTTTGCTTTTCTGGAAGCTCCTGAGACCCTTCCAAGTAGACCATTTTGCAGGGGGTCTCCTGAATTTGTTCAGAAGTGTCTTTACCTCTGCTTCATTTTCTGTACACTTTCCCGGCAAATTCCTCAATGCCAATATGGCCTGGTTGCTTCCTAACGAAATATCGGAGTTTGTTAGCACAAAGTCATCTCTGCCCGCTCCCTCGGCGGAGGACTGCTTTTATTGGCCCCAGGAAAAGCAATGGGTGCCCGAACGACTCCTGAAGAAGCTTAAAGCGGGCGAAAGAAAGCAGCTTCAGGCGTCAAAAACCCTTGTACAGCGAGCGGCTTCAGGTAGGGTATTCTACCCTCTGCACGCCTTTTCCCACGCCATCTCCTGATTATTGAAGCATGCCCTTGTTCAATCTCTGTGCTTCTTTGCTCATAGTGTTCTTGTTTGGATATACTGCACCCGTTCGGCGTGCAGTATGAGGTCCGTTTCGTTGTTTTCTTCCTTACGTATGATTAATCCCCAAAGTTATCAGCCATCACATTTGACCTGAGTGTTTTTGGTTGAATGTCACGATCTTCGTGTGTCAGTCCTTCATGCTCCATTGCCTGCCGTCGTTTTTCGCGGGGCAGCACATGCTGAGCGCCTGGCTTCCCGTTCCTGCATTGTCTGCCCTCGTTGTTGTTGTTCATCGTGAGGCTTTGACGCCCATATACCTGTGTTAAGTGATGCCGCACTGACACGGCTCCTCTGCTTTTGTGTCTCCGTATTTTGCAGGTCAAAGCAAATGCCGCAAGTGCGGAGGCTCCATTCCGAAGGGGGCCCTCCGCGTTGGGTATCCCACATCAGATCCACGCGGGGCATATGAAGTGCTTTGCTGTTGGCTGCATCTTGGCTGCAGCAGCGAGCTTTTCTCCGTCCTACTGGAGGGGGAGGCGGGGGAGCAGCTCCTAGACCAGCTGAGAGAGGATCTTTTAGTTTCTCTGTCCTCCTTGAAGTCCGTCCAGGCTACCTCACAGGCAGGGAAAGGCTTGCCCAAGGCAGAGGACGGGGTCCCCCCTGCTGGCTCCTCCAAGGAGGGGCCAGCACAGTGCAAAAACGAAAAGCAACAAGAACGCAAGACACGAGCATGTGGATTAGCACGCGCAGCGGCAAAAGGAGAGGAAGGGGCAGCGACTGACAGCTGCAAGGGAGCTCCCAGCACTGCATCAACGGCGGCGACTAGTGAGGCCGGCGTCAGCAGGGGAGCTTCTGGGGTCAATGAGACATCTCAGGCTGGCAACGATGAAGCTACAGCAGTTGAACTGCCGCCGCAAGACAGACTGCTGCTGGAGAGGGCGGGCTGTATTGTCTCCCTGGACCGCCTCTGCCTTGCAGAGGAAGGGCTGTCGCCCATTGAACAGGGGGAAGTCCAGGGGGCACTGGCGATGGCTGCACGCCGCGTATTTTTTCCAGCTGAGGTCCAGGCGGAGTCAGCAGCAGCAGCAGCAGCAGCAGAAGAGGCGCTGGAGGGCCTCGCCAAGAGGGAAGTTAAGGGGCGTGCACCGTCTCCCGAGGGGCTGTTGCTGCCGCTGCTGCCTTTCCAGGAAGAGGGCCTCTGGTGGCTCATGCAGCAGGAGGAGTCTCACGTACGGGGAGGCATTCTTGCCGATGAGATGGGTAAGCACTAGCGGCGTCAACGCCTTCCTGTGGGAGATCCTGTTTCCCACGTGTGCTGGGGGCCACCCATAGCTTCTTCTCGCATTTCTGGCCTTCCGCTTGTTCTAAGGAGGTGCCTCTTTCTGTCTCATTGGCTGCGTAGGCGTGGTACGGGTGCTGCCGCATTCCCGGTCGTTCCCTTGACCTCGCCAAGGCTCTCTCTTTTTTCAGTCTTTTCCTTCTTCTGTCCCTGCGTGTGCTGGGCCTCCCTCAGGGATGGGGAAGACAATACAGATAATATCTCTTCTGCTGTCGCGTCCTTTTCCTCCGCTCCCTCCCTCCGTATCCCCTCTCGTACGCAAAGTCGTGTGCAGCACGCTGGTCGTGACACCGCTGGCCGCCCTTCTGCAGTGGAAGAGTGAGCTGGACAGGTTTGTGTTGCCGGGACGGCTCTCTGTGCTCATCTATCACGGAGCCCATAGGAGGTCGTTGCACTCCGTTCTACATCAGTACGATGTCGTGCTGACAACATATCAAACCGTCGAACAGGACTTCCGCCAACAGGCGAACAAACAGAAGGTTCCCTGCAAGGTACTCCCAGGAAACCACGAAATACCCTGAAAGACGCGCATCGTAGATCCACATGGAAAACAGCCGGGGATCTCAGACTGCGCTGCACAGCTATGCACTCTTGGCTATGATAACTCTACTCTCTATGTGGATACGTATTTTGAGTTTCAACAGTTTATAATCACACTTGTGTTCAACGACTATTACCTTCAGGCAGCCTTGCATTGTACAGCGCTCTACTGCGGGCTAACGGTGTGGATAACCGTATTCTGCACACTAGTATCATTTCCTCTACGGAGATATGTTTATGCCATTGTTCTATGGTTTTAGAAGCTGTACACATTGTTTTCATGGCTTTGAGTGCGCTTTCATCTATATGTCTATTATATATATATGCTGCATGAACCTTTGTCAATGTGTGCAGATTGCACATAGCAATTCGTGCATGCATATCTGTGCAAATATAAGGAGGGAGACGTTGCTCTCTGCCATACATAATCTATATTCATGTGCTGTAAGGGGTGTGTAGATCATGGGGCTTGTGATATTACAGAAGCCCTGCAACAGCTTTGGCTGCGGTGTCGACGTGTTGTCTCTCTGCGATATGTTTTGCAGTACTGCGGACGGCTGTTTTTACAAGACAAGCTGTACATACACCTCAAGTACTTTTGTGGACCCGATGCCCAGCGTACTGCAAAACAGCGTTTGACAGAACGCAAGATGGAAGGGGCTACAGAACGGGCCATGCTGACTCTGAACATCATCCATGCAGAGGAGGAAAAGGCGGAGTCCAAGGCAGCCACTGGCGCGGCAGCCGCAAGAAAGAAGCAGAGCAGCAAGGCAAAGGGGGGAAAGAAGGGGGAAGGTGGTAAAGGAGAGCCGTCGAGCTTCGTGCCAACGCCTTCTAATTGTTTCAAAGAGCTGCTGCAGCAAGCAAATATCAGCCTTGACCAGGTCGGACCCAATCCGTGGCTTGGGCCTCACTTCAACCGGAGTGCGCGCGCTGCGGCAGATACGTCGGAGCTTTCAACGGAGGAAAAGTCTAAGGTGGACGCTGAATCAAGCAGCGGCATCAGCAGCAGTGACCGAGGCAGCACCAACGGTGCGACTGGGGAGGGCCTCTGCGTAGGAGACCTTGCCCGCCTCAAAGTGGCGGAGCTGAAGGAGCTTGTCAAAGTTCTCGGGGGGACAGTAGGAGCCCGCAAAACGAAGGCTCAACTGCTGGAGCAGCTTCAGCCGCTGCTGCAAGAGGGCAACACGGCGAAGGAGGAGACGCCAGAAGGGGCAGCAGCGGAAAGCGAAGCAGCCAACGTAGTCAGCAGGGCCAGTGTGGCGTTGCGGAATAGGCAGCAAGAGGATGACGAGCAGCTTCAAGAAGATTCTGAAGCGGAGAACAGCCCCACTCAGGGTCGTGTTGCCCGCAGGAGCAACAAAAACACGACCAAACCTGTCAAGCAGGAAAAGGTAGAGGACATGAACCTCGTGGATCGAAAGCAACAGGTTACAAGCTCACCGGAGAGCAGCACTAGCAGCAGCACTAGCAGTAGCAGAAGGCCACCCTTCAAGTACGTTAAGCCCGTAAAGCCAAAGCAGCAGCACGTAGATCAGCAACAAGACACGGGCGTGATAGACGACGAGCAGCCTCTGTCTGCTGCTGGCGGGGGGAAGAAGCATCAAAAGGCCAGTAAGGGCACAGCCAAAAGCGCATCGAAGAGCAGCAAGAAGGGCAGTAAGAAAGCCTTGACGAGCTGCAAAAAGCCAAGGACGCCTCAGAAGACGAGACCTCGAAAGGCAGCACAGAGGCAGAGCTCACCCCAGGAGAGTACCAGCAGCGGGGGTGACAGCGACTGGGAGAGCGGCAGCACTGCATACGAGCCTTCTGAGTCGTCCTCCGGAAGCGACTCTTCAGAGTCCTTTGTGACCTCCTCAGACGATGCTGCCCCTGTGTCTGACTCTGACGCTTCCTCAGTCATTTCTGTGCTTTCTGCCGGCAGCAAAAGGAGGGGAAAGCGTCGAGGAGCTGGTAGCAGCGGAGGCACAAGTACCAGCAGCAGGGGGTCTCAGCAGCGTCTGCTGGTCACACCGGTAGATGAGTTGCTTTGGGGTAAGGCACTCGGTGATTCAGAGTCTGAGGACGGCGAAGAAGGGGGGCGGGTTAGAGAGAGACTCGAGGAGGATCCGCAGCTGATTGAGGCTCTTAGACAGTCTCCGCTTCACGGTGTTGTGTGGCAGCGAATCGTGCTAGATGAGGCCCACAGAATAAAGTCCAGGAACAGCAGTACCGCACAGGCGATCTTTGCTCTGCGGAGTGCCACACTGAGGGTGCCCGGTGTAGAGCAGCAGCAAAAGCGAGTAGGAGGAGATGACCAGGCTTTGAATTGTGATGCATGTGACACTGCACCGCCTGTGGCCGCTGAGGCTGCTGAGAGCACTGAAGACGCTGTCAAGCAGACGAGTGGGGTAGAGGGCGATTCCAAGCCTGGAAAGCGCAAACGGCAAAGTAAAATGCAACAACGGCAGCAGCAGAAGCAGCAGACGCAAGAGGCGAAAAAGAAGCAAGACACTGAGGGGACGGAGGAGCAGGCACCGCAAGCTGCTGGGCCTCCAAAGCGGATGCGGAAGGCGTCAGAGGGCACAAGCGAGAGCGGAGGTGGTCAACGATCAGCAGGTTCTGCTACCGCTGATGCTGATGAGGGGGAGCGAGAGTTTGAGATTCGGGTTGGAGGCTGCAGGTGGTGTTTGACGGGTACTCCGCTGCAGAACCGAGTTGGCGAGCTGTACAGTCTCGTGCGGTTCCTGCGGTTCTATCCGTATGCGTATTATTTCTGCTCGAAGAAGGGTTGCAACTGCAGGTCTATGCACTACCGGTTCGCCGACGGGAAGTAAGCGTATACAAGAGGGAGCAGCGATTTGCCGCCTCTGCTTTGGTCGCTTCTGCTGGTGCTGGCTTTCTCTCGGTGCAACAGGGGACTGCAGGAGTCAGGGGCAGCTCAAAGATACATTTGCACGGGCAGCAGCATCCCTATGTATGCAGAAGGAGCCATACCCAGAAGCTTGCTCGGGTGGTCGCTGGGGATGCATGCATATACAAACACGGAAGCCTGCCAGTAATGCTTTTGTTCCTCTTTCTTTAGGTATTGCGAGAAGTGTTCGCACACACGTATGACACACTACTCTTTCTTTTGTCGCCGCGTCGTCAAGCCCATCAAAGAGTTCGGGTATCAGGGGGAGGGTATCGTGGCCCTTGAGACGCTGAAGAAGGAAGTGAGGCTACCTAGCATGCAGCACTCTCTACTCGCTTGTTTCTCTCCTCTAGGCTCCGCTGCACAGGTTGCTGTTTAAAATGCTGTTCGTGCTGGCGCTATGCCAACTGTCTCTGGCGCGGCCAGTGCTGCTCTTCTCTTCGTGATGTTGCGACTCATGCCAGACTTGCTTCCTTTATTTGCTGCTGGTTTTGCCTGTTGCAGGTTCTGGATATTTGCTTGCTTAGGCGAACGAAGGTAGAGAGGGCGGCTGATGTGAAGCTGCCGCCCCTCACGGTCTCCATCCGGAGGGATTCGCTGAGTCCTCAAGAAAGAGACTTTTACGAAGCTCTTTTCAAACAAACGGCTACTCAGTTTGTGAGGCGAAGTTTGTCACACTTGCTGCGCGATTCTCCTAGCTGCCTCCTCCTTGTTGCCCTGGTGCTGATGGAGCTGCCGGACTTATCTATCTTTTGTGTGGCTTCTGTAGTCTCCTCTTTCTGCAGGACTCGTATGTGAAGAGCGGCACTGTTCTGCACAATTTTGCACACATCTTCGATCTGCTCTCCCGGCTACGACAAGCGGTTGATCATCCCTACCTGCTCATTCATGGGTCACTCCAGTCCAAGGAGGGCTGTCAGCCCCTCCCCACAGATTCGCGCAACCCCCACGAGACTGGTGTGTGTTCAATTTGCCAGGAAGATATGAGCGCCATGGTAAGCATTTACTCGGCTATTCTGGGTGCTGCGCTTTGCCAGTTTGTGCCGCTCGACACCCATGTGCAGTCGCAAGAAATAATAAGGGCATGAAGATCTCCTACATGTTCTTCTTTGCCATCCAGTCCTGAGCACTCTTCGGCAGGGGACGTGGAACTTCAATTTTCACCCGAGTGCCATAAAAGGCCCCACATTTTATAGGACTGAGGCAATGATTGTGCTGTGTAACTCTCTGTTCTCATGCTGCCTTCCTCTTAGGACATGATTCAAGCCAAATGTGGACACGCATTTCACCGCCTTTGCATTGAAGAATATATGGAGTCTGCGCCCATGATGGCGGATGCAGGAGAAGAGCAAATGCCACAGCCTGCAACACTGGGATGCCCCGCCTGCTTCGTTCCCCTGACTGTTGACTTATCTTGTCCAGTTGGACAAGAGGCTGCTGAAGAATCCTGCAGCAGCCGGCAAGCAGCAGGCAGGAAGACTGCTGCTAGAGCAGGAGGCAGGAAGGAGCGCAAGAATCAAACGGAGGGAGGATGGGATGGGGAGGAGCTTAGCGAGGATGAGGGAGATGCATCTGAGATTGATTCAATCCTCAAGGTGCTTCATGAGTCTCCAGTTTTTTCTTTATTTGCATTCATTTGGGCGGTTGGGCTGTGTGTATCTGCTGTGCATCTTTGTGTCCATGCGCTGCTCTCCGACATAGTGGACTATGTGCATATAGCTCCGAATAACTCTTCGGCAAGAGTCCCCTTACAAGTCGCTCCACCGAGTCTGCTTGCGTATTTCGCAGGGCACCGCAGGTGGAGACATCGTAGATGTCGCGAACGAGGGGATTAATAGAGCGTCCGAGACAAGGAACAAGGGTTCGACGAGAAGAAGAGCAATTATGAAGAAGATCAGCGCCAGCAGCTTCACCAGCAGCACTAAGATTGAGGCGCTTGTGCAGGTGGGAGGGCACGCGTGCTTGTCGTTTATGAGCGGAAGCTTTGCGATCATGTTAAGTTGATGATGGGTTTTGCTTTTCTTTGGGAGGATTCCTTGTTGCCTTATATTTGCGCTTGTTCCCTGGCTGGTAAGGGGCAATAGGGAGTTTTGCGGAGGGTAGCTGCTTGTTGCAGGAGCTACAAACTGATTACTCAGAAGACCCCGAAGTGAAGAGCATCGTCTTCTCTCAGTTCTGTGCCATGCTGGACCTTATTGAATTCCGGCTAAAGAGGGAAGGAATTCACTGCGCCCAGCTGACGGGGTCTATGACTGCCATTGCGAGGTACTCACAGGTTTCTCTTCCCTTGCATAACCGTCCTTTGCTCGCTTTCTCTGTAGATTCATGCCTACTATATCCAAGCGTACTCAACTTCTTCGTTAAGCAGCACTTGAGGTCTTGGGGGATGTCACTAGACTAGCACCACTGCACGACCTCGTTGCTGGGCGTGCGTCCTGATAGGAGAGCCAGGGCGTAGGTTTCGTGCTGTTTTTTGCACGTGACATTTTGCAGGAGCAATGTGCTGTATGCGTTTAACAAAGACCCCCACATGCGAGTGATACTGATTAGCCTAAAGGCAGGTGGAGAGGGGCTGAACTTGCAGGTTGCCAGTAGGATATACCTCATGGATCCTTGGTGGAACCCAGCAGCTGAGATGCAGGCCATCCAGAGAGCCCATAGAATTGGTCAGACACGGCCTGTTAAGGGTGTGCGCTTCATTTGTAGTGACACAATTGAGGAACGCATTCTGCAGCTCCAAGAAAAGAAACAACTTGTATTCGACGGCACTGTAGGCGCGTCGAATCAAGCAATGCATAAGCTTACTCAGGAAGATCTCCGTTTCCTTTTTCAGTCTTAGTGAGAAGCAACACGTGCCCAGTTCTTCCATATACCGAGGCGCACTTCTGTTGCGCCAGAAGGAGCCTGAGCACCATTTCGCAGCAGTTTCTGCCTGGTCTGTTATCGTTGTTCTTGCAAATCATTCAACTATTGTCTGTGCCCGAATCAGTGATATTCGGGTCACTGCCTACATCCGTCTTATTTAATACCCTACAACTAGGGAGAGAAACGTGCCCGCCTTCTTCGAGGGGGTGTTTCAACTTTTTGACACCTCATTTGGGCTCGAATGAAGTGATCCGGCTCATTTGATACAGGCTTTCCACTTTTATCCCTGCACACACATCGCCTCGTCTTCTATTAAGTCGTTTAGCCTACTCGGGGGGCACTGAAGAACCCAGTGAGGCATATAAGTTAGATGAGTCGATTGGTGCAGAAGCTCCTGTGGAATGCACGCCACGTCGCCACTCCACTGGTATTCGACGAATACTTGATTCCTCACAGCATCCGTCTTTTTCCTTTCCTTTCACCTAAGATAAAACTTGCATTTGGAGTAGGACACAGCAGCCTCGAAGTTGCGTTTCTTCCTGCTCGCAAGTTCTGCTCTGCACTTCAGACAAAGGTGTGTGTGGCTCCCCAGGACGAGGAATTCTCTTCCTTCTGCATTCCGGCTCATCTTATTGGATTGCAAATTGCACTTTGTCGAGTACTTCTTTCTCCGCTTGCATCGATAGCTCCACGTATTTTTAGCTGTAGCCAGGACAGAGCGTAACCCACATGCGGCCCGCTGTGTGGAGCTTTGCAAACGACCACATAGGTCCTAAGGAGGTCTCACATATAGATGGACGCGCAGTATTCATGACAATAAATGTAATTTGCTGCGAATATACCATGCCTCGGCGGCAGTGACGCATTTTGACAGCCGGCTAAGCCGCTCTTCAACACTTCGTATTATACTACTTTTATCCAACTGAGAACTCATATGGATTTGCTGATTGGTTTGTCTATTCGTATATATTATTTATTGCAGAGCACTGCTAGGTTCATACAAGAAGACGCAATTTTGTCTGCGTGTACGCTCACTGCTGTGTACAACTAGCTCTGAAAGCTCGAAGTGCTCAAAGGGTGCGTCTACGCGCAGCTGAGTTGTACCCCTATTTGTAGGGAACTCTGAGGGATGCGAACTGGAGAAGGCGGGATTTCTTTTGAGAATCACGCAGTAATTTAATGCTAAGTTTGTGTTGAGTTTGGATCTTAATGTGTTCTTACGAAGTCCTTCGATTAAGCGTTATTGTGGTCCTGCAGGTGTTTGCTTTAGATACACTTCTTCAGTGCTTCCTTGCCCACACATATCTCCTGCCCAATCGGTGCTTTGATGCGCAAACATGTAGTTCAAAGACACACAATCCTAGCCTGACCCTTGACCTCCGGCAGTACAACGACAAAAGCTTATGGCCAGATTAGCTTAAATTCCTTGAGAAACCTGAAGGTATTTTAATAGTCGCGCATAGGTGCTTTGTGCGGCTTCAGCTGCTGACACTCTGAGCAGAGTAGTGCTAATTCATCCGCCGTAGACGCATCTCAGGCCACCAGAAAGTCCATGAGAGGCCCACTAAAGTGTAAGTCCCACACGCCCTGACGCTCATAGTGAAGTCAGAACGTACATGCGAAAAATCTTTCGCCTTTTGTGGAGCCACAGCAGGTGATCCTCAACGTCTTAGCGCATGATCGTCTTGCCACTTTAGATTTTGTCCAAGGAAGCGGATCTATGGGCTTCAGAAGCATGGGATTCACACGATTCCGGTGGAAGCGGTAAAACATCACAGACTATTGCGTTTGCACTGCACAGTAACCCATTGCCCAGGTGATGCGGAAGCGCGTTGGCGACCACGCTAGAGATGTCAGTAATGTACTTTCCTGTACATCGATGCTGCGGAGGGTGACAAAGCCAGCAGACAGCTCTAGGATAATCGAACTCCTAAAAGCTCTTCGTAAGGTACAACGAAGTCTTTTCGGTCGGAACGGACAGTGGAGAACCCTTACATAAAGGTTGTTGAAAATTTTCGCACCCCACACACTGCGTCGAGTTCTTTTCTCCAGCAATGGATGTGGCTCCTCGGATAGCGATGAAAATAACATGCAACGATTTGATGTGAAAGAGAACCCGTAGGCTGCTCACAGAAAATATTGCCTGGCGCGACGTCACTAGCGCCAGTAGTTTAGGAATAAATGGCGCTCATTATCGGTAGCGCCGCTACTAGAGGAATTGTAAGGCAGGCACTCAGCATCCTTGCTGCAGCGCAAGCCTTCTCTATCGCACTCACAGTCTGCGTTTTAGGGAGTAGATGAGTTCAAGGAGCAGTGTTAAGCAACATTCTTTGAAGTGTAAATTTGACATTAAGGTGCGACCTTGCAAAATTTTGCATTGTCCTTCTTTTTGTGCGAACAAGCCTTAATCGCGTTAATTTTATTCCAGGTGTAAGTCAACTCGTACCGCCAAAGCACGGAATCCTGGAGGCACAATCGTAAACAAGCCTTAGCTTCAAGGACTGTTCCAAAGAGTGAACGGGCCATTTACCTTCCGCGCTGTCTTCTCAAGAAGCAGATTCGTTTCACTTTAAGTGTTTACAATGGTTGGTATTACTTGAGCATCAATGCGAGCTCACTTTGGCGCAGGCTTCAGCCATGGTGGGTCCTCAGGTACGGATCTTCTGTGACCCCTTCCCCTACCCCGCTGCCTGCATGGAAGCCTGCCGTTTCCCTGAGTCGCCTTCTTTGCTCGCCAAGCGTCTCAGATCCATTGTTCTCGTTCTCCAGCATTATCCATGCGCATGCAGGTCCGAATCATATGGCCTTATTTTGCTCATATGAACGCAAACGCATAGTTGGGGGTCTCTCCAGGGCCGCTCAACAGAGTGGATTTTCTCCAAAGCTCTGTTCTCGTTTACCTTGGACCACGGGTTAGGGATGGTTGACCGAGACCCGCCATCCGTAGGTCTCTAAACTTTGGCTGACTTTACTCTCTATGCCCAAAACTCAATTTTGCGCTTACTCGCTTCTGGAGGCTCAAGTAGTTCATTTTTTGGAAGCGCCACGAGGCAGTTGTTTAATTTCTGAGTCGTCGTCCATCTTACCATTACCTGATGTAGCGCTTGGGGTGCACCCGAGAAAAATCCCTGAGGAAGCAGTTGTTCAACTACGTTGTACCTTTTGTGAGCCAAAGTTTCATATATCTTCATAGAGCGATCCAGAGCTAGGGTACCCTGCTTCAGGATTCTCAAAACTTCCAAAGCTTCCGTGAGGCAAACTGGCAGGAACCGACGAGTCAGGGTTTGTCTAAAGGTTTGAAGTGCAGTAATTCCTGCAGGAAGACGACTTCCTCTCCATGGAGTAAGCCATTGGTAACGTGTTGTACCCTCCAATAAGCTCACCAGAACGTGCAGACGTTCCCCTTAATCTGCTGGGTAAAAAGCGAATTATATGTCCAACCAGCGAAATGAAATCGAGTACTTGCCCAACCTTCGGGCCGTCATATTTTTCTGGTCGGCATAGCCTCAACAAAGCATCCGTAGCCATTTTTTCGGCTGGCAAATTATGCTGTCAGAGCAGCAGTGGAGTAAGTGCGCTCGTATTAGCTGGCAGGCTGCCCTCGCCCACTGCCGTAGGCATTGCCGCACATAAGCTTCCAACGCCAGAGGGCGTTGTCCGCTAGACTGTTGCCAGCAAATACTAGATGCTCAGCCTACAAAATAACTTAATCGAAATTAGACAGCTGTTGTAGATAAAGATGAAATCCTACTGCATGCAGAGGCAGGGGATTAGTGGGGGCCAAGCTGCATTGAACTATGCAGCACTACCAAGAAGACTCCCTCCTGTCTCTGTCCGCACCCATCAGATATCTCAACACGAAGATAGAGAGGCAACCAGGGTGCTCGCATCTGCAAACTATGAGCACTTCAGTAATTTTTAGCAAGTTGCAGGTAGCACCTCTCGCGCACACGGAGAAAACGGTGCGTCTTCTCGTATGGAACTAGCCGTCCTGTGCAATAAATTACATAAAAGACCAAACAAACCAACCAATCAATTCAGTGCAGTAGAAATTGCCCACAAATTATCCCCTCACATGAATGATGATTAAGCCGAAAGTGTGCATGTAACCACGGCATTAGCTGCTTCCCGCTACAATATAATTTCGCAACTCCAGGCGGTGAATATGGAAAATGTTGAGGCGAGCTCTTAGAAGGCTTGTTCTCTTTTGTAACGTAGTACATGGCAACTGGCCTGTCGCGGAGCTTGATGAGGTTCGAAGAATGTGAAGATACATGCATGTTGCTTCTCTCTCTTCACCCTGATCTATACTAAGCTATCCTTCAAATATAATTTCCCTAAATCGGTAGCTGCAAGCAAAACAACCGTTGCATCTGCAAATGAACACAGCTGCGCCTGAATTGGAAGCCGTTCGGACGCTGCTGCACTGAGCGGACGATCAGTTGCAGAAGCTGCGGAAGGTAGATGTAGCAAGTTACTGTATTTGTCTTCTCGTTTTACACACTTAAAATTGATCGGGAACTCAAGTAGGTAATTAACTTATTACACCGAGCACCGCGAGGCAGGAACCCTTCAGCCTTCCACCAGAAGCAGCAACGTGGTCTTAGGGTTAGGCGTGCTATCCAGGGCAGCCTTAGAGGACCCATGCCTTTTCCTATTGGAGGCATACGGGCTCTATTTTCGGGATCTTAAGACCTCTATGGCGCTACAGCTTCCCTTTAACAGTTCTTAAGAAAAGAGGAGCTGGACGAGAATTTTTGTTGGCACTGCCAGGTGCAAAAGAGCATCAATTGTTCTCTTCCAGATGTGCGTATGTTCGTTTCATGATTATTCTACGTAGGTTGCCATGACAGTCGAATAGCAGCGGCAGCAGCAGCAGCTGAGGCGAACTGGTTTCTGGGCAACACGACTGTGTAACTGCAGCAACGTACTGTCTCAGTTTCTTCGTTGTCGGCAGTCCATGTCTCCGGTTTTTCACCTGTCCCATTAGTAGAGAAATACCAGAGACTACAGCGGTGTTAGCCACAGAAGCAGCAGCAGCGGAGCTCTTCCTTTTGTTTCAATACTTGGCCGCCGCAGATGGAGGCAGCGAACGACCTAAGTCGGGCCGGGGCTGCGCAACACGCCTCGGCAGCCCAAAGCCTCGCTCGGATTCTCAGAGAGCACAGAGATATCCAGCGCAATGCGTCGCCTCATTGGACCGCGGCTCCTCTCTCCGTGAGCACAACTCATCCATGCACGCAGATAAGCCGTATCAGCGCTAGCATCCTGGCCAGTGCTGATACGCAAGGCCTATGGGGACTCTTACAGAAGACCCTTTTCTCTCTAGGGGGCTGTGAAACTCTTCCAAAGGCTACCAGGCTAGAAATCTACATTAGCTCAGGTAGAGGCATCAATCTTTGAGGACATGAAGAAGGAGCCTAGGTTTTACAGAGTATCTTGAGTTTATTTGCTTTGCGTTCAGCTGGAGGAGCCTCGGGAATGGCATTTTACATTGCGGGGGCCCCCAGACTCGCCTTTCGAGGGGGGCCTGTACCACGGGCGAATTGTGCTGCCTAATAATTATCCCTTCGCGCCACCAGCGCTCATGCTACTGACAAGAAACGGTCGATTCGACGTTAACAAGAAGGTCTGATTGTTTTCCACTGTTGTACTTCTGTCTCCAGTATTGTGTTAGCATTTCTGCAGTCCCTTTTCCTGCAAAAGTGGTACAGGTGCCTCCAGTTTCTTCTAGGTCTTGTGCGGCCTTTCTGGTGGGGTATTAACCCACTGATTCTGGAGGCCGGGGCATGTCTTTGTCGTATGTGGTATGGTCCGTGTAGTCTGCATTCTTTCGCATGTGCCTCCTTGGGGCGGCTCTCGTTGGCGCAGGGGGGTTTCTTCAGGTTTCCTCCCGGTTCTGTGCTGCATGGCCTTCACTCTTGGGCTGTATTTCTCTCTCTATCAAATTAATGTCTGTGACTCTGCCTTCCGCGCATTTGGACTGCCTTGCACCTCTCTCCCCTCCACAATTAAACCCACGTCCGTGTTTGCTCAAATTATTGTCGTACCTTTGCATCTGGTGTGTTTCCCCCACCGTTCCAGATATGCCTAAGTGCGAGTAGCCACCACCCCGAGCTGTGGCAGCCCGCCTGGGGCATCCGCACTCTCCTCGACGCCCTTTGCGCCTTCTTTCCAACTCCAGCTCAGGGGGCCCTCCACTCCATAGAAGCTTCTGAGAAGGTGTGTCGCTGTTGCATAGAGCAAGCGTCGCTCCCAGAGCTGCTCATCCAGCACGCGTATCGGTTCTTGCAGGGCTGCAACTGCTGTCGAGTGGGTTGGCTTACGAGGTCGCCTGCGTCCCCGCTTGCGTAGAGATGTTGGCTGTAGCCGTCACGGGCAACTTCTCGGGCGAAGGAATTGGCGGAAGGCCTTTTGCTGGTGAAGCGATTATTGGCGGAAAGCCTTTTGCTGGTGAAGCGATTGTTCTGGTGATCCGTTTCAGGACAGGCGACAGATGGCCCTAGAGAGTGTCTCCTGGGTCTGTCCCGTCTGTAAGAGACCCAACAGACAACTCGTCGAGGAAGGCTGCGCCGCTCCGACGGACGCACTTCCGGTACGTAGAGCAGAGCCGGCGAGAGGCGGATGGGCAGAGTCCTCGATATTGCGGGAGAGCGGAACACTGCGACAGCTGAAGCACAGAGGAACCTAGTACCTAACCAGAAAAACCCAGAGGGGAAGGCCTAGGTGTTTCTTTCTCAAGATTCCAGTTGTTGGTTAGCGGCCGGAGTTCGTAGGTGGGAGAGTTCACAAGGTGGCAAACGCTGTCTGGGGCACGCGGGTTTTTTTCTGTTGCAGGAGCTACCGGATCAACTGAAGGCTCAGGCCCTTCTGGCGAAGAATGGGGGAAAGGAACCACCTCCGGACACAGCAGACCGGGGAGTAAAGGAGCAAAACTTGCAGGTGCGTGGGGTATACTCTTAGATGCAGATAAACAAAACGCAGGGAGCTGGTCAGGCATGTTGGAGACGACAGCAAGAACCATTAGAGCAGTTTTAATATGCAGTTGATAGTGAGACTTTTGTAATCTAGGCATAGTCATTTAAGACTCTCAGTAGTCGGTTGTAGGCCCCTCTGAAGGTAGTTGGGAGATACAGAAATGAGTAGTCAGTTCGGTTAAGCTCGGAAGAAATACTGCGGCCGCTGCGCGACAGGGTCTACGCCGGACGCAAGTGATCAACACCACCACTGCTGCATCCACTCTCAGCAGTGGTAGCAGTAGCAGCAACAGCAGCAGGAACCCCATCGGCCAGGCTGCGGAGATTTCCGTGAACAGGAGGCCTACTCGGCATCAGCCTCGGTCTCTGTTGTCGCAGCTCGTGCGGCTGCCGTCGGACAGGACGGAGTTGCTCATTACTTTGGCTGACATGGCGCTGCTGCTGCTGCTCTTGGCTTCACTGCTGCTGCTAGGGGATTTGCTCCTGCAGCCGCCACAATTCTCCATCCTACGTCCATCTCCCGCGCTCAGCAGCTGAACGGCTGATGGCGTGCGCAATCGGTGGTCGTTGGAATCAAATGAAGTGCAGTACATGCAGTTCCACGAGCCGCCACAGCGATAAGTGCGCTGAGAAGCTCCGCACTGGCAATGTAAAACGATCTGCTTTGTGTCTAGAAAGAAGCAAGATGGCAGGTTCTCAAATGTTCGTATTTTATGCGCCATTAATGGAGTCCTATGAATGTGGATTCAGAGGCCATAGCCTAGAGTAAATCAAAGAAAGGACGCTGCGGCAGGCGCGCTCATAAACGGGTCGAACCGGCAGGCTGCTGATATCCCACGCCACCCAGAAGCCGAGTGACTATCACTGTAGACACCTTTTTCAGCCTCCCTAGCATATATGCAGATGAACATCTGCATTGTTATTGCTTAGTCGAGGAGACCATTGTCGGAAGTAGTGGAGTCTGGCTCTCTGTGGAAACCAACATAACACTTTTTGCCCCCCGAGACAAGAAATGGGCATGCTCTCCTTCCGTTTCACTCCTTCTCAATCTCCCCACCTAATAGAGTCATAAGATACACTAATTCTCTGCGTACTGTTTTGCAGTGCCCCCCATGAAAGTCCACATTGCACATTCGTAATTCATCGCGGTGGCGCAACCTGCTAGAGGTATTATGTACTTTAGGAGCATATTCTGTTCATAAGAATGTCGGGCAAGACGTAATGAGAGTCTTGGATTCGCCTCCCCGGTGGCTTCTACACACCAGTTCTGCCTCCTTTGCTCACAAAGCTTACGGGTAATCTATGTGTAGCCTCAGCAAGATAATTTTAAATAGACTGAAAGGGCCACTGATCACAGAGGACCTTTTGTTTGGCTCAGGAGGTGATAAAAGGTCTCAAGACATGCATGTTCAAACACAGAGACTTTGTGCGTCTTGGGTGTGGATAATGCAAACCTGCTGAGCATCAACAGTTATCACTATGTTGCGGCTCAATGGCATGCATTTCACTAGAAACATGAAATTTCTAAGGCTCCGCTTCCGTATCCGAATTAAGTAAGTCTTGATCTTATCACACCCATTTCAATGTTTAATGGAAACAAAGCAAAATTAGTTTGTCGAAAAAACCCGCCCACAATTGCAGTCCAGGTGGTTGACATGCAAGAAATGCACTGAGCCCACCAAAAGCCCTGCATTGAAAGAAGCTGAAAAACCTTCCAAATGGGCCCTTGTTGGGCGGCATGAAGAAATTTTTCGCTTGTAGTATAACAGAAGCTTTTCACTTTTACAGTTTGGTGATTGCGTTCCTTCTCTTCTGCCTCGCCAAAAAGGCATTGTCGAAGGGGCCCTGCCCCTCCCCTCCAGCAAACAGCTGGTCGCATAGAAGAATACCCTTTTTACGTTTTACAGATGTTCTCGGCAGCTGCTGACATTTAGAACCTACAAGAGATAAGGGAAATGCTGGCCGAGTTGCGGCCTGAGCCGCGCGACACGATCTCTACCATCTGCTTCTCCCCAAATCATGCCAAAAATGTGCTCGCTGCATCATCCTGGGACAATGTAAGCCTTATTCACCCACTTATATGTGATTTTTGACTAAACACAGAGGTTCGGCGTAATGTTATGATAATAAATAGCCTAAGCCTAAACATGAATGCACGGATCACAGTGAAGGCATCGCCGCAGTGTTCCTGCTATAGCAGGTGTTTCAGCTATTGCTGTTGATTGTCCTTGGACAATTAATATGTGCTCTCTGACTTTGGGGGAGGGAGGGTGGAGTAGTTGGTAGGCCGAAGCAGATGGTGCATAGTCTGTACTACCTAAAGTCCCGCTGTTTGTTGTGGCTGATTCTGTGTCATTGCAGATGTTGCGCGTGTACGACGTGGACAGTTCGGAGCTAATATCACAGCACGAGTTCCAGGCGGCGCCCTTGGACTGTTGCTTCCTTGCAGATTTTAACCGCGTGGCCGCAGGCGGCTTGACCGGGGGCGTTCACGTCTTCGATGTTCACGGTGCAAAAATTACACAAGTCGGACGGCATGATGCTCCAGTCCGCTTTGTGCGGTTTCATAGGCCTACAAGTGAGGAGAACGCTTTTGGCTCTGTTTTAGTCTTGATATTTCTTGCATGGCAAGCACCATGCAGAAGCATACGAATGGTAGTAGGCTGGAGCGCCTACATAGAGGTATAGAAGCTTTTAATATTGTCAGAATTACGACCTTTGTACTGCTTTAGTGCACCAACTTTTCTTCGGTGGATTTAACTGGTCGTTTCTTCTAGTATCCTGCTCCTCACTTCTGTACTGCACGCGAGGGAACGACCTGGGATGCGCCCTACTTTCTCTCCTCTGTTTCTCTATATCCTTATGCAGATATGCCAATCTTTCCTTCATGACGGCATTTTGTTTCTGTATCCGGTACTTCGCAGATTTGATATACTCGGGGGGCTGGGACAGCACAATAAGAGCGTGGGACTTGCGGTCTCCGCGGGAAGTTGGGATGGCGGCAGTCCATGGTAAAGTCTACGCTATGGACCTCAATGACGACAAACTCGTAGTTTGTGACTCAAAGAAACGAGTAAGCCTGAGTCACAGCAAGTAAAGAGCTGCCCCAAAGAAATGGCAACCTGCAGATATATCCGCAGCCATCTGTTTCTTGATCAGTTCTCAGTATGTTTTCCACATCGATGGCATGAAGCAGCAGAAGAGATATTGGCAGCCTTCAGGAATCCTGCCGGCAGGATTTGACCTTTCTGTCTTGTGACATGGGTGCTGTGATGCGTGCAGACATACATCTATGACATCCGGAATGGCCCAGAGATGACTCATGCGGAATACCGCGAGTGCGTCCTTCAGGCTTAATCGAACCTTACTGCAGGTTGCCTATGATTGTTTCCCCTTTTGTTCATATCTACCCACGTTGCTTTTTGGAATAGAGGACTTCTTCACTTATCTCGTGGGCGTTGGGGGTTCTACAACGGGTGGCGATACAACTTACGTAGATGTAGACTTACGTTGCTGTGGAAGGCCCGTGTATCTAAAAGACGTGTATATACTGAATGCGAAAAGGTAGAACGGAAGAATTTGATCTGCAACGGTCATCTGAATGCATAATGTATGTGTCTTGTCTCATTTGCGTTGCAGCCAAATCCTGAAATACCAAATCAGGGCAGTACGCTGTTTTCCCAACGGCCAAGGATTCGCGGCCTCTTCGATTGAAGGGCGCGTTACTTGGGAGTACTTCGACCCCGTAAGCTCTTGATTTCCATCGTAGATCGCGACTTACCTTATTCTACCTTTCTGGCTCTCAGCCTTTGTAGATTGTATATCTGTATGCGCTTGGACTTCTCTTGGGCTCTGGACGTCCCGATCACGCATGCGGTTTTCCTGTCATGGCTTCTCGTGATTGCGAATTTTCTAGTACTTCGGTTGCATGTGTATTTCTGGAACTTACAGCGGACTCTGGACTATAGGCTTCCACTTGCACTATTTTACATGTCCTACAGCGTGTGCCTTCTGCGACTGTCTGATGCTTACAGAGTCCCGAGGCTCAAGCCCGCAAATATGCATTCAAGTGCCACAGGGTCAAAGGTGGGCCTACCATAAAAGAGTAGCTGTGGAGCGCCAGGGAAGGGCGGACACATTGGAAGGCATTTACTAAAAAATGTCATGCAGAGAGTGCCAATTTTTGTCAGTACCTCGATTTTTGGGTGTGTCACTAGGACAATCTAGAGCTACATTTCACTGCGTCGGCTTTAGTATCTGGATGCTTCTACGTTGTGCTATTCATTACTGCTTTATTTTGCAGACCCGGACGGCTCAGAAACAGCATGCCCTGTGAATTCCATTGTATTTCACCCGCGGTGAGACATCACCAGCCGTTATGCATATGTCTACAGCTACCTGCCTGTGTCGATGTGTATCCCCATTTGCCGATATTTTGGAGGGCTTTTTACGGGTGGAATTTAGCCCTTGTGGGCACTAGAGATCATTTGGTGTTCCTTGAGAACTTACGTGCATGTGTGGTCCCTACATCTTCAGATATGGTACCTTCGCCACTGGAGGTTCAGACGGCGGAGTCTCTATATGGGATGGCCTGAGCAAAAAACGGCTCTGCAGGGTTCCTCCTCTACCTACCAGGTACCCTTTTATTTATGATGAAGTACATCAACTCTGAGACTTTTTGCCGGACTCTGATAGCCCAGAACTGCGCTTTTCTCGTTACAACTCACGTGAAAGGCATGCAAAATACACGATGTATTAACAGTGTAACTTCTCTTTTGTTAACGTCTTATGACGACATAAATTTAAATCACTGATTATGCTTGTGTCACGTTCCCTTTTTTCATTGAGGACAATGAATCTGTATGTTACTGTGGTGAATTTGGAAAGATGAACTTTCTAGTTGGACGGATATGTGATTCCTGCAGCGTCTCCAGTTTGGCCTTCAACTCCAGCGGCACGCTCCTTGCTACGGCGGTTTCTTACATGTATGAACGAGGGCCACAGATGGGAGTACCCAAACCGCAGATCATTTTACGAGCCGTGAAGGAAGAGGACGTGCGGCCGAAGGCCTAAGGAGTACGAGGGCCTCAGGGGTGAGGGCCCCGCGACAAGGGATACGGAGAATAGTTCGTTAATGACAGCAGTTAATAGCCAGTGGGCAGTAGATGCCTGCCGCTTCAATGAATGGTGTTGGCGACGATAAACTGCCTGGTATCTGGGACTGGCTTTTGGTGGACTAGGGGTTTTTGCTTGTCTGCATTCCTAGGCATGTGGGTGGGAGGCGGTTTGGGGCTACTTTTTATCCGGTATTCACGGGTAGCCGCCTAATTTTCTCCCCGTACCATTACGTCCAGTTGATCAAGACACAGTTGGCTCAGAATGTAATCTGCGTTTAGAGAGTCGTTGTCTTCCCACCTGTGGGTAGCAATGCACATTAAGACACACTTCATCGCATGGGGCCGATTCTGCCGCTTCAGTGCCCCACTTAGCTCCTATAGTTCCGGCATGCGTTTGGCCATTTCGGTGTCAGATAGAAAGGTACTGGTGGTTCATCCGTCCTCGAACTCATTGGCGGCTATTGTACACCATGTAAGCCAAACATAAAATAGTCTGGGAAGTCGCAAGCTACGTATTTGGCAACGGCTAATGGCACCTGAGTCTGGCATCTTCTTCCGTTTGAGCGATGCCACTTAGCAGATGCCGTTTTACTACACGAGATTCAGCAACATGCCTGCAGCAGCAGCTCAACAAGACTTCACAGAAGCCTCAATGGTAGTAATGTACGCGTATTACCGTGTACTCTTTATGTATGGCGTACACATGCCATATTCAACTTGCTGAAGACATGTGTAACATCGGTTGCCAAGCACGACATCGTGTAATCGCTAACACTTAGATTTTATAAGGGCATTTATGGTATGGGGCTACTCATGCCAGGGATCACGCATGCATGTACTTTGGGTCGAGGGCTTAGTGGCGTACTTTGGCGTGTCGATGAAGATTGTGAGGTCGAAGAGTTCATGCTTTGGAGGCCCCTCATCTACCAGGAGGGTGTAAAGTCCTTCCACTAAGACTACCCGTGTATCCTTTGCAATTGTACAGCCTTTGCTTTCAGGATCCTGCGCACAGCGGAATGTGGTTGTGGTACGTCCCGAAAACTACATAGTGCATTGTGCTGGATGCACGGTCTCGCTTGCCCATATATGATCGTTAAAAATGCTGGATGTTGGAGTTACGGGCACAGCTGCTGCCTCTGCTGTAAGCAGAAATGTTTGGTGTACGAGACCAGCACAAGCTGAGTTGTCCTTGCTTTACACCGTTGGTGCAAGTTGTGCATACCTCTCCTGTCTGATGCGTCTGAGCGATGTAAAGAATGCGGATGCACCTGGGAGAAAATGATACTTGACGTGTTGAAAAGCGAATAAGGGGGGCTGTGGTTTATACGGCAAGAGAAGGCTCACCTTCACAGAGTGGTGGAAGGTAGGGAAGGTACAAGCCTCGGCTTTTGTCTTCAGGTGACGCAGCGCGGCCCTGCCCCGTAAACAGGTTCAGAAAATGGCTGCCTTTGTGTATGTTGCTTTAAAAGCAGCAAAGGAGGACTGCGGATGAATACAGAATATATTTATTTCACAGTATTATGAGGGCAGAAGACCGGTCGAATGCAAGCATGCCTAAACGATTCAAATTGCTAGAACATGTTTGGCATGCAGCGCTTTGGCAAGTTTTACATTGGTGCATGCGCATCGTACACACAAATAAGATGCCCTTGTGTGTTTTATTAGTCTGGATTAAGAACTCTATATTAGACGAAATTTCACTGTACCAGAAAGCTGGGAGATTGAATGTCCATGGAGCTCCACGGCGGCGGTGTGCCTCTTGGGGGTTGGGGAACCTGAGGAGACAGGGAAATTCTTATCCATGGGGTACTCCGTCAATATATTGTGTTGCCAGTGCACGCTCCGATATGTCTAAACAAGAAGGCCTCTTGAAAATTGATGGCAAGGGAAGTGTGGAACAACGCACACTTACTTGTCTAGTTCGCTGCGACCGTAGTGAAAGCCATCAATGCCCACCAACCCGACAGGCTCTGCGACTAGTGCAGTGTCCTGTTCGTCAGGCTTGTGGATGTAATCTTCGGTGGTGGAACTCTGACCTAAGAGACAGCTGCAAAACAGGTCTTTAGCTGCAGAGTTGAGCTCAGTTTGTAGTCGCCTTGCAAGAGTGGACTTGCCGCTTCCTGGAATACCTCCAATAGCCACGAGCACGCGCCAAGAGTGGTTTTCTTGCTCAGACTTTCCTATGATGCTGGGTGGCTGCACATTATTACTAACGCACTGAGGCTTTTCGGCCCCCTGTGCACCATATGCTGATGGCCGTTCGGGCGAAGATATACGGTAACAGCTATGAACAGCCGCCACATAACTGGCTATATGTGTTGCCAGCGGCTTTAGGTCAGAAGTCGAAAAGTGTTTCAGCCTCGTGTGCTTAGCATGCGTATGTGAAGGACACACGCGGCTGCGGTCCTGTGCGTCGCGACACTCCATCCCGAACAAAGCAGTATGCACATATTCGAATTCAGTAATTTGCAATTAAACGAAGGTACATTCAGGTGCTTAGTTTTATGACGCTGAATATTCCAGAGTCAGCCCAGAAGGAAAGATGGCAGCGAGGGTGGACGGGGGATCGACGCTGAGGCCTCCTGTGTTCTTTACGGTGACCCTTTGTTGGTTTTAGTTGCACAGCTCAAACACACCTATGTATGATCCTAGATAAGTGTTCCTAAATTCTCTATTCCAAAGTAGTTACAGGTTTCTTTAGAACCTCTGCCGAAGCCAGCTTTGTGGCTCTTGTGTTTCCTGCAGTGGCGACTTCCAGAGCACAGCTTAGCCCCACACGTGTAAGAATAGTAGTGGGGTGATTCGCCAATACAGAAAATCGAGTACCCTTACGCTGACAGGCATAATGCATTGGGAATATGTTAGGAGCATTACAAGAAGCCGAAGTTATCCTGGAACGTATTGTGCCATTGAATGCTGTGAAGTTATACGTGACTAGAGCTTTAATTATCAATATTATTGCTTGATTAATTAATTTTTGCGCTGTAGCTTTCTTTGGTTTGAATATGTTGAAATTGTGGACTCCTGAGGCAACGAGGAGCACGTGTGTTTAGTGGCACAAATGGGACGGGACTAAAGCATGAAATCAGAAAAGAGGGGGGAGCATCATGAGAACTCCAGATAGAAGACAATATCCTTTATTAAGAGCGTAGACTGTAAGCTACGCTCACGTGCTTGGGCGCTGGGCACGAGAATATGTGTGTCGGAAAGGTGAACCACAAAAAGTCCTACTGAGAATAATACAAAGTGCCGGTTTTGGAGGCAGCAAACTCGATGGAACACCTCAGCTAGGGCTTCGCGTCAACTCCGCGATAAGTCACTATGTAAAGAAGCACACATTAAATGTACGTCTCGGTGCCATACACAGAGCATTAGGGAAATATACAGGCACCGGACTTTCCAACCATCGAGTTACGGTGTTGCCGAATAGGTGCGATATTCGACGCAACGCAAATCCCAGAAAAAGTACGAAGATGCGACCAAAGACCACCTTGATGCTTTCCGTTCCAGCACCCGCATGCAATCGTGCCGCAAGCGATATGTGTGTTGCTAGGCGCGACTGTGAAAAGGCACTGGGGGGCCCTGAAATTTCCAATGTACCAAAAAGAAAAGTCAGCCTTCATTGGTGAAAAAGTGCACCCGTCAAATATCTTGATAGGTCTCCAATCGCAATCCCTTCTGGCACCAATAAGTGCCGTAGGTTCGCAATATTGAAAGGCCCTGCAGTGCTTGCTGACCTAACTAACGATACTGCAACACATAAAAAGAGCTCCTGTGCAAGCACAAGATGCATTTACGTTGTTGCGGTTTGAGCAGTGTCCGTGCTTGTGGCCCTCACCGAGAAGGCTAGAGCTTTTTCGGGCTCTCCGCGGTGAGCAGAAGACAGCCCCGAGGCCCTGCAGCAAAATCGACTACTCTGATGCCGCCTGGGACCTTCTGCTGTTCGTTATTCATGCAGGGTAGAAATGAGTTTGCCCGCACTGGGGTTCGATATTCCGCAGCGTCTTGACCGAGGGGTAGCAAGGACGCCCCCGGGCCCCAGAAGAAGATCTCCCCTTTCTCTGCGAGTGCACGCACATGTATAGCCGAAATGCTTCCTACGAAGAAACAATAAAGGGTGCCCCCAAAGCAAACACATCACTACTCCTGATGCAGCCACAAGCGTAAATTTCCATTTCCCCGTTTGACAGTACAATCGTCGCCTTTACCAGCCCCCTTGTAGCACCCCCTGGCAGGACCAGAAAGCCTCCTTACTAGACTCCTAAATGGCGCACCGTCATGAAACGAAAAAGCTTAGCGGAACAAGTATATATGATGCTTCGCATGGCGCAAAGGGGCGCTGACGGTTTCTGATTGTAAAATGATTTCTGCTTACCTGTAAGAACAGCCGAAAAAGCAGTTGCGCTCGAATCGCCCCCAGCAGCTACTTTCGTAACTCGACCTTTAAAAATACTCTGCATCAGCAGTAGCAGTGCACAAACGAAATGAGTTGGAGAAACATTTACAAGGCGATGTAACGCAAACAGATTGGAAAGGGTACGGAAAGCCAACTTGCACTTGAGTACTGGAGTCCCAAAGGGTTGCCTACAAATACTCCATATACTAAAACCAGCCTGTGTTTCCAAGCTGATATTTTCTCACGGACTCCAGGATATCGCCAGTGCATATCAACGGCATGAGGGGCCTCCGCCCTTTCTCCTCCCCACTCGTACACCATGCCGTTCCCTGATAGTACAAACAACAAACCGCCATAGACTCGAAGTAAGGGAACAGTTCTACGGACCGGTAAGTGGGTATATAACAGATGACCTATACGACGAAACATCGCACCCAATGGAGGCCCAATGGCTTTAAAGGCCCCCACATGGTTCTGTGGGCCCATGTCTCCCTAAATTGGAAATCTGTGGATACGTTTGCAAAATCTTACTAGCAACAGCGAGGGAATGAAAAGGCCCCAGAGCACAGCCTTCCAGCTGTACATCTGACCGCGTAAAGAATTCCGCTAACAATGGGTAATTGGACTCTCCACCCGAGGCCATTACCTGTACCGAACAGACATACAGCCGAACAAAAATATATGCGACGGTGAGAGGGGCCTCAAGGGGCCTAAAAAGCCCGTATGAGGCACCCATTGAAGATCCTGCACTTCAAAACCTACAATGTTACTGGTGCTTTTCCCAACAAATTCTGCCAACATCTCTGGCTCCTCCGAACGCCTAGGCAACGTGCATAGTCAGATGGGTTTGCAAAGGTGTTCTACAGAGGGCAGCTTAGTGAGGAAGAAGCTGGGGGATGGAGCAATGTAAGCCCACGGATTTCTCCTTGCTGAGCTGCATGCGATTGTTACGCCCCCACATCCATAAGCAGCCTTCGGGCGTCAGAAGACCACAGTGAAAAACCCCACAGAACACTGAAGGAAGTCTCTCGCGAGTATCTGCAGGAAGATGGCCAGTACAGTTGCTTGCTGCACTGCTGCCCAATGGCGTTTCCAGGGTGGAGTTCTGTGCGGCCTCAAAGGGTTTCTTGGGGAGATAGGATGGGGAGCCTCCTTGTTGGTCCCAGTTCTTTCTCAAGGCTTCCAATTGCTGCAGCTGTCCTTCTTCGTTACGGCGCTGGGCCTCGAGGAAGCCCGAAGAAAGGACCCCTCTAAAAAACTCTAACTCTTTAAACACCTTACTGCTGACGAGCATCCCTGAGCCGTTCAGTCCAAAGTCCGCAGCCCCGGAGCTGAATACTCGTCCAGAGCCTGCAAAGGCAGCGATGCCACGGAAAGCGAAGCCGTAATGACTGGAGGGGGCACTTTAGACTAAACATCCCGAAGTGCCAAGGGCGCTCACGGGTTCACGAAAGCACAAGGTGGCCCTAGATGCTCTAGCAGCCGAGATTTACGAGAAAAGCAATGTCTCTAAGCTACCATGAACCAATGAGAAACCAGAAAAACGAGTTCCGTGGAAAGGAAGATGCTTACTTGTCACAACACAGGTGCTGGCTGCTCCACAGGCGACGTCCACCACGAACTCCTCAGTGTCAACAAACTGCGCGGCACAAGCAAACCACAAAGGAGAACCCAAACCTAAGGACCCTTACGTGAAAATGTGGTGGGGCTACTACTTGAGCTTTCAGCGACTGTGTTAGCCGTAGTACGAGGACACGCATCCGCCTCATGGAAAAAATAGGGGGAACGCAAATACGAAGGCCTCACAGTGCTTACCTGCCCTACAAGGGTGGGCCTAGACCGGTCCTTGCTGTCGCCGTGCCCAAGAGGGCTCCCAGCTCCCAGTGAGCCACCTCTTCCCCAAGTGTACAACACACCGTGAGCTGTCACTGCAGCAAAGTGGTGCAGTCCCGCAGCCACCTTGACGAATCGGACCTCCTCCTCTGTGACAGGCCCTTCAGGTGAAGGGACACTCAAGGCCGTTAGGGGAGCCCTAAGCATTACCGGGATGCCCAAATCCTCACTCCTACAGAGGTGCTGCAACAGCTTTTTCCTATGAATGTTTGATGCGTCTGAACGCTCCGGTAGAATCTTGTGCAGCATCACAGGTTCGGAAGGACCCCGACGCTGAGGCGTGCCTAAAAGGGCCCCCATGAGGATGCCGTCCAATGCAACCACCAACCCGGCGCCTCCAAGAGCCAGAGAGACTGCTGCTCCGGAGAGGGGCAGCGGAATATCATGTAAAGTTCCTACAGCGCCCGGAGACCCAAGCCCCAGCAGTCGCCACCACCGGCTATAGCCACAAGGGAGACTCACGAGAGAGAGGCGCAACAGTGGCGCAAAATCGCTACTAAAGTAACGGGATGTGTGGCCACTGCCCTTCAGTCTGGAGAGGGGCCTCACTTTGCGCAGCAGCGCTGCTCCAGTGGATTCTCCGCATCCTGTGGGAACTCTTGCAGTTCCTGTTGTACGCAGGCTGATGGAAAGGCCCTGAAGATGCCCCCTGTAGCGGGAGGCGGGAAGGAAAGTTGAAGACAGGAGTGCAGTGGGTGCAAGAGTGCAGATCATTCCGCACCGTTTCCAGGTGTCTGAAGAAACGTCCGCGGGTGGAGACTCGCATATGCAGCTGGAGGTCTTACAGACAATACGCCGGAAGACTCGTGACTGTGGCGTGTCACGTGCCTTAAGACTAGTAAAGCATTTCCGGAAAGGGGGCCCCAGCGAGCAGGTGCTCCTCCAGGGGTGCACCAGCCGCGACATTGAAGGGATCACCCTCCGCCGAACAACTGCACAGTCCCCTATGCAAGCAAGAACGGGCAAGCATCAAGGGCCTTCAACCTTCAACCCCAAATCAGCAGCAAGCCAAGACCAAGTATTCTCCACCCACAACCTTTGAGCTTAAGCACTACGGAAAACGGTACTTCAGCGTTCAGAACCCAAACATGCCGCCCTATTGTTCTTGCAGTAGAGCTCTTTGAGCAGACTAGCACACCCAGGGGACGAGAAGATACCCCACGGAACAGAGGAGGCCGTAACGTCAGACACGTATCCTGGATTGTGCGCTAGTGCACATGAAGGAGACCTTAAGGACTTCTTCTAGGCATCCGAGACTCCGGAAATACCTAGAATAGATTATTACCTCCAAATATTACACAGCGCCCTGGTTTAGAAAAGAGAGAAGGCCGTAACTCTGGGGGTCTCGCAGCCTCAACAGTCGCATGGGGTACTGCCGCGCTGAACTCCTCATAACGACCGGGCCCTCCCACCCGTCGATCAGATGTACAGCCTTCTATGAGGATTCAACAGATCATAAGACGAGAGAACTGGCCATTCCCTGCCGGTATGTGGATACAACATCGCCGACTCGCGAAAGCAGCCACTTACTGGGGCCCCCCGTGGCTAGGCCCCAGCAAGAGTTTAGATAGTGCAATACGCGGCTTCATCAGCATTCTGTTCATCAAATGGTTTTGGACCTCAATTAATCATGCACCGGGGGTCATAGATGCCGTGGAAGCGAAGCATGAAATCATAAACTCCCAAGTCTCGTGGAGTTGAGGCGGTCGAGCCCATACAGCTGGGCCAACCATCTCGCCTTTCCCTGCAACACCGGTTTCCACCCCTCTCCCACCGATATACTAACAGCATAAAACAGCCTTAGAAGGCCGCCGCACAGACCTACTTCCCGCTCCTCTCGGCTTTCCTTGCCGGGACGAACTGTCGCTAACTCAGTTGGTAGTAATCCGCGACTTCTTCCACCTAATGACCTGTGCTGCAGCTCATTGAGATTTCATCAGGCCTTGGTATCACAGAAGGTTACGGTGGCATTCTGACGCTCTCTCTTGGGGTCATATGTGACCTCTAGATATTCAGCCTCGCACTGCATAGACCTGAAGACAATTGAGTGCAAGAGGAAGGGATATAGGCTACTAAGATGGTGCTTGGGGGCGAGTACAATTATTAGCGTCGTATGGAGGCGCCGGAAGGTGGAGGACTGGAAGAGGAACGCCATCAGTCCGAGGTCCTCTCTCTTCCCACCCGTCTCTCCAAGGATCCCCCAGGAAACTGTTTTCCTTAGCACAGGCTGTGTTGGTCAGCTCACTAGCTGCCCAAGCTTTTCTCTTTTTGGAAGAATTGCATTGTTCCTGGGGGCTCTACTGCTCAGGGGAGTGATTCTGCCGTGTTACACCGTAAGAGCCGCTGCCCCTGCAGCAGTGGCCGCTGTTGCGGCTGCAGTAGGGGCTTTAAAGAAAGAGCTTTTAAAGCGTAGCGCTAGTACATAGAAGACCGGGCAATGGAAACTCGGAAGGCTTTCCAAGCTTGGGATTCGATAATGAAAGATGACGTCCGAGGGCAGGCGACAGACGGCGCCGTTGAGTATCAATGTGAAAACCCCCCAAATCGCAGCAGAAACAAGTTGATTGAGGAGGCTTACGATATTCGCGCCCGCATAGAAGGTACGTTTTCGCTTGTGTGGTGCTCACGATGCCATTCGTGCCAGCTACAAGGAGCCGGAGAACCAAGTACACTAAGTTTAGGGCAATGACACTCAGGGTATTGGGTACTTGTCGTTGTGGTGTCCGTACAGCATGTCCGGTGCATATGAGTAGCGCAACAGCCTTTGCGTCCGCTCTGGCGGCTAACCTTTGTGTCACCCTGGACGCCTCCGCGGCTTTTTGCTTCATGCGGGATGTTGAGACGGAGCAGCTGCTGGGGGCCTACGCTGTCCGGACCCAGAAGGCCTCTGCTACAAAGGAATCCCACTTAGACAAAAGCCAGCACGCCTCAGTAGAGTGTTCTAAAGCCTTTTCCTGCACCACCCACAACCTGGCTAGTCAGTCAACGCTGAAGGCCCCGCTCTATGAGACCTTCAAGTCGCTACAGGACCGATTCAAGACCGTTCACACCGTGCCAGGTGACCATGTGGCTGCATGATTATCATGGCTCTAGTGGTCGTCGCAGTAACAATGGAGGCTACAAGGGATTAGGCAAATGCGTTGGGACCTTCATATGGGCCAAGGAGAAAACACAATGCCTAGCAAGAAGTTCTCAAGGCTTTAAACCCTGGGTTGTGATGTATTTATGCGTGGCGAGCTACGCATATATTCGCTTCCTATGTATATGTATATGAGTATACACGTGTACAACCTCTGACTCTACGGGCCTTCATATTTTTCAACCTGGCTCAGTGCACCTTGTTTTTCATGTTGACCTTTCGCAGGCAAAAGCCCTTCCAACGGAGCCTCCTTGCGAGAACGGTTGCCTTTGGACAGTCTTGGTACCGCAGTTTCAGCCCTTTTCTCTACTCTGCTGGTCCAGGACGCCCATGCGAGTAATTGGGGTGCCCGAGCCATAGAGCAACTACAGGAGACGCAGGTGACCACAGCAGCAACAGGCCCTTGTGTGGACCCTTTAAATAGGAAACCTTAGTCCGCGACGGCAGCTCATAGTCCTTCGACCCTGGCAATAGATGCGTTGTGCTTGAATCGGGCTCAAGTAGTCGGTAATGTAGGGGCTCTTACCACGCCGAAACCGGAAGGCAGTAGTGTGCCATCGAACGGCCTTCCTCTACTCAGGACCTCATTGTCGTCTCCTCCGACAGTTTTGTCGGTCATCTGCTGGATGATCTGAGGGATGGCGCGCGGGTCAGTCTTGAATCCACTCTCTACCGTTTTTCATGCCTTGGTACTGCGCATTACAGTTAACAGTGGCGCAGAGCTTTGGTTCGAGAGACCCCTTGCAGAAGCACAATAGTGTGCTACTATCGGCCCCTTGTCTATGAGAAGTGCTGTGGCTAGTTGTCTTTTTAAGTGTTGTGGGAAGTGCTGTTTGTGTTGGATAAACGTCTGCAGGCATTTTTGTACGATCCGGCAACGGATACGCTTTCACCGTTGCCTGACGAGAGGAATTCGCATCATGTGAATGCCTCTTCTAAGCCTTTGTGAGGTGTATGACCCTGTTGTAGTATTCAACTACTGGTTTTTAGGATAATGCGCCTGTGTGGCACTGTAATGAACTCGTTGCATTGAGTGAGGTTTGGAAACCCATCACCGCAACATTTTGAGAAACCTGAGCCTTGGACCTAGCAGTTTGTAACTTTGTCTTTTGCAGCATTGTTCCACCTTCCGACGACCCCCAAGGGGTCCTCATTGCTTGTCGGCTACAGGATGAGGGAGCGTGCAGCGCATGTGAGGCAATGGCAGATGCTAGGGTTACTTATGTGGGGCACTCGATGACGCGGAGGCTCTCTCCTGCCACAGGTTCAAGCCTTTCTCAGGGTGTGCGAATGGAAGGGACAGCGGCTGCAACACGGTTGGCATCTAGCGAATCCGTTGTCAGCATGGTTGACGCCTGGAAGTCTTTGCCTTCAAAATTTGTGCTGACCTCGATGCCTCATCAAAGTGGCCTACAACGCTCTCCTTGCCACACCCAGGAAAACATGCCATTGTTGTCTTCTGCTACTGTGGAGCCGCCAGCGATGCCGACGGATGAGGACCTGGTGTCACGCTTCCAAGGAGTGACTTTTCGCAACCGCAGGCTTACTCAACAGTCCACACCTCCCCCGTTCGGCTCGCTTTCTTTAATGAGCACTGAGATTGTACGTTTCAGGGCGATCTGAAAGAATCAGGAACGCATGATTGGGCTGTCAACCGGTAGTTCGAATGTTTTGTGCTCGAACTTCGTCTCGCGTGGGTTTCAAAAAATGTCTGTGGTAAAGGATAATGCACCAGTGTACAGCTGTATCTTGGCCTGTGAGATGCATCGTTCGGTCTTGTCACCCATGGTGTTCTTGAGTATTTTGCTGTACATGTCATGCAGGCTTTATTGAAAGAACAGCCAGACCTCCATCATACTGCATCACCTCAGAAGTTGGTCGTAGCTCCTCTACCCCACTCTTCACGTATGGCGAACCCCTCTGCAGAGGAAGAAGAGGCGGAAGTTCTGGTCTCTCCCGGCTCCACGCGTTCGGCTCACCCGGAAACGACACTTGGTGTAATATTTTGCATCAACGGTAGAAGGCCAGATGCGCAGCTCCTGGTGGAAGCCGTTGCGCAGGTGTGCTCGCCGCCAATGGCACTTCTGCTGCAGCAGCAGTGGCTCCGTAGGGACAGGTTCAAACGCATGCTTCAGCTTGAACTCCACAGAACCATCTTCCAGGTAAGCACTACGACGGCTTGCCATGACCATTGCATCTTAAGTGCATTTCAGCCTGCCCCCTCTCAGTACGCTCTTGAGGCAATCTAATGCTAACCATTGTAGAGATTTTATATCAGAGTGAGCTTGGGCACAGGCGATACACCGCTCTGCATAAATGACAAAGCCGGCAATTGCAGTCATGTGTCTCCTCTAGGCTCTCATAACTCCTGATCTTTCAGCTGCGTGCACCGTGCTGTCTTCTTGGACGCTCAGGAAACATCCATTCCTATTAGGATGATGCAGCGGCTATTGGCGCTCCTGCATGTTTCTGTAGGGGCTGAAGCAGCTGTATTCTTTATCGCTGACGCCCAGAACCGAGATTTCATCTGTCTTGGGGGCCACAAGAGGTGAGAATCTTAAAGGATATCTTTGGCGTTGTGGCACTTCTCACAGGCAGTGCAGCAGGCTGTTTAACATAGGCTCTGCAGGTTCTGGGTATCCAGTCGGGATACTTGTCTCATAAGAACCTGGACGTACGGAAAAGGTGAAAGGGGCCACATACTGCTTGCTATTTTAAACTATTTGTCTGGCTAAAAGGCATGCATTGCATCACATAGTAATCGTGATACGAAATTGCCTCAGTAGTATGAAATTCAGACGTAGATACAACTGCTGTGTTACTAGTAGTGCCGCTTTGAAAACATCCCACATGCTGCATACATAGACAGATGCATCGCTGTGTTTGTGTCCGTTTGTTGAATCTTTAGAGCTGCGGGTCTCTGCCTACGGGGAGACCACCCCCTATTAGGGGAGGCCACACGCCAAGGAGGCAGGACGCTTGTATTCAACTTTCTTCCCCCCGGGTTCAACAAGGAGTACGACGCCCGTGTGCGCTTCGAAACAAAGTAGGCTCTCCACTATCTATCGGCGAGAGACTACGTATTTCAAGGCTCGTGTGCGCAAGTCGCACTGTAGCTCTTTCATGCGTATTGCTGCTGGCAGACATTCAAAGTAACCCCGTTGGACGGACTGTTGAGACTAGGAGACTGTATGAGACAAGCACTACGACTGCAGTCGTGATTTTTACGATTTGCAGGCATGCACTACTGGTTCCCCTATTGAATACTCAAGGCCACGTAAAGGCCGTAGTTTTACTGATTAATCGGAGCCAGTGTTCTTGCGAGCGGCTGGAGCGGCTCGAAGAGGAAGCGGAAGAGCAGTGCGCATGCAGCCATGACGTACGCGCTTTCGAGCCACTGGCCCTGGCAGTCGATGCTTGGACCGCCTCCACATTACCGTGTCAAAGCTGCAGCAGAAAAAACTTGAACGACCTCTCTTATGGAGAGTTCATCTCAAAGCCTCTGGCCTCCTTAGACATCGACTGCCCGCGCCACTTTATCAGGCAAGTGACTTGCAAAAACGGCGGGCGTCTTAGACTTTATAGTAGGCTGGCGAAGTAGTAACCCCGAAATGAGTTCATCCTTGGCTTGCATGCCTTGGTCATCGGGTACGCTTATTGCCAAGGTACTCAGGACCTCCATTCATTCTGCGATAGTGCTGTCCAGTTATTGTCTTCCAAAGCCTACTTTTTTTCATTCAAGCAGAGGTTACAGGTAGAGCTAATGTGGTTCAACCCTGCTACATTCAGTGAAGTACGGACGTAGCAAGTAGCTATACGCTTGTTTCGGATGCTAGCTGTTTGACACCAGCGACCAGTTGCGATTGCTGCTTCGTTACATTCGCACGTGCAGGGTTCACGAGATGCTGATGCGCGCGGTTCAGTGCGAGGTGCAGCACTTTCTGGGAGGGCAGCTGACAAATGTGTGTATGGCTGGCATGAGTCTTCTTCAGCCAATGGAGACGATGGTCTCTTATGTAATGGGGGGGCAGCAGCGAGGAGGCCGCAATTCGACGAAACCGTTCGGGGCGGTACTGGAACAAATTGAGGTGAAACAGAGATGCATTAGTCAAGCACAAATAATAGTTGTTTTGTCAGGCATCCTGTGACATTGGGAATCTCATGCAACGACAAATTTACAGGAAATTTATGCTATGGCAATAGTTCTTTCGAAATTAATCGAACCTCGTCTGCCGGCTTTCTTCTAATTAGCGCAGTGCAACTGCACGTAGGGACATCGAACAGATTTACTCGCTTGGTGGTTTGCTCACCAGAATTTCCAGCAGCAATGTTTCTACACTTCATTGTCACAGTATCTGGAATGACCATGCGTCGGTCAAGGCTGACATGGTAGTCATGCAGAAAACGGGGGGGATAATTTTTTACACCTGATTTTGTTGTTGCAGAGTTGTCGACTCTAGCAGTAGGAAATGCTTGCCATTTTCTGTTTCGTGCGAATGTACTATTCGCTTGTGCCTTTGATCAGAATTTCGTCCTTCGCGATAGAAAGATGAAGCTGATGAGGCTCCGGCGATGCGCATCCGTGGCGATGACAGAACCGTCCTCTCCTCAAAGCTTGTCAGATGCAGACATTCCTCGTAGGAAGCAAAAGTATTCTTCCAATAACCAAAGCTCCAAACCACGGCACCAGCACAGCCTTAACCGCAATCATGCCGCAAGTGTAGTCGCCTGGGAGACCCGAAAAGGAGGGCTGATAACTTCAAGGTATCGTGCAGCGAATTTTCCCCCACTCCACCAGCTTTCTCATGCAAGCCTTCCTATGGCCGTGACTCGACGTCAAGGCTATCCAGAAGAAAGACTACTTGGTCAGTACTTTTGCACTGAAGCGGCAGGGAAGTATCTGACGGGCAGAAACTTCGCACAGCACCCTGCATGAACTCCGAGATGCGGTAACAGTTTTATCTAGAGTTTTCTGCATTTCTGTAATACGCGCTCAATGAAGGAGAGCATCGTAGCGATTTTGCCATGGAAGAGGAGGGGAGAAGTGCGCCCAATCGAGCCAGACCAGACAAGCGGCCTGTCAGAGTGTGTTCTTGCATGTTTGTGCGTGGTTTGGTGCTTTCGGTTGTGTGATTCAGATCACCAGGGGCCTCCACTGCAAACGAACAGCGCTCCGCTTGTGCTCCTACAGGAGGTGTCTCGGTCTCTCGACTTGGACCAGCGGACAGCAGCCGTTAAAGAACTAGAACATGCTGGAGAAGAACATTTGAAACTCCAGTGCAAACGAGCTGCCTCGTTACCCTCGCTGGTCTTTTCTGCAACTCTACAAAAATGCACCGGACCCTTCGACGCGATTCGTAGACAGGTACAGTACGCATTTTGAACGAGGGCAACCCGACATAAGACCTTCAGTTCGCATCAACGAGGTGGCTGTGTACTCGGTTTGTGCGAAATTGGAGGGGCATGCCGTTAATTTGTTTTATCAACTCTGCATGTCTTGGAACTTGTTGCCAGGTAAAATTCTGCCCATGATAGTTTTCAGTTTGCATTTAATTGGTGCCTCGTTGGTTGTTGTTGGTATGTATAGCTTTCCTTAGAGTCATATAGACGCTTGGACCTGGACATTTGGCGGCGGACAGCAGATGAACTGGAGTTATTTTTTTTCCTGGCTTTGGAGGAGCTTGGGGTGATGGTGAAGAGTGAAAAAGCAGGCTTGCAGGCTTTCTTCGGTCTCATACGGGACGCTTACCATACAGACAACCCTTACCACAACTTCTACCATGCAGCGCACGTAACTCAGGTGAGGTAAATGAGATGTGACTTGGACTGTTTTCTGACGTAGCAGGCACTTTTTGTATGGGGGCATATTTATCTAACTGGAGGCTGCAGCTCATCACCCTCTGCCAACGTCGGTACAGTGCATGCGTATCCTTGGTTGTCGTCCACTGCTTGTATTCCTTTTCCTGGTGCTTCGCTTGCTACAGATGTGTTGGCTTTTCCTTACACGGTACGCGTGTAGAGAGCTGCTGACGCCAACAGAGCAGCTGGGCCTTCTTCTGGCAGGTACATATGTATTCCTGCTTTGTTTTTCAGTTCGCAGCAGGTGTACTTTAGCATTCACATTCACGCGTTGTGTAAGGCGAAGCGGCTGCCCTATTGGCACTCTACTAATCAAGTGTATCCGTTTCTTGTTGGCCTTTATTCTTTCAATTCGCTTTATTTATGAAACGACTACGTAGTTTACTGTGCTACTGGGGGAGTGCCACTCCTAGTAGATGGGATCTGCAATCACAGTGAGAAGGGTTAAAGGAGAACTAAGTCCCAGTGGGCTGTGCCGCGAGCTTCTGTGTGAGCGTGTGCATTTGCTATGGCGATCGCATTGCAGCCTTGGCTCATGATGTTGATCATCCAGGAGTCAACAACAACAGCCTTTGTGAACAGCAGCACCCACTCGCAATTATGTACAACGACAAGGCGGTCTTAGAAAATCACCACGCAGCTTTTGCTGCTCGCGCGTTAGTATCTTCTGTCCATGCATAACCACTTGTCTATGCTTTGCGTTAGACTGCTTAGGCACCGTCCTTCTGCACACATCTGAGCGTAACAGACGCCAGCGAACCGATGCGTCTATTTTGTCTCCTTTGGGGCGCCTAGGGTTTAGATCAGTGTCGCATGTTCTTTGTATTATTGAATGCTTTTGTTTGCAGCATGATGAAGCTTGGATTGTTTTCTCGTACGGCACAACGTACCCAGCCACAGCCTCTCGTGAGGAATTCCGTATCTCTAGGGGATGCGCCGCTACGCTATTCGCGTCACCATATTAGCACCTCTGCAGATGTCAGCAGGGAGTCTCAGCAACCATACAGCGAGTTCGAGGATCAGGATGAGGAAGCTATCGAGGACTTTTACCCTACATTCGCTGAAATACGCAGAGTGCTCGTTACATGTATCCTCGCAACTGACATGGAACTATTTAGGCATCACCACGAAGCAATGCGGAAGAGAGTCCAAATGAAGCGAAGTCAGTCTGGTCGTAAATGCCTCTCCAGTTGACCGTCTGCGGTCCTTCGCTGTCACTGTATCAGCATAACCCTCGCTCCCTTTCCAAAGAAAGCATGGTTCGTTTGTATTCGCGAGGGATTGGAACTACACTATTGGTTTTTTGTGTACAGGCGAGCGCCTACCTATATTTCTGCGATTCTTTCTGTTGTTTGCGTACCTGCAGCGACTGGTGACTCGTTGAATAGTGAGGAGGACCACGCACTATTGACCACTTGCCTAATTCACTGCGCAGATATAAGCAATCCACTGCTGCCAGAACGCCGCAATGTGCAGTGGGCTTCCTTGATCATTCAGGAGTTCAATGCCCAGGTGAGATTGTCAACACTTTTTCTAGCAACTGCGGACCCTGAACTACTAATTTTGGTTCATACTTTCCTGACTTATATCTTTACTGACTGCTTGTACAGGGGGTTGCCACATGTCGCTTACAAAGGACTGCTACTTCAGGTTAATTGCCTTTTAATTGGTTGTAATATTCTTACTTGGAGATGTTTCGTGCTTATGTGCAACCAGACAAAATTCTGAATAATTTACGCTGGATTGGTGATGTTGGTTCTGCTGGTTGTTGGTAGGTGGAGATGGAGAGGCACAAAGGACTGCCAGTGACTGTCTTCATGGATGCTCGAACGGAGTTACTCAGGTGCATGCTAGTGTATTATCTCTCAACATTCATCTTCGTTTAGTCCTATAGGGAAGTCGCAGTAATTATCCACGAATTCTATCGAGGAAACCTTGCAACAGACAAGGAGTGGTGCTTGCTAGCTAGTGTTTCGTAAGGAAGGAAGTTGACCTGCTGTAGCCTTAGCTATAAAGTGTTTTCTGAGTAAGAAGTCCTTGTAATGTTTGATTACTGCCTATATGCAAACGCGTCGATCACTGCTGGATTTCGCAGAACTCAATCCCAAATAGGCTTCCTGTCCTTCGTGGTGCTCGACCAGTTCCGTGCGTTGGCAGACTTGGTGCCTGGTGTGGAGGAATTGGTGATGCAAGGTGAAAAGAACTTGGAGGACTGGCAAGCGGCAATGGATATTCTTCGAGAGGCCGAACGTCGAGATACGTGAGACGAACGGTTATATCATATATGCGGATGAACACCGCATTCCGCTTAGGGGCTTTAATTATCTTCGTGTGCTTGCTCCTGAGGTTTAATTACTATGTTGCCCTGTCGACCGTATCTTGCATTATCGTTGTCCTTAGTTGCGGTCCTGTTTTTATCTAATTAAACGTAAATAACTCTGATTTGCAGGTTGGGAGAAAGCATAACTTCGCTTGAAATACCCCGAAACTTTACGTTTCGCCTGAAGAACTTGAGCTTCAAAGGCATTAATGGGCCCAAATGCTTCGGTCGCCTGCGGAGGTACTGTCTCTTTTCGAATCCTCACTTCTCACAAGCATACAAAACACGTTTAGTCCACAGCATAAGGCGATTAAAAGTGTAGTTATGCGCTTAGGAGCAGGAACATGGAGTTGCGATGGTACAGATAGGCGAACGGGTGACTTTCAAACAGTTTGCTTGATCTAAATGAGCAGCTACGGTGCATGTGCAGTGACAAGCAAGATGACTGGAGACCGCAAAGTCTGGACACGTGACTCTCCAGCTCGGAGAGCTACGCCCCCTGTTAAGCGGCTGGAATCAAACAGGGAGCCCGTGCTTCCCTTTCCGCTTGGTCTCCGTTCTCTTGGGACGTAGCAGGCATCTACAGCGGCAGCAGCTTGTGCGTACACATAGCGGCTTATCTAAAATTTCTCCAGGCGCCATTCTTTGCTTCCGCTTCCGATGAGACTGCTCCTGCAGCCTCATGTTTTCTCAAGGATTGCCAGTCTCGCCAGTTTTAACCTCCCAGTAGGCGTTGTCGAGCAATTACTGGCCCGATGTGGGCGTAAACTATCAGACGATCAAGATTGCTTGACTGGAATAAAGGAGTGCCAACGATCAGTTATCCGATCCTTCTCATCTTGCGTCTGTGCTACTAAGCTAAAGGAAACTGTCCATACCGTCTTCGATGCTCTCCGCACCATGTGTACTCTTTCCTCGACATCTTTTCCTCCTTAGACCGCGGTTGTATGCAGCATAACGGGCGGTGTAATTCCCTTCCGTTTCAACGGCGGCCCATCTGTGGTCTTCTGCGCTTTATGCGGGATCTGCCGTGGACTCTCAGCAGAGATTTCCAACGATTTAGCTGCTCACCAGTATTTGAGCGTCGCTCTACGTTTTGACGCCACATGCTAATTTACTTGCATGCCTTCGGCCCGTCGTCTATTTTGTGGAGGAACAATTCACAGGACTGCCACCTTCCCAAGGAGACATGTACTTCGTCGCTTAGATATGGCTGGTGTTGCGCCAGCAGAAGCATTTGCACTTTGCAGAGAAAAAGAGCACATAAGGCAGGGTTTATTGTAGATGGGCTTTTCAGCAAACTTTAACCGCTTCGCTCTCATACAAATATGTGAGAGCTTGAGCAGCTCCATATGGAAACTCCTTATTCCTTTCATCAATAGATGATACATGAAAACACATCGTGAATGAGGTACCTGATATCTCATTTGTCTGCCTGGCGTGAAGCCGCATTTGATGCCACTATCTATAAGCAAGTACGCTAATGACGCTTCTTCTGCGACGCGTGCAGTTGCCGGCTATGTGTTACGCAGTATTCACGAACTACTATTCTTTTTTGACGCCGTTGTGAAGAGCAACTGCCTGCGGCTTCCCTCATGCTGCCCTCTTTCATTTCTGCCTCCCTTTGCCCGACAGCAGCGTGCTTGCTCACCATCTGCACACAAAAATTTAATCTGGGAAATACTAAGGTTTCCGGACTCCACGGTGTAAGTACAAGCTGATACATACCTAGATATAACGTTCAGATCCTGCACTCAGTTGTGTGGAAGCTTTCAGTAGCTTATGAGATTGGCTTCCGGCGTGCCTTTTCCTCTGAAAAATTTAACCGTGTTAATTGCAAGCATCTAGATGTGAATCTTCGAATTTTTTACAACTCGCTAAAAATTTGAAGAGAGGTGGTGTAGAGTCTATGCCATGATAAGGAGTGCTGGCTTCCTCAGTAGATCCTAGCTGATCCTCACACAGTGTTCTGTTTGATGCGAGGTTTGTGCAGCCGGATGCTGCAGTGCCCATTACCTAGGCTCCACCCACCAAATAGAGGTTATTTTCCTGCGCGTGCCTGTCGTATGAAAAACATGCGGCATCCACAATAGGCCCTTTCACAGTCCGGTTGACCGCGGCAGCGAGTTTGTGTACAACAACATTACCCAAGTCTACGTCCACTTTTCCTTTTGAGAAAGATTGAGCCATTGAAGCTGCCAGTGAGGGCAGGGTACGCACTATCATTGAATATGCACTATTCCCCTGCAAATGTCGGTGGCAGTCCCACAATCCGCACTGTGGTTGAGGTGGAGATTGCATAACTGTCTCGAAGTAATTCGATGCATGGGAATGCCCAGAGCAGTAACGGCCTCAGAAATCCAGCTGGGTAGCTCTCACGCTCTAAGCAAGCGGAACGCAGGATGCGCCCCGCGGCCTGTCCTTTCTATTCACAGGAAGAATGGCTTTAAAAGCATTTAAAAAGAATGGAAATGTACATAAAACCTAAGTCGCATAGCGACAACTCAAACTGCTGAGCATCTCACTATGCCATACTTCCAGTAGCAAACAAATATGGAGCTAACAAGCAGGCATTGCCACTCTGGCTAAGCTGCTTGCTCTACAGCCCAATTCCAAGGCCGCGGGTCGATATGGCCTGAGGGCTTACAAATAGCTCGAAGTGCAGGGTCTACGGGAAGCCCTGAAGCTTAGTGATCAGGGTACAGTTGTATGTAGAATTTGGAATCCTGGAGTTTGGGCGTAGTCTAGGTGAAATTGGACTCCAAGGAGTTTGCGGTGTACAAAGCATGCTGTTCGGGAGGTAGCTATCATTCTTCCTTCCCTTTCGACTCAACGCTGTGCTCCTCGCTTTGGGGTTCAGGCTCAGGCCTAGACACTCGCTCCCTCCTTAGTCTGTCCTTTTCCTCAGCAGATGGTTGAGGGGCCTTGACATAAAGACACCCATTCGCGGGGACATCCAGCCACAAACAGTAGGGCCACCCGAGCCTGTCAACAGCAGTTAGGCGCACACTTGTTGAGCTAGTTGACGGCAACTACAATGCTTCGTTGCATGGGAATACATATGCATTAACAAGGTGTACTTTTAGTTCGGATTAGGGTGCTGATGCATCTGATGCAGCAACCTGGCTGAGTGCGCTAGTCTCCTTAATCAACCGATGCATAGAGTGCAAAGTAATTTCCATATATGTAAAATATTTGTGCAAGTAAATAGACGCCATTTTCACGAAAAAAAAAGAAACAGGATGGACAATAGACGAGGAAGAGGAAGGGACAGAGTTAGCCCACCTGCCCCCCTGCGTCGTATGTATGTAAGAGCCGTTGCCCATACCACACATCCCCCCCGCGTATTTCCAGTCATCTGAATTTAGCAACAGCTGCCACTCGCCGCCATGGGGCACACCCACAGGGTATCTGCAAAGAGCAGGCAGACGCTGGCACACAAATATATACGCACCATTTAGAGTCTACTATTTTATGAGAGCGTACACTTCGGGAATGAAGCAAACCTACGCATCAACATTTGCATTCATCATGAGAGTCTTCTCCAGGCATACAATACCAGTCGAATATTTACTCTTAAATGCAAACATGTAAACGCAAAAAGTAGGCCTTCAAAATAAACATACCTGTAGTAGGCCTGTGGTGAGAAATTGCAGACGACAAGGATATCGTTGAACCAGAATTCATATGAGCGGAGGAAAGCAACAATGCAATCGTTGTTATTATCGCAATCTGTCCACTTAAAGTTCCAGGTCTCGTCATCTCCTGCATGAAGCGCAGGCTGTGACCTGTAGAGCCCCAAAAGGTCCGACACCCAAACGCACAACTTCTTACGTAACTCCTCTTCGCCCTCGTGCCAATCCACAGACCTGAGGAACGGACATAAGCCAACAAAAGATTTAAGCAAGGGGGCAGTCATCCACATGTTAGAAAAGAGAATGGTGAAAATTCCAAACGAGAGGCACACATCTAGCGCAAAATGCTTTCCAGAAATGAGCCGTTTCATGCACATGCCACACACATATCTGCATGCATGCGTATCTGTGGGCGCTCGCTAGGTGAATGATAATGTAGATGTGCGCATTCACGACGGCGGCTGCGCAACTTCATGCTCATGTCTTATCAGCTTACGCACCTATTATCCTTCCACTCTCTACCTTGTCCTATCTCCCCCCCCATGAAGATGAGCGGCCTTCCCGGCATTCCTATTTGAAACCCGTAAAGAGTCTTGAGGGTTCTAATACGATCTTCAAAGGGAGTTCCAAGATAGCCACACTTGTCCAACAAACTCCCCTTCCCACTCACCACCTCGTCGTGGGACAAAGGCAAAATCCACCTACACCATAAACGATTTTCCACAAGCGCTGACCCTCAACCAGCGAAAGTCCTAAGCCCCAAGTTAACCTCATCACATTAGTCCCAAAAACCAGGAATGGGGGAAAACAGGAAACAATCCAAAAGTCGCATGCAAGCCCTAAACAACAAGCAAAAAACTCTGGAATATGAAGTGTACAACTTGAGTTAGTTCAGATCCCGACCTTTCGTGAGCCATGTAGAGCCCCCTGAAGGTAAGTTTGTTGTGGCACTTCTTGCGGTTCTCCACTGGGCAGCACAGGTACGAAAGCGTGTCGTTCATCCATCCCAAATCCCACTTCGCGTCGAACCCGAGACCTGCGCCAAAACAGGAGCTTGCCAACAATTGGTGGGTATGCAAAACTCAACTCCAGCTCTTCCCCCGCATCTGTTGCTGACAGGCGCCCACCTCCTAAATTCCCATTTTCATAGCTATTATTTATGAATTGCCGAAAGGCCAGGCACGTTTTCGCCTAACCTTCTGTTTTGTCAGTGACCCCTCTCCAACTGGTGCTCTCTTCTGCCATAGTAAAGACCCCTGGGAATTCTTTATGCACCACCCAGTTGAGTTCTTGCAGGAGGGAGATAGCCTGAAGGTTGGCATCCCCCCCATGTTCATTAGGCAGCCACTCTCCGTCCTTCTTCTGGTGATTCTTGTACAGCATCGACGAGACTGCATCAATTCGCAGCCCGTCTATATGGTATCTCCGCAGCCAGTGGTAAGCAGCACCCAGTAGGAAAGAACGAACTTCGCTTCGGCGGTAGTTAAAGACTAAACCACACAGAGACTCCGTAAACAAACAAACGCTTTAATCAGCCCCATCCCACCATACAACGTATACTGCGGGATATATTGAAGGGTGAAGGAAGCACTCCTAAAGAGCATTCGGCAAGTGCATGTCTAACATCCACGCGAAGTAAACGCAAGAAATTAATAGGGCAACCGATGAGAAGAAAAGCCGGGCATGCAGTCAGGGGCACTGGAATAGGATAGATGTCACATATCTTACCAGCTGTCCCCCACAGTTTGTGCTCGCCTTCCCTTGGATCTGCGTATTCGTAGCAAGGCTCTCCGTCATAATAGACAAGGCCCCAGGAGTCCTTGCAGAAATGCGCCGGCACAAAATCAATGAAGACACCGATATTGGCCTGGTGCAGAGTGTCCACCAAGTATTTGAAGTCATCAGGGTTTCCCAGACGGCTGTATGGTGCGTAGAGGCCCGTCACCTGCACATAAAGCAAGTGGGCGAACAGCGATGCACCGGAGAAAGGTTGAATGTGCATATAGGAGAGCAGCAGAGGAGAGAGTAGACGATGACACAACCATCGACCTCTTGGGTGCCCATACGACGCCGCCCGTTTCAGTTCATGAAACTTTTCAATACACACATAAATTTCCCAAATATTATATTCAATTATTCAGCTAAGAGGCGGCAACATCAACATATGTGGCAAGAGCAACGACAACAAGGAGCAGCTCACTTGGTATCCCCAGGAGCCTTCAAATGGATGGTGAGCGAGGGGTAGGAATTCTACGTGAGTAAAGTTCATATTTTTCACGTGAGGCACTAAACGATCTGCCAACTCTCGATAACCTGCGCAGGAAATAAGACTCATGACTCGCAGCCTTTTTATGGACCTGGGAGGTCAACTGCCACCGACAGACAACATAAGCGAGCCTCGCACCAGGGCCGCCCCTAAGGTCCTTCTAAAAGCGCCGAAAGTGTTGGTGCCGGGTAGAGAATAGACTCCATGAAAGCCCAAGAACGGCGGACGAGTGGCAACGAATGATTTGACGTACTGAGGTATCTTCCGTCCTGTCCCCTCATCCAGCTTGGTAGGTGGACTTCGTAGATGGCCATTGGCTCTCTGTGAAGCTGGTCGGTCTCGCCAAGTGTTTTGCGTCGCGCCATCCATTCCTGATCGTGCCACTGATAGCGGGCTTCGGCCTGAGATCCACATACAAATCTCAAAGCCCAGAGGCCGTACTCTTCAACTCGCTGCGTTCTACCACTCGGTGGCAGCCACTTTAATTGCCAAGCATTCGGGGCTTGAGCTTAGGCACCCATTGGAAGTCCTGCCAAATCAGAACTTTAAGAACCATGAGCCTCAACCCACTCCAGAGTCCGTACCGGTTTGAAAGCATCGTCACAGGAGCTAATAATGCTGGCAGTTTTTGGTGGGTTTTCGAATTCTTGGGCGTATGGGTCGATCTTAATGAAGTCTGACCCGTTTCGCGCATGAATGCGGTAGCCATACTTCTCGCCAGCACCGATACCCGGGATGAACAGGTCCCAGCAACCGAATTCTACGCGCTTTCTCATGGGATGCGCGCGGCCGTCCCAGCCGTTCCAGTCTCCCACCACTGACACACAGGTGCAGTTAGGAGCCCACACGGCGAAACGCACACCAACAACGCCGTCTACCGTTATGATATGCGAACCCATAAGGTTGTCTACATGCCAACACGAACCTGAACGCGCACCAAATAGGAAGAGCCACAGGGAGCAACTGCTAGATGGACAGCGTTCTAGAGTAACTTGCAGCAATCGAGGATTCGGCTCAGCCCCTGAGAGTGTAGTGTCTGAAGAGCTGCTACTGCTGGGGAGTCACAATACCAACTTTTAACCCCTGCAGCAATTCCTAGGAGCTCCTCTAGAGGCCTTCACGGCAATGCAGGTAAGTAGCGAAACTCACCGGACTGAAAAAGCTCGAGGTTATACTGGGGTACAACCATCCCAAAGCAGTAGGTGTCGTGCACCACATGGGAAGTCTCCTCTCCGTCTCTCTTGACTAGCAGCTCGTAGTCTAAGGGGACGTATGGATCAGAATTCTTTACAGGGGGTCCCCTAGAGGCAGCGGAGGGATCGGTCGTGTATATTTCAAATGCCTGTATACATACACTTCAAGGACTGTCACCGTAAACTCTTGCGCTTTCGATGGCCATAAGGCGTAAAGACAAAGCTAAATGCCGTGGGACACAGCCTCAGCGGTTTAAGGGGTTGGGTGCTTGCCTTTTGAAATAGCAGTTCCCCCTTTCTTTCAAGTTGTACAGACTCCAAGGGAGGGGGAAGCCTCCAATCCGAGACCCCAGCTCGGGGCCTGAGTTCTACATGAGATGCGTTCTTAAGCCACGCGCGTACTACCACGACTCGTACATCGCCGTTGCCAGTACCCTCAACTTTGTGACATCCCAGCATTCTGAAAGGATCCGCGTGCCGCGCCAGGTTTAACAAATGCAGGTCATACTCAGGTATATCGGCCTCTGGAGGCAGAACTGCGAGAGGCACTGCCATGAAATGTGTCTGGTCATGCCGCTGCGCTTCCTCCACATGATCCACTCGAGCCACATCGTGCATGTTAGTATTGGGCTGCTCCTTGGGTCCAGAAGAAGGTACATAGCCTGTAGGACATCCCGTAGTGCGCTGAAAAGGCGCGGAGGGAGAAGGAACACCTTGTGTAGAGTTCTTGCTTCCCCCAGAAGCGGTAGGCGCGGGCACACCGTTCCCATAAGCATTGCCTTGGTGCGCCTCCTGGGACCCAGAAAGGGGTTTCTGCATAGAGGAAGCCTTTCCCGGTCCGGTTTCTGCCACGGATGTGCCCGAAGCACTGGAAAGACGCGTCACCTCGGTCATGCTGGTGGCCAGGGACTCTATAGTTGGAGAATCGCCGGTCTTGGTGGCAACTGAATCTGAGGCGGGGTGGCGAAAAGAAGAGTGCGCCGAAGGCTTTGGGAGCCCGGTGGAGGTGGCATGTGCGCTATTCCTTCCCCCGTGTTCACGTGCCTGCGGCTGCGCGCTTTCTGTCATTTCCAAGGGAAAAGGAGATGACCAGGGAGCGGCTGGGGGGAGCCAGCGAACGGAGAAATCGGGTGTGCAGCGATCTATGGGTGAACCTGGTGAGGTTTATATCTAAGGGGGAAGTAAACCCCAATAAAATACACGGACCACCAGATTATAGGGATGGATGTACAGTCCAGCTCTTTGGAAAAACGAGGGCTCACGTCTCCGCGGACATCCAACAAGATGTCTTAGGTCCCAGGTGTTATATCCACGCCTTCCTCCTTCCTATTCCACAGGGCTCTTTGTCTCGAAACGCCCTACAAAGCAACTCTCCAGCTACCGAAGACAGTGGAGCAGACTGAGCAGCCGACGTCCCGCTGGGCATCGAGCCACCAGGGGAGTAAAGCAACCGCAAATGAAATTCTAATTCCTGGAAAGAATTAACTCTCTGAATGTTTATTTGAGACGGCTGAAAAGACGCAGAAGGACGAAGAAAGAAGACGCTCGAGCCTGGGTGCCAGTTTCCTATCCCGCGACACTGCAGCAGCTTTCTCCGCCGAAGAGCCCCAGACTGAACAGGACTGGGTCTCACTGTCTCTTACAGCAATACACACCTAAATACACATAACAGGTCCTTACTTCTAGCCTGCACCAGTATTATGTGTTAGTGCTGCGGTGTAGGGACGCTCTTAAAGCTTTCTTCTCTCTGCATCACCAGTTTCCTCTTCTCTCTTCAACCACATCCTCCTTGCTTGGAGAGAGGCAATCAAAGGAGTGCACAGCCGCAGAGTGTCGTAAATAGACGATCGTCATATATCGTAATGCACCATTGGTGCTCTACGGGAGATCTCAGGGACTACAGAGCAACAAATTACTAACGGTGGGTCCAGATACCCACGCATAGATTTCTAAAGCTTGCAGCCTAGTAGGGCCCAAGGTTCTGGTGCTTCCGAACAGGCAACTCCATGTGTAGGTCACATGTTACGGTATTGTAGCTTCAAAGTCATGTGGCAGCTTTTGCGCAAAACCCCCCACGTTCTCGGCAGGGGTCAACGATGGATAAGGAATTGTTACCCTTAGAGACAACGTCTAGCTCGAACGGTAAAGCTCTCGCTTATCATGCGACAGGCTTCTGCCGTTTGAAGGGCTTTCTTCCGGTTAGTTACAGCCAAATCAATCAGTTACCGGGTATCAAGAGGAAAGCATACAGAGACGCAGTATCAACATCCAGACTAAGTTAGCTCCAATACCAACAAACTTGTGTCTGCTGCACGACGAGCATACTTGGCACGACTCGTGGCTAGATAGATGTGCATGGATACCACTGAATTGCAAAATGAGGCAGTGAAATGCAACAATTTGTTACCCCACTTCCAGCGCATCAACGCTGTCAAAGACTTGCCAAGCCTGTAGCCAAAGACTACCCAACGCAGAACAGAGGCTAATACCCCTGGCAAAAATGAAGGGCACATTGGTATACCATTGCCAGATTTAGCGGCTGCCCTTAAAGCAACTAACTGATAGTTTGAGACAAAAATTATTGGGGAAATAATGTCAAACGCGCGTCTTTAGTGATGCGAGCCGAAACATATGCAATGAATCCGTAGATTAGCGGGCTGAGCTACACTTCACCGATTTCTACTACTTTAGTTGCATTCAACCAAGAATGAGGAAAGAAATGACTATTCGGTATATCTAGTCGTCTACATTTCTTCCAGGGTCCTGTCGGCTCGATAAAAGAAGGTGTATTGTTGTCTGCGTGTTAACTAGGTGCTGATTGCGAATGGCTGTGAATGCTTGGAGTGTTAAAAAAGTGCAGATACGAGCTTCCTGCTGGTCTCCTCCCTCAAGTCAGGAAGCCTCACGGGCGGGAGCAGTTGAAGCGGGGGTTTTCGAGAAGCATTCAGTAGCTTTCTAATAAGTTTATCTTTAGACTTGAGTTCAGTGCCCTGCAACAAATACTTCGGGTAAAGCGTTAGCGATAGTAGCGCTGCACAGTTTGCTCTAGCAGTTCTGTCTTATCCACTGGTTATCAACGCACTGGGATGTCAGGTTACCCTAAAGATGAACAAAGTGGGACGTAGGGTTTGCTTACAACGGTCCAACTGCGTTTGACCAACCTATTTGGTAATTCATTTTTCTAAGTTCCTTTGGCGGCAATCTAAAAGTATCATCTGGGTATGGAAGTTGACAGCGGAATAACGACGCTGGCGGCGGCAAGGGCCGGCCTTCATGCTGGTGCGAACGTAGAAGCTTCACAGAGGTGAAAGGGCTTGTTTGATTAGCCGATTATAGGTTTGAGATGCGACGACGAGGCTATGAAGGGCATAAAGGTATGACGGCCTGAGGATGAGGAAGTAGTCGATTAATTCATCATTCAGTTGGAAAGGTAACTCCTTTTGTATTTCTTAGAAGAAAAGACTGCTCTTACTGGATGGATGAGCAGTGTGGACGTAGCTATTGATGTAGGAGGATCTAAGTACCTGCAAGGATTACTACAGCACAAGTCTTCGTACAAGTCCTGACTCATCGGTGTATCCCGAGATTAGCAAAACAACAAACTTTTTGGAGTTAAGAAGGTGGAAGAGAGGGAATCAAACAATACATTCGTATATCGAGAAATGTTAAACTCTCGCTCGCAAGAGCCATAGCGTTGACGAGTTGCAGTTGTACCAGTAATTATCTGAGGTCTACCCGAAGTCCCTCGTGTAATTGCATTGTGGGTTGCGACTCCGCGAGTAAATGAGCGACCAGTAGGTCATTTGCACATGATGGGCTGGTTGAAGTTTCAGGAACAAACAAGCACCACTCCTGCTTTTTCGATTGATGCTCCAAAGAACATGAACAACGGAACTGGACACCCTAGGTTCAAGCTGGTGAGCAGAAAAAGTGCCTCAGGGAAGCAGAAGACACCCTTGGAAGCTTCGATGCAGTGAAGAGGCCACGGAAGTCAGAGGCACAGTTGCCCAGCTGCACGGTTCATGCTCAATGCTCACTGCCTTTAATCTGCAGTACGCCCATTTGATTGTCGACAAAGTCACCCCATGGGTTCATTGTACCTGAAGGCCGTGCAGAAATTACTCCACTTATTTGTAAGCTATGCCATTAGCAATCGCACATGTGGCACTTTCACCACGGAGCAATTCTGCGCAGATGCTAGTTCACATTAGCGGTGAAGAGTTGCTATCTTTGCTTGAAGCTAAAGGTGAAGTGCGTTTGTCACAAGGAAAGGCGGTGCACCATTGATGTGCCTGTTCACTTCTTAGAGCAGTACCAAAGACACCGGCTCCCTGGAAGGCGGTGTCTTTCACGAGCTGGCCAGGCTAGGACAGCAAAGCTTTTTCTTAAAGTGGAACCAGCTTCTATCACTATATTCCGTGACCTCTATCAAGGCCCGGTGCACCATTACTCGATCGAAGCTATGCCATGAGTTACCCAATGGAAGGCGTGCATGCAACCACAGCTACGCGTTACGGAGGATAGTGTGCGGGGAAGAGCTAAGCAGAAAGAATTCCTGATAACCTGAAGAACACTCATTCTTTCTGTCGTGAGCGGGGTAAAGTCGGTACCTCAGCAAGCTGAGGCAAAGTCTTTGGGCGGGCAACTCAGTAGCGTACAAAGGAAAGCCGGTGGTTAGCATGCATCCAGGCACGGTGGCTATCCAAACAACTCTTAGCTAGGGTATTCGATTGAAATTTAAACAAACACACAGCAGGACTCGGCACACATGAGGAAACATTTAGTGGATGTGCTAAATATTGGCGGACGGCTAGCAGCTGGCCTGTTGCTTGTCCTGTGCACCCTATCGAGCTGACTCCCGGGTCAGCCTAAGATTGTTTTTGCAGCCACGGACGCTCACACATTACAATGTAAAGATTGAGCGATATAGGGATGATTTCTTGAAAAAGGCAGACTGCAGAAGTTGCCCAGCGCCTTTGGGCATAACCCGACGTTGGTGCCGAAAAGGGAACGAATGGTGGTGCATCTGCGTAACTCTAAACCCCTGAAGAAGCTACGTGCATAGTTAAAGTCGCTGCTGCCCTGTGTTGGCGAGTGGTTTGACAAATCAAACGAGTTCAAGTCTGCTCAACATCTGGGTGTACAGGCGCTTTCTCCTATTCACGCTGATGATAAACACCGGCGTTCGATCCGGGCATTCGCAAACTCGAGTATACCTGAACTCAGTCGAGACTGGCAAATGTTTCCGCTGAGCTCCAGTAGGAAGAAAAGAGGGATATAAGGTCCCGTATCAAGCGAAGCTGGATATCTGCGTACATGGAAGTAGTCTTTGTCTGTAAGTGAGATGCTTAAGAGCGCCTAAGGCCTGCACCTCCACTGTTACAAAACAAACAGTGGTATGTGAGGGCATTCAAGTGTTGTTTTTACAGGGTAAACTGTGCTATGGGGAAATAGCATTTCAGCTGCTGATGTCGAGCAAGGTCTGTCAAAATTTCAAACAATCAAGGCATGGCCTTTGCCTTTACGCACCCCCACGGACATGTCAAAGCTCTATGAGCGTGCACGTCGTCACCGAAATTTCGTTGGGGATGTTACTTCAACCACTGCTACTTTGGTTGGTCCAGTTCAGAAAATGCAGTTTACTGCGTTGTCAGGGGAGACAGGTGCCACAGCAAGGAAGCCTACTGGCCTCCCTACATTTCCTCCAATATTTGCACTGCCCGATTGTGAGTGGCATTTACTCCTAACAACGAATGTTAGTCACGCATTCGTGCTTGCCATTCTTTCCCAACAGGCTACGGGTTGCCAAAACATCAGATTATTACCTGTTATTCTCGTTGCTGCACCGAAACCGAGAATTGGTATCCAGTGCTTAAAGAGGAGCTGAATCCCGTGTGTGGGGAATGAAATACTGCGCGTACTCTTTTATGGGAGCCACTTCACTGTGCAGACATTGCAGCGGTCTTAAATATATCACAATAAGAAACTTCCAGGCTTGCCTTGATAATCATCGACTTGTTCACTGGCTCGGAGAAATCCTGCAGTGTGACCTTAGAGGAAAGTAGAAAAGGAAATCACCAGCAGAGTCGCCGAAGTCCTTTCGCGATGCCCCCGCAATTCATTATTTTGCAGCACAGCCGCACTTTCTTGTGGTGGCCTACGCTTTCTAGCAATATAGGGGGAGTTTCCTGCTTTTGACACTCGCGGATCCAGTTTTTTTGCCAGATTTTAGAGTGGCAAGGTAGAGCACTATCATTTTGAGGATCGCCTGCTATGGCTTAAGCGCCGTTGTTTGTGCATTCCGACTTCAACTTTGCAGTGTCGTTTCGCTCAAAGCAGATACCAGGACTCTTTGGGGCCATGGTAAGATTCGCACTGCAAAAAATGTATCTCACGGTTCTTCTGGTGGACTGTAGCGCGCTCCGCTGCAGGAAAGTATGTACCATCATACCCAGGTTGTCAACGGCTGAAGCCGCGCAGTTCTTCGTCAAATCCAACCTTTTGACAAATCCTTCCGTTTTTAAAGTAATTCGGCTGATTCTGACTTCCTGAGTTTTGCGTGGAACTGCCGCGGATCAGGGGTCAAAATAGCTTTTACTTCGCTATCCAGTTTTGTTAAGGCTCAGGAATTCGTTCAATTATTTGTACCTCATGTATGCAAGTTTCACACATTCTATAGTAGCATTACTATGGATACAAATCTAAAGCTCTTCACTGTGTTCTGGCCTGCATCTATGACCTGCCCACACATTGACTATGACAAACACGGAGAATCACCCTGAGTCAGATGCCCAGCTACAGCGCAGCATCCGTATTCTTTTGAACTTGTGTTTCTACGCTCAGAGACATGCAACCGTCTGACTCTCTATTCTTCCTTGTGCTACTTCGGTTCATAGTACGACAGTATACTCGTCTGCAGGTTGCTCTCCCGCGTTCCCGTTATACACAGAGGAGCCTCTCTCCGATCCAGACGTGGACCTGTCGATCTGGAGTGAGCCGCCACGCTTAGCAACAGAGGGACTCAGCGGCATTTGGCTAATGCATGCAAAACTATGAGCAAAGCTGAAGGAGGACCAGCACGAGGCTGGAAATTCGATCCCGGCGGACTGGCTGGATTTACGAGTGGCGCTAGGATTTCTTCAAAGATACAAGCTTGCGGCTAGTTGGCTAGGACTAGTAGCCATCGTCTCACAAATAAATGCTCCTTTTTACTGTATCGATCGCCCTTAATTTTAGAGGTGCCAAAGAACTATCAATACTGATTTCCTAGGAACAATTTGTAGAGCTGAACAGATTATGCGTGGATCGTGCTACACAGGCAAGTGGTCCATTTGGAGGCGGAGGATACACGTGGTTCAAAAAGGTGTTGGCTTCTAGGACTTTCAAGCTCTGGAGCCTTACTAGACGGGGTTTATAATATAACACGTTTGGGAACGCCAACTTCAATGGTGTATGGAGGAGCCATTGCTGGTATTGTTGCCTGCAAGAAACTTTGCGGCTCTGGTAAAAACGCTAGTTCCCGAATTCCATGGCGACTACCATGTAATTCAGCAGCAGCACATAATCTACCTAAAATATCTACATCTACCTACGAGGACCGCCTGATATGTTGTTAGGCTTTGTTCTCAAGGTGTTCCCTACGCTCACTTTTTCGCAAGCACACCCGGATATGTCGTCCGTTCATTCTTTCATACGTCTCTTCCACAGCTTTGAAGTTCACTATGCTGCATGCACTACCTCTGGTTTTTGCATGCATACATTGCTCCATGAGAAGTCAGTGGTATTACTAAACCAGTGTACACTTTGGTTCTTTTTACCCGCTTTACTCTCTTCGGTTTTCCTATAGGAAGGAGATCACACATTTGAGCGCTCCGACGACAGCGCTCCATCGCACTTCCGCGGTCGGGTTGGTTTGGTCCCTCGTCCCTTGTTGACAATTATGTGTGTCTATATTCCTTCTGACCTTGCTTTCGCGGCTTAATCGCATATTTGTTTTTGTGTTTGCACTGTTCTGATGTTTCTGCTTGCAAGGAGAGTAGTAATGGGGCTAGGACTCTTCTGGTGTACTGCGCGCAGTTGGTCTGGACGTAGTCCTACGGAACACGAGGACTTATGTCTTGAGGTGCAACGGGAAAGTTGCAACAGGCGGAGCTGCACTTAATCACATTCTACTACAAAAGAAGCGAATTGACTACTTTGCTTGTACATACACATGTCATTTGCTGCCGAGTTCTGTAAATCCATGGAAGGTGACGCGATTATGTTCGCTTGTGGGCTAGATACTAGGTGTAGCTAGCTGTCCATGTCCGGATCGCTTAGCGGATGCAGCTACACGGACCCCGACTGGCTCACCCATTAGGTTAGCTGTCTAGGGGGGGCGGGCAATATATTGTAACGCTCAGTCTAAGGTGCTCTTAAAGGGACACTTCATTCCAAGCTTATAACATTTCCCTTGAGATCTTGCGCCCTTGGTTATTCTTAAAGAATGCCTGTAGGAAGCTGAAGTGCAGCAAAAGCTTGCAACTTGTGCACTGTAGTAGATGTGTAGAGAATGCACACAAAGGCGACAAAAAAATTTTCCATAAAAGATAATTTGCAGCATAAAAGCGTATGTACGTTCGAGCCCCTGTGGGGTGACTTGTTTTATACTGTGGTTCCACGTTTGCTTTCATTGCTTCGACTATTTTTCGGCCAAAACAATGCAGCAACAAGAGAAGTGTCGGTAAGTACTCATTGATTTGGGAACAGCGCGATGTAGCTTCCCAAAAGTTGTGTTTCTTACCCAAATGCGATCGTATTCAGGTCCCAGGTATAGCAAGGTCTATTTATTTGTGCAGTTTCTGAAATTTTCCCTCCGTATCCACTCCGCTTTAGCTATTTTCCAAGCAGCAGCTTAACAGGGCCGTTGTCGCACAAAACTAAGTTTCTCAGTACCTCAGGAGTCATGGCTCTCTAATTTGCTAAAAATATCCACGGGAAAGAGCAGGGTGCTCAAGATAGGCACACACACTATCGGCAAATGTCTCCTACCCGGAAGGTGGAATGAGTTTCCTATCCAAGTAGCATGTGCAGAAATGTCCTGAGCCCCTGGAAGGCACTATCGACGTATAGAAATCCGCATCCATATACGTGTTGCATTGTGTTCCTCGTCAAATATAGCAAAACCTCGCATTGCAGGTTACTGAATACGGTCGGGGTACAGTATAATGCACAGGATAGGAGGGGAGCCTCTGGCCCAACCTAAGAATGTTCGAGCTTCAGAAAATGCCCACACATTAAGCTGCAAATCCTAAGCATCAAAGTTTCCCTTGAAAGCCCTTCCAACAGCCACTACACCTACTCCCTATACGATCTTAGACCTGCTCGCAAGAATAATGGTTACTGCCAAGGGGAACATGGCTTAAGGTTATGCAAAATTACAGAATCAATAATTAACGATGCAGAAGCCAGCAAAGGTACAGAATACTGCTGAAGTGTCCGATTGAACCAGGGGACCGCATGCAGCCCCGAGTACACACCCGCGGCATAGCCGAATCAACTATACAAACTTAGTTGTTGACCCCTGCTCAAGGCATTCCAGCCATTAGCTCGGATATACATATGCCTGGGAGTGGGGGCGATACCAATATATTGATTTTTAAGAGAAGCCCCCATACCGCTGTCTGTGCCTTCTGTATGCCTAGAACTTCCACTAGGCTGTAAACATATAGCTTCACCTTCATGGCTTCAGATTGCTCATTTAGAGCTCGAAAAGATGGCTCCGAAGAAGTCCAAGTAAGATGCTGCTCCAGGACCTCGCAAGGTCCCTGTCTGGACATTGGCAACTCGCGAGTTTAGGGATAAAGGGAAAGAGTATCTTGCATGCCATTTACGCAGGTCAACCACAACAGCAGAGTCTACCGAGAAGGATAAGAATGGCAAGGCCAAGCAGAAGGCCGCGATTTCTCCAACACCTGAGGTAGCTTAACCCTGAGGCCGAAGCACGCACGAAGGACGATGTCTTGTACTCTGCTCCTACTAGACACTTAAAAATTAGGGTCAAGGGGCTCTGCTCTACTGTCATGAATCACTATATACGCAACAGCCTCGATAATTTGGCTTCAAGGGAAAGTCATACACGGTGGACTTTTTCGCCCTATTGCAGGTTACACAGCCCCCAGAACGGCCTCCGGGCTATATTGACCTCAAACCCTTTCAGAGGTTGCCCAAAGAAGTCTTGCACAATCACTGCCAGAAGGTGAGCGATTTTAATCTAGAGCTTGCGAGAAGGGCTCAAAAGTTGACGCTCGAACTGTCAGGGTGGAAGGAGCGCCACGGTGATACGCCTGTCTGTTTGCTGACTTCGTGACGCTCAACCCCTAAAATTTCAACCGAGGTGTTTGTTCAGCACAAGATACCGAAGCCTCAGTACGAACAGCGGAGGGCTTCTAAGGGTTTCTTTAAAACGGAATGCATCCTGATCAATCACAAGGATAGTTCCAAAACCATGCGGTAAGGGCATATCCCAGCCCATGGAACAGAAAGTGCTGTTCCAATTTAGTAAGCGCATATCAGCAGCATTACCAGTGCCAATGCCCGTGTACTGCTGTGTACCTTCCTTTGGTGCTGTTTCTTACTTGCACATCCTGTTTCAGGAGCCGTAGTGCTCAACCTACATATCCTGAGGAAGCTCCAAACTCGTACACCTACGAGTTTTCTGCGTCGCTTGCAAAGTTGTCTTCTGCCTGTTTTTTAAATGTGTACTTGTGAAAGTACTTGTGAATGGCTTTTACTAGGTTCCTTACGAACGAGGAATTCCCTTTCAAAGCCCATAGTGAGCACTTCAGCGCGTTGCTGGCACTCCACCATTTAGAGCCAACACGGCCATACGAGAAGCTCTTTCCCTCCCCTTTTAAGGAGGCATGGTTAGTCCTCTCTGGGCAGGCGCCTCAACCGCTCCGGCAGCAGCAGCAGGAAGGAGCTGACTCACCTGCAGCAGGGTCAAAGAAAACGAGCGCTAGATCGAAAGCAACAAAGGCAGCTGCCACTGGACCTACTGCTGCAGAGGAACCAGCTGATGTTGCTATCTCATCTACCTGTGGCATAGTACCAATGCCAGTAGCAGCACCCACAGCAGCTGCTACCGGTCCAAAGGCTGTCAAACAAAGACAGTCTGGCGCCGGTGATGACCCCAGGATTGCCCCTCCCACATCTGCTGCTGTCAATGTTAACTCTCCCTTATTATCTGATAGCCCTTCAAAGGGCGCTTCCGAGGTTCCTGTGGCGGTGCAGATAAGCAGTGCACACCGCTACGCTTCAGAGTTTGAGCGGCAGCAAGCGGCAGAGGTAAACAGGCTCAAACAAGTAAAGAAGGAGAAAGAGAGAGAAATTCAACGACTAGAGGAGGAAGCACAGATGCCAACTGTATATATGGCGGAGGCAGTCAGAAAGAAGGTCTCCATGGTGCTGAAGGAAGTACTTCCGCATGTTACTGCCCAGCACCCTGCGGTTGCTGCTGCTGCTTTGGCTGGTAAAAAGTTTTATGCCGCGGAACCGGGGAAAGGAGGCAGCGCAGAGTCTCTTCTTTTCCCGTTGCAGTGGACAGACAGCAAGTGGATCTCTAGTGTTTCGTGGGCCCTGCGCAGACAGATGAACGCCCCGAGGGCCATGGGGGCCCTCAGGACAAGGTTGCTCAAGGAGCTGACGGGACACCTTCAGTTTGAAAAGGAAATTTCCTCCGCTGCAGTAGAAGCTGTCCTTGCAGTGTTGGTGGTTTCCCCACAGCAGCGGCAACAACCCCAGGAGCAGGTGGTACAACAGACAGAAACGGTGGCCTTTCTTCAGGTCGTGGAGAGCTGCCAGGACTTTATTGCCATCAACACTGCAGACGAGGGCTCCTTGCCGTCTCACTTCTCCCCCGCGGGAAAACAGATTGAAATCCGATGTCAAGGGGCCTCCCCCCAGCAGCGGCAACAGCAGCACCGGGAGGATGAAAGGGGAGAGAAGGCACTGCAAGCGTCAAAGGAGCGTTTCTTTGGGTCGCTCAAAGCCCTTTGTGATGGAGCACGTGAAAAGGCCCTACTAGATACTCTTCTGCAACTTGCAGGGGCCCTGAGCTCTTTATGTTGTTGCACAGGGCTGTATGCCATTGCCGCCAGGACCCTGGATGCGCAGCAGCAGGAGCAAGGAGAACCCGTGGCAGCATTCGCCGACGCGTTTGCTGCTGTAGCTGCCGCTGCAGGAGCAGTTGTTGGAACGCCAGAGGTCGCACAGACGCGCGCATTGGTTCAGCGCCTTGGGGGCTCAGCTCTGACTGCGGAAGCTGACTTCCTGAACCGAACTGAAGCGGTAATTATTCTTGAATCGAGGCCTTTCAAACCTCAAGTGCTAATTTGGTTTGGGACAAGGGCTCAACGCTGGTCTTAGGCGTGCTTTGCTGATCGTGTTTTTAGAGTTGTAGTCTCGGCTGCTCTTGAGTTTTGTGAGATGCGTTCAGATTAAACATCAGGAGCTGGAAGCCTCAGAAAGTCTGCTTCCGGACTCAGTGTCCTTGCGGTTGAGGGTACCCATACAGGGGGACGCCTCGAAGCAAGAGATCTCTGAAGATTGGCTGGGAGCTCCCACGGGCTTCCACTTGCGCGTACCCATAGACCCCCCTGCTGCATCGTCTATAGAGAGCTGCTTGAAGGCCTCATTGGGTTCTGACTATCTGCAGGAGGGCTTTCAAGGGATTTCTGTGCTAAACATTTTCTCTCCGCCTGGGGCAGCGTATCCTCTAGAACCACCCATTGTATGGATTTCATCGGAGGTACCTTGTGGGTCGCCCTCTGAAGAAGTGGTCTCTCTCTCTGAGATTACCCACCCCCCGTATGCGGAAATTGTCGGGGCCATTATATGTGGGACTTTTGGTGCTCACAATGCACTGCGCCTCTCACGTCCATTGCAGCAACTGTCGGAGAAAGCATCTCTTCAAGGCTGCCCGATTGGGAGCTCTCCGAGACCGCCCTGTCCCTCTAGAATCTTAAATGTGTTATCCTCATCTATTTGCGAGACCTCGATCTCCGATGTGGCAGCACTGCTGCAGGCACCGTGGCAATTCGAAGCCCAACTTGATGAACTGCTCGCTAAAGAACCGGACGGCCCTCGGGGGATGGTTGCTCGATGGGTGACAGTAGCAACAGGGGCACCTATTTTAGCGGCAGGAGAGGCAGCCACAGGACAGGAACTGGCACTTTCTCAGCAAAGTCAGCAGTGCCAAGGGAGTACCTCCCCTCTTTCATACGCAGGGGATGATGGGGTCCCCCCTCTGCCCCCCAAAAGTGTAAGAGACAAGGGTGAGGTCAGAAGGACCTCCAATCCCCCTAGGGGGCCGCATACGCAAAGTCATGCGATGGAAGGGCTGACAACAGGGGAAATTCAAGTCTGCAAGACTATTTTGAAGGGGGCAGAACACCCGGCTTCCCGTGATGCAATGAGCCTTCCTGTGCGGCAGCACTTTGATACAGTTCTGGAGTTCATGGGGAATCCTTTTAAGCGAGTTCTTGTAGTACAGGGAGAAACAGGGTAAGCCGTGGAATAAGCCTTTCCCAGTCTCTACGATTCTTTTGACCACCAACTGTTCTTCCTGTTGCCCACCGTCCCTCTGCACCTCTCTTTCGTTGCCAGTGGCAGTGATTGCACTCTGGACTCTATGCGCATTCCCAGCTCTGTAGAGTGGTACTGCTGCTCCCAGCTTCTTTCTGTTTCTTGTGCGGCTGTAGCTCTCTTTTGCATATTTTCAAGCCTGAATTCCTTCGTCAAGTGCTGCTACAGCGTGCGCTGTTGCTGCTGTTATCCCATACGCTGTTGCCGGTGCATTTGCGTTTGCTGTTTCATATGCTGCTGCTGTAATTGTACGCAGGTCTGGCAAGACGACCCAGTTGCCTCGTATGCTGTTAGAAGCAGCGGCTCAAATCGCACTGCAGCAGCTGCAGAGCAACAGCAGCATTAGTAAGGATCAGTTTCCTGGTTTTGTCGTGTGTACGCAACCCCGGCGGTTGGCTGCTGTATCGGTGGCTAGTAGGGCGGCCTCCGAAATGGGGTCACCTCTGGGGGCCCTCGTAGGATACCAAGTGCGGTTGGAGTCTCGACTCAGCCAGCAGACGCGTCTCCTCTTTTGCACCCACGGCGTTCTCCTTCGACAAATCCTGAGCGGCGAGTAAGGGACCTTTCCTCTAGGCTCCACATTGCGAGGGCTACTGAGGAGAAAGACACCGTTACAAGTGTTCCTTTGGTAGATATATAGAATTATCACTCATTGGCCAGTCTGGCCTTCAAATACATGGAAGACCGAATTGTGTCTGATTTGTGAATGTGCGTTCGTGGATTCACGCGTGCTTCTGGATGTACGAAATGGCGCATAGCATATTGTTTATCCAGATACGCTGGATACAGAATGCCACCTTCAGTCTTTCCTCCTCTATCATTTGTGGCGTATCACATATAAGCCTGTTAGTTGGTGCGTGTGATGTCGCCAGTGTGTTGGAGAGGGCCTCGGTGGTGGTGGTGGATGAGGTGCACGAGCGCTGCACTGAAGTGGATATGCTCCTCCTGGTCCTTGCCAAGGCCCTTGCCAACAAGAGCCACAATGTATGCTACACTTTACAAACCACAACCTCGTTGGGGTCTTAAGTACACCAGGGGCTGCAAGAGCGCTAGGCAGAGACCAAGGCTGTACATTTGGCACCCTGAGCCGCAAAATAGGACTCCGAAAGCAAGGAAATTGGGGTTCATGTTGCATGCGGGTGCTCTACAGCACGCAGCAGAGACAGAAAAAATTGCATTGGCAGCGAAAACTGAGCTTTCCTTGTTTCGTGTGCTGTTTCCAAAGCATGGATACCATGAAGAACTCTCTGGGAGACTGGTGATTGGGTAGAAATGCTCATTTTTGGTGTCACTTTGGTTTGCAATGCGGTTTCTATTCAGCTCAAGGTCGTAGTAATGAGTGCCTCTCTGGCAGTAGAGCACTTTGTCGCGTACTTCCGTCCAGAGCGGCTTGTCGCACTAAGGGCCCCCTCGGGTTGCAGGAGGTGGCAGGATCAGCGGCACATGTGGCAGCAGCAGCAGCAATTGCTGCGGGATGAGGGGGAACATTTGCACAACAGTGTGGCCATCCTTAGAGTTCCAGGGAGGACTTTTCCAGTGTCTGTATACTATCTCAGCGAAGTGCTGGAAATGTGTGAAAGGCCTTCGCTTCCTTCTGCATATCAGGGAGCTTCAGCAGCTGCAGCTGCTTCAGCAGTTGAGGCGAGGTACAGGGGAGGAGCCAAGCCTGCTGCAGCGAAAACTGAATGGCGAGATGTACACCAAGATACATTTTTTTCAAATCACAGTTCTCCTGGCAACCAGACAACACCTGTAGCAGCAACAGCAGCTGGGACCCCAGTGGGATCGCTTCCGCAGCTACCGCAGTTGGTTGCAGCGGTGGTCCGTCACGTACACCTGACAGGAATACCGTGTGGGAAGTCTGCCTCAGGCGCTCCTCGAGGACACCGCGTAGGAAAACTGAGACAACAGGAGCAACAGCAGGGAGCGGGGACAGCTATAATTGTGTTCTGCAGCGGAGTTGGAGAGGTTTCCGCCGTCTGCCGAGCGATTGAGGAGCTTCAGTTGGACCTCTGGGTGTTGCCATGCCACGCGTCGCTCCATCCACGACAGCAGCAAAAGGTTATATGCTGCTGCGGCTGTTGCTTTTTCTGCAAGCTCCAGTGTTTCCGCTGCTGTCGGTGCTGCTGCTAGTGCGACTGCTACTCGTGCTGCGATCGCAGTCGCAGATCCCGTATATAGGGGTGATCCTTTGCTTACCCTGTCCATCATGGGTTTGATGCCGCCTCCTCGTGCGCAGGATATTTCCGTTTAGCTTGTAATGTTCGCCTTCAGGTATTTGCTGCACCTCCTGCCGGCTGGAGGAAGGTTGTTGTTGCGACGAACATCGCCGAAACGTCAATCACAATCAGCGTAAATCCCTTACCCGGTCCTTCATATGCCAAATTGCGAAAGAGGACTCATTCACGCCTTCTTACTGTCCTATGCTTGGACGTGCGTCAGGGCTTGTGGATTAGGCTTTTGTAGTTTGTGTTTCCTGTGTACCAAGGATGTGGGGTATGTGGTGGATTGCGGGACGCACAAAATGCTACGGTACGATCCATCGAGACGCAGCAGCAAGCTTCAAGAGGAGCTCATCACGAAGGCAAATGCTCAACAAAGGAGTGGAAGGGCGGGTCGTGTAGCTGAAGGCCACTGTTTCAGGCTCTACGAAAAGGGCGAGTTCAATGACATGCCCCAGTAAGCCGGTGTTCCACATTTCTCACTTAATACACCCTCTTGCTCATGACTAAGGATGTAGGGACAGAACGAGCATAGGGGTGTAGAATAGCATCAGGTAGAAGGCTAGGCTGTCCAGTTGATGCATTGCAACAGCCTGATAACAAGACTTGCTTACTTTAGTTCTGCAGTGCAGGGCCTTGCAGCAGTCACCAGCATTAATGTTCACTCGCTGAGAGCCGCACTCACAGTAGAAGTTTCTGGACAAGCCGGGATGATGAAAACAGCTTCTTAGAGGCAATTTAAAGATATGCGATTGTAAGCACAGGCATGCCAACATGCAGCCGAGTGCACAGGTCTCCTGTTGCTGCTGCAGGGCTGAAACTCCTGAGTTGCATCGTCAGGCCCTCCACAACGTCTGTCTCCAACTAAAAGTACGCAAGGGTCTCTTATGCCTTATTTTTGCCTGGCCCTGTCCTGTCGGGGCGCCCTCATCTGTGCCTCATCAAATCGTTCTCCTTGGCGTATTTCTACCCATTCTGTCTCTGTACCTCACTCTCTGACTGTCAAAGCCGTTCTCATGTTGCATCTAGCAGGTTCTGTACGTCCAAGTGAGTGCACGGTATTTTTCATACGTCTTGCTGCCTAGGCACTCTCCCCACTTGCTTCGCTACCACCTGAAGTCGTCTTCTGCCTTGTGGCATCTCACCGTGTGTCTCCTTTTCTTAATGCGCTAGTGCCAACAGCAACCTAGAGAGGGGCACAGCGGGAACTCTAGGGCGCCTGTGCCTTGCAGCGCCCCTTCCTTATGCGTGTCCCCGTCTCCCGTATCCTGCATTTCTAGTACGTCCAGTGAGCACTTCATGAAACTGTTTCTTTGAATGTGCTTGCAAACAAACGTCAATTGCTTCTGCACTTTCTGCTGCTGACATAGGCCATCTTCCCCGAGGAGCCTCTGCACCATTTGTTGGGCCAGTGCCTTGACCCGCCAGCCCAAGACCATGTAGACGCCTCCATCAGGTGAACAGCTGTAGCAACGCTAGCATAAGAAGCAGCGGTATCAGCAGCACACGCCGATGGCTGAATCTTGGTACATACACTTGCCGTACCTGTTGGTGCTGCTGATGCAGGCACCTGGTTCACTTGGGTGCTCTGGAATGTAATGGAGGCCTTGTGGGAGAGTCACTCACGCCTCTGGGGCTCTTCCTCTCGCGCTTTCCCATGAGCATATCCTACGCAAAAATGCTCATCTTTGCTGCACCCCTCGGCTGTCTTGAGGAAACACTCGCACTCTGCGCCCTCATGGCTGCAGACTCGGATCTGTATATTCCTGGGGCAGAGGCGGCTGCTGAGAGACAAAAGGTCGGCTACGCATAGAAGGCGAAAGATTGAACATGCATATGATCCTTCTTTTGGACTCCATCTTGGTGTCTCCTTGCATGGCGCGTTCCGTCTGCGTCTCTGCGTTTCTATCTACCGCGTTGTCTTTTTGTTGATTTTTCTAGTTTCCAGGCCATTTGAATTTGTCCTTTGATCTGGACGTGCTCTTAAATTTCCTTACTTGTCGCCCCCTGTTTCTTGTTTCCTGTCGTAACTTTTCGTCTGCCACCCCCTTACATTCTCGCTGGCGTGTCTTTGCTTCTCCTCTTTAATGCTCGCTTGCTGAAGTGTCAGCTTGTCGCCTACACTACTCCGACTTGTGGACGCGCGGCAGCAGTCCCTCAATCTGCTGAGGATTAATGTCCTGCGGTTTGCTCTTGTGTGCGTGTTTTTATGTGTAGCATTTTGCGCGAAGCCAGTCCGATTTTGTAAGCAACCTGCGGGTTTTTGCTGCATGGAAGGCTGCGGTGGCGTGTGGTCGGGGAGCAGAAGATGAATTCTGCATGCGCTTTGGAGTAAACAGCAGCACATGCAGAGCTGCGGAGGCCTTACGGAAGAGATTTAGGAGAGTAGCCAGAGATGCAGGGCTGATGGCGATGATGGGCAGAGAGCCAGAACGACAGATATTGAGCAGTAGTACAGGTGAGTCGATTCAAGAATGCCGCTTTTGTTTATGACTATTTAGGGCTTTATGCTCATATGCCAAAAGCAACGAGAAGCCTAGAAAGCCATTCATCCATGCCTCTGGGCCTGAAACTTGCATTTCTTTCCATTTGCCATGTACCTCTTCCACTGCTTCTCTGTTGCCTAATCTTACTCTCCATTGTAGTTGTACTTCTTTGAATGTGTATACACAACTTTAATAGCGATATGTGTCTAGAAGCCCATGTGTACTTCAACTCTCTTTACAGGCATGAGACAGGGGGCTCCCTCCACATCAGCAATCAGCCTGAACTACAGCAGCAACAACAACAGCGTCGAGGGCTGTGATAGTGATACTGGAGACGATGAAGTGGCCCTGCATGTTGAGGAGACATCTTCGCCTGTGTCCGTTAGCGATATAGGATCCACAGAAGGCACATTGGGGGTAGTCTCGAGCCAAAGTCCAAAAGGGAGGGCCAGAGACAGTGTCAGAAGCATATATTGGTACATTAAGGCGTGTGTTGTCGCTGGGTTGTATCCACAAGTAGCAACCATCCAGGCGCCCCGGATCTACACGGTAAATTTCTAAAACCCAGTGAAGCGAGGTTCTGGATGCAATCGCTCAGGGATGTTCAGAAGCCCTTTTATTTTAGCTGCTGCTTCCACAGCACATTTTGTAGCCTCCTCTGTTGGTGCCCCTACAATCAAATCTGCCACAACAAAGGTGCTGGCCACCGCTGCTGCGGCAGCAGCCGCACTTGATGTTTCCACTTCATACGAATCATCTGTCGGTGGTACTACACTGCTGCAGGCAGTGGGGTCGGGTACTTTGGAGAAGGCCCCTGAAGCGTGGCAAATGAAGTTCTTTACAAGAGTCGATGCAGACCCCATCTCCTCACAAGAAGATAAGCGTAATTCCAAACAGAAGCTTCAGCGGTAAGGTGTGAGGCCTTCAATTGAAGGTGAAGATTTGCGAACACAAGAGTAAAGATGCCTTTATTCGAAGTTCTTCGTCTTTACGTTTTAGGGTTTGCAGAGACCGCTTGCAGCTCCGATACGCGGTGTTGTTGTTGTATACTCAACCAATTTTATAAGGTCTTGCTGTTTACAATTTATGATTTGTGTTTTGCTGTTTAGGGTGTTTATACACCCGACATCGATAAACTTTAAGACCTGCGAGTATGACACTCAGTGGGTGGCCTTCGGTGAAAAGCTACAAACCACAAAGCTCTTCATCAAGGACGTTTCCACCGTCTCGGTCTTCGCCCTCCTCCTCCTCTCCTGTATGCCCCCCTTCACTAGTGTTGCTGCATCTGATGGTGTTCTCGAAAGTGTGACTGCTACTGATTTTCCCTGGTTTCGCCAGGTGTCGCTGTTATACCATGTGCCTTTCTTGGCTGTTGTTAGATATGGTGTCTAGGCGATACCTCTATGCTGAATGATATTGAATTTTTGTATGTAGAGTTTTAGGAAGCTTTGTACGCTCTTCCTCGTAGGCTGCGAGCTGGTTCCAGCTCAAGGAGAGGGTGCCCTTTGGCTGGATGGATGGCTGCAGCTGCGATGCCCCGGCCTTATCAGCAGCTACGTCAAGCACCTAAAAGGGCTCTTTCACACCTTTCTTAATGAATTTTATTGCCTTTCTGCCGTAGCCCTCATCCGCAGGGGATCATTCGACACCCAGGGAGCTCCCTTGCCACAGGCACGGAACCTTGACTACGATCAACTGGCACTCGAGATACCAGTTACTGCGACCAACCCGAGATGCGTCTTTTTTGGAGCCTCAGACGCCATTCACAGGAGGTGTGAGCTGACAGCACTTATTAAAAGACTTGTGGAGCTCGAGGGACACCTTGTGTAAGTTATCAGCAATTTGCAGGTATCGCGGCTAGTCCATGTTAGCCGCTCCGGAGAACATCACCCGAAAAAGGATGGCCGCGAATTAGGTTGCCATCTGATTCCGACCCCCGCTGGCTGAACTCTCCTTTCGAGCACCTGAAAATTTTACGGCTCCTTGGAGTCTTGAGGCATCCATTTACTGCCGACTCATGATGTTAGTGCAGTAGTTTGGGGGAGCCGTTGTTGCTCCAACCCCAAATTCCAACTTCACTGCAGGTAGATGCAAGGGGATGTGCAAGTTCATTTCTGGGCTCTGAAGATAGGGGAGAAAGCAGTGGCTGAGGGGTAAGAAGTCTTGCATGTTTTGGCGCTTTAGATATCGAGGCGTATAGCTTTGAGGAGATAGAAATTTGCATTTGCAGCTAGTATATTCCATGTAGAAGCTCTGACACCAGAATAACTAAAAGCTGTAATGCCAGTATCAGTTTTCGCAGCAAGGGCAGTACTGCTACTTGGCAGTAGCTGCCCCAGAGCCATCTGCGGCTAAGAGCACATATAATGTAGCAGGCGCACACAATGGCTCTTCCCATACTTGGATTCCGCAGCAAGGCAGATATCCAGCTGCACATGTTTGTACGCCTTAAGTTCAGAGGCATAACACAGCTGTGGAGCTGCTTTCCAATCTAGGGCTTGTGAGTTGTGGGAAGATATCACTCTGCTTTCATGTCGTCAATATGGTGTTTTGAGTGGTTATCACCAGGAGATATTCTATGGCGCAGCTTCCAGGGCGTTCTGCAAAGGGAAACAATTGGGGGTCCACGAAGAAACAAAAGCATTACCGCCTTTGCCACCCAGTCCCACACTCGAACCGTTCAGCCTAGGCTTGAGGCCACAGCCCATCATAATTGATAGCCAGAAGTGGAATTCTTGTTCCTGCTCTACAGGTGAATTTCTCGCCCCCTTTCTCCGGTAGCTCACTTTTGACCCTGAAGCACTAGGCCTGAAATTGAGCCCAGCCGTCTACTACCGATCAGCTAAATCCCAAACGCGAACGCTGCAATTCAAAGCATCGTCTAAACACTGAGCAGCGAAAGCCAAACACCAAAATCACAACGTGAAACACGACACCCAAGTGGCTCAATCGACTGACCGAGTCCACAGTACGACTGAAAGACAGACTTTTTCTTCCCCCCAAAGCCCTAAACTGCGACTCTCAACATTAATACCATGAATCGATTCCATGCATACTTTACAGAGGCTGGTGGCTTGAGTTTCCTAAGGAATCCACATACCAGGGCCCCTGGTTCTCAGCCCTACGCAATCCTCACAGCCCGGACAGGGACCACTCTTTGCCCGACAACTATTTTGTGGATCGTACTTCTTTGTCTTTCTTAATCTTCTGGTGTCACCTTTTTACTGCTTGATGCAGATTCAGTGCCCTTACCCTCGCCCACAGCATTTTCCTGAACACATACCCTATCCTTTAACTGCAGACCTCAGGCAATATACCTTTAAACCACAGCCGTGCAAGTTTCAGAGGGCAATAAGAGGATCCTCTTCTTCCCACCACAAGTCTTCTGTGTTGTGCCCCTCTCCAGCAGCTTTACCGCCGTTTGCAACAGAGCCATTTCTAAGTGATATATTTCTCATTGCTTATAACTCAACAACACAAGCATGAAACTGGTCTTGCAGCGTGTTGAGGGGGCGGCTGTTCGGGTGGCAGCGACTGGAGAGGAGGTCTCACGTATTGGAAAAGGTATTGTTTGTCTCTTGGGAATCAGCAAAAAGGACCACAAGTAGGCTGGGCATCCGAAGCCTTGAGCTTTCCTACAAGGCATGCACCTCATTAATGAAGGCGTCCTTTTTTGGACTCTAAACTAAAGCAGGTGGACAGAGGGACAAGCTTGACGGTCGGTGTTCATTTCCTTGGTTCAGGGTGGATCTGGACTATGGTGTGAAGAAGTGCCTAGGCACCCGCCTCTGGGGTAGGGAACTCCCTCTCCCTCATTCTTCTTCTAAATACATAATCATCTTGCTGTGATATCGCTCAGAGAGTTCTCTTGACCTCTGCCTGCATAAAGCCATCCTCCTTCCCACTATCACATCTTGCCTCTTTGGCATCGGTGTCTACTTGTGTGCTTCTCCTCCTACTGTTTCCTACATTATCCTCGAATAATCCTGCCTCCATTTACCTGCTGTTGCCTGGCTTTCTCAACTCAAGTATCTCTGTGCATCTGCGGAGAGACGTCACTATCTTTGCCTCGCCTGTTGGCAGTCGGCGTCACTGCCGCCTTAACCTGCACGCACAACCCTTCAAAGCGCTTAACTAGCGGCAGACCCATGTCCCTGTTGCGTATGTTTCTGCAGAGGACCCTTCGGGAAAACCTTGGCAGAAAAACGTTACAGACGTCGGCTACGGTAAGCTTTAGGCGCCTCCGGTCTATGCCCTCATACCCAAACCCGAGTTGCTTTCGTGCCTTCTATCCACACCACATTATACAACGCTGCGAGCCACATCCGTAACCCTGCTCATGGTAAATGACAGCCATAAAGCATATACCACCATACCGCAATTCTAAAGCAGTATAAACTTGCATGTGTTCGGCTGCGTTTAGAGATTTTGGTGGTCTCAAACTTTACCCTCCAAGCACAAACGAAAAAGGGCTTTCAACCAGACTTCTCCAGAGGTGAGGGTTTAGGCTTTGCAGTTTCGATGCCAACCCTAGGAGTCTGGGGTCACATCATTACTAGTAGTGGTATTTCGTTTCATTCAAACTCCTAGTGCACAGAACCCTTCCCTTGGGCTGTGTGCTGAGGCTTGTAATGGTATCTAAGGACTTTGGTATAACCGTTTTGCGCAGCGATGTCCCCCGACGAGGCAAGGTCGATGTATGAGAGCTTTGTGGCAAGTCTACGGGCGGCGTACCAACCAGACAAAATAAAAACCGGACGATTCCAAACATGCACACGTAGGTATTAGTCCTAAGCCATCATACAGAAGCCTGAAGTACCGCACTTCCCGGTGGGGTTTGATGTGGAAGTAACCTGTGGGGTACACTGCTGTCAGCGTCTCCTGGCCCACTGTAATTAAAATGCTTTTTTCTGTCTAACTTGACAAGGAATGTGTAGTGTGGGGAAGTGCTGTAGCATCTGGATCCAGTGTCCACCAGTGTACAGGATCCTCCTCGCCTTAACATATCCTTTCCTATCGAGGCTTTACACGGCACTGTCGTTTGCTTCCCGACTGCATTTCGCTTATGCCGCACGCTTAACCACTCTACATTGGCTTCTTGTATCCTCTTTTGTGCGGGACATCCCGGCGCCTACATGTGCCTTCGTGTATACATTTCTAGGCGTAGAGATCCACAATGACGGCCCAGTAACCATCACAATCGACACGCAGGACCTCCAGCTCAACCGTAGCTCTTCCTCCCCGCCGGGCTCATCAGGGAATAGTGTACAATCGAGTGCAACGGCAACTGCCGGCGAGAACTGCAAGGAAGCAATCCAAAACAATGACCTGGGCACGCACCCCAAACATTCTTAGTATTTTCCTTGTTGAGAAGCAGTCAGCCTTGGGCTCTCTTTTGGCTTTGCAAGGCTCAAGCAAAAATCCAGCCAGCTTTTCCTTTTTCATGCTCATGGTCCACAGGGTGTCGCCAATGCGGCTGGAAATAACTAGGCCTCCTGCTACTAGTCACAGCTGTTTGGGGTGGGCACACCCTCTTCTGCAATTTTTTTTCGGAGCTCCCGGATCCTAATTTGGTGTATCGATGGGCCTAGCAATGTTTTGTGGCACCTGGAAAAAGCCTGTGGAGTATCTGCTGTCTAGCGTACATAGGTGGTTGCGAATGAACTGCATGCCTTGCCAAGTTCCCTCAATGATTCGCAGTGCTAGCTTCTGAGCTCTCTTGACCCCTAAGCTCTATTTCGCACTTCCTTTCTAGCGCCACAGACAGTCTATACTTGCTCGTAAGCTGCTCTTACGGTGCGTTAAATCCCACGCGCTGGGACTGGTGCTAGAAGAATTCCGTACTAATAGAAGCGCAGTACAGTCCCGCAAGTTGGTGTCAATAGAAATGTAAATTCTGTCGTCACTAACTTGGTGAGTGGACATTCGAGTGCCTCCTGCTCCTTTGGAAGATGATTTCCTTTCTTGCTGCCTCCCCTGTGAGGTCATCTTTGTCTTCCTGCTTCATTTTTTATCTAGTCCCGTAGGCAACTATTTGCAGTGGACACCTTCGTACGTTATTGCAATATTGAGATCCGAGGAACGCATGCGCTGAGAGTACACCGGCACGGCTTATCGCCGCTGTTGGGCAGCAATTACCATTCTTCTTCCCAACCGTTCCACATTCTCAAGCTTCACAGGATCCCCGTGTCCCAATCCAGGTGTCTTAGCTGATGCCCGACACGAAGACCCAGAATATACTTTCCGCATCTCGAAAATGGAAAGCTGCTGTAAAGGGTGGTGCCTTGATAGATTTAACGCAGTCTAGTCCACCTGCTGAGAGAGGTTGAACCCTTAAGCATATAAGCCCTCAAGCCAAACAAAGCGAAAACGCCAGATTTGGTCCATGGATCTCGACGCGAACTACACGCGCTATAACTACGTTTTCTGCCAGTATTGGCAGCACTCCCTTCCTGGGATCCTATTTTGGGGCCGCGCTTTGTGACCCGTAGTATATTGAAGTGTCCCTTCATGGTTTACTCCTTGCCTTCTTGCACTTCCTGCACCCTCAACCAGTACTGGCAGAAGCACTTATACTACGTCGCAGAAGTGATCTGCAAGCGATTCGTGATGGCACATAAAACGAATAGTATGATTCATATGCCCTCAAGACCTTGACCTATCTAAAGGTAACTACGCATGTAGCCCAAAGCAAATGGGACAGCGATAGCGAAGCGCACGTTTCTGCCTGTGAGGAACACGTTTAGAGTCCTGCAGCTTTATCTATAAGGATATTTAAAGCTGCACGGAGACGAAAAGGGTTCCAGTCTAACAGGAGGCTAGCACAGCGCTGCTTTACATCTTCTGAAGGGGAACCCAACACATTGGGAATAGTGAAACGATACATTTAACGTCTCAATTGAAAGGGGGTCCCATACACAGATGCTTTAGCAGAAACATAAAAAAGTCCCAATGACTCCTACAGGCCAGTAAGTCCGGCAGACAATCCCCGCCTTGTGGACCTTCCTGCGGCCGGGGGCCTCATTGCTGCTACAGCATGATCGTGGCTGAGGCTCTCCCCAAGTTGAGCGCCACCCACAGCCGTTGGCTGTGACTCAATGTTGGAAGAGCTCTGTAGAGAGACCCCTGCAGCTGGCGGCCCTTCTGTCAGAGGTATTATCGAGTCAACGATCCCTTGCTGGAGTGCCCCCTCTGCATCAAGGTACTTTTCTTCAGCAAGAAAACTGGCCATGGATGAAGGAGGGATGGAAGTGAGCTGCCTGAAGAGCATTAGGACAGTAAATACACAAATCCTAAGGGCCACGTGAAGATAGCCATAGAGGCACCCAGGTACTAAAGTGTGCAGGTACTCATATGTCCCTGCGTGTTGTACGCTCAAGTCAATCAAAAATGGCTTCTACGGCCTAGCTGCTTGTGTCAAAACTCGTTGAGGATGTAAAGAGTGCATAAAGGCAACGGGTCGATCATGTAGAGACCCTCGCGAAATAATACGTCATACAGCACGGCCCCGAAAGAGGGTTACAGGAAGAGAGTGGTGTTAACACTGGCGGCAGAAGAAAGTCATAGTGCGCGTGGCTTGCAGTCAGATCCTTGGATTAGTCGCTCTGTTTGAGTTGAGATATTTTATGCTGTAGGGTTCTACCGCCTTCAGCAGGTGGACTCCACTGCTTTAAATTACTGAAGGCACCAGCATTCACTGCACACTTCAATTGACTGGGGCTCCAATAGGATTTCATGCACTGCTTTCTCACCCGTAGAGCCGTTCCACTTGGTCCTTAACTCTTTTAACGCCATCCGCTTCTGTGAGGAGGTCGTTTAGGGGACCGGCAAGGGCCCCCATGGGAAGGTGCAGGAGCACTCTGCTGCCACCCAAGGCATACCGGTGACCTGGAGCCCCGCCCGCCAGCAGCAGAGAAGCAGAGGAGGCGCATAAGCCACAGTTTACGGTATAGACTGGGCTAGACATCATCTGCAAGCAAAAACCACGTAAGAATGGCTGAAGCCTATCCTGACTTTGCTTTTGCTCAAGCTGTCGCTGCTCCGAATGGGTTATGCACGACGGTGTCCGGACCATAAAGACCTCCAGGAAGCAGCACTAGGATATTTAGGTGCAGTGGAAATTGCAAAAATACACGTTTTATAAAAAAATGTATGAGCAGACCTGCATGAGGTCTAAGACGGCCAAAGCATGAGTAAGCGACCCTCCCGTGGAGTGTATATGCAGGTAGATGGCACTGTGCTTCCTCCCCTCGGAATCAGCGGTCTCCTCCAGCAACAAGAGAGACCCCAGCAGCTCCTCAGTCGTTTGGGGTCCCAGCTCCGAGAACAAAAACAACACACGTTCTGCCTTCTGTCTGCACGTACGCCCGAAGCCTCAATTATTACCAGTATGTCCACTACAACAGATAATAAACACTTAGATGGCAGCAAAATCCCAAAGAGAAACATCTAGGAGCTGTAGTCCTACGAACTCATACAGCGTTTGGTGTGTAGTGCTTGCAAACTGACTTGTCATACAAATTCACCCAATGCCTGACACCAGGAGCAGCCTCTTCTGATAGTACATTGGGCACCCCTGAGACACGCACAACCAGTGAACACCTTGTGCTGCTGGCCGCGCTGATAGAGTAGCTACTAGGAACAAGGGCCGTTTGATACCCTTAGGGATATATATTCCGGCCTAATCCTGTTGCATTTATTGTAGAAAGAAGTACCCAGAGATTTGGGGGCAGTTGGTTCTCCAGAATACCCCCTGAAGGGGGTGGTACTCTGCTCATTAGTTACAACGAGCCGTGTGGTACGGAGATGCTCCCTAGCCCCAGCAGGGGCCCAAGCGTTGGGGGCCCTCAAAAAGCAAGAGGGCCAGTCGGCCTCTCTTCTAGCAAGGGCAGACAACCATTTTATCCCTGTTTCTGTTGCTGTCGCTGTCGCTGTTGTAGCCTTGGCTAATGGGCCTAGGGATCTCTTTGGAGTGAGAGAAGCAGCGAGAACCTGATCTCCACTGCAACAGCACACTATTAGAAGACCAAAAACAAAAGAGAGGGAAAAAGAAGTCCTCCAAGGGCCCCGCGGAGGGCCCTCGTCCGCCGTCGGTGTCATCGATTGCACGGACGGGCCCCCTAATATCACCACCCCACGGGGGCTTCCCAAATCTCAAACGCTTAAAAAACACGGAATCCTGACCCTTTTTGGCTTGTAGATACTCAGTAGGGCCCTAGGATAGGACCGCCAACAGGAGACTGAGCTATTCATGGAGTGCGGTTTTTGTGAGGCACAGGAATAGACGTTCAAGTTTACTGGGAAAAGATTACTCTTACGGTTTATAACTTGGATATTTCAAGAATTGATGTGCCTAATTTTTGCATTCGCTTTCGTTTGCTTCCCCCAATCAAAGGGGGGGCCCTACCCATTAATACCTCTCTAGTTAACCCATCGCCGACAGTGGCCCAATTCGGGGCCCCAGGGGGGCCCGACTGTTCTGTCTTTGAGCTCGTCTGCAAAGTAGACTTAGTGAAAGTTTGAATACTAAGACGCCTTTATAGCTACCTGATCTCAACTTAGTGGGGCGGGGTCCTGAGTGGTGGTGCGCTTGGACTTTTAGATGCATGATAGCATCAAAGTCTTGGGATCTCCAGTTCAGGGTGTCTACAGCATAGCGTTTACCGTTTCTCTGCGTGCTGGAACATACTACAATGACGACTTACAGAATCGGGTCACCCACCGTGGCATCCGCCTGCCTCCAAATGCTTCTTTCCTTGCACATGTTGCTACTATGATACCTTGGCTCTTGCGGGTTCCCTCTATAAAATGTGGGTCTGGGGAAGCATCGTTTCCAGACCCGCGGAACCTAGAGGATCCTAGCATAGAGAAGCTGTTATCGACCGTCGCTCAAATACGGGCCTGGCCGACGCCCCCGGCTTCAAAGCGGGGTCCCCTAGATGCTCTGGGGGGTCCCTTGAGTAGGCTCCGCTTCATTCAGAAACGAGGCAGTACGAAATTGCCCCTGATTTCCCAGGATGCTTCCCCCTGCCAAGGTTTGGCCTGCTGGACTGTTGCCTTCGCGACTTCCCGATGGCTCGTAAATTGACCGAGAGTGTGCTGTTTGATCGAATGGGCCCCGAAGGTTGGAAAGGCACTGCAGCACCTTTCGAGCTTTTGAGGAATTTTACGTGCATCCATGATACTCTGCAGATCCAGCTTATAGGCAGGGACTTGATTAGGTTGAAGAAGAAGCAGCAGCAAAATGCATAGCCCCGCAATTTGCTTCTTATATGCTCCCAGCACTACTGCAATGGTGGCATTCGCTTAACACCCATGCAGACAGGGCATGCACCTCCAGGGCCCCCCCTCGCATCAGATTCTCAAAAAGTTCTGGTGCAGATGGGACCGGGGCAGATATTTTGGGCTGGCTGGCCACCAAGCTCATCGATTGTCTAGACGAAATCTTACAGTAGAGCCCTTATTAGCTGGTCTACTTTCTCCCGGACGCCTCTAAGAGCACTTCCCCTCCCCCCCTGTTCGAGCTGCTGCTTTGGGCATTTGTTTTCGGCACAAGTCTTAGGTGCTGCACTGGCAGTCCAGGGCCCATATGAGTTTTTGAGGGAGGGGGCTGCTCAGGCAGCCGAGGAAGCCCTCAGTGCTGCTCAGGAAGTCACAAAGCTACAGAAACTAAAGTCACATATTGCAATATCCGTAGCAACAAGTGGTGCAGCGTCTAGTGCAGCCACATCAAGTCCTTTTATCGTTTACTTTTAGGGAAAAGACGAGTTGGGGGGGCCCGCAGGTGTCTCCTGAGGATTTGCACCGAAGGATACAGGAGTTGATGGGGAGGAAAATGAGGGCTCTTGCTCTGGCAAAAAGTCTCTCAGTTGAGTCTCAACAGATAAAAACCCGCCAGCTGCTGGTCAGGAGAACGAGTAGCCTAGATGTCTGCCTCGCAGCGCTGGCAGCCCTCGGCCAAGTGGCATACAGAACTATCTAGGGGCTTATAAGAGTGGGCACGTCTCATCAAGAGGAGACTTTCACCAAGTTTCCAAACTACTACGGTGTGTTTTCCATTCCCAGATGTTGCAACAAATAGAAACATACTACAAACACACACAGTACACACCCATGCTCTTATAAGTATCTGCCAGTCTTCCCAAAGGGACACGAGGTCACCATCAGACCCTTGAGCCAACCGGGTATTCCCATAGTTCTTTCAGTTTCAGGCTGTGAAGCAGAGCGCAGAACAACTTCCTAATTGGTCACTTCTGCGGGAAGCTGCTTCTGTAGGCGGTTCGGTATACGTTGATAGCTTGCTAATTGGCTGCGAGCGTTGAGCAGTTGATTAGATATTTGGGTAGATGAATAGGTAGCGTATTTACAGTCTGCATCTTTCGGCTCTGCAACTAGCTCGGTGCAATCCTAATACGTAAGAACCAGCAAGAGGAGCAGCATACTCAGCATTATATTACGGTCTCCTAACGAAGAGTAGAAGGCAGCCCGTGGCAGCTGTTACAGTACATAGTTCGTGAGCTTGCTTAGCTAGATCACACGTGGTAGCTAAAAGCTTGGCGTTCTTCCTAGAAACATGCGCGCGCCGTAGCTGCAACTCCTAATGTTGGGAGGTTATATTACTTCCATTGCTCCTATTAGTACTACCGCTAGGGCAGTAGTATCATGGTTAGTTTCTAGAAAGTGAAAAACATCACCCATTGAAGAGCGCTTCTCCATACCAACTGTTTACAACCTTTGGTACAGGTTATTTTCTCTTCCTCTGTCTGCTGCCACTCCTATGTGACTTCCGATTTCTTTGACTACTTCAAGAAAAAAAAGGCCTCACGTACGGCCTCCTTTAGTATCTCTCTGCCGTTCTGGACCTCGCTCCTGTGTATTTTCGCCAGCCTTCGTATCACCCTTCGCCTGTCCACTTGCAAAACTTGAATGCACTAAATGCTTCAGGGTAGCTCTATAGGAATACAGGGGAGTCAAGTGAAGACGAACAGGAGCTAACCATAACTGGATGCATGTGCACACGCAGCGAAACAGGACCAAGTACAACTAGCTATAAGTGCGCACAGAGCACCGTGAGAAAGAAAACATCCTCACAAGCAGCAGATTCTGAGTCCCCTCAGTACTCTGATTCCCCTGAGTCGCTGCTGCTTGTGCATATGAAGCCCTTCATTAGGTCAGGCGATCCCCAACCGTCTCGTGTCTTTTCAACATTCATCGTTTCTTTCAGGCGCTTGTAGGCAAATCCTGGGGGCTTTGCTGTATATGCTCTTTTAACATGCGTCCACTTCTTTTCATTCTGCAGATATAGCTGCTGGTGCTGCAAAAACTGCTCCTGCTGCCTCACTTGAGTTCGCAAACTCTCCTGCTGGCTCCGCAACACTGCAGCCGCATCTTCAGTGGACTGAATGGGTTCCTGAAAAGGCTCTCTTCTCCCTTCAAAAGCACTTTGAGGAGTTTCTCTTTCTGTATTTCCCCTTAGAGAACACTTTTCACGAGGTGTATCTCGTTCTGTAGATGGTGAGGGCTTCCGCTTCCTGTATAGCTTCCTTCCGAGCCACCAAGGAATCTGGTCCCGCTGCTGTAGGAGTGGAGCATACACGGATTTCATGTAGGCTGATCCTTCATGTGAGGCTTCGACAGGATGGCTACTGTTATCATAATCATCAGCAGCGGGAGGCTGAGGCAGTTTGGAAACGGCAGGTCTTGGCAGAAAAGGAGGCGGAGATGGTAGGAAGGTAGAGAAAGACCGCGTAGAGCTGCTGCATGAAATGACACTAGCACTCAGCTCTAATTCTGCAGCAAAGAAGACATATCAAAAACATACGGAGATACTGAAATTCCGGCTGTGTGATGCATTTATTGGGGGCCAGGATTAGAGGGGACTATCGAGTTGCGAGATTGCGAGAGGAGGGGCCAGCAAGAGCACGCAGAAGGCCAGAGGCAGCCACAGATGGCATAAAAGCCAAACGTAGAAGCCATATAAGATTTTACATGACTGTTCAATATAGACACCTGCAAAGTGTATAGAGGCAAGCAACGGAAAAATTGGGCAAGAAGAGTAGCATGTTATTAAACGATAATGAAGTTGACCCTGCCAAGGTTCGGGCTCTACCTGTCCGGTGTAAAGGTTTGCCTGCATCTGCAAGCTGTTGTCCAGTCTGCTGGATGGTAGCCAGGAGGTTATCCATGTTCTGCTTTTCTTCGTCTAGCTTATTTAGCTGCTCCATTAGCTTTGTGTTTATCTCATTTTCTGCCTCCGAATCACTGTAAGTGCCTTCGTCCCCCGACGAGATATATTGTAACTCTGCGTTGTTGCCTTTTAGAGTAGAGAAATAAGGGGTAGACGATAAAGAAATGGACAAGGACTCTGAATCCGTCTCTATTGTCGTCTCCTGGTGCAGCTGATCACGCAGCTGTTCTAGCTCATGCAGGCGCTCCCGCAGGCGCCTTTCAGCCTCTCTAATTTCAGAATCCGTCTCGCTGCTGCTGCTTACCATGCTACTGCTGCCACTACTACTGCTGCTGCGTGCCGGTACTTTTGAAGCCTGCCGCCTTTGCAGCCGTTTCACAACCGTAGCAACGGCGCCAGCAGTAGTAACACGGAATCCCCTTGCCTTACGAGGTGGTGGCGGAGGCGGAAGAGGTTCTGATGACTCGCTGCTACCGCTGCTTCTGGAAAAAGCCTGATCCTGGGAAGGTGGAGAAGGAGAGCGTGGTGATGGCTCTGGTTCCTCCTTAGTAATTAAGCGAGGAGGGATATCTTCTTTGTCCTCCTTTTTCTTTTTTTTCTTTTCCTTTTTTGCTTTTACTGATGCTCCTGCCGCTGCTGTGGCTGCAGCTGCGAGAGCCCCTCCTGCAACGGCTCCCGCAGCTGCTGTGGCTGCTTCTGCAATAGCTGCAGGTGCTGCAAGGGCTGTTGCTGCTTGAATAGGAGAGTCAGTGGGACCCGCAGGTTCTTCCTCAGTGGGAGCCCCTATCTCCTCCTCAGCAGGCTTTTTCTTCTTTTTCTTTTTCTTGAGCTTTTCTGGTTCCTTCTTGGGATTTAAGGCTGCTGAAGTGCCGTCATCAGGGGCCTCCTCAGGTTCGTTGCTTTGAGCCGCCCCGCCTTGTCCCTCTTTGCAAAACGGGCGGGTACCGTGGCCCTCCCATACAAACTTCGCCTCACCACCTACATACCGCATGCACACACCCGAAGTCTACGAGATGACAACTCTGCTAGCTTCTGTACATTCGCCAGCGCAGCAAGCCTATACAACCTCGCGTCCGTTATAAGATCTTAGCACTAAGAATTTGGACCTGTGATCTCTGAGAAGACCTCATTGTTAGCAATCATTTGTCCGGTTAGTTCCTTTAGAGCATCCATAAGAAACGCCGGACTAAGGGCTCCTGCTGGCTGAGATATTTCCTCTTCGCCGTCCACAGGTTCCTTCTCCCCAGCAATGGTTTTGTCCAGGGACGTATCTGGGTGGATTGCAAAGACGAGGCGTTTCTCATAGTAGCGCCCCTGAAATCCGCGTACCCGAATAGGGTTTATGCTGAAAAGGCACTCGAAAATTCCTGGTGCAATTGAAGGAATACGGCGAGAGGTACCATGATTTCCAGGAGACACAAGACAATTGTCAGTTCACGAGAGTGTAGAGGCGCAACACAAATGATACAGTCCACTGACAGCCAAACCAAGACCTATACTCAAGCGTTCAGTGCTTACTGTAATATCTCAGCAACAGAGTCCTCGAGGTCCTGCATAAGGGCCTTGAAGTCGGGGGCCTCGTCTTCATCGTAATAGTTTCTATGGATTTCAAAGTAGGCCACTTCACTTTCCGGAGACAGATTAGGGGGCCTCTTTTTAACTTTCGGAGTCTTATTTTGACCCTTTTTGCGTTTCTTTTTCTTTTTTCCTCCCATTAATACAGCTCCGTCCATGTTATTCTCCTCTTGCGCGGCATCCTCATTAAGGGGGTCTTGATCCTCCTCCGCTGCAGGCGAAGGGTCGTCGTTGTGACCATTTTGATCAGCGCCAGGATCTCTGTTATCATTTTCATCGAGGTCCCCTGACCGAGACTTGTCTGAAACACACCAGTATCCTAAAACGGTAGAGATATAGTCAAGAAAGCACTTTTCAAGGGCACTCAAGGGACCCGTGTGTGCCCTTATATTGAGGCATTGATCGTTTCTGTGTAGGAACTTACTCGAGTGACGTCTCTGCTTGTTATAATTTAGCCGTTTAGCCCTAGCCCTACGCTGCCCCAGCTCCCTTCCTTCCTAAAAACACAAAAGAGCCAGGCATTAACGATAAACTAGGATTTCTCTCAACAGGAATGAATCCAAAACCTGATTTCCAAACTCCTTGCGCTCTGTGGCATTCATATGCCGTAGATTTATTCATTCTGGTCACTACCTTCTATGCACCACACCGAAAAGTCGTAAAGCCACCTAGAGGATAGCTGCTGGTGATGTGTCACCTGCTCCTTGGCTGCAAGAATCTTCCTCCTTTCTCTCTCCGTGACTTTCTGGCAAAGTAACAAATAAATGTAGGTGCTGCAGAGTTCTCCCGGCAGGTTATACAAGCACGCGGCCATTGCAAAGGAGGCACTTCTGTCCCTAGACTCTAGGAATTCCACTTGGCGGATCATTGAATCGGATATCGACTTGCAATCCATCGTGTTGTAGTGCAGAGGCGCTCCTCGTACCCTGAGTCGTGATAGACATAGGGGAACGTACACAGGCATGTGTACTCGAGGAATGCATGACTATGGAAACGTGAATCCGCAACCACTAGAAATGGAGGGTTAGCATTGATAGTGGCTCTTCTAGGAACAAAAGGGAAGCTTGAATTGCCAAGTTCGAGCTTTTGCAGAGCTGTCAGGGACCTCAAAACAGGCTACTTGCTTCGGTAATTTGCCGCTCACTGTCACATATAGCGGAATAGGAGACAATACACAGTGGCGGGTTTCAACTATAGGAAAAGTGAAGACAGTGAAAAGCTAGCTACGATGAAGAGAGCAGAAGACAGAGACAGCAAGTTCACAGAGAAGAGAAGGAGAGACAGATACGATGGAAACCAGAGGGAGGAGAGGACCTGTAACTATTGGGGACCTTGGAATATAATGCTTTGCGCCAATCCTCGAGTTTCAGCTTAGCCAACTGAAAATCCTCTTCGCGAGCAGTATTCGCTTGATGCAGCAACTCCAGGCCGCTGCAACGAACAAGGTAGGCAGGATGGCTACAATGTAAGGGTTGGAAGCGCACGGAGATGGAAGAGAAACAGGGGGACGATGAGCCGGTGCAAAGCAGATCCTGGCAGGGAAAGTTTTTGCTAGAGCATGCACAAAACCAGGAGGATGCAATGAGCCAGGATTGATGGCGACAAAGATGGACATGCAAGAGTGTGCAGTATGTTATTCAAAAACTAAAGTGATCGAGCGGGTACATAGCCCCTGAAGAAGAAATGCAAAGAAAACATACTGATGGGCACAAGCCAAGCTAATGTTGCATCCGTAGATAAATGAATTCTGATCCCACAAATACGGTTGAACGCGCATAGACGATGGCATCATAACATTTCTGTAGATCCACATGCTTCGTGGGAGTGGGCAGTATGAGTCAAAAGCTCTAGGACCTGGATACGTGGAGCTGCAGGTACCCCAACCCAAATGTGAATTCGCATTCGTACTGCATACGTATATGCATACAATATGAATCAGCATGCATTTTGGCACACGTACATTTATATATTAATAGGTCTTCATATATAGATTAATATACATAGACCTATGTACATTTCATTATGTAAAAACATTAATAAGCAATTATCAGGACACACACAGGCATCAGGGTATTTACAAAGCGCCCGCGTACGTCTGTAGAAAGGCCTCCAGGACTTCGTCTCTGTTCCACTTGGTATTCAAGTTTCTGCTTGCCCTGAATGCTGTGAGGTCCGCCATGACTTTCTCCAAAAGTTCATTGGCTGCCTTCTCAAACTGCAACTCGGAAATCTTTGTTCCAAAACCCTTGGGAATAAAACACGGAGTTATGAGGAACGCTCCAGGGCAGAATTGATACCAATAGCGCTGAGTTGGAAACGTAGACATCGCAGCGATGGCGTATAGAAACAAATCTCAACATTGTTACCGATGAAGATGCAATGATACAGGCTGGAGAGGCAGCTGGATTTACAGAGTATACACAAATACGCTGCATAGATGCACTTATGAGTATACAAGCTCAATGACACTGGGCTTATATAAATATTTACACATATGACTGAGCAGTACAGACTGTTCCTGAGCAGAAGTGTGTGGATGAATATGCCATTGATTCAACATAAGTAAACACACAATTGTGGATGTTTGGCATCAGGAAGTATTATGCGTGCATACACCCAACATAAAGCAGCATTATGTAGACAGCCCTAGCTCCTGTCTCACAATATTCCAGATGTCAAACCAGATGCGGGAAGGATTTGGGTCTTGAATGTTTAGCCAGACGTTCGTGTGGTTAAAGATAATATCAAGCGAGCGATATGGTAGCTTGGGGCCTCCAGCGGGGGCTTCTCCATGCACCTTTGTGCTGCGTAAAAGAAACAGATATGGCAGAAACAAAGCAAAAGCAAAATGGCGCCGTGGGAACTCTCCGTTCCACTGTTGTCCATTGCTCCCTTAATGGTTCTGACCACTTCGGTTTGTTCGCTCTGTACCGGACACACAACTGCTCTGTGTAGCTCTGTCCCTTCTTAAATATGCAGTCGTTTTCCATTTATCCCACAGTGCTTATGCATCTCTCTCGGTCTCCTCGTGGCTCGCCTATTTCTAGTTCCATCTCTCTCCTTTTCTCGTCTGATCTCATGTGATCCCTGTGTTCGTACCCTTCCACCAGCACTAGCATAAGGCTAGAATCCCCCGTTGGCCCCTTTATTTCTTTTAGTGTGACAGTTTCATTCTCTGCCCCCATGTTTCTTACAGGGATCCATTTTCCGTGCTAGAGGTATCCTCCGCCAACTCGGGAGACACCAGCAACAGACGATGCCGCTGATAAGAGGCGGCAATGCAGGAAAGCACTCACAGACACCCCGATATATATTTTGGTAGAAAGAGTAATGCACACACATGAAGCACAGCGAACAGCCTACACAGACATCAGCGAAGAGAAGCGCATAATCCTATCCCCAACCTCATACCATGGCTCCAGCATACCCGTTGGTTACTGGCAACGCTTATCATGCCGGACTCCGGATCGGTAATAACCCTGAGGAAGATAAATTGTGCAGCATTGAACAGCCTCTAAGGGGCACTTACACCCTGAGCATCGTGGGCTTAGAGATCAAGAGACGGACAGAGCAACGATCAGGCAGGATGCTCTTCCACGAATACGCAGAAAAAGCGTATACAAGAAATACAGATATACAGAGACCTGTGGATTTAGAATGACTACAGATGCACAGGAACAAGGCAACATGCACATCGGGTGGCAACAGCGTTCTCCCAGAGCCTAGGAATATTACCCTACATAAAGCAGGAGCAGCTATACAGTATCATTGATGCGAGCATCCGCAGGATCAAGAAGAGCCGAAAACGAGCGGGACAGACAGCTACTACAGGGCACTAGCACAAGTCACAGCAGCATAGCCACGAAGCAGATGGTCTCCACGTAAGTTGTGGCGCACGCTTGAGCGACTTTGTTATCCTGGAACCTGGTCTTAAGAACATACACCACACCGCTTGCTGTCTCCCAAAGCTTAACATGGCCTGCTTCCTTGTCTTCATCCCAATGAAAGGTCGCCACCCATGCATGCATGTGCTTGTCATGCAGAGTCCCTGTTGCACCAGCAGCAGACAGACGAATTCAAGATTCACACTGCTCCTTTTGCAGCTAAGCGTGCCAATGCTACTGGTGTTGAGGTTGCTGCTTACCGATGCAGACAAAAGCGTGAGCAGGGAGGCCCAGAAGGAGGCTGGTCATCAGGAGGCAGTGGTCCAGAGGGTCCCCTGCGTTGAGCTGCATTGTAAAGTCTGGAGAGAATGTGAGGGCTTGCCTTTTTATAACGAATGGCACGCAGCGCACGTAATGAAACACCGCGGCAAGCGAATCTACCCCAAGAGGAGGTTTGATAGCTGAGGCGCAGAAAAAATCGCACAGGCTGATGGATAGAGAAACAGAATCAATACCACCAGCTAGCATGATGAGCGACAGCACAAATGGATATAGAGAGCCCTGCTGAGACAAACGCAAACAGAGACATATCTGAGCAAGGCGGGCACACCGCAGAATGGAGGCAAGGACGACCAGGAGAAGCAATGAGGCAAGAGACGCTAGGCACCCACTTTTCACCCTTAAGCTTCCACCCATAAATCTCAACAGTTAATTTTAGAGCCAGCATCAGTAGTAGCAGCATAATCAACAGAAACTGACGCGCTAAAAGGCTTGGAAGAAATTGAAATTCCTTGCGCTGGTCCAGCCGCTCTAGATCGAAGAAGCGTGGGGGACCCACAACGGCCTCCGGGCTCAGCAACATCTTCGTGTCGGCCACCGACTGAAAAATCGCCTGAAATACACCCAAGCCGGAAACCACAAAACCCAAGGCTGCTTGCGTGGATCGTGCGGGGGTCAAAGGCGTAGAGTGCCAAGCCTAAGCACTCTGCAATAAAATACTTCGGTCAAGTGCAGTTCTAGGGTACAGGGCTTACTTTAAGTTGATCGTAGCGTTCTGCAAGAGCTCTAGGCATGTTGTTCTTCGTGTCAAACCGTTCGGACTTTGGAAGCCTGAAGGCAGCACATGTTAAACTTTGACCTCGAGGCCTTCGCTGTCAAGGGCAACACCCTAGACCACAGGATTTTAACCCTGAACGGAAAAGCACTTACTATCACACACTACTCGGCTATGAACTCTCCACTCTACCTGTCTAGGCCAGAGGCCTCTAGGAGATCGGGGCAGGTCCAAGCCTCAAAGGTGAGGTTTGAGGGCCTGTCGTCCTTGTGGATGAAGGAGAGCCGCTTGCCTCCCGTATACACACGCGTTTCATACTTCGTCTTCAGATTGGTCTCCCTGGCAAATAGCATAAGATTCATGACATACCTGGTAAAGGACTACAGGACAAGGACTGCTTATGCAACAAGTGGCACCACTGCAAGGCTACAGAGTCATGTAGCCCACGAAAGCGCATATCAATCATATCTCCTCCAGGCATATACATATATATGTGAACGCAGCAGCAAAGAGACACCTGCATGCTTCACTGTTCATGCATACACATGCATACAGACACGCTGAGGTATGTATACGTCAGCAGCCCAACCTCTAGAAGTAGATGTATAAGGCACCAGATGTAGTCAAAAATTCTCTCCTCTCTAAATAGCACCTTTCGCAATTCACTTTGATATTGAGGGGAATGGAAGGACTGAGAGGATGATGCAGGGTTGAGCTTGCTGTGGAGTGTAATTTACAGGATAATTCGTTCCTTCGTAACATGACTCTTCTTCTGATTCTTCTCATTGAAAAAGATATCGTGGAGATAAAATGTGCATCCTCCTAGGTGATCGACATAATTAGGCCCGACCCCCCAAACATCTAGGTACACTTTCCCTTTTTTCTGTATCTCTGAGTAAGAGATGTCGCGAGTAGAAGCAAAGCGCAAAGGAACTGTTACTTCGTCTTCCCATACAGGATTTAATGAATTTCTGAAGAGTCTTGTACGCCGTGATGTACCGTCGAAAGAGACCTCAACATAGGAGTCAACGCTGCTTCTGTTGTCTGCTGTAATGATCTGATCAATACTGATGACTTTTACTATCAAGTACACCCGGTTTGCGTCCACCTCGTAAACTTCCCCAACTTGGCGGTACCGCGGAGTATGGGCAATCATAACTCTCCCCTCCAACCATCCGAACTGCCATTCCTTCAACTGATCTCCCCAGCCTTCTACCTTAGCCTGAAGCACCACCCAGTTCGGGGGCCCCAATTCCATCTGCAATGACGGATACCCGACGACGCCTCTTAGAGGTAGCTGACCGTATCCAATCTGTCGGAAGGAAGTTGACGCGCTCATGTCTTCCACTATCACCTGCCACATGGACCAAACGGTTTAAAATGAAATACAAAGGCATTTGGATTTGCACTCGCGCGATCCAATGCACGAGCAAGACATCGTCAGAAATTTTGGGGGGTATGCGCAAGCGAATAGCGGTATGCGCCAACAATGGCACGTACACGGTAAATACTTCCAGCCCCAAGTCAAAGCACGCACATGTGAGAGGATACAGAATTCAAAATTGAGGCACATGGAGAGTATATCAATTTATGCACACTATGCAGAAGAGATACAGAAGCACCCTTACAGACTTAGTCTCTCTAAAGATTATAGACGCCACTACAAAGTGCGAAAGAAGAAGAAAACGAACCTCCAGATAGGTGGTGTCGAGGTCTCTCAGCGTTCCCCTGAAATACACCTCCCCCATGTTGTCCCAGAATGGAGCATTCGTGGCTTCCTGTTCTGTTGTAACAAGTTTGACTCCACTATTAAGCGTAGAAGAATGCATCAAGGATATCCGAAGGCGGGGATCCGGTTTTTCTGTCTTCTGTACGCCACGTCCGGTAGCTGAGTCAAGAGGATCCAGGGACAAAATAACCTCCCCCTCTACATCCTGGTCTGCCAGCACCAGGGTTTGCATATGTTGGAGGAGGAGATTCGTGTATGCATCCTGAGTCTCTTCCGCTCCCGACTCTAGTGTTCGCATGGTGCTTTCTTTGGGCAGCAAATTTCTGATGGGACGCGAGGTCAATCTAGATACCATATGGGATGCTACGCTCTTCCTGGCAGCTAAAATCACTGATGCAGCCCCCGAGATGCCCTTCCGGGGGGCTCCTTCCATTGAGCCCGCAAGAGAAGCACGCGTTATGCCTCGGCTATGAATGCCTGACGGAGCGCCTCCTCTGAGGAACACCAATTAAAGCAGCAATAGCGGACAGCCTGAACTGGCTGTACGTACACTGTCAAAGTGGAAAGAGACAAACAATACCAGAATAAGCCAGCGCAAATTACGGTACTTAGTCAGAGACTCCATCGTAGCGTCTGAGCACTTTGCTTCGATCAATGAGAATAACAGTGAGCGTCCTAATGTGTACAGCATATTATTTAGGACTACAGGGTTCGTGGGCTTGGGGATCAAGTATTACGGCTTTCTGTTGGTCCTCTTGAAGTTTCTCTGTTGAAGCCTGTATCGAGCTTGATCAATGAATTTCCAGTTGTGCGATTTTTTTTTATCGTCCTTGCCATGGTTTGCCTTTCTAGGAATAGACAAGCACGAGAAGGAAACATGTGTGACGACAAATAGGCGGAGGAGGCCAAAAGGGGGTAGACATAAACAAACGGGATATAGAGTGTGGGAGAATTGAGCTGAGGGGGAGGATGAAAGGGAAGAAGAGTGAGAAGGGGGAAGCGAAACAAAAGGCATATGCAAAGCGACAAGGACAGGGCAGAACCCAACAAGGCAGCAACACAGAGCGCCGGAAGAGGAGAATGACGGAGAGACAAAGACCCATACACCGTTGCGAGGAGTTGCCGAGGGAACACCAAAATACGCTAACAGTGACACTAGAGAAGCATAAGCGGGAGAGTGGCAAAAAGGCAAGACTAGTGTGAGGTGCACTGAAAGGCAGGTGAGCTAACCGGTTGAACACCCTGTGCTGCAGAATGGCTGAGGAGCATAAACGTGAGAGTCGCCACTTTATGAAGGCCAATTCGAAATCATACAGCTCCTGGAAGTACAACTGGCACGTAATGCGACACCGACGGGAACGGCGGCCTGAACAGCACAAAGTGAGGACTCGAGCAACTTTGTTTTCTGCAGCACATCTGCTTGAACCATAATGGAAACTTTACACCTTTATCCATGAGAGTAAGCTGATCCTTATGCCTAAATTCGGATCTCGGTTCTGGTACCTTTGACAAATTTGTACAGGTCCCTTTCCACGTGCGTTTCTCCTGTAGCGAAGGAAAGAAGAGGTTCCTCAAAGACTGCTTCGAGATTATTCAGCGTCCAAGTTTTGTACTCCCACACCTGCAGACAGAGGGGCCCATAACAAAGGGGAAGAAATGGTTCAAGAATTCAAGTACTCAAACAAGGAGAAAGGGGCATAGAGACTGAAGAGTCTGACGAGATTAAAATGAAGAGGCAAGGCAGAAAAACCTAAAGGTGAAAGGATACGAAGAAAACGAGCATTACTAGACACAGTACACTGAAACCATGCAAAAGCCAGCATCATCTGGCTACCAAGATGCAAAATCTCGGCATCCGTTGTAGGTGTGCACCGCATCCCACACCTTAATTTTGAGTTTCTCCCTCTCAAGATCAAGGTACGAGCCACGGTATTCGAAGGATTGCCTGAATTGAAGGTCTACAGGCGCTTTGTCGTTAACATTGTTAACCACTGAAGTCCGCAGGTAATTCTTGTCCTCTCCCTTGGCATAAATTCGCGTGCTGTCACCTCGCTGCGGCGTCAGCACCATAAATACCATTGGAAGTGTGGATAGCAGCATCAATAGCAGCAGGCAGAGCAGGCAACGACACAGCATATGAATACCAAGAGCACCAATCACTCTAAGGCGCTGCAGAACGTGAATAATAATGCTGTACCAGGACTTTGCATTCCTCTCTACTTCCTCCGAACTCTATTTCCACGAACACTGCCAGTTGATCAGACATGTAATTGAGAATCGAGAGATTCCACAAAACCACCTTCCACCTAAAGGACACAAGCATCAACAAAAGACGCAGACAGAAGGCCAGCATGAACATGTGGTCGCCCGTCCACCTCAGTTCCGACCCTCGACGCAGGTGGTTCGTCATCTGCAGACGTAACCCAAGCTCTTGGAGGCTACCGCCAACAGCGGCTGGCAAGCAGTCTCCTGCATACCCACCACCTCCCGTTCCCCTTACCGCCTTGGGTGTTGCCAATGCTTCTTCTCATCCTCTGTTTCTCCCTTCTCTTCCAGTGGTTGTTGCAGTGCCTCAAGAAACTCCTCATAAGTGTACTCTGCAGCCCCTGTACCAGCGAATAGAAATACCGTGTGGACATATATGTATAGATAAATGAAAAATATCTGACCACGCTTATGCTGAGGAAGCAGAGCAAACTGCTTTCCTCTCTGCAGAATCAGCGAAAACTCGCGCCGCAACCGCTTTCGCAAGAAATTTTGAACATGCATGCAAGATTGCCTCACAGGAACACTTTGGCGACTATGAGGCTTGGTTCTTCACCATCAACAGCAGTACCAAAGAGAGCAACACTATCAAAGAATACAGCAAAAGTTTAGAGAGTGAAAAGTCATACCCAAGTACTCATCAAAGAGCATCTTCTCCACTTCAGCGGCATCGAGTGGCTCCTCCCCTTCCGGCACAGGAGTATCTCCTACTTCAGGGTTAAGGGCCTCCTGCTGTTCCGGAGGAGCACCACCCCCAGGAGGACCCGCCGCCGGAGTTTGGGAGGCAGGAGGGGGCTTCTGCTGCCCCGGAATCATATCTTTGAGTCCCGCTAGCATCTTCTTATGAACGTCTGACTAGCAAGGGCCTCGCCGGGCTTACTGGATGCTGAAGGCACTGAAGGCCCCCAGTCCGCTCAAAGAGCGCTTAAAAGAGCGTCAGTTGAAAAGGGGCCCTAAATGATAGGCCTCTGGAGGTGCATACCGCGTAAACTCACAGAAACTTGGGAGTCCGCAAGATGGGGACTCCTCGGGGCCCGCCATGGGCTAAACCCTGTAGGCCTCCTAAGGACCAAGAAGCAGTCTGGAATAGTGAGCGCATCAATGAATGACTCGGGACTGATGGCTTATTGCATAGGCTTAGTCACCATCGATGTCCCGGTGGTCCAAGTAGTATCCTGTCTCGGTTTGCGTGAAGTGCAAGACCTGATGCCTGGGCTGGGACTTACAATGCTATCTGAGTTGAGTCAAGAAAGTCATCACCTCTTGATAACACAACGGAGTTAGAAAGGATGTGAAGAAATACAGCGGCGATGGAGCTGGTGGGATGGGGCTGCGCAGACCTCTAGGGGACCCGTAGCACAGCTGTAAGATTCCTCCATAAATGACCTCATACAGAAGGTACGAAGCTTGCAAAGCAAAATGAATAAGAAGCACTTTTTATTCCGGCACTAGAAGGAAGCGCAACCCGCAGAGTGCGGACGACAGACAGACATAGCCTAGCGTCCGACCGTTGGGGGCCCACCGGTCTGTGACACGATGGGAGCTATGCGAACCAGGGATGTTCTGGTCTTCCTCCTCATTAGGCTATGCTCATACCACAATAAGCTGGTAGAAACTTCTCTTTTTATCTCCTTCTCTGCTCTCAAACGGATTAGGGCCCTCATTGATTTCCGGAGCAAGCCTTCGTTTGCATGAACGGCTGGGCTGTAACCTTGGCACGTTTGGCTGCTTGCATGGTGTTCTTCTTTGAATCATCTTTCGTTTATGCTCTATTTATTGCGATAGAATGTTTCCTCAGGATATTTCTCACACCATCTCGCTTTGTGTAGGACAAACAATCTTCCTTTCTCAGTACGGAATAGGACAGTTTCGACACTAGGAAAAACTATCCATTTTTTCTGTTCCGCTTATAAGTCCCATCTCTTTTTGTGGGATGTGTCTTGGTAACTCGAAACTGAGCGTTTTTTCTACTATCAGAGGTTATGGTAAACAAAGATTCTCAGCAACCAGGACGATAGTGGAAAGGTGGAAGAATTCATATTGATAGCGTAAATAAGAGGGTATGGCTTAGGGGAGAACCCATGTGTTGGCTTTTACCAGACATTAGCTCTACGCGGGGCCATTTAAACTTGATTTATAGGTAAAAGCACCCATGACTGCACAAAACTAAAACTTTTCGCGTGCAGCATCATCCCTACCCTCCCAAGTCGTTGCTGCCTTTACAGGTTGTTATAACAGCATAAAGCCGATGGAGCTTAAGCTTGCAGACCCTAGTGGGTAGACCATGAGATGAATAAAGTGATGAGCTTTGTCTTATGAGCAGCGATACGTATGGTCACAGCACAATGCTACAGCTTTCCCCTAATATGCGACTTCCTCCTCCCTCTTCTTGATCTTGGCACCTCGTCCAGCATATATGTATGCTTTTAGACCGGAAAACTATCCATCCAGTAGCCACTTTGGATCCCCATTGCTGTAGATCTCTCTTGCCCTACAGTGACACTGCAAAGCGACTCACTTTGTTTGCATACTATAGGATCCTTCTATCAGAGCAAACTGAAAACTCACCGAATATGTCTTAAAGCCTTTAGCAACAGAGCTTTCAATATCAACATATCCGCGAAGAGATACGGCAAATACGGTGACCCTGCTAAGTAGCTGGTGGAACGGTTTCGCCGTGTTGCAGGCGCATGTGATTAGCACGATACCTTCGTCCTTGCACCAATATATATTCCATCCATCAACTTAGTGTGAATCCTTGATATATCTTTCGAGAAGCAACAACAGAAACAGGCACCCTGCATGGGGTCCTTCTCCATGGCTGCCTTCACAGCACATAACCCAGTCATACCACGGCGCATCCCGAGTTGCCATTTCCCCATATTGCAGACGGTATGCTGTATTAAAGGTCACCATCATACGCCTGAATAGTCGTCATCTGAACAATAATGGCACCTCAGCTTGCTTACGGCCTGCGGTTCTCAGTTGCTTCGCATGAGTACGCCATATCTTAGAGTCGAAGTTTCTTTCGTTTCGCACTGTCAGTTTATTTACCTTTCATTTCTAACAGAGCGCCGGTCTTCGTTAGATAGTCTGTTCTGCAACGAAGCACATTTGTGCTACCACTGGCATCAGTGGCTGTACCTAGCGTAACATCCAGCACCAGGTCCCAAGTTGTCCTTAGGAAAGGCCCAGTAATATACGGGAGAGGAGATCAGCAGAACATAAATTAGTATCTACGGGAAGAATTGCATTTGATGGAATTCAATCTTTGTAGCGGAAAATGTGTTAGAATTTCAACCTGTCTGCTGGCGAACTACAGAACACTGCCTCGAAACCCCAAAACACCTTTACCATCTCCCAACTGCATAACCAAAGTCTAAAGGTCTAGTCTTTGCTTTGCTTTAACCCGTGTACCACTTCGCAGAAGCAGCAAAGAGAACAACATGTGCCAGTATGAGGCAGTGTGTACCACTCCTCTGATGGCCTCTACAAATAAATGTCCCTTAAAAGAGCTCCGTTTTTTTCATTCCTTCTTCCCACAGTTGTACGGCTAGCGGATAGGTGTTTCAGCAGGGGCTCAAATTGCTGCATACCTTGAAAACTTTGGGCAATCGCAGAAAGTCATATGGTGTTAAGTTCAACGGATGGTCTCCCTAGGGCACCCCTCAAGTCGAGACTCAGTACAATCTTGCCAAATAATTGTCTTCGCTTAAAGGCTCCCCCTTTCTCGTGCCCTTTCTCTTAATAGACTCGAGAATAAAGAATAGGGACCACTGGGGACGCGTAGCTGCACCCTTCAAGCAGTCCGATCATCCAGAGCTAGCTGCACACAGCACTTAGTACATGAGCCTGCAGCATTGCAGATCATATTGTCGGGATAATTGCACTCTGCAGTAAGCAAGATATCCAAGCAGAGAGGCCAAATTATTAGCTTCGGACTAGTCCTTGCTTAAAAATAATTAGTGTAATCGAAAACTACCTAGTGTAGGTTAGCCCGCTTCTTCTTGTGACTAGCTTCTCAACTACACAACATGCATTCGTATGGTACAGGACGTGTTCTTATATTCAATATTCAGAAGATAGGAATTGCTAAATCATACAATCAATAATATGCGGAATGCTAATTGAATATAAGTAGTGCAGTAGAAACTGACCTAGGGCAGCTTTCTCCCCAAGCATATGCCCTATACTTGCTCCTAAATCAATTGAATGCTTTAAAGTGCCCATACTAGTCAAAGCGCTCACGACGCAAGCTTTAAGGCAGACGTGGGGTCAGCCGACCGGTGAAAGCAACTTGTGGTGTGGGATACTATAGCCGATATCCCTCCTGTGATGCTGATGGCAGCATGGACTCCCGACGCGTCTTACTGGCAGAGCTGTGCACGCATATTTCTGGCTAACTCGCCCGCTGTCTCTAGGGTTTTATTGCAACTTCTGAATCTGTCCACCCGTTACAGTACAGAACACTCGGCAAAATGATCGGAAAGCACTTCACACCACGGTTTCCTTCAAGTAACGCTATTGCTTTCATGGCGGGTGGAGTTAAGTAGCTCCACATGTGCTGCTTTTGCAGCCGGTTAGTTTAGAACCTCATTGGCTTGCACTTGGTTGCACGTTTTCACTTGCGGCCTTTGTCATAACACTTGTATGACACCGGCGCGTACAGGCGGTGCGGGCCCTGTAGCTCCCTAAATGCTGGCAACGATTGTAGTATATCATTCTATTTCTTAGTATTTTAAGCATATATATACGCCTTAACGACCAGCCCCCTTGGGGCCCCCCGCAGGAGGGCATTAGTAACCCTGGAGGGAGGCGGGGGACTAGGCTTGTGCTCTTCCTTGCAGTGCAGCGAATTTCCCTGTCAATATTGTTGTTGCTGCCGACGTTTTGTGTCGTTTTTGCATCCTGGCTGGACCTACATCTGCCCTTTTCCTCTGCTTCTAGCCAGAGGGGCCCCCGTGTGCCTGCTGTGCTGAAACGCGTGCTGGCGGATTGTGTTGGGGGCCCCAGGGCGTCTCACGTGGGTCCCCAGCGAGAGCTGTCTTGTGTCTCCATTTTACTTGGCCCTTCTGCCTCCCGCTTTCAAGGAGGCTCCCTGCAGGCTCTCCCACGACCATCGAATGCACCGTGAACGCTCCTGGGCCTGAACCAGCTAAATAGGTACTTCATAGGGTGGCCCCTCCGGCTGACCTAGGCAAAACTGGCTTTTGCTGTCTTTGTTGCTCTAGGTCGATTCTACTTGCCCCTTTTTAGCGGGCTTCTTTACGGCCCCCGGAGAAACACACACGGCGGGCAGGGGCCTCTCCGGTGCGTTTCTCCTTGACTTTCTTTGAAAAGAATGACACCGAAGGAACAGCATCAGCAGTCACAGCAGCAGAAGTGGCAGGCGGATGGATTGGCATGGAGGTACATATATCAGCAGGAACGTTTTCCGCTTTTGTTCTTCCCCTGATGGTATGTTAAAGCGTCCCCACCTAGTGTGCTGCAGCACCTGGAAGCCATGGAGCCAGAGGCCTACTCTAAAGATGCTTCATCAGCACCACCAGCAGGGCAGCAGCGGTGTATTTACAGCTCTGAAGTGAGCGGTATCAGCAGCCACGGCAGCGGTAATACTGTGGATCTCATGCAGCAGCAGCAACAGCAGCCGCACGCCCCTGCACCTCATTCTGCTCTGTTGTTTCAGGTGGCCTCTGTTCTCTATGAAGAGGCTTGCCAGCAGCAGCACTATGAGCAGCAACAGCAGCTGCGGCTGTTGAAGGCAGCTCGCTGTCTTCACCGTCGGCTGCTGGCAAGTGGGGAGGCTCCTGTCACTTCATCGGGGAACCCCTTGGCGCTAACCGATCGTTCCCCATTTTTCCCTAGGGATGCTCTTCTTTATCCGTACCATGGCAAAGAGTGGGGGCATTCTGGGATTCCTGAGGAGGCTTTTGCACCCGTCAGGACCTTCCTGCTGCACCTGCTGGTGCTGCTGCAGGGGGCCCCTCAGGGTTCTTCCCGGGTGTCTTCTTTGCATCAGTTGCAGCAACTCTGCATGCCCAAGCTGGTGCCTCCGCAATCCCTGCTGCTGCAGCAGTTACGACATCTGAGGCCCCGTTTGCTGCAAATGGAGGAGGCATCGTCGGCGGACTGCAGAACCAAACGCTGCGCTTGCGCAGTCCGCAGTTGCTGTTGCTGCCACAAAAGTCACAGTGACAACGGCCATGACGCATGTCTTGGTGCAGACGGAGTGGAGGCTTCGGCTTCTATGGTGGCTCTGTGCGCAGCAGCAGTGGGGCCTCCGCGCAGCAGAGTACCGCCATTCGGGGTTCGCCGAAGTCTTCTTCTGTCCTTGCGGGATATTAAGAGGAAATCGGAGTGCTTGCTGAGTTGCCCGGTAATCCCTTCGATGGCGGCAGCCTCTGCAGCGGCAAGGAGAGCGGCGTGGTGGAGTCTGGATGCCGTTTCCCTAGCCGCGGGGTGCCCAGAGACGGGTGCATGCGTAGCAGCAGCAGTGACATCAGCGGTAGTTGGAGCCGGTGACGCAGATCCGTGGAGACGTGGCTTGGGGGCGATCCCCGAGTCTCTGTGGTTCGCTGCCGCTGCGCGTTTTCAGCGCGTGGTGAATGTTTGGGGTCACCAGCAAATGCCTGAAGAGGAAATGCGTCTGATAAGTCTCAATCCACACCAGCAACACATTGTTAGAGACCCTGCTGCCGTCTATGTCGTCCGATTTGTGCACTCCGGTAAGCTGCCTATTGGATTACGGGATGCGAAGGCAGTTGGCAGCAAGAAGGGTAGTCTCACAACCTCAGGCTGCCCTGCCGTTTGTCCGTTGATCCACACGCTGCGTCTTTCCTCGAATCCTTTCTTCCGTTGTTTTGTGTTTGGATCCGTCTCGCCGGCCGCCTAGCCCTCCATGCCTTTCCGCAACCTTCTTACGGCGAGCCGTTCGTTGCCACCCCTCTTCCTCCTTCGCCTTTCAGTAAGGTTATAGGAAGTTTCTTCTGTTTCCTTTTTTCGCATCAGGGAGCGTCCTGCTGACTGGCGGGGTGGATGGCTTGATCAAGGCCTGGGAAGTGAGCACTGGGCAACTGTTGTATTCTCTGTTGAAGCACGACGGCGACATTACCGATTTATCAGTCCATCCTAACGACTCCCTTGTTGCGTCTTGCTGCGGCAGCGGTCCGTCCAGCGCACGTACCCTGCTATACTTCACCCCTCTTTAGCCGCTTCCCGCAAAGGCGTTCTGCACACCAGTGTCTCCACTAGCAGCAGAAGCCTCTACAGCAGCCGTAGAACAGGAATGTGTCTGTGTCGGGCGCCCTGTTGTGGTGCAGGCAAAGTGCGTTTGTGGCGCTTGCTGCCCTCCTGGTGGCTTAGCGTGGGCTGCATAGACGCGGGCAGTCGAGTGACCCTTGTCAAGTTCCTCACGGCCTCATCTCCTGCCGGAGTTGCCGCTGCAGCAGAAGCCGCAAGGAAGGCGAGCTGTACGTCCTCTGACTCTCCTGATGCGGCTGCCGCTGCAGCCACAGCGGAAGCTGCGGCAGCCGTCGCAAAAAGCCGTGAGGAAGCTGAGACGGCAGCAGCCGCTCAAGAGCTCCTTTTGGTGTGCAGCGACAGAGATCTCCGCCTATATTCCCTTCAGCAGCTCCTAAGCAGCAGTGCGGGAAACCCGGGGGGCCTCCTGTCGGTGGAGCCTCTCCAGCGCTACCCATGGGGCCCTGCCTTTTTTCCGCATGCGATTGACACTACCAAGGTGTGTGGTTGGGGAGACAGTTCGCGTTTATCTCCTAGGTTCCTCGGTTGTTATCTCCTAGTTTCCTCTGCTGCTCCGTTGCTTCTTTGTCGCCGAGCTCCTCGGTTCATGTGCGCGCGCATGTGTGTGTCAGTCTGACTTGGCTTTTCTTTGCGTTGCCGTTTCCGAGCCGGCGCCTCTGGCTGCGCGCACAGCCCTTGTGTTTGTGTGGATGTGTATCTGTGCGCCTTGCGAGTCGCCGGCTTGATAGCGTCTCTGTTGCGGCCGCTTCTCATGGCGACGCGATGTCTCTTCCAGCTTTGCTCCCTTCATCTCTGCCTTCTATTTTTATTCTGGAGGCGCAAGAGTCGTTGGCTCGGGAGCACGCAAGTGCTGCCTAAGTTGTGCATACGCCCTCAAAGAATGCGGAAAAGAGGCGTTTCCCATGATGTCTAGTGGGGTGTCTGCCGGGTTGCTCTGCAGGTCGGCTGTGGTGGCCCTTGGGGGCACCTGGTCGCTCTTGGATTAGACGAGGATTCTTCAGCTGAAGAAAGCAGCGACGAGGATGGGGGCCCCTCTTTTTCCTGTGTGGGGCCTCGCCGACTGCGGCGTAGGAGCAGCAGCATGGTTGTTTACCCAGGTTCCGCTCAGCAGCAGCAACAGCAGCAGCAGCAGAAGAAACGGCCGAAGCGGCGCAGCAAAACGCTGGTGTTCGCCATGCCGTCTGCGGCGGACCTTCCCAAACTAAGAGCTGCCGCTGGAGCCGACATTTTCCCAGTCTTTGCGGATCTTTCGTGTCTGTTCCACTATCCCCACTCTTAGCTCTCTGATCGCTGCCGCCGCTGAATGCCGTATTCGGTCCCTTGCCTATATTGTGGTGCCGTAATTTCGAGGCTCCTTGCTTTTAAATCCTTGCACTGCGCTGTGCCCTCCGGCGCAGTCCACCACACAAGTGGAGGACCCCTTTTGCTTGTTTCCAAGTGCTCGGGGTTTAAGGTTCGCGGTTTTCTGGGATGCTTGCGTTGCCTCTGCGCAGCTTACCATGATGCCTTTCCTGACGTCTGCTTCGCCAATGGCTCCTCCGACCTTGCCACTGCTTCAGACGACGGCGTCTTGCTGCTGTGGCGGATCTCAGCAGCTGCTGCTGCTGCCGCTGCAGATGCAGTACAGGCCGCAGCAGAAGCAGCAGAGGCAGCAGCAGCCTCGGCTGCTGCTTCCATGGGCTTCCAGGCGGACGATGGTGGCGCTGCTGCTGCTATGGCAGCAGCAGCAGCAAGTAGCAGCATGACTTACGGTTCTCTTTCTCTTGGGAGCCCTGTCCTGGAAGCGGCAAAGATTAAAAGGATAAGCCTTGTGTCGCTTATTAGGGAGCGTCTGGCCTCGAATTTCTACTCGAAGGCGAAGCCAGGAGACTCGTCTGCAGCATCCAGGGGGGCCTTGGGTCAAAGAGACAGCAGAAAAAGCCAACGGAGTGAGCGTCTCGGCATTAGGTTTGAATAAGCGATGTATTTCCTATTAGCTTATGCTATCTCGATTTCCTGGCTGGACGTTTAAAGTGGTTTTGGGGGGTCCTCCATGCCTTTTGTCTCTGCGTCCTTCCTCCTGTTTCATGCTTCCCTCTGAAGCCCCTTCGCTTTTTGGATCCTCGCAACCTTCATCTTCCAGTATCTCATTTTTGCGCCTTTCCTTCCCCGCAACTTCGTTGGATACACAGACCTCCTTGCAGTTCCTTCCATGCACACAGTCATCTCCAGGTTTAGGCACACTGGAAGCAGTGCGTCTTGCCTGCCCTACGAATGCGCGTTGCTGTAGGCTGTCACAGGCGTGGAGACGGTCCCCTCTCCTCCGCATACCCCTCTTCGTCAGGAGAATCCCTCAGCGATGCCTCAGAGGGCCGCGCTAACAGAGCCACCCGCCTCCTCCATTCGAATGCCTGTCCGACTGCAGCTGGATCTTGCCACTGCTGCTCGCAGCACAAGCACGTCAGCATGTGCGGCTGCTGCTTCGAAGCAGCAGCCGCAGAACCAGCCACAGTGGTAGTAGCAGCAGCAGCCACTTCTCCTCTGGATTACGGAGTTTGTGGGGTCTGCTTCTCGTCTAACGATGCGCTCTTATGCATTGCAGACAAAGTATCGCCTGCCCGTCGTGGCGGCTCTCGAGGAACCCCTCAGTCCCCTGAGTTTTGTGTTCCACTAGATTGCGGAGTCTCAGTCTTCTGCTCGACAACAGGGCATCGTGTAGGCGACGCCCTTCACGGAACCCTGAAGCGCTCTGTTTCTCTCCTGAGGCCTCACCCTGCTACTCCAGACATCTTGTTGGTGGCTTCGTACGGCGGAGATGTGTGCCTCCTCTCTTTAGCCGACGCAGGAGCTCTCGCGAGTTCTTCGAGGGAAGCCGTCTGTGACGGACGGCTTCCCAGAAGCACCGCAGTCAACTGCTCCGTGCTCAAGAGGCTGCGACTAGGAACGCAGTGCTGCTGGCTCGAAGGAGAGTGGGGCCCTTCAGGATTTGCTGCTGCCTTGGCGCATCGCTTTGGATGCGTCTCCTTCTTCGGATGCGGTGAGTGTCGAGGGTGCTGTGGTGGTGCTAGTTGTCACAGCGCAGTTGGACGCGGGGCTACCCGCGTTTTTCGCGCTGGCATTTCTGCCTCGATCAGAGTATCGGCTGTCTTGAAGTCTCGCCATGCGAGGCAGCAGCAAGCAGCAGCACGTCATTGCGTGTTGTTGGCTCTCCTGTGACGCTGTCATTGGGTGTGGGCGTGCGGGGGTTAGGCCCTGCATGTGATCCTTGAAAGCCTTGCTCCTGCAGGGTCAGCAGGCAGGGCGAACTCTCCATGTCTCTTGTTGTGCGCTGTCTGTCAGGAGAGATGCCTGCCTCTGCCGCCACGCTGAGAGAACAGTTTCTCTCCACCGAGTTCGTATCCACCACTGAGACGCCTCAGGGGGCCCTCATAGACAGCGGCAGCGGCCTGCCCCTCCCACTGCTTCCCCGAGGGGCGCTCCTCGATGCGGGGGGAAGGAGCTATCCCTTTCACTTGCAGCCACCTCCCCCTTGTGTCGAGTCGCTGTCCATCGGGTGTACAAATACACACTTGTACGCTGCGTGGAGACAGCTCTGCTGCTCCTGCACCAGCAGCAGTAGCAGCAGCAGCAGCGGTGCCGCCAGGATCAGGACCGCTCCAAACCTCCAACTCCTGCCTTGCCGCTGTTGCCCCCCCCCAGACGCATGCACCAAGTGTCTTGTCTGTGGGGTTCCCTCCTGCGAAGGGAAGCTCGCCGTCCGCAGCAGCAGTAATCGCGGCACAGCCTTCGAGTCGGCTTTCCCTACTTCCGGTAAGAGAAGGCCCTCAGAGAGCTCGCCAGTGCCCTTGCTTGCACCTGCTGTTTCCGTGTCATTTTCCTCTTCTTCCTCCTTTCTTCCTCACTGCATGCAATATTTCCTCTATCGCTGCGCCTCCATGTGCCGCCTCTGTAGGTGACCCTCGAATGGACTGGTGTCGCACAGCCGCTGGACTTCGCCGTCTGTGGCGGCAACTGCCAGCGGATGCCCTCTTGTTACGCACTAAACTCTCTCGCCAGCTGCTCCAGCTAGCAGCAGCAGCTCACGCAACTGCGAAGGGGCCTCTTGACAGCATTTCCCAGACGCTCAAAGCCCTAGCGGTTGCCTCGCAGAGGCAGTCATCGTTCGCGCAATGGGGCACCCCCCTTGGACACCCCTCTCGCTCACCAACACCACGAACACCAGCACCAGCACCAGCAGCAGGGGGTCGGCAGTATCTCTATGAGGGCTTTGGGGACGTCGCTGTCTCTGATCCACACCGCCGCTACGCCATCCTACTCAAGCACAGACTGGAACAGGTACACAAGCGCTGCTGCCGATACTGCAAAGCTGCTGCGCACAGGGCAGCAGCATGGGTTGTAAGATCATAGTTGCGGGTCCTGGCCTTTGCTTCCGTATTCTTGTCAATCACGACGTTTTTTATTTCTTCTTTTATGCTGGTGTGTGTGTATGTATCTGTGTGTGTGTGTGTCTGTATGTATGTGTGTATGTCTGTATGTATGTGGCTATGTTTCTGTGTGTGTGCTTGTGTCTATGTATGTGTATGTGTGTGTATGTATGTGTATGTATGTGTATGTATGTGTATGTATGTGTATGTGTGTGTATGTATGTGTATGTGTGTGTATGTATTTTATGTGTATCTGTGTATGTATGTATCTGTGTGTGTATCTGTATGTATGTATGTGTGTATGTATCTGTATGTATCTGTGTGTGTGTGTGTGTGTGTGTCTGTATGTGTATGTGTGTGTATGTGTGTGTATGTATGTGTATGTATGTATATGTATGGGTATGTGTGTATGTATGTGTGTGTATCTGTATGTATGTATCTGTGTATGCATGTGTCTGTGTATGTATGTATCTGTGTGTGTGTGTGTGTGTGTTTGTGTGTATAGCGTGCCTTGTGGGATGCGCAGCGATGTACTCCTAATGGGAACATAGAAATCTTACGAGGATATGCACGAGCAGTTGTTGCCTCTCGAGAGGCCCCCCTTCTTGTGCGGGCTCCTCTGGAGATGGGCTGGGGACGCTTGCAGCAGCAGCGGCAACACCAGGGTGGTGTTTCTACTGTTCGAGGCATCGGGAGACGAGAGGCTTTAGACGCTATTCCCTTCTCTCGTGCGACAGGCGAATTCGAAGATGAGCCAGCAGTTGCCGCAGGGGGCAGGAGTCGCGTGCAGCGTACTGCTGCTGCCGCTGCTGCTTCACGGCGGAGTAACCGTACAGCAACAGCAGCAGCGAGTGGACGCCGCTTGCGTGGAGGCCCCTCTTCTGCAGAGGCAGAGGAGTCTGTTCAAACCACGGGTAGACGCCAGAGGCTGGTGGGAGGGCCCCCTAGGAGGTCTGAGAGCTCATCACCGAGTAGTGAAAATAATCCCAGAGATGCACAGTGGGGAGCTGATATGTTGTCTCCCCATAGATATCGCAGGGTTCGGCTCGACTCGACTTCTTCCTCCGCCTCCTGCAGCAGCAGTACCAGCACAAGCAGCAGCAGCAGCACAAGCAGCAGCAGCACGAGCAGCAGCAGCGAGACGGATGCCAGGGGCTTCTCGATGCGTGGGCTATCCGTTACAGGAGCAGCAAGAGCAACAGGAGCAGGAGGAGTGCCAGTCACACGACGCCGCAGAGGAAGGCTCCGTCGCAGCCTCGTAGAATCCCCCCCTCCAGAGGAGAGGGGGCCTAGTCAGCGCCGTAGCTGCCGTCTCGCAGGCACCTCCGCTGTGGATGCCATGGCATTGTTAGCCGATCCCTCGGTTGCAGACAGCAGCAGAAGAGAGCTGCTACGCTTAGCAGATCCGGACGAGCTAAAATTGGCCAGAAAACACCTCACGCTGCTCCGCAGGCGAGAGGCTGCTGCGGCAGCAGCAGCAGACAGCAGCAGACTTCCACCGCAGCGGATCGACGTCGTTTCTCGCTGTCTCCATCTTCGGTATGCTGGGATGCTTCCCTTTCCTTCGGGGAGCCTGATGCCGGTGAAGGAGCTGTTAAGGGTGCAGCAGCAAGCTGCTGCTGCTGCGACACAGGCAAGCCAAAGCGGAGTGACGCAGCAGCAGCAGCTGCTGCTGCACTTGATACAGCAGCAGCAGCAGTGGATCCGTATCCCCTCCAGTAGCAACAACAGCAACAGCAAGGAGATACCAGCAGGAGCAACGCGAGAAGCGGAAGAGCACGTGGCAGCCGGAGCAGCCTCGCGAACCGAAAAGCCTGTTGCAGGCTGCCTTATCTGTTGCCAGGCCCACAAGTGCGCCCTTTGCGGTGCTCGCGGCACTTCTGTCTCCTCTCCCCCTCCGTCTCAACGGGAAATACAGCTGGGAGAGCTCGTGGGGCCCTTTCGAGTGTATGCGGAGGACGATACCAGCAGCGGAAGCAGCAACGTTGCGCAGCAGCCGCAGCACAGGTCGGGTGCAGGCGGCTTATGGCTCCACATCAGATGTCTGATGAGCATCTCTGGCCTGCAAGCAGATAGGCATTCGCGAGGCTTCTTTAACCTAAAGGTGAGTGTGGTGTTGGTGGCACTGTGCCGCTTCTTCTGGCATTTCTCTTCGGTTCCTTTTTTCTCCTGTGTTCGTGGGTGCCGTCTTTGTGGACGAACTGTGTCTCCTCTCTCGGCCTTCCTCGCCGACCCCTCCGCTTCAGACGCTTAGTCTGAGGCAGTGCTTCGCCGCCAAGCACGTCTTTCTTAGTCCTAGCTGCATGCCTCGCAGCGCAGTGCAATGCCTCAGACTAAGCGTCTCATTTACATTGTGCTAGCCGCTGAATGTCTCCCACGACTCGCTTCTCCGCGCTGCAGAGGGGCGCCGGGGAAGGGAGTGACGAATTGCTAAGACCGATAGTATGGAGTGGGGAAACGCGAGGGGGGATGCAGGTGCATCATAGCCAGTATCAGTGGAGCCGACTACTTGAGAGGAGCTACTATTCCGAAAAAGCCGGCCGTGTGCACCAAGTGTGCTTGCCAGTTCGCTGGAAGGCAAAGGTGTTTTATGAGCGTGTGTTGGGCTCTGTAGGGATGTGTTCGGCAGGGTCATACTCTACAACAGTGTGGGTGGAACGATGCTTCGTTGTTGCTGTGTGCAATGTTGTTGTATACATATATGTATATATGTATGTCTCTCCTCTGCCGCCATTGCCTTTCTCGCAGGAGTTGGTGGCTACGGCTGTAAAGCGCCGCTGTGGACACTGCGGCTTAGGGGGGGCTGCTGTTCAGTGCTGTGCTCCTGGATGCCTCCTGTTCTTCCACTATGCCTGCTGCTCTCTCGCGTACCTGGTGCCAAGCCTTGCGACCGAAGGCGCTACCAAAGGAACTATCCCAGACCCTCTCTACTTCGGTAGCTACTTGTGTCTTGCGTAAGCTGCCGCGAAAGGGCGTCGCTGCTCTTGGCCGTGTTGTTCGTTTGGGGGCTTGTGCTGCGATGAACGTTTTCCTGCAGCTGTAGATAGAAGCGCTGAGAGAGTAGAGCCGCCGCAGGAGTTAGAATATGCCCATTCATAGCTTCTCGACGCTGCGTGAGGTGTGAATACGCATACATCTATGCAGAGCCATGGATGCATGGTTGCATTGAAATGCATCGGTTGCGCTTTTGTTCGGGTCCGTGTGTTTGGCTTTGTTCCGTCAGCTGTCGAGCGCAGAGAGGCGCAGGAGATGCTCTCTCTCCGTATCTCTCAGGAGATGTCTTGCGCAGCGCTGCCCTTCGCTCGTGGCTCATGGGAGATCATCGATGCAGCAAGGCGAGCGACAGTAGCAACGGAAATGTGCAGCGACAGAAACAACAGCAGCACAGCAGTAGCAGCAGCAGCAGTAGCAGTAGCAGCAGCAGTAGCAGGGTCACTAGCGTAGGCAGGCGCTGCCGTGTCGTACTACGTTCTTTCAATCAGCATCGGGAGGAAGCTCCCCGTTTGGACGCTGCAGGAGCAGTGACAGGAGGAGAAGCAGGAGGCAGCACTTTCCCGTGTTGTTTTAGCAGCCCTGCTGGGGTTTATGTGCCGCAGCTGGGAGACATTGTGAGGTACTTTCCTCAGCTGCATCAGCAACCTCCGCTGCAGCACGATCGTTTGCAACTCTGGTCACCCCACTTGTTCTCCGCATGCGACGCTTCGGTGCTGAGCGTCGCCTATGACATGCCCGGTGAGCAGTCTCTTACAGCACGTTGTCTGCGGATGCCCCCTAGGGAATGCGAAAACGTTTTCGGTGCTGCCTTTGGGTTCTACTCTCTATCCTAGCTGATGCTCTGCACTTACAGCAGACTTCTCCGTACGCAAGCATCCTTCTGCCGTGCTTGTTAACCTGCTGCTAGTTTATGGGAGTCTAATGACTTGTGCGTCTCTCGCTTCATGCGCACGCACTGGGCCCCTTCGTGTGGCCTCAATCAAAGCAGCACTCAGTAGGGGCCTTCTTGAATGGAAATAGCGGAACTGCCTCTCCGTAGTATGCGGTTTTGCTCGATGTCTAGTACGTGTGGCTGGACGTCTGCATGTGCGCCTTCAGGCCTCCCCGTTGAGGACGAGCCGCTGCAGGTATCAGCCGTTGTGGAGCTGGAAGTGTTGTCTCCACCCCACGCGGCAGGAGACAGATTTACGTTGCATTATTGTCCAGTCCCCAACGGGGCCCCCGACTGTCTCGTGCTGCTCCTAGACGTGCAGCGGGGACTTTACAGACTGCTGCTGCTGCAGCAGCAGCTAATCACACTGCAGAGAGAGCGTTTGCTCAGGGAGCAAGAGAGGGAGAGGCAGAAGCAGGAGCAACAACAACGGGAGGTGGAAGAGGGGGCCAGGCGAACACCCAGACGACGGGTCAAACGACAGTTCCCTGACGACGGCAGCAGTTCCTTTTACAGCAGCAGAAGGCAACAGCAGCAACAACAACAGGAGGACATCTCTTCTTTCCCTCGCATTCAGGTGTGGATGGATGGGAGGTACTATTCTGCATTCGTCCGGAGTATTAAGGCACCAGTCCCAGAAGCAAAGGAGACAGCTCGAGCTTTGCTGGCTGCTGCTGGCCTGCAGCAGCCACCGCATCAGCCCGACAAATCGCTGCAAGACAAGCAGCAGCAGAATTCTGCTGTAGAACCCGGCCGGACCCTTCCCTCAGGCGCTTCCGAAACCCGCAGACTTGCCCTCGCAAGCGCACTTCGAGCTGTTGTGGGGTCGGAGGTTTACCCTCACTTTGTCATTGACGCAATCAGTGGCGGGAGCGGCGGCAGCTGCGACAGCAGCCGGGGAAGCAGAGATAACGGGACTGTCTCAGTTGCTGCTAGCGATGTTGTAGCATGGCGGCACGTGGCCTCCCTGGGTTTCGAAGCCTTAGAGATTCAGTACTTATCGGAGGAAGCTTCCTCTGATGGTTCCCCTGAACCCTCAGGAGCTCCTCAGTGGCTCAGCCCTTGGGAAGTCGAGTTTCCACCTGGACCTCAGCGCACAGAGGAGCTGCAGCTTCAGCAGGTGCTGCAACAGTTGGAGTTCCCAAGAGAGAGGCAAACGTTTCTTCTGCAGCAGCTAAGCACGCTAATGGCAACACCAGCGAAAACTAGTAGGGACAGCAGTAGCAAGAACAAGGCATTGCTTTACGAGGCGTTTATAGAGGATATTCCTGAGTGGGTAGACAACACATGCAGCAGCAGCAGTCGCCATCCGCAGCAGCCCCCTTGGGTGTCAGCCTACTGGAAGGAGATAGCCCTGCCTGTTTCTCTCTCGCTCGTTCAGAGACGGCTACAGCATGGATACTACAGACGAGAGGCGGCCTTGCATTCCGATCTGCTGCTGGTGATCCATAACTGCCGGAAATTCAACGCAGCTGAACCCCTGTCGGTGCTGTGCAACGAACTGGAAAGACACATGTCAATGCTGCAGTTGCTGCCGCAACAGGAGGTGCAGCAGCAACAGCTGCAACAGCATATCAAGGAGCAGTACAAACTCACATGTCTCCTAGGCGCAGCTATTGAGCAGCAAGCAGCAGCAAATGTTGCCTTCATGGCTGCCCATGAGGCATGGCTGGAGCAGCAACACCAGCACCCGCAAGGGCTGCAGGACCAGCAGCAGCAACAGCTGGAATCGCCACACCAGCAGAAACAAGAGGACACAGGGCTTAAAGAAAATAGCAGCAAACACTTCTCTGCAGAGCCTCCGGATGCAACAGATACAGTAAAAGTACCAGCATCGAACACTGCTGGCAGGCCCTCCAGCAATTCGAAGAGCGGCAGGGTGGCTAATAGTACAGATCTTGAGAGGAATACCACCAGAAGCAGCAGACGTTTTGTTCATCTGGAGATGCACCTGCAAAGGGCCCGCCGCACCAGAAGGCTCGGAGCTGAAGGGCAGCAACAGCAGCAGCAGCAGCAACAGCAGGCAGAGGCGCAGGAACCGCCGCAACATGAAGGTTTAGGGAGGAGTCCTCCGCTGGACTCTAAAGAAAGGGTTTCTTCGGTATCTTCGCAATCTGTAGACCCTTCTGCCCCGTCTGTCAAGGCGAGTTCCCCCGAGGAGGCATTGCTGCACCAGCGACAGCAGAGCCAGACGCTCCTGCCGCCACTACAGCAACACAACCAGGAGTGGCCCGTAGCTGTCGCTGTCTCGTACGATGGTTTAGAAGAGCAGACTGGCATCTTGAGACCTCGCTCGTGCAGGATCCATGGGGATGACGATTGTAGTCCCATGGCGGCTGCTGAGAGTTTTTCGCTGCCGCCTGCGGAGGGTGATGCGGCCCCTTTGAGGAGTAAACGCCTCCGCTGCTCGTCTTCACAGCGGGAACCGTCGGAGAAGAGGCACGAATTGCAGCAACATCAGGAAGAAAGCGTTACTCACGCGGCTGGCGGCACTGTCAGCAGCCCCGAGAGTAGCAATGCTATGTCGCTGGAAAGGCCCTCTACTGTAGCCACGCAGCGTTCAAGTCAGCATGCGGTCCCAAGAAGACAAGGCTGCGGGGCAGGGCCTAGGATTCGGGGACATAGCGGAAGCAGGCGCTCTGGAGGCAGGAATTCTCAGCAGCATCAACTGCTGGGGGAAAACGATGGGGACAGAGGGCAGGGGAGCCCCCAAGAAGAGTGGGACGAGCTTCAACGCGCAATGGAATTAAGTCTTAGGACCTTTGAAGAAGAACAAGCGAGACACAAGCAGCAGCAACAGCAGCAGCAGCAGGTGGATGGGGGGGAGGGAGCACCAGGTGCCGAGGCTCGTAGCGAGCAGCCTGTTCATGTTGGTGGCACACCTTCACAGGTATACATGACGGGCTCTTCACAGGAAGAGGACTCGGAGGGACTTGTTGCTGCTGAGGGGGCTACGGTTTCAGTGGCAGGTGCAGCGGCACCCGCTGTATCCCAGCGGAAGGAAAGACGCGGGGGAAAACGAAGCCGGCAATCCCGAACTATGTACTAACGGACATGAGGAGACCCCTATTCGTAGAGCTTCGTGCATGCACACATGCACATTATGCGTAGACGCGCACACACCGTGGTTTTATAGCCACATCCAAAACTGGGTAGAAAAGTGCTCCAGTGGGTTGGGTCACATTCTTACAGCTGCATGCATGCACCCCACGAACCTCTGACGGGCGCCTGCAGATGACATCCGTGCAAGCGTTCAGTAAAGGCATGGGTGAAACACACTCCTGCACGCCTGAAATGCATACATTGCATGCACACCGCAAGTGTGTGCATTGAATGCAGTCCTTACAGACTGGAGAGTGTGCTCCGTCTCACTCCATTGCCTGTTGGCAGTAAAACGCGGATGCAGCAGCAGCCCGGACCGGCGCACAAACCGAGGCAGTCAGAAACAGCAGGAAAATCAGTGCTGCTTTTCTTAGCCATCTTTCTGAAGGTGCATTGTCTCCGTACTACTTGTATACGTTTGTCGAGCTAGAAAATAAACAGCGTGTGGCACAAGGATAGCCAACGTGCCCCCAGTTCGTCGAGCAACAAAGGCATCAACCAGTTTAAGTGGACAATGTTGCTGCCTAATTTATTTGCCTTCGAAGTGTATTCGGGTTTTACCTGACGTGCCAATAATGGTGCCGTTGCTTTTGTTTGCTTCGTGTCTAGACGTCTGCACGTTGCTCTGGTAGTAGGCGCAGCAGCTTTTGTTAGACGAAGGAATGTGTGTCCTAACCGTATCAAGCTTTTACAGTCTAGTGTGTCTGCATCTCTGCGGAGCCTCAAAAAGAAACAATGACCCCAAATCATACATGTATGTACAGATGCATTGTCCGTATAGTCGCACGTCCCTTCAATTTCCGCAAAGGCATAGCTGTACAGGCAGCCCCAAGGTCACCCCTTCATTTCCTGTCTGTCGTGAAAATGGCTTCTCCCGCGTTAAAGGGGGCAATGAATGCTTCTCATATTGAGCAAGAAAAAAGCCTTTTGCACGCAACAGCGGACTGGCAGGCATTTCCCTTTTCAGGCCACATTTGATTTGCTAAGGCCACATAAAGAATCCAACAAGAGAAATGCTGATATTTTGCGTCAAAAGGCAGCAATATTTAGGCGTGGCCCTTAATATTGTGTCCTTGGGCATTCCTTCCCTACATCGAGGGCCCGATTGTTCCACCCATCTGAAGAAGTGAAGCAACTGTCCCAGTAAACTAAATAAAGGCCTTGGAAAGAAAGGGGAGAAGGAAAGAGTAAGAAAACGCGAATAACGAAAAATACGACAGGCTTCCCTCCAAGCGCAACGCAAAGCGATCTTTCGCAAACCGATATTTGCCCGTCCCGCATCTCGTCTCTTCATGCTCATCCTAATGCCATTAAAAAAATAAAAATACCTTTACAGAGCGAACAGATCAAACAGAGAAACAACAGCAATCAGCAAAGATGAATGTGCTCTGAACAATTACAAGCACAAGGTGCCTGTGGTAAAAGAACAAAACTAATAGTCGAGCCCAGGAACCCGTCAGCAAAACGGGCACACACACTGCAGCTAAGTGGATCACCAAAAAGCTATGAAGGCAAGCAAACGTCGATCAAGTACATATACATACAATTCATGCATATGCTTTTTATCAGGTGTCTGCGTGTACTACCCAGTCCGTTTGACGTTGCGAAGGCAGCGAAGAAGCTAGTAGGATAGCTAGAGGCAGCGCAAACAACAAATAGCCTATTGGAGATACGCTTGCTGCTGATGCTTAGGCAAGCCATGGTGTGTTTTACCGCTGCTGCATCTTTGAAGAGACTGTGGGGCCTCCAAACCCAGTTGTCTCTCGAACTTCGACGTGGCAGACAGACACCTGCCAGAAATGGTTTGGTAGCCGACGCATCTTCCATGTAAAGAGCCTTACTCCTGTGCTTATGCACTCTAACAAAACGTAGAGATATACGTGGTGAGAGGCAAAGGGATATGATCCCAACGTAATAGGAGGAAAAGGCATACTGCGTGCCCTTTGGCTTCTGTCCATGTAGGGAGGACATATATAGATGGACTGGATTTGCATTTTTCTTGTCTTTTTCTGCTGCATCTGCTGCAAAAGTCTATCTTCGCGATTCACCGGTAATTATAGCAATGCCACCCCCAATGCAAACAAGTCGTGACTGGTAGGTGGTGGGGTCAGCTTTTGCGCTAGCCACCTATTAAGAAAAACAGATTTGATCCAGCGATACTTAGATTTAACAAAGCAGGTGTCTTCATCCAAGACGTAAAGCAGACTAAGAACTCCTCGGATGCTCCAGTCATTCGCCCAAGATGCGATCGTCTCTGGAGGTGGCACCGCATCTCTCCTCAGCTTTCCAAGGCTTCCGAGTAACGCACAGAAATAGGCAGCGGGAATTATCATTTTCTTCCCGTTATGGATCATTGGCAAATTCTCTGTTACCTGCATTGCATTCATCATGTTACCCCAGGGCATTGTGCATTTTGCAGCAGCAAGAAACTGCTTGTAGCATGCATGGACCCGCTGGGAGTGCTGAAGCTGCATTTCAGCAAACAAGATCCCATTCACCAGCTGTATCACCAGGTCCAAAGGGACTCCTGCTTGCTGGTTGTATGTGGAAGCAGAACGAAACGGTCCATCTCCTCTCAGCATCCACATGAACTGCTGGAAACTCACAAGATCGTTTTTTTTCAGAAGCAGGCTTTCAGAAGGCATACTGCGCACCAGTAGTGCCAGCTGCGCTGACTTGAGGCCCCTCTTCTGCACAAATGCCTGAATTTCCTTGAGGCAAAGCAAACGGACTGTGGCTGCCCGCACAACAGCAATGGCAAACTGCCAACGCAGCTTGTATCGTGCCGTACCCCTATGAAAAGCAGTCTCACTGGGCTCCTTGACGCCCAGTAATTCGTTCACGTCTCGTCTAAAGACAGAGATAGGGTCATCTGATGACAGAGTATCCCAAAAATGAGGCATGTAATACTCGGTGAAGCTTGCTCTTACACCCTCAGAAGAATCCGCCCAGGTGTGTTCCAGCTCCTTTAGTAATAATCTTAAATCATCAGTACGATAGCTCTGAGAGTTGATGTGTGCAAACTCCGAGCGCTTCGGGTCGTTAGAAACCTGCACTTTGCTAAGAGCAATGGTCCTTGCAACGGCCACCAGGGCAACGCAGACCGAAGGCACCACCACGCGCCACAGCAAGGGGAACGAGCAAACTTCGCTTAATTTCCCATCTTTCGACAGCTTTGAAGGGCTTTCGAGATGCTCATGGTGTACAGTCATCTCCACGGATTGCTCCTTACAGCTGTGGTTGCAAGACAGACACTCTTGCTATCAACTTGCTGAGACTTCCAGCTGTCTTCCTTGGTGATACAACGGGTACATGCTCTGCAATATAACAAGACCAGCTGGTCCATAACTATTTCACATCTAATCTGCCAAGACGCATCAATGAGTGATCAGGGAGCTACCTGGTGGGTCACTATCCGCCACGCGACATAGAGGGCAGGCGTACTATGAAGACCTCCACAGGTTCCTACCCAATAACGCTAGCTGGAAAGAGCACCATCATGCATGATGCAAAAACCATAGAGGAATGGAAGGTTTCATCAGGAAACGGGAAATGAGCACCCCGATACTTGACACAAACAGTCGCTAGGGTGCCTAGAGGGAGGTCTGACCAGGGGTGTAGGAAACTAACATTGCACGGGGGCGACAAGTAGCGCTTCTCGCTACCTATGTATCGCTGATTCTTGCACGAACATGAATCACAAATGCCGTCATAGCAGCTTTTTGCCTCCATATGCATCACGTCTCTATTCGGTTAGCGCTCTCGGCCTGGGGGAGGCGGGGGGGCCAGGGCTTCCACAGCTCAATAAAACTCACGAGAACACTGCCGCTCGTCCCTCGTTTACCAAAAACCATCAGTATATAGTGGCGGCTATCTGCATCTGGCTTTTAACGGACACAATATGTAAGGGCAACAACAGCCTATTAGCCCTTCCAGCCAAGCATAGAGACTCTCCAAGGCAATGCTATAGAAAAGCACTGGTTCCTAATGGTGGTGACATCGAAGCGCTATAGCACCAGCCACCTAGAGTTCTCTATTCGAATTTACAATTGCGGTAAAATATCATGTTGTCGCGGCTCCGGATTCAGAGATTATATCGCGCCGCAATGCGAAACGGCATACGTAGGAATCATGCGTACAGGCACAAGCGAACTCTCACCATACCCTTGTACTGCTTCTTCCTCTAGTTCCCACATAAACAGCGTTGTTATTTTGGAGTTCGATTGCTGGAAACGCAGTTGCGCAACTTTGCGCAGAATGCCGGCAGTCCTACCTAGAAAAAAACCTGTCCCCGGGCGTACTGCACGGCCACACAGGAAGAAGTCCACAGCACCGCAGGTACAAAATACCCAAACCCCAAACAGCGCAGACAAAACTTGATGCAAAAATCTAGTGGGCCATAGAGAGTGCAGTGTTGGACAGTAGGGGATTTGGGTCTAGCTTTCAGGCATTGAGGGTAAGTTGTTTGCGTGAATCATCACTGCTGCAACTACACAGCTGCTATCCGTTGCTCGTTTCGCTTGATGCACCCAAATATCCGCATACGGAAGATTATTCTCCGCATCTCACAACAACGAGCACTGAAACTTTTGTGTCGCGAATGCCATTCTCCCATGGCCGTAACATGTGCTCAAGGAACACTACTTCACAAACGAATTCCCAGCTCAATGTTGGCCCCCATATCCAGGGAGCACATAAGCGATATCGTCCACGTCATGCCTGTACAGTCCTTGTTTAAGCCTCTTTTGGTCCAGGAAATGGCCGATGAAACCAATACTTCTTCCAAGCACAAAAAGTCCGTTTATGCACCCATTATCTATGTAGTCCTTGGCCTCTCCCTCGCTAAAGAAGCCGCAGTGTAGCAGCAGGTCGCACATAGATACCCCAATCAGCCCATCCACATTCAGGATCAGTGTATCCTTTTTCTTCGTTGTCACCTTTTCAACCTGCAGTGCGTAATTAATCAGCGGGGTTTCCCTGAAGTGCTTCAGGCAAAATGCTTTCAGCAATTCCACCCTCTTGTCTGGATTGTGCACGGACTTCACTCTGTGGCCGATGCCCATGATCAACTTGTTCTGCGCTTTTGTGTCCCTTACAAACTCCTCCGGGGTCTGACCCCGCGTGTATGCGGAGAGGAATTGCTGGGCCGCCTTGTCACACGCCCCTCCGAATCTGTCTCCAATGGTGCACAAACCTGATATGAGAGAACTTATAAGGTCTTTGCCAGCTCTGGCAGTGACAATCACGTTGTGGGCTCCGCAGACAGCTGGACCGTGGTCGGCCGTCAGCATCAGTACTGTCTCTAAATATCGGTAACAGTAGGGGGCAAGGGGGCGTTTGAACCACAGCAGAGACAGCACACCACCAACGCCCATGTCCTCTTGCATCACCTTGCTTATTGGCCAGCCAGCGTAGAGCAGCTCCTCCCCTCTGTCATCTGAAATTGTTGAGACAAAGCCCTTAGGCTTCCTGACCAGGCCAAGCTTTTTCGCCCACGCATAATCCAGTGGAACCCGGGGAACAGGCGCTTCTTTCTGAGGAGTAATCATCCCCTGTTCCACCAATCGGGTGTAGACGCTCTTTACAGTCAGCCCGAATGTTTGAAAGGACGTCGGCACAAACGCACCTGCTGCTCTAAGGGCTTCGTTCTTTGCTGCTGCATGCTCGCTGCAGCTCCCTGCCCACGCCCCCGCGTGACCAAAGGCAACCTCCGTGCTGAGCATGGGGGCGCACGTACCGACGCACCAAGCAACAAGAGGCTTCCTGATCCTCCTGTCTTTGAGGGCAGCGGCCACCTCGTACTCTACCGACCCACCCACCTCACCCAGCATCATCAACATCTTAACTTCGGGATCTTGCTCAAACCGCAGCAAATGCTGCAACATCGAGGTCCCCGGAAAGCGGTCCCCACCAATTGCAATAGCCTCGCATGCCCCATTCGTTACGACCGACAAGATATTGTTGAGCTCGTTCAACATACCTCCGGACTTTGTCACAAACCCAACAGAGCCTGGCCGGTACAGCTTGGCGTTCATGATGTTTTCGAGGGACCCTCCGGTATTTCCAATGCGAAAGGCCCCAGGCTTCATGCCGCCCACAGTAGCAGGGCCAATAAGACAAACCCCCTTAACTCTGGCCTCTTTCCCAAGCTCCCTGGCCACTCTCTCTGGCACACCCTCAGCAATTACTGCTATGGTCTTGAAGCACGAATGCTGCAGCGCCTGCCGGCATACGGAAGCCGCGGATCGCATAGAGGCAAAGTTGATGAGCACTGACACCTGGGGCGACTTGCTCACGGCCTCCGCCAACGTCTGGCATACGGGAATGAAAATTTCTTCGGTTCCAAAGTAGAAGGGTCGCATGTGGGAAACGGAGAATTCATAAACAATCGCCGAGACAGAAGGCGTTGTCCGGCCGCACACATGATCGAAATCCAACATTTCTTGCACAGCGCGGGTCTGCAATCCCCAGACGATACAGTGGGTGGACCCAGAAAACAGAGCCGTTTTGCTGCTGATCGCAGAATCTTCCGCGTGATGCTCAGAGCGAAGAAGGTTCAGGCGCTCTACACACTTATCGAAGACAGGATTTGAATCGACCTCTGCCATTGACACTTCTTTCCACGTTTTTACCCTTTGCAGCGTTCCGTGGCCGTTCGCCATGGAGCCGTTTTGACTGCATTCCTCCGCAGGCATCCCGGCATCTCCATGATCCCACCCGCACTGTTTAGATATCTCCTCCGTCTTTGCCTGCTCATGTCCCCCCCTCAAAGCGAAGGGTATGATAGCCGTGATGTATGTTTCGGGTCCAAAAACTTTCATCTTCAGGCCCAGCTCGACGCCTACTTCCCTCATTAGCTTCAAGCCGTCTTGATAGTTAGGACCGCCTCTCCTCACGTAGATGGAAACATTGAATGCTAGCAGCTTTGAAGCATACATCTTAAGGGCCCTAATGATACCCTTGAAGGTGTCGGCAACCGATGTAAAGTTTGCTATACCTCCCCCAATAAGCAGCACCTTGCCCTCTTCTCTGTAAGTACCTGGAGCTGTGACTAAGGAGAGGATGGTGCGAGCATACTCATACGTGGTCACCTCGCTAGGGGCTCCTGAATACTCTCCGTAGTTGCAGAGCTCGTGAGCAAAGCCTAGGTCACATATGGTGTCCGCATACACCACAGAGGCACCTCCCCCCGCAATCATCGTCCAAATGCGGCCCTTTGGATTCAACACCGTGAGCTTCAGAGAAGCCCCGGTTTTCTGGTCAAGCTCCCTGAGACAGGAGAAGTACAAAATCAAGACAGAAGTACAAAGTCAAGACAGGCACAGGAACTGGCAACCCCTTGAGAGGGCAGAGACAAATCGGATCAAGAAGCCAGCGGGTGTGCACGCGCGCACAAAGCAACAGATAGTGTGCAGGCAGCGGGAACAACAGACCGACGAGCATACGCATCAAACAGACATGTATGCAATGAGAAGTCAAGCTAGAAAGGGGACGTGAACACTCAATGATGGCAAAGTCGTTCATTGGACGATCAAAATTAGTCATACGCTGTGCCAGTCCCTATAGGCCTTAAGAGCTCACCTAATATACAGCTCTTCCGGTGTCAGCTCTCTTCCAAAAGGGTTGGGAAGGTCGAGACCCTTCCAGGCTTCCTGGCACAGAAAGTCTGCGGTCCTGTCTATTTTTGCTGCTGCATCTAGTAGCCTGAACTTGTCCTTCTCCGAATCAAAAGAGAAGGGATTTATCTCCAGAAAGGCTAGATGCAATGCGCAGAACCTGGTGTACAAGCATCTCAGGAACAAAGGTAACAGCGTTTTCGCCTTAGTGTCGGCGACCCCGGATACGAGGGTCTGCAAAACGTGCTCTTCTATCTCATCCTCCTTCTGCCCAACCGGCACCAAGAGTCGCTCTGCTGTCTCCTCCACATCTCCTACCTCGATACCCCCTCTGCTGCTGAAAAGGATTTCATCTCCGTCAGCCTTTGTCCTAATGGCCACGTAAAACTCATTTTGTTGCTCATGAGAAAAGCAGGGCTCCACTATGAAATGAGACAGACGACCCTTGACCTCCCCACATGTAAAACTAGTGTTCAGGTATTCCTCCAAATGAGCCTTCACCTTCTCCCAGCTGGCACCGACCAAAACCAGCCCCAGCTTACCCCGCCTCTTTAGCAGCACGTCTGGCTTCGCAACGAGGGGACCCTCAAGTAACCAGGGACAGGAGAGAGGCAGTTGGTCCAGCGCTGTACTAGGAGTGACCAGCACACATTCCCCAGTGTATATTCCCGGCAGTTCCTGTGGGGTACTTGAGGAAGGATTGCTCTCCGAGTGCCACCCATCGTAACTACGCCCGTACCACAACAGACATTTTGCATCCGCTTCCCTTATACTACAGGCCATCTGCAGATGCGTACGCAACACACTGCAGCCACAATGCACGCTCAACCCAATCTGGTAACATGAATCCCACTAATGTATCCCCTACGCAGTCTGTTAATCTTCGTCCAGGTGTTAGCGAGCAGAATACGCATCATTTCGTCGAGTAACAGGGCAGGGCAAACTGCAAGGCAAACCTCGCGTTACAGTGCATAAAACTCTGCAGCATAAGTCGTCTGCTAGAGATAGTTTGATTCAAAGAAAAGAGAACAGACCAAGTGCTGCAGTTATCCCTGCTGTTTTCCGATGGCAGCCCAACCGATTGCCGGGTTACTCTAGAAGGAGACTGCTGGGGGAGTTTGAAGCTGTCACACAGCCTCTGAGCATCATGTAGGTAGAAGAATAAGAAAAAGAAGACAGGGACATCTTACCTCTGCTTGACTCGAGCTAGTTTAAGACGGCAGCGCCTGCTGGGCCTGAGAGCAATACGCTGCTCCTAAAGCCCTTCGTCCGTTTCTAACAGTAGTAAACGCTGCTACGCAGGAAATGGAAAGAAAAGGTCAGACCCGATGCTCAGCAGCTGCCTTCTTTCCCCACGTCTCGCTGTAGACTGTGCCTACGTGCCTACACACGCAGCGCCGAGCAGGGCACAGCGCAGCACAGCGCCACCCTGTTCTGGTCCGGCAGCATCTGTTGCTTCTTCTGTTCTATTCTATTCGTCACATAACAATCAATTTTAAGCGCATATGTTGGCATCTATTTCCTCAAAATACATGGACATCTCGAATTCCCGTAACGGGGGCTTTGGGTGGCATTGCTCTCGCTCGCCGTATTCTATTCTAGCAATCCGTCATCCGCTCGCGACTTCCCTGTCATGTCTGTAATGTTATTTCGTACTCTTTCTTGCATATCTTTCGCCACTGCTTCTGCTTTCGCAAGCTCAGTATGCATGGGCGCATAAGCAGATAACTAAGACAAGGAAGACATGCGTTTTAAGTCGAGATCATCTGATTATCTGCGGTCAGTTGACACCATGGAGTATGCTGGGTAAATGTGTTGTAGTCTATTTGGGGTACTCTCATGATTTATCAATTAGTGTAGTTCACATTCACAGTATGCACACAAGAAGCCACTCCCGATGTCGTACTCCACTAAAAAGTGTCAAGCTACACTTTCGCACTTCCCACAATACAGTGGTATTTTGCTCCCGGAATTTGGAAGCAATTGGACTTTGCGTTTTCATATGTCTTATTTATTGCACAGTAGCATTAGGTAGATACAAGGCGCAATGTAGTGTGCGTAGGCGCTAGACGTCGTGCAGACTTGTGAAAGGTCAGACTGTCTACCGAGTGCAGCTGGGCGCACCCTAACGGTCTCTTTTCCTTCATTGTCAAAACTTGAAGAAGCAAATGCCGGAAGAGGCGACTCCTCCTTAAGAAACACTAGCTAACATTTTATCCAGTTTGTATTGAGTCTTGATTTAGATGTCTCCTTGTGGAGGGCTCATACATAGTTTTACAGTTTGACGGCGCCACAGGATTTGGTGCAGCTGTACCCTGCTCACCCGCTGTCTGTGGATGCAGTGGTTTGTCTAGCTCCCTTAAACGATTGCATGGTTCCAATCACGCTATTCAAGCAATAAGCATATCTTCTCTGGCAACAGGCGTGCAAAACGGTCCTCTGGTGATGAAGGGACACGATACCACAACAGCTGGTTGGGCAGCAGAGTCCGGCATGCAAGCTGATGTGGCATTAGCCGGTAGAAAGGTATGGTCGGTCAGTTTATAAAGTGTTTGTGCGTCATTGAGGTATGTCGTAGATGAAGAGAACGAATGTTTTCTGTGGCGTGTTCGTTGGAAGGCGAAACAGTTCAATGGTGGACTTGTTCATGCACAGGAGCTCCTTTACCTGCAGGGATAAATGCAACTCGAAGCTTCATAAAAACCTTGCTTCATCGGTATACGCCGAGACCAGCCCAACGGCGAGCTGTGGGAGAACTTTAAAAGCTGAAACCGGAAAACCTATTGACACATTGATACACCAAAAAATATGAAGCTTTGGTTGGCATCAGCCACTATATAGACCAACAGCTACTTTGTCAAAGATTTATCTCGGGTCTACATAAAGTTCTAAGTCAGATGGTCTCTGGGTGCGCAGGCCCACGAATTAAATAACCGTCCGCTGGGGTTTCCACCAATGATATAGACGCCGGAGCCGTGGCAACCAGCGGAGCCTGCAGTCTAAGGTAAACGAGAACAGAAGCAAGAAGCCGGTCTCCTAAGCAGCCTAAGGCAACCCCCTAGCAACGCTCCTGCTTGCAATGTGGCACATAAACCAGAACGGCAGGCGCATGCAAAATCCTATAAACTGGAATAAAGGTATTCTATGCCCAGCGAAAGCAGGCTTCTTGAACAGCAAAGAATACCTACTAGGAACTAGAAAGGTCCTACGCAGGCTGCGGCGCAGTGAAGAAGATTCGAGAGAATAGAGTCTGGAGACCCTTCAGGGGCCAACCCTGCACTAAAATAGGCCCGCAACAATGATCTAATCTTGTTATTGTCACTTGGCACTGGAGTGGAGTGAAACTTTTTTTCACGAGACGGCGCAGAAGCGCAATTTGGCGGTCCACTCGTTTGCGCAGTCCTTATGACTCATATGTGTGGAGGGGAGGCAGAACACAAAGCTTGGCAAGGCTACGTCAGCTAAATGTGGCTTGAAATTCGAATTGCGTCATAGCACCATGGTCCATGCCTTCTCTAGTGGTCCCGTGCAGCCTGACGTAATCCTATGTGTGCCATGGGCTAGCTGATGGAAGGCACGCATGCTATCTCAGCTGAGCGCCGTGAATATTTATACGGTGGGAAGCGCTAGAAAAAAGCGACTCTTAGTCTCCACGACAAGGTTCATTTCGTGTACGGTGAGCAGGCTAGAGTTTGCACCTGAACAAGGTGAGGCTGAGTCTCCATGCAGGCAGCTTACCAGCAAGGTAAGTAAAACGTTTTCGAGAGTGCAGCCTGCCTGAGTGGCTTTGCAGCTGGCTTTTTCTAATAGAAATACGACTCAGCCTTCCGCTGAGGAACAGCAGAAACAGGTATATATAACGGAGTTTACGGATGTGCTAAATTTTGAGAGGTTGCCAGACAACTGGCCACGTCCTGGTCGTCCAGTGCGTTGTACTGAGCTGCTTTCTGGCTAATATCATGCTGTATAAGCTATATAAAAAGCATACACAATATGAGACCAAACCAGAAAGGCAGGCGAATGATATGTTTTAAAAGGCATAGCACGTGAATGGACAATTGGCGTTGATCATAACCGGGTACTGATGCTCTTAAAGGATGTCAGGTGACGAATTTGTGTTGACTTGAAACCCCCGTACAGCATCAATGTGAAGCAGATCCCGATGCCTTCGACTGGCAAAGTTCCCGACCCACTACCTGGGTCAATAGTCTCCCCCGCATGTGGCTTCACACGTATGCTTACAAATCCTCATTTACCTAGATGGCAACCCACTTGAACCTGTTAGCGTGCCAGCTAAACTGCATCGCCAAATCGATAAGAAATTTGACCATCCTTATTTAACAGTGCTGGATGGCTGTTTTCATGGACGATTCCCTAGATCGCACTAGAAACATTCAAAAGCATCTACAGCACCAACAGCGAGTGTTTTAGCTCTTAAAGCGAAAGCAATGGGATGGGAAGGCACCAAGTGTTTGTCCTTGAACCCAAGCACGTGTCAGATATTTTGTTTCGGGCTGCAAGAATTGAGCCGGTTCGGCCGAAAATTGCACCAAACAAGGCGCGGCCTTTACCCATACGTAGGGACATTGGTAACCCATATGCTCATGCATTTTGTTACCAGGATTTCATACCTGAATTCTTTCGGATCGAGCGCCATGGACTCCCCCACTCAAACGACGCACTCTATGCACAGAGGAGCGTGTTGCCTCAACAAGGGCGCCTATTGGCCTCCCTAGGCCTCCTCCGGTACTTGTACTGCCAGGTTATAAGCGCCATTTCTTGCTATCAGCCAATGATGGTGGCAGAGCGGTAAAAGCTGCTCTCTCCCAAGAGGGTTCGGGTTCTCCAAAACCCCAGGTCGTTGCTACGTGCATCGCTTCGGCGAATCCTCGTAACAGCTTCCAGTGCAGAAAATGGAGCTCTGTGTATTGTGGTGGGGTGTGGAAGATGCTGGCACTATTCATATGAGCGCCATCTGACTATTCAGGCGGGCCGTCAGTCCTAAATGTACCGCATGAAGAGTTGTCAGGACCTTGATAATCCTACCTTTGTTCGCTGACCTGCGCTGGGTGCGTACTGAAGTACGACTTTACAAGGAACTATTCGAAGGGCATCACCAACGTGGTTGCTGGCGTGCTTGCTGAAAGCCACAGTGATTCAATATGACGCAATGTGGCCGATCTTGTTTGCTGTTCTTCATGGCGTTTATAGAAATTTCGCGCTCCTTATGTTTTGACACCTATGGATTCGCTGTTATTGCCAAATCTATAATGACAGGATGGTGAAGCGCTATTACGTAAGGATGACATGATGTAGTTCAAAACAAGCGGAGACTTCGCCAAATGTACATTCCGACTTTAGTCCGCAGGGTCGTTTCGCGCAACTCACAGACCGTGTTCTTGCGGGTCGTGGCGGGAATTAGAATTGAGCAGGAAAGCTATAATAGTTTTCCCTGTGCCACGGGAGGCGTGTCGTTGTGGACGAGTAAGCACTGGTATACCCGGGTTGTCAGGAATTAGAGGCACCGTTATTATCCCAAACCGGGTCTGTTGCGAAGCTCTCCATTTCCTTTAATCGCTTGGACAGACCAGAATATGATGTTTTAGTGGATTGTTCAAGGTGAAGGGGCAGAATAGCATCTACGTCGCGATTAACAGACTTTGTAAAAACAAGCCCGTTTCATCCCTTCATCCAGCTATCTCGCAGCTCAGACAGTTGCTAAATTATTCGTAAATTAGGTTTGAACCTTCATGGATTCTGCAGGACTATCTTCATGGATAGGAATTTAAAGTTCGTTAGTGCGTCGTGGCCCTGAGAATTAGCGTACACATTGACTATAAGATAAGCACTTCTAACCACAATGAGTTGGAGGGACAGGCAAAACGCACAAACCGCTCCTTTCTGCTGTAACTGCGACTCTACCCTTACGCAAGCTCAATGGTTCTGCTTTATCTAATTCCGTATGCTGAGCTGCTTTCTGATATAACGGTACACTCGTCTACCCTTTGCTCTGCCGCGTCCCTGGTTTACTCATTCTCTGACCCCGGAGTGGACCTGATGGTCCGAGATTAGCAGCTGCCCGTATCAGCAGAGTGATCGGAGAGCATCTGATTAGTGCATGTAAATATATATGCGAAAAGCCCAAGAAATACAAGCATGGAATGGTGATACACCGCAGCTGGGTGTTTTGTGCCTAGGTACTGGAATTTGGTGAATCGACAAGCTTTACGAACTACTCCTAAAAGTTAGCGGACGAGCACGTGTCCGGCCAGGTGCATGGGACCACTTTCCGTCCTCTTAGGACTCAAACACAGAGATATCAAATACTTGCCTGCTGAGAGACATTCCAACACCCTCTAAATCATCCGCGGATTTTACTCCGAAGGCAAAGGACCCGCGTGGAAGCAGAGGGACTGCAGGGAGTCGTAGGAATACACGATTTTAGGACTATTGAGCGTCAGAAGATACATTAGACGAAAGTTGTAGTGAAATAGGATTGGGAACTCCAACTTTGGTGGTTGAAGGGAGGGCTTTCGCCGACTTCACTACCTGTGCGAGACTGTGCAGCTTGGTTTGACATACAACCCTAGTTTTCAAGGACGGTATTCTTCGTGTTCTTTGATAACTTCTCCAGCGCATGGGCTTTGCCTGGAATGACAACCTTTGTCGATGAGTCTTGCTTGAAAAGGTGCACTGCATTATGCTTTCAGTGTTTTCTCCACTGAGTTCTACGTTCAAGTACTCTCAGGGTATGTTGTTCCCATATTCTTCCTCATGCATCTTGTCAGCCATGAAAGCCCACTAGCCGTATTTGCATGCAAAGATTGCTCTATGGGGCGGGGGACCAGTGCTAAACTTGGGTGGATTTAACTGCCTTCATACACTTTTTATTTGTCTTGTATGTTCTCGTATCACACGGCTCACATGTTTCTAGCGTTCCGACGATACCAAGCCATCACACCCGGTGTGCTGCTGGTTTGGTCCCTCGTTCATTGTTGTATAATGCGCATGCCATCTACTTTCCTTTATCAGTTGATGAGGAAGAGCCATGAAGTGAGAACTTCCGCTTTTATGCTGTAGATGGCCCAGATGTACAAGTGTGGGTCACTGTGGGCGTACGCTTGGAATTGCGGAAGGGGACTCTGCTATACTTGCACACCTTCTACTACATCAGCACTACTATGGTTTGTCTGTTCGTATATCTCCCTTATGAGAGAGTAGTGTTAGCTCGATGCAACAAAAAGCATTGCTGCTTGCGTGGGCTGCCGACGCTACGTGCAACTAGCTGTGAATGCTCGGGGTGCTTAAAAGGGTGCAGCTACGCGCACCGTAGTGACCCCTCTCCACTAGTCTCGGAGAACTCCCGGGAGCATATTCAGGGAAAGGCGGTAGCTCCTCTGAAATGCATTCAATAACTTTTGGCTACGGTTGTTTTGATGCTTGAGTTACAAGTCTCCTTACAGACACCGCTGACGAAGCGTTACAAAGGTGAGCAACGGAACAGGTAAGGTTGCCTTCAGAATACGCGAAGCAATAGCGTTTAAACCAGCACTGTACACAAGCCACATTAGCTTACAGGGAAGATATAGTTTAACAGGAAAGACAATTTGCGAATATCGAGGCTGCAGTCATCCATTGCAGCCGAATGTACTTACAAGCTCCTCCAAAAATACCTGAAACGTTTCACACTGTGGAAAAAGCATCCGGATGAGGCCTTGCTAGCATAAGCAAGACGCAAATGTAGCGACAGTATCTCTGAAATAACTTCAGTGGCGCTGAACCTCTCTTCGCAGCAGCAGTCCTCCGCAACACCCATGTTCTTCTTGGCTACTTTACCTGAAGCAGCGGCAAGCTAAAAATGTTCAGCTGCCCGGCCTAATCCACACAGCACATATCTACTAAGTCCTAGAATGACGAGGCTATTCTTGACGGCCAGAGCAACAGTAGACGGAGCGACTGCAACCGGGGTTGTACAGAGGCCCAGGGTCGCGCGTTTTACTCAGTGAAGGAACTCTCCTCTCAAGGATGCGTCTTAAAGCCAAGCTGTTTTGCAGTGTCTTCCCAGAGTAGGGCATTAAGGGGAACAGTTCGTGAGAGCTGAGGCAGTTCAAAATTACATTGCTATTGAATACATAAATAGCTGATTGACTTTTCATAATTGACTCAGCTCATTTTTTCATGCTAGTATCTTCGTTGGCGTTAAACCTTAAGCTCTCAACCCTCAAAATCAAAATGCATGTTGGCGATGTCTGCGAGCTGGACAGACAGAGATACACATAGGCTGGGCTGGCCGTTGCAGGCAAGCCTCAGTCTCTTCCTCTCTGTTATTATACAATAGCCACAAACAAAAAATCGGGGGAAAACACTCAGGCACTCGAAGCTTCAAGCGTCTTGGCCGTCGCATGCAGACGGACACGGGAGCGGCAGGCGCCCGTGCGTCGTTTACCCAGAAGCCTGTGGGAATATGAATATTTTACGTCTGTTGCACTGCTTACCTTTCGTCATTGTACTCTATTCTATATCCCTCTGGCCTGTAAGGCCATTTTTGCCACTGTTCCTTCCCCGCTGACACGCCGTGCCCCTCCAGCAGCAGCAACCAGAGCAACAGCGGCAACCCCAACCGCAGCAACAGGATGGCGCCCACGGCTCAGCAGCAGGAGCAGGCACTGCGACAGATCCGGCAGCAGCTGCAGGATGGGACTGCAGACATAGATAGTTGCAGCAAGCAGCTGCGACAGCTAAAACTACTTCAAGTCTCTACGGTCGCTGCTGGTGCTGCCCCGACCCAAGGGGAGGATGTGGCTGCTATGGTTCTGGCACGCAACACATTTGAAACCGCTGCAATGCTGTGCGTGTATACACTGGAACAGCAACAGCGGCAGCAGCAACTCAAAACCGAGGATGAAGAGCTGTATGAAGAAATGATGGTAGAAACAGCAGACGCTTTTCAGAGGCATATGAACATGCTTCTTCCCTTCTACTCAGACATGGCGCATGTGAGTGCACCGTCTTTACACCCAGGGCTCAATCCGCAGGGATCGATGCTTCACGTAACTAGTATGCGCTGGTCCTCTTGTAGTTGCTCCCTGGAGGATATCCTTCCCTGACTGTGTGTATGTCATAAAAACAGATGCAGTCGTAGTAGGTGTAGGAGTAGTCGGTGCTGCTGTTGTACATGCAGCTTGGGTGCAATCAAGACTGCCATTTGCTGTCCATGTTTGTAGTGTGTGTATGACGGGCCTTCATTTGTCGTATGGGTTGTTTTATTACGAGTCTTTACCAGCGCTTAGCTGTTGCAACGAATTTCATGCCAACGCCTACAATCTGTGTATGCATAACTTCTGCGACTCCCTACTGCGCATTTTGTCTGGATGAAACATCAACTGGTTTCTTTTGGTGATGCCAAAAAAGAAAAGCCGCATGTCTGCCACACTTTTGCTATTGTTGCCAATTTTCAGATGTTACCTCCCTCAGACATGCAGCTCGAGCTGCAGTGTCTTCAGCTGCTTCATTTTCTTTCAGGGGACTGCATTGCCGAGCTTCATGTTGCGTACGACAGGCTCTCAGAGGAGGTACGCTTCTTTCGTTTGTACATACACAGCAGTTCTACACTGATTCTGTGGCCCCTTATGGAAGTTTTATTGGCACTATATCCTCAGCTAGAAGACATATATCATGGCCTTTAAAGGCCAGCCACTGTAGATGCACTGCAGTTAGTATGTTTCCCGTATGAGGGCTCGTACTCACGGCCGTTTCCTCTTGCCATCAGTTCTTTCTTCAGCATTTGCCATGGTGATATCTTGATACGGAACCTTCACGCCAGGCAGCTACTTCTTTGTCCATCAAGGGCTTAAAGTATGAACAAGAATTCTTTTGTTCCCTACAGGCACGGAGTAGCCCCTACGTGCAAACGGTGATGCAGCTGGAACAGCGTTTGATGGCTGGGAACTATGAAGCTGTGATGCAGCAGCAGCAGTTGCAGCAGCAGCAGCAGCTGCCGCGTTCGGCTTCGGTCTTTCTGACGCAGCTGACAAAGACGGTGCGGCTGCTGATTGCTGCTACCCTGGAGGCAGCATATGACTCGCTCTCTATATCTTACGTGGCCCGCGTGCTGCAGCTACCTGCTCCTTCTCTAGGGGCCTTTTGTGAGGAGCAAAACAAAAGGAGGAGACAGAGGGAGGCGCAGGATCTGATGTCTTCGCCCTCCATGGAGTTTGCCGCCGTCGCAGCAGCAGACGCTGCGGCTGCTGCACCCCGCCTACTGCAGCAACAACAGCAGATGCAGTCATCAATCAGTACGCTTGCAGCAGGAGTCGGCTCGGGCTCCTTTGCTTCTGCTGTCTCCCTGGAGAGGAGTGGGCCCTTGGGCGTTCGCTGGGTAATCCGCGGGGATCGCGTCGTCTTCCTGAAGGAGCAACACACCTCACAGCACTGTGCCTTCCATTCTACACAAGTTGCAGCACATCTAATTGGTCAGACCCGGCGTTTGCTGCTGTGCTTGCCGTGCTACTGCTGCTGAGCCAGTTAGACGGACATGCTAGTTTTCCTACGCGTAGTCTGTTAGCAGTATGCAAAAGTCGTGTGCTGCCGCCACTGCTGCTTTTTTACTGCCGTTGTAGCAGCAGCTGCTTATCCCAGGTTGCAGCAAGAGTTATTTGCCTGCTGCCACTGCTGTTTACAGGGTACGCTACCGAGTTGGAGAGGATTGTCTGAGACCGGTCGCGCTCACCCACCTTTCACCACACACAACACTTCGCACTTGCTGTAGCAAGGGAAGCAGCTGCAGCAACAGTTCCAACAGGTGGCATCGCGCCAGGTGTGGCGACAGCATCGAGTGCCGTCTTGGTGTGTTCTTTGCTGCTTGTTTGTGCTACCTTGAGCACCAGTTTGCTGTAGGCTCCCTGCGGAGTTTAATGAGCAATATAGCTAACTTGATCCTACTAATCATCGATTTCAGCTGAGCTATGCGCAGATATTGCAATTCAAACTACAATACGACCGAGTCATTTAGACCTAAACTAACTCAGTCATTGTAGTCAATGTAGTACTCCGCATAGCTACGATTCGTGCATGGGGTAGGCGACCACATGAGAAGCCGCTTACGAGGGTGCTCCTTGCTAGACTGTAAAAGGGGTTGTGCGGAGGCTTTGCCTACGACCCATCATGCTGCACACACAGACTACCACAGGGCCTCACCTTTGCGATAACACCGCTGTCCTTTTGCGTGTTCGTTTTGTACATAGATGCATGCGTACTGAACGCATGTAGGAATATATCCATGTAATTGTAAACAGCCAAAGTGCTGCACAGCCGACGTATGTATATCCAACACCTATTTAGTGCTACGAAATTAAGTACAGGTGATTCCCAATACATACACCACGATTCCATAGAATGTATGTCTCCTCCTACGTATCACAGCGCAGCCCGAGGTTCTGCAAACGTGGAGCCGCGTACGTTACATAGGCCCATAATAGCAAACCACTTGTGGCCTGCACTGCGAATACGAAATAGGATGTAGGGATCCGACTTGCTGCGCCAGGCAAACAGTTGGCATTCAGCTTTTCTGTTCAGCGGCTACACCAGAACAGCGCTATAAAAAGCTGCGTTTTTCTTGCATCCGTTCTTTCCGTGACTGAAGATTGTGATTCCCCAGTCCTTATAGTAATGCGGTTGGTGTGAAGGGAAGACTGGCGTCTGTGAGGAGGCACCCGCCTGTCTGCTGTGACTGAGGCTCAGCCTGCATATACCGTATATGTATGCGTTTGCAGCAACACAACAACATCGTAGAAGAGTGCAGGGCTCTGCCCATAGCTGCGCCTGATGAGGGGAAGGATCCTTATATACAGGATTATACATTTATTTTACCCATATGCACTTAGCGCAAATCTACATTCTATTCAAACGTAAACTGGGGCACTCAGAGAGCTACCTTTGCAACTTGTTCCAAGGATAGAGTATCAGGGTGTCGTTGCTTTTATGCTTTCCCAATATATTGCTGCCTTTCAGAAGAAAGGAACGCCTATGGGGAACAGCAATCTATCGTTACTTTACGGGGTTTAGCACTAGGGGCCATGCCGGGGAATCTGAACACGCGAAGGCTCGAGAGCCAAAGGGTGTAGCCATAAAAAAGAAAGCTGATAGTTATCCTCTAATTTCTTGAAGCCAAGCTACTGAAGTGTCTCTGAGCTACCTTTCCCTGCATCAATATGATCAAATACGCTCAGCAGCAGCAGACGCCACTACTGCAGCAGAAGACTGGGCGTCCTACTGGGGGAGAAAGAACTCGAGGCCGCTAACGGGCTCAGTGGTGGAAGCAGTAATAGCAGTAGCTACTGACACCGGTGCTGGGGAATAGCGGATAGTACATGCATTTGAGCCTGTATAAACAATCCTATCTGCTGTAGCTGGGGCAAGCGTTCGGGGTCCCCTTGTAGGCATTTAAACCCCCAGGCAGACATCCTCTTGGAGCAATCCTTCGATGTCATCCAACGCCTTGCTTAAGAATATCCCCTTATAGCCTTGGATTCTAGATCCTATGTCACCTTTGGCCCCTTGCTGTGCTCGCACGCTTCAATGCTGTGTGTTGCCGTTGCTGCTGTTGCGGTGCAGCAGCGGTGCCATTTGCAACAGCCACTCCTCCTACCACCCGTCCACTTCCCTTTGGCGTTGTTGCACTACGACTACGGAGAGCCGTAACGCGTTGCTTGGCCTGCTGTAGGGGTTGCTGCTGCAGGGAAGGCAGTCCGGGTGTTTTCGACGTACAACTAGCAGAAGCACCGGTAGCAGTAAGACCTGCAGGCAAATGTTTTCCTGTAGTAGAGGTTAATGCCCTTGGAGGTGTGGCGCGTGCAGCTGCTGATACTTTCTTCACTGAACTGGCAGAAGAAAGAGAAGCTGCAGCCGCACTCATCCGTCTGGAGGCAGCCGACAAAGGAGATAAGGAAGCAGCCCTACTCCGAGCTCCTGTGGCTGGAATAGCTTCTTGTGTGCGGGTAGCAGCTCTGCGGGGAGCTGTCATGGCAGAGCGGCGCTGAAGAAGTGCAGCGGCAATGGTTTTCTGTTGTAGCTCTTGGCTGGCCACAGTACCTTGTGTAGCAGCAGTATGTGTCTTAGCAGCCGCAGCAGCGGGCGCCCTACTAGCAGCAGTATCCGCAGACTTTGATTGTTGGCTTGCAAGGGAAGCGTTCTTGCGGACGATGACTCGCGTAGTGGCTCGCGTCTGGTGCTGGGGCCTGGATGCTGCGGATGTGGCAGCTGGTACAGGAACAGCGTCTGCTGTTGCTGCCGCCGCTGTCGCTTGAGTTGCGTTTGAAGCTAAGCTGCGGCTGGCCAGAGACTTTGGAGTGCTGTGGGCCTTTACGGCGGCAATAGAAGCTCCGCAGCGCCACTGCCTCTGGTGATGCAATAGAGGAGTCAGTGCCATTGGATCTAGCCCAGCAGGAGCGGGTGGTCTTGGGGATGCTGCTGCTGAGGCAATAGGTTTTGCGCTCGTGAAGTTGCGGGTGCAGATTGTAGGGCTGGCTCGCTGCAAGAGCGCGCCATTGATACTGGTTGGTGTAGCAGTAGCAGCAAGCCGTGATGACCCCGCTTTGCGCTGCTGCAGCGGAAGTTGCCCCTGAGGAGTGGCGGCAGATACTGTGGCTGCTGCCTCCGGGAGCAGAGGTGGCAGGCTGCTATCACTGGTACCCCCAACGGCTTCGTCAACCAGGCGCCTAAGAGAATCTGAGGGGCCTTCTAAAGGAGTTCTGCGTCTATTTGAACACAGAGGCATTGGAAGACCCTCAGAACCTTCCCTTTGTGAATCTGATTCGGTAACAGCGGATGTTGCTGTTCTCTGTGCGAGACAGCAGGAGTGTTGAGGTGAGGGGGCCAGTAGAGGTAAGACCTCCCGCAGGGGAAGAGGCATTGCAGCTCCTTGCTGCTGCTGTTCTCCACATTGACAGTGGTACAGGCTGGGGCTATTGCTGCATCTTCCACTGCTGCAGCGCAAACTTCCGGAAGACGCCTGTCGTTTATGCTGCTGTTGCTGGACAGGCGTTCGACCGGGAGTGCAACAATCGCCTCCCTCACCGTTCCGACACCTGGTAGGGCTGCTTCTACTGCTACAATTGCTACTGTGTTCAGTAGCAGCGACAAGCGCCAGCTGCGACTGCGCCAAGGCCTTTGCGTCCTCTATGAAAGGAAATTCCATCATGGCTCTGAACTCGGGCAAAGTTAGTCGGGAAGATGCGCCTTCTGCTGTCTCCTTGTCTACAGGTGTTTCACCTTTCGCTGCCTCCTGCTGTGCCGACGTTGCTGATGCCTCCGTCTGAGGAAGTAACTCGCGCCTGTACGCTTTGCTACGAAGGGGCGTTCCCAGATAGGCCTTGGTGGAACCTGCTGCTGCAGCTGCGGCAAAGCCGCCGATTTGCTGTTGCAGTTGTACGGCCGCTGCAGACACGCTCTCTGGCTGCGCTTGCCCCTGTTGGAGCCGCTGCATGAGCTGCTGCTCCGTTCGCTGACGCTTCACGGGACTAGGGCTGCATGCGGAGCGTACGTGTTCTATCATGTACTCAGCCATTTCCCTGCAGCACAGCAGTCGCCAAGGCAGTTATGTACCCAGATCGCGTCATTGAAATATAGCACGCGAATGCAATTGCTAGCAGGTAAAAAGCCCCCGACCTCACATGCCCGACTGAGCGAGTTAAGGGACGAACCGGGTAGGCGGCTGCTGCTGAGGCGTGTTGGGAGATCCAGCACAGCCCGCATCAGCAGCTAGCAGCGAAAGCAAGTCGTCCACATCCAGGCATCTGCTGGTGCTGCCCCCCCCGTCAGCAGGTGTTGCACTTGCAGCGGCAGCAGCTGCTGCATCAGCAGCTGCCTGGGACTGTTGTAAGGCAGCGGATGCCCTGCGTCGAGCTGCACGCACCACTCGCAGCAGCAGCAACAGCAGCAGCAGCAGCCCAGTGCTTCGCTGGCTTGCGTACAGCATGAAAGTTGGACTGTTGGTGCTCTGCTGCGTAGCGTGCTGGTAGAGGGTTTGATCCGTGTGTGTTCAGCAGCTTACCCCGCCGGATGAAGAGGGAAGCCTCGGCATCGATGCCTCTCCAAGGTGATGCCACTGGCAAGACTGTAGACGGCGTCGAGTGCTCCGCTGTTGCGCGTTCTCTTTTCCCACTGCGAAGGGTTCGCTGCAGCTGCTGCTGCTGCTTCTCCTCTTGGTGCGCTCGCTGCATCATAAGGAATGCCCCTTCCACCTCACGGTAGTGCCTCTGGATAGCATAGGATGAGGTGAGGCACGCAGCGATGAAGTAGCTGTACGGCAGAGACATACATTCTGGATTACCGAGACTGCTGAAGTAGCTCTGCAGCAACATACGCATCGCCGGCGGCAGCAGCAGATGCAGCATGAAAGGGGCACTTTGCAGCAGTGTGAGGGCATCGAGTGCCGTTAATGGGGATATCCGTGAACTGTGAGTCTGAATCACAAGAGGTAAGCCTCATGGAGGGGGGAAAAGGGAAGTGCACTGCAGGTGTATGTGAGCTTCGATCGTACCTGTAACACGGAACGGATGAGCGCTTCCAGCTGGAGCCGTTGCTGCTGCTGCTGATCGTGGTCCCGCTGCTGCTGCTGCTGCTGCTGCTGCATGTGCTGCTCCAGTGCGGCCGTTAGCTGCTGCTGTAGGTCGTCTGCTTGCAGCGCCCCGCAGCAGCTAATATCAAGAAGCCGGAAGAGGCGCAACCAGTTTTGTGTGGCCTCCTCTCGCAGCAGACGTGCCATTATCAACAAGGCCACCTGAAGAAGCAACGGCAAAATGAAAACTCACTTCTGCAGTTGTATACAGCACAAGACGGCATGTGTAGATATGGTCTGAATGCGCAGGCAGCACCACACCTAGAGCGACTAGGTCTTTTCAATAATGAGGAAGAAACAAGCAATAAGCAAGGTCAGTACAGCCCTTCCAGCGCTTCGTAAGACACCCATATAAAACTCAAAGCACGAGAACATTTGGAGAGCAAAGACCTCCCTATCGATTCTCTATTATACCTTTTTAAGGGGCGGTGAGCCCGCAAACCGCATGAGGGAGCGTAGGAGAGTGAGAGCCTCCGAAGGTTGCATAGACTCCGAACGACAAGAGAGCGCAAGCCGCGGGGAAGTGTAGCCCCGAAAGTATGGATGCGCCAATACCTGACGCACAAACGATCACAGCCACACAGGCATCCGGTGGCAAAGGGGATGGAGGGAGTAAAAAATAAGAGTCCACAGTACTTGCAATGCTTGCAGAGGACTCTCTTCCTTCGTGTGCGTGTATCTGCACCTGTCTGCCGCTCCATCGTTTGTGAGGATCCTTCTGCAGCACTCCTCGAAGAACCTCCCCAACTCCCGACTTCCAGAGTGGCGTGTACAAGGCGGAACCCCAGTTGATCTCCTCATGAGCTACTGCCCACATCACCTGAGTCTCATTCTGTGCGATAAAGGGCGGCCGCGAAGTATACACCAAATGCAGCAACACCCCCGCACTCCAAATGTCACACTTGCTGCTGTACGCCCGCCCAGGGGCCCCTGCCACAATCTCCGGAGCCGCATACAGCGGGGTCCCTGCAGCAAAGAAGTCGAGAAGCATGCTACTACAGGCATATATGGAAGGTTGTGCATGGACAAAAGCGGCTTTTGCAGGTAGGTGCGCTTGCAATGTATTTCAGAATCGTTCTCTATACGGCTACGCTTTTCATGCATACATGCATCAAAGGACTGCGGGGAAGTGAGCGTGCAGACCTCCGTCTTCGTGAGCAAGCAGGCAGTCAGACACAAGGAAGCCCTCAGGGGTATACAGAGTCACCCTAGGCAGTTTCTAGCGGCACAGGCAGCCAGCCAAATGCGTTTTCTACACATCATTGCCGGCTGACGTACAGACGTTGCCTATCCCCTATGCGTCTGATGTGCATAAAGGCGCTCCTAGACTAGAGCTGTGGGCAAAAGGAGGGAGCAGCACCTTCTTATGAGCACTGAAAGGCATTCTTGTCAATGCACGACTAGCAGTGGATCCGCAGTTCGCCAGCAGCACGTGCAGCCAAACGTGAATATTCAAGGCCTTTTTCCCAGCGTACGTACCAGCTCGTGTGAAGAGGAAGGAGGTGCTGTTCGTGAGGGGTTCAGCTGACTCAGCCACGCCCCTAGATTCTAGTGTAGCAGCGAACTCGGGGGGAGGCCACAGCCAGCGCATGCATGCATCATGCCCCGTGTCTGTGTCCCTTAGATCTCTGTCCGTGCCTTTGTGGCCAAATTCAGCAGCATCCACGTCACCAGTCCGCCCCGTAGGCCTCCTGATGTTGAGATTGGCAAGTCCAAAGTCTAGAAGCTTCAGCTCTGCGTCTTCTGCGTGCGAGCTCCACATGAAGTTTTCTGGCTTAACATCCCGGTGAACGATGTTTCTGTCATGCAGATAGCACAAGGCCTGTGGAAAAAAGGCGCAGACAGCGGGAGGAGAAAAGCCGACACTTCGTGCAACACGGGGTACAGCCACAGTCAGCAGGGGCTCAGAGCGCAGGGTGAAACAGCAAACTTATTTTTCCGATAGGGTCGACAAAGACGACAGGCGAAAGCGGTTGCCACAAGTGATGGCGCTGCAAGCCACTTGGAGGAGAGAGCTATCAGAAACAGCCTAAAGGAAGCTCGTGGAGGCTCAGTAGAGAGAAGGAAATCAGAGAGAAGGCAGACAAACCTCAAAAATGCTCCGCACCATGCGGGCCTTGGCGCTTTCGGAAGACAGCAGCATTGGCTCTGCAGGGACGCATATGGCGGAATTTCCAGTCACCTCTCGCTTCCTAAATATTCTTGATAGTTAGCTGTCGTATCCTCGGATATGTGCAGCTCTCATGTCTTTCTAGGGCGACACTGGATTACGGACTGGACACGCATATTTAATGCGATGATTTGCGTGTTTCTGCAAGGAGCTCCTGCCGTCACTGCCTACTACCCTCGAATTTTTCTAGAGAGTGGAAAGAATCGCCTGTAGACCAGCGTACTTCTACCTCTTGGTCAATCCCTACTAGCAAACGGAAGGCCACGTGCAGGGAAGGGCAGCAAGAAAAGGCACAGAGTGGCACGCCAGCTTACCAAGATGCCTTCTATTCCTTCGCCTGTCGCCCTGAATCACCAACGGGTGCTGCTGCTGATGCTGCTGCCCTTTGCGGGGAGGCACGTAGTGGTGCAGCAGGGTCCCTCCCGTACAGAGTTCCATGATGGTCCACAACTTAGAAGGACTCGCATACACCTCGTAAGTCTTGACGATGTTGGGGTGATCCAACAGCTTCATCAGCATAAGCTCCTGCCGCATCCTCTGGACGTCACCTTTGTTTCTGCTCTCCCTCACCTTCACCAAGTCTACTATCTTTACGCAGTACATCCCCCCGCCACTGCTGCTGCTGCTACTACCGCGAAGGCGCACACGCTTGACCTTGCCATACGCTCCAGATCCGATTATCCCGTCCAGCTCCTCATATTTTGCCTCATATGCAGCCGCATCCCCCCAAGGCACAACGGGGGGTAGCCAAGGGGGCAGGCGGGGGCCTAGGGCTTCCCAGCTACTGCTGTAACTGCTGCTGCTACTGCTGGTGCTCGTCGTCCAAGGGCAGCCGCATCCACTGGAGCTATTGGTGTTGCTGCTGCTGCTGCTTCTTGCGCACCCGCTGGGGAGAGGAGACGAGCAACAACTGCTTGTTCCGGCTTCCTTGTTAGTGCATAGAATGCCGCCGCTGCTGCTGGCGCTGCAGCATTCAGCAGCACGAGCTATTTCTCCTGGCATCTCGCTTCCACAGCAACTGCCCCAAGAGATTGACTTCTGCTGATTTTCCTCCGTGAATATGCTTTCTGTGTGAGCAGTAGCAACTACTGCATCACTCAGTGCTGTTCCCCCTTTGGCTTGACTGGTCACCGCACGTAAAAAACGCATTGTGCTGCTGCTTCCATGACTCTTGTTATTGCTGCAGCTACAGAATCATGGCCAAGCGGCTCTGCGGAGGAATCGTGAGAGGAGGCGAGAGGCATTGCGGTGTAGGTGAAAATAGTGAACTTGTCTGCGGGGGATTAAAAAGCAAGGCTTCCGTCTTTGAGCAGGCTAAGGGGAAATCATGGTTACAAGCAGAGTCCATAAATTCCTACGAGACGAATAATTAAGCCCTAGGCTGTTTCGGCTGCTAGAAGAGAATGGAGTTAAGGTGCTGCCTCTGGCCGCTGCTGCTCCCGCGGTTCCCGTGCAAGAACTTGAGGTTCCTTTCCGGCCGGCAGAGCCGCAGGTCCTATGTGGGTCCCGAGGGAAGCGGACAAAAGCAAAGATTCAACCGACCGCAAAAAGCTTGTTTCTCCGTGCTCAACTTGCACCCCTGCTAGGGGGCCCTGTCGGTCGAAACTGGGTCGAGAAACGAAGAGTCACAAACAGGTGCGGACTCAATGAGAACATTGCAAGACTAATGGAAAGCAGCCAGAAGCTCAATACAGGCCAATAGGATCCAGCATGGAACACATTTTGATGTCAATGCAAATCCCACTGCTTGTCCTAAGGAGGCAGCTGATGCTGAGCTTCCAGTCCCGCCACCTGCCACAATAACTGAGCATCTAATGATGTACTAACGAGTTTTTAATTGCACCTGTTTCGACCAGAATCGCAGGCTGGGCGGCAGTAATAACAAAGTGTCGGCTCCCCCGCTTAAACGCGGGGCTGTTGATAGAGCCTGCAGGTTGTCTGCCCCCAAGTTATGCAATTTACACGGATAATAATAGGACTTAGTGTACTAGTAAGTTTTATTGGCCCTACAGTTGACTTGAAGCAATATGGGCATCAACAGCACTCCGCTGGCGTGTTCTTAGTGGAGGCGGGGGGTGGTGAAAATTGAGGTTGTTTTTCGTAACCACCTCGCTAACTAGTGTCTTGTGTTGCATCTGAGCATATTTATACAAAATAAGGGTCCACGGTTTGGCTGTTGTGGGCAAGAGACTTCTCACAATAAAATATCCGCCTCTTCGACATTGGCGCCATATGACGGGGTAATACGGGAGGTCCACTGAATGCCAAAGCAGTTGTGGGTGTACCGGAGACTGTTGGCTATTGCTTCTATAAATTCATATACACGCGTATATTTCTTTTTTGTAAAGCTTTGAGGACACAACATCACCCCTTTAATAGTCTAATATCAGAATTAGGGCCTTACTTTGCAGGCGTAGCGAGCTGGGCGGGGCTTGGGCACTTTCTTTCAGTTATATTTACTTGAATTTATGAAATTTCAATAATTTGCTTGTTCTTAGCCTATGGTATTTTGCAGAGTGCGGCTAGCTCGATAGAAGAAGATGCAACGTTGTCTGCGTGTGCACAAGATGCTAGGTGTAACTAGTTGTGAATGCTCGGACCGCTGCAGGGGCGCAACTACGTGCATCCTACTTGCTCCTTCCTTCTCGAATGTAAATCCCTCGAAGGCTTGGGTAGGGGAAGGAAAGAGCTCTTTTGGTAAATGAGAATAACATTAATTCAAGTTTGTATGGAGTCTGGAGTTGTGTGTCTCCCTTTGGAGACCTTCGGCTGGAGTGTTATGATTGAGAGCACAACGTGATTCGTTGCAACTTCTCCCCGCCCATCCACTGTGGATGCATATATATGCTAGGTTCTATAGCAGTTGTCTAGTGGAACATTCCGTTTAAAGGCACCCGTAGGAAGACAACTTGCTACAGACTCATTACATACTTGTGAAAAAAGGTCATTACCTGTTTTTCATTAACAACTTTACCCC